CTTCAATCCTGAATTCTTCATAAAGAAGGCAGGTTACATGACTCAGCGTGATGACTCATCATGCTGAATCAGCAACGCACGGGCCCATTACTGCCACCTTTTATGAGATCCCTCCGTAATTCATCATTTAATCCAGATGAGCTCATTTGGACTGCCCTAACCGCCTGAGCCCAAGCTGAGATAAGGAACCGGAGTTTATCGTTCGTCAAGTCAGCAACCCACCGATCAGCAACCAAAGCCAAGATATCAAAACAAGGCTTCTTCCAGGGCGGCTAAGAGCGGTTCTGGATTCTGCACGCAGGGGAATCCACTGTGCTCCTGAAGTAGTTAGGCTTCACCAGCCACAGATCATAGACTGGGCAAGGCTGGTGAGATTTTCCCCCCGTTTTGAGATTTTCCCCCCTTCAGAAGTACCAAAACCGCCGCTCTGGAAATTTACAAGGCAATATAGCCACACTTTCAACATTATTTTTAAATTCAAAACTTAGATAGAGTTCTTTAGGACTCCCTCTTGCTCCTAGTCTCCGAAATTTAATCCTAATAAGTTGTGGTGTTACGTGATTTAGGATTAAAGTTATGGCAGTTTTTTCATACAACTCACCAACTTCAGCACAAAATTAAACCACAACACAGGGGGTATTTAGAGATCTAAAATAGTAGGCTCAGTTACCCAGGCTTTAGTATTTTTCTTAGCATTTAAAAATTATATTATTTCGAAGCTGGTGTTGAGCTGTTTGGCGTTGAAGTTGAAATGTGGTGATTTTGGTACTTCTGAGGGGGGAAAATCTCACCAGCCACTGGGCAATGATACTAGTGACAACTAAAATAAATTTGATTACTGACTGTGTACGACCAAATATACGTTACTCGAATAAGCATACTGCACTAACCAGGATTGTCCATCGTTTCGACTGGAAGTACCTACCTGCATGCCGAACTTGAGCAATCTTGCACGGCACGGCACACACATCGTTCACGATGATTTATAAATATGCTCATGTAACTGTACGGCATGGATAATGATATTTAACAGGTTTTACAGGCAATTAGATTATGATGGTGATGCTGTAATTGAAGATGCCTGGATTGAGGATAAGACATGCTGTTGAGAAATCAGGCGAGAACATAACCACGCACATGTATTTTTCCAGTTTGAATTTGTTAGCATGTTCAGAAATGGCTATGGAGAGCGATTCATTTGAATTCATAGAACTCTAATTGTGTATGTCTGCTGTGGATTGCGTTGGACTCGAAGTACCTAGGAAATTGCCCTCAGACAGGGATGCCCGCCACGCAGGGAGGGAGGTTACCTTATCTATCAGTAAAGTGGTCATATGGGAGCAGTATATTAGGACAGTAGAGGGGAGAGTCAATATCTCGTGCACAGAGGCGCTGGAGATTTCTTCTTTCTCCCTCTCTCTTTAGTTTAGATTAATGGAATTGGTAACTGCGTATCTTACATATCACGACCGTATCAGAGGCAGCACGTTAATTATAAGACCTCTAGTTGACAGTTGTTCTCCCTCATATGGGACCGACATGAGGACCCGCTTTTTCTTCATCCCTTTGTCTCGGCTCACGTTCGATTTCGCCTGTTCTTTCGGCGCGGCCGCTTGCTCATATGCTAATGGATTGATTTCTCCACGATAGAAAATGGTTAAATCGGCCGTCTGGGTTTGCAACTGCTGTGAACAGTTGTCGCGGGAGCTTCCCAGATCTCCCGCGCCACATCACCCACAGCCTCCTGAATCGCTCGAGCCACAGAGCCCCCCCAGCTGCTTCGTTTATGTCCAACTCGAACATATAAACATCCTCTTCTCTTCTTCATAAAACGCCTTGACTTCATCATGCATAGCTAGTAGTCGTATAGACTTACTAATACAACCTAGAACTCTATTCCCTCCTCCTCTATTAGTTCTGTGACAGAAAGTTCGGAACACACCAGAGTCAGCACACCTAAGTCAACACAGCAAAGTCAACAAACCCGGAAATGAGTTTGTTATTTAACTCAATGGAGCAGAGAGATGATCCATTGTGATTGGCAATTCCATTATCGCATCAGAGATGACGGCACAGCAATCGAATCAGTAGCGCGCAAGCCAATCCCTGCATTTCACCGTTGAGCGCTTCCGACTGCATATTAGAGGAGGTCCATAATCTCGTCATGAACAGAGAGACTCAGCGTGATATCCAAACCAAGGACACCTTGTGCGAAGCGGATGAGAGAACTCGTCATAAGGATTGTGCCCCGGCACGGCACGGCGCAACCCGATGTTTAGAAAAGCCGATACAGGAGGAGAGATACAACACAGTAGAAGCACTTCCGACCTTCGCTGAGTCCACTCTAGCCACGAATATTGGGTGCAGAAGCCCTCAGTTCCAGCTTCTTATTTTCTTTAAAGGCTCAACTCAATCAATCTTCTCTTTCAGTGCGCCATACTTGCAGTTCAACTGAACATTCTCGATTGCATGAGAGCCATGCGACGGGAATAGTAGCTCAAGGTGCGGAACATCTTGTTCGTCCATAGTCGATCTCATGCCATTAGATAGATCGCCCGGAGCTGTCCTAGATCCAATTCGCACTTTGTATCCGAAAATATTTGCGGTCGCGATTCCCGCGCAGGTATTCTGAAGTTCCGGAGCAGTCGGGGAGTTCATCGCTAGTGCGATGGCTTCCGAGAAAGAGGTCCATGCTATTGAGCTAATGCCGTACCAGATGGAAATACATATATGTGCCAATGTAACGAGGCAATATATAAGCAAGATTGCCAGTGACAGCTTCACGGCGAGGATATCCGGCCCATATCCGTATCCTCTCTGGTACAGGATTTGTCTGAACTGCGATGGGAGATCATTCACACCAGAGTACGGTATAGATTCTGCCGTGGTACCGCTCACTTCAAGCGACGTTGTTGATGTTTTCGGATCTCCCCAGTAGTAATGGGATGGTGGAGGCGTCGTAATCGATAGGGTTGCGGCTAATAGGGTTGAAAACACTACAGCACCGTCTTCTCCACGGTTGAAGAGCTGTGTTGAGAGATTTGAACTCAGAAAATTGAATGCGGTCATGTTGGCACCCTCCAGGTTGGGATTAACCATTGCCAACCAATCTTTATCAGCATGAGCATAGCGGAATAAGATATCACCTGGTTGGGAAGTGCGCCGACTGGCCACCGTGGATCCATCGAAGCGCACAGTTGTCGAGATCCAGCCAAGATCTGCACTGCAGGGAGTGATGCAGACCTCTTTAAAGCGGTTTGGGTAACCATTCGGACAATTTCGGGAGGATGATAACAATAAAATGCCAATTTTCTTAGAATCCGGAATCTCCACGAAGAGAGCGTCATTGTACGTTCCGTTGCTTGCAACTACTTGATTCCGTAAGAGTTGATACTCCGCATCCGTCAGAGTGTCCGAGATGTTGTGAATCCCGGCAGCTTGACCGAAGTACAGTTCGGCTGGATTGCTTTTAAGATCCCAGACAACGGAGTCCTGAAGAGAACACTGTACTTCCGCATATGGGTCCATGGAATTCTCGGTCTCGATGACATCTACACCCCTGGTAGCGGTTTCACTGCCGAATGGAAGTAGCCACTGTGCTTGAGTCGAGACTAATACAGTGCCGTCAGTATTATTTAAGTCCAGCGAAAATGTACACGGAGATATCAGGTTGTCGCCCAACCAGCTTGAGGAACGGGAGAACAAAGGGCCAGCCTCGAAGTCGGATGAGAGGTATACCCCGCTGGTCAAATTGCGTATCACTGGTTCCAATGACTGAATATAGGAGGTGCCAGTGCCATTGATGGACCAAGGACAAGATTCGATTTGCTCGAAGGCAGGGGATGCGGCGCGGAGATCGGGTCTGCAGCGGTCGTTATATAGCGCAGCCGTCAAGTTGATCGGGAATAATGTATCTCTCGTCGTATTGGAAGCAAAAAGATACTGGTTCCGAGGATATAGGATGCTTCTTGGAATCTATGTCATGAAGCATCAGCAGGAGCTTGAAGTAAACGTATGAACTCAATAAGATACTTTTAAAGACGTAGCAGGGGTGCAGTGGACATCTTAGCTTGACTTTGACGTCCAGTCCAAGGGCATGCATACTGTACATACCATGGTAGCGGCACTTGCAGGCCCAACAATAACCATCAGAGCGGTGACAAGGACTATCAAAGATAGCATTTGCAGTTTGAACCTCCAGCCATAAACCTTGGAGGCCATTGATCCCCACAACTCCGGTGACCATAGATATGTGAGTTGCAAAACATGGAGCCCAGCAAATGCCGCGCCAAATGGAAGGCCCCTCTTTGAAGCAAGTAAATATTGAGTATAGGACGACAGTGTGGTTGCAAGGGATGCAACCATGGTCAACTCATGGAGCTTTGCGACGAACTGAAGAGCAACAATACGGCTCGACAACATGTTTGAGGAAATATAGTACTGCGCCATATTCAATACGAGTAGAGCGATTGCCCCGGAAAGGGGTACGATATGGACCAAGCAACGAATGCAAGCATTCAAGCGATTCTTGTGCAATGCAATTTTTGCATGCTCTTTATTTCGTGTCAGGGCTGGCAAGAGCTTGAGGCCGACTGTACGGAGCACCACCGTAGCACGGCTCGTCCATATCTCCTGCTTGGAATACCCGGTCTGGTTGCTGGTAGAAGAATCAGTCTCGAATTCTACCCAACGATGGTTCCTGTCAGCCTGGTCAAGGAGTCTTTAAGGGCTCACCTCTTTCGACGACGCTGAGGAAAGGGGGTTTCCAAGAGTTCAACAGGTGAATCCACACCCTTGACCTGCTGCCTTTCCGACTGTGCGAATGAATCCATGTCAGAAGCAGGGTCTGTAGGGTCTGGCACACGTAAAGACAGATTTCCCCAACGCATGATGGATATGTAGCTATAATTCAGGTAATTGATTTTTCATTTTTCATTCTAAGGGTCAAATAAAAAAGTTATCCAATTTCATTCATAGCCACGAGAGTCTTAAGTACTTACCGATAGCTAGCAGACGGATGGGGATGACCGGGCGCAAGGCGCTTCATGGCCAAGCACTGCGCCTTTAATATGAATATATGAATTGATGCCAAAATGTTAGTCGATTGTTTTGAAACCGCATCCTACCATCCAGAATGGACTAGAGGTACCACAGGAAAATCTGTGCACTTCTTAGGTGTTTCAAAAGGACCTACCTACTACCCCCTGTCATCTTACCTGATAAGTGATAACTAGCCCTACGGAAGTTCCCTTCAAAAGTTCTTACCCGCCAAGAAAGTGGCTTGATTATATAACCAGAATCGGAAGCCTATAAGACGGGCAGTAGGGTGCCTAGCCAACGGGCGGATACGAGGCGCTGTAAATCGAATCTCCGGCACCGTGGCATCGAATTAGGCTCTAAAGGACCCAAATTGAGTGTCTAATTGATAGGCACTCGGGTCATGGCGTGATGGCGGAGCTTTCCTTAGTCAGTACGGGAACAAGCAATGGCTGTAAAGAAGTTTACTAGGCATCAATTTTGTAGTAGGTAACTAGTAGAAAGATTTACCATAGATTTTCCGGTATTTATACTCAGCAATCCCTTTTCCTATCCTACTCCAGAACGTCCTCAAAGAATCGTAACTTCCTCCCATTTTGACATCTCCATAATCTTGCGCATTATTCTTGCGCTACCACGACTCTTGCCTACTTCAAAACAACCTATTCTCACAAAGTCCCCTGCTTGATCCACGGACGGCGCCAGAATGATGTAGAACGAACAGCGAATCAAGTTGCGTTTTTCCTCTGCGCCAAATATATCCGGCAAAAGGTTCGATCCTCCATTCTGACTCTCTTTGCTGGACACCTGCTGTTGTTGTTCTTCGGAGAGTTCCTTCAGGCCAGTGTCGTCTTCCCGTAAAGCTTCGAGTCGAGCCTCTGGGTAGTTCATTGTTATAGTTGAGGGCGTTCCGACAATTTCGACAACGTCCTGGGTGCCGAGGAGAAGACATTTGACGGTCATTGATTTGTTGCCGTAGTCGCGAATGGCGCCGAGATGGTCGTCTGGTCGGAATTTGATGGCGTATTTGCCTGCACATGTTACTGTGCACACCTCCTTAGGACCTTTTCCTGTCCGGTCTTTGATATGAACCAGGTTGTGGTTGGCGAAAAGACGTAGATTGCTGACAATGTGACCTCGGATCGTGAGCCTAGCCCGTTCAACTGGCCCGTTAGGTTGAAGTTTGTTCTTCAACTTGATTGCTGCTTGAGTAGCGTTGATCTGGTTCGCGAATGGCGATGGCGGATAACATCTAAAGTATGACACCGGCCCTTGTATTGATGCCCAGCTCCAAGATGGTGCGATATAGGTCTCGGGAGTGCGCCTTTTGTGTTTTGATACCTTCTCTGCGACCCATCGCTCTATTTCTGCGGCATTAGTCGGAAGTTCGGGATCCTCCTTTCCGTCACTGCTTTTGAGCCAGAGTGACTGTGCGTGTCCATCGGAGGGTAGCCAGGCAAGTTCAGCGGCTAAATTACCGCTCCAGAGGCCTGCGAGACACGCATCTGATTCTCCAGCAACTTGCGTCATGAGATTTTGGAATCTTGTGACAAGACCGGAGAGGGCGGCCAGCTTGTCTGACTCCACAGTCAATGATCTTGAAGTGTATTCTGGCACCAGGACTCTCCACTCATCATACAAGCGAGCTTTGTTTGCAAGCATTTTAGCATTAAGCCTTCCACGAGAGGCGCTGGACTGGCGTCTACACTCGCACTCCGTCTTCCGATTGCATTCCCACACCAATTCGTTGGACGTGAAATGAAGAATTCGACGGCTCATAAGCCGCTCCTGTAAAGTCCAAGCGCGAAGATGCAGCGGAGCTTTGTGATCGTAATCCGTGTCGAGGTCTTTGTGAGGCGTCTCCCCACGGAACAGCAGTGGGTACCCCTCGAGTTGTTGGTACTTCAAATTGGCATGGTTCTGGTCCCCAAATATACCATCCCAAACGCTGACACTATCATCAACGCTAAGTGTAAGTGCGGCATCTTCGTAGATATTGCACATTCTACCGGCCTCGCGAGCCCAGTCATCTGCGTCGTCCTGGATGATAGAAAGGCGATCAGCCCAAAGATATTTGATGCCAAGCGCTTGTGTTGCGCGAATAGCATCTCGGATAGTTGGCGGCAGGTCTTCGATGAGTAACCCAGCGTTCTGGTGCTCATGTAGATTTTCTTTCGTGGTTTGAATGCCTTTGGGTGGTGGCCCCCAGCAGTAACTCAGGGCTATGTACTCTCCCGCCAGGTTAGCGGTGTGACAAAGAAATACACGCGTAGAATCAACTCCTTGGACGTCGAGCACTCGGGTCGGGAGAGATCTGACGGAAGCATGATCGCATTCTGGGTGACTCGAACGGCATCCTTGGAGCCAATCTCGGGCAAGTTGAAAGCACTCATCGCTCCCTGAATTTTGATTTACCCGTCTAAAGCTTCGATCCAGCGGGTGGGGAACTGGAGTTGATCCATTAGACACTGGTACAACACGATCGTGCGACCAAGCTACAAACTTGCGTTAGCATAGGCTTTACAATTCCATACAGACGTTCTTACGAAGGCTATCATAGAACTCTAAATGATATTCAATCTCTGGGTTGGAAGCGGATTCAAACTCGCGTAAACTGGCAAGCTTCTTTCTGTCCCTAGGATAAGCAATGGTGTATACGGAACAATTTTGGGCCGGTCGCTTCAATCGTAGTTTGAACTTTTCGCCCTCCGCTAGAGGCCAATTCGCTGCCGGAGGACTTTGATCCAGCCCTTCCCAGACGATAGGAAAGTCCCGCCGTAAAGTCTGTGTTGTTAGCTCGAATTCTAAGAATTCTTCGTCATGAACCCCGTGTTCTGTCGAGACAATCCGACGCGACTGCTCATGAGGCTGGTGCGGTCTACAGTGTAGACTAAGCAACGTATGGGACTTGTCATGGGCGTTTTGTGGATGTGTAATGCATCGTTCGCAGAGATCTATACTCTCGACGCAGTCTAGGCAATGAAAAAATTGACCGTGTATGAGATCCTTGGCTCCCTTGCAGAGTGCACCGTCGCAAAGTAGATTGCGGCGGATATGAGATATCTGGCCAGTGTGATCCGGGACCATAAATTTGAGCTTTAGTACTGGATTGGAGACATTAGGGAATGCAATGGGTATAAAATCTTCTGATGTAAAGGTTTTCTCCCAAAGAGTGAGTGTTTGTGGGATACGTGCAATAGTTGCTTCCATTGATAATATGATATCCTGAATTGATGATAGGCCTAGTTTGTAAGGAAGGATCGAATGTGATTTCCGTGAAGATACAACTATGTAATAATCTTTAGTTAGTTAACTGTTTTGGCTAGCTAGATCTCTTTCCTAGGCAATGGGAATCGTCAACAACTTGCGGTGTCTCGACTGTCACTGAGCTTATGCAGCGAATCTGCTTAATCAACACCCACGCGGAATGCGACACCTTAGCCTTCGGCAGTCGGCACACTCACCGCCCTTTTCGGATGGGTCATCCGGCACAATCTGATATCCAACGCCAGAGATGGAGAACTAAATGGCAAACTCGAAATCAGGCTACGAGAACGATTTGCTACCAGTGCGTACTCTAATCCACCAGCCACATTTCTATGGCAGTCAGCCACATCGACAGGCCTAGGACCATACCATAACAAGCCTTGCCAACATTTCCTCTCCTATACTTCAGCCTGATAGTTATTTCTCCAGATCCTTTTAAGGTTTATCCGATTCAAATTTCCTTACTATACTAAACAGAAATAACCCCTTAAGTCGATGCTCAAGGGCTTGTTACTTCATTCTCTGTTGGCTATCGTTTCGTAGATATTGTTATGCTGGAACTTAAGCGGCCGCTTACCCTACCATGGCTCCTCAGCCCCTTGCACAAAAAGCATCATACAGTTCTAACAAACGCCGCCAATATCAGAGAGGCTCAAGCATAGAGAAGGATCCAAGTGTTCGGCTAGACATTAAGAAGAATGATAAGGTTTGCCTTCCCCATTAGGCCATTTGTAGAGGCGGAATGGCTGTCACAAGCGACAATGGACGTACTCCTCCACCCCAGCCAGCCGCCCAGCCTTCCATGGCTCTGTTTTCCACAAGCGGAAGTTATAGTCCCTAGAGATATAAAGCATACTCTATTGGGCCTTCACGCGCAACACAAGGATATGGTAGGCTGGGAGAGTATGTCCATTGCCGTTTGGTCTTTTCTGCCTCTATAGATGAAAGTAGCTGGATCCCTTATTAGAAGGTCGCTAGCTAACAATTAATGAAGGCAAACACCAGTTGTCGAGTTTGTCATATTCTTGTCAATGTGGTGACTACCAACACTAAGGAGGATTCGAGGCGCCATAATCTTGGGAAGGCTAAACAACTTGCGCATGAGACGTGTCCGATACACATGCCGATATTAAAGACTCTTGGTGATGACTTCTGGAGCAAAGCGGAGGACGCAGACCTTGGGCTATTTGCCAGAAAAACAGAAGATGAAGCAGATAAACTAATCATTTCCTCGGATATCGGGCGGTTCCCCTATTATGCCACAACTTTTACGCGTCTACGCCAGAATTTGCTGGATATCATTGGTCCTGGCAGTGCCCGCCTGCAGTTGCCTCATCCAAGTTGGATCGAAAGGGGACTTTATAAAAAATGGAAGTCCCACTGCGATAAATCCCACCAGCAAAAGAACACGCCTTCTTGCCGTACATCAACTGCTGCCCAATATCTACCGCCTCCAAATCCACGACACTTTGTTGACACCTGGCTCAGATGTCTGACTCCCGCCCCTAGAGGTGCTAAATATCTGACCCTCAGCTACGTCTGGGGCCCAATTCAGTATTTTGCTACCTTGAAACAGAACCTCCCGATGTTACAAATACCTGGAGCTCTTAACGATCCAGCCGTGTGGGACAGAATCCCAAACACAGTCAAAGATGCTATCCAGTTGACAGAGCTCCTTCAAGAAAGGTACCTCTGGACGGACGCGCTTTGCATCGTGCAAGACGATGATGATATGAAGCACGGCCAGATCAACAATATGGCTTCTATCTATGCAAACTCTAACTTAACTATTATTGCTCAAGATGGCGAGCATGCGAATCATGGTCTGCGGGGTCTGCGTGGGATCTCGCAACCCAGGAGGTACGAAAGTGAAGTGTTTCCCCTATCACAGCGAATAAAGTTAGTGAGGTACCGAACATTACCTTTCGCACCGATTTGGGCCAGGAGAGGATGGACCTTCCAGGAAGACATATTTTCCGCTAGAAAGATAACATTCTCGGGTGTAGAGGTTTTTTGGGAATGCGGAACGACCGTGCTATACGAGAACAACTGGAAAAGCGCTATTCTCATATTCAGGTTAAGGTAGGATCCTTGGCGGCTTGGCAATTTTTACTCCACCAACACGCGTCAGAACGCGCTTTTATCAATTATATCAATATCGCGCTTTTATCTAGCCCATAATCATTGCTCTTAGGCTTCAAACATTTGTTGAAATCTTTATTTTCTGCTGTCGTAACGCTGTATGTTTTAATACTATAGTTACAGAACTTGTTGAACTAAATCGCGTCAGGCTCGCGTCGTATCGCATATTCCAAAGCACTATCTCGATCGATGAACAACGAATACGACTCTGGAGAAGAAGCTGCAGTCGAAACTCTGTTAGGAATGGCCCGTAAGCGCGATCAATCAAACCGCAATATCCCGTCATCAAGTCCTCGTCATAGTGAATCCGAATTGAAATCCGATATAGAAACGGATACACCATATTCTCGACGACGTAGACTCAGACGCAGGCAGATGCGAGTCGGTTTCGCGGATCCTCTACATCAAGACACACCAGATAACGTAGTGCAAGCAAGACTAGCACCAGCGGTTGGTCGTCGACCTATAAAAAAGGCAACAAAGTCAAATTCAAAAGGTAGCTCTACTAGTGATAACGGCAGAGCTGCTAGTTCGAAGACTACGAAATCCGCGAAGACCACAACGAGGGCAGGGCCTACGAAGGCTCAGCCTGTAGCAGCAGCGAAGAAACGCAAGCAAACGAAAGCAGTCTCTTTTCCACCATCCACGCCGACTCCTGCCAGGGGGCGTACCTTTATCATTTCGGATAACGACGATAGTAGCGACGGCCAGGATGAGGTAGATTCTACTGATGGTGTTGTTGAGTTACCTCGCAAGCGTCTGAAACGAGGTTCTGTTTTAGCAAATGTCCAAGGGTTTGGTACCGGATCTCAACCTGGGATATCATCGCCTATTGCCAGCCCTGCTGCGAATTCAGCATCTCAATCAACCAATAAGATATACAATCTATTCGGCAAGACTATGAAGATCATCCTCACGCTCATTCCATACCTTGATGGGCTAGCACTTCCGAAGAAAATGACAGCAGCGAGCCTTGCGGATATCAATCGCGAGAAGATTCTGGAGGTTGCGCAATCTATCGCCAAATCACAAGCAATGAAGCGGTTTGAACCTCTCGTCTATCATCATGAGACGAAGGCTTCGTTCTCTGCAGCAAAGATTGATAGCCGAACGAAACCTGTGGTTGAGAACGACATTGATCTTAGTACTGATAACGACGCTAAAGAATTCCGCGCTGTTTTACACTATCAGTATCATGAACTCAACCTACAAAACCTCAAGATTACCATTGAAGTTAAATATGGCACAACTTTCGAGCCATTACCGACTCCAGTCCCTATTCTCAGGCAATCGACAACTGCTGCATCTTCTGGCAGTACCCTATCTTTGGCGCATCCTCTTACTCCGGCGGTACAAGCGATTACCACCGCCAATACAGATAAGAGTGCGCTTGTGACTGAGATTACCCAGCGATGGAAGTGCACGTTGGGTTCACATCGGTGTCCTGCAAGGTCATTATATTGCTGGCCGAACCCACAGGCAGAAAATCGCCATATGGAGATATCTGATCGCATTACTAAGAACTGGGCCGAACTAATCCGCATATCTCCTACTCTTCACAGTATCGAAACACCTCCTGCCCCTATCCAGCAACAGCTTTTTACGTGGGACCAACAGAAACAAGCACAAGAGGCCCGAAATACTTCCAATCAAAGCGGTCTTCCACTGAGACTCTATCATCACAGCCAGGCCCTACCCAGAACTTCAACTTCGGCTTCCCATCTATGGGTATAACGCCCTGGGGTATGCCGCCTACCATACCTATGGCAACTCAATTTCCAGTACCTCCCAGTTCTCCAGTATCATCAGTCGACGGCTTCACGGTCCGGGAGTTTTGTAGGTGGATAGGTCAGGGCCGGCCTGAAGCGCAAAGGGAAGAGTTGATCAAGGCAGGCGAGGACCTTGATAATGAAGGTTATACCATAGGCGATGCGAATCTGGAGGCTCGCAGAAATCCTATCTGTCTTGCTGAGAGGCTGAATATCAAGGATGGTTATCTTAAGAGCATCGGGTCAAAGAAGCTACTCGAACGCTTTAAACGGTCGTTTATTAACCCTCCGGACACTAGAGGGGGTAGCTAGTAAACCATCGTGCCTTTTAAACGGTCTCGGATTTATCTATAAATTAATACCATGAACATTATATCCAGACTTCAGCCACAGCGCTTGATGGTTTGTCCGGTCAGTAAAAGCAATACATGCTGCCTTTAGAAACTCTACAAACGCCGCCTCATAGCCTTCCCTAAACTCTGGAAGCAAATCATCATTCCGCTTCATCCAGCTTTTTAAGACATGGAACGAAGGCTCAATGAGATTTAAGTCTGGCGAGTATGGAGGCAAGTATTTAAGAACAACACCCTTAGCGTCGCATAATTGGCGAATACCCTACTACTTTGTAAGTTTATATGATAGCCAGGCTAAGACAGAAGACCTACCGTAATGCGATGAGTACTGCAGTTATCCATAATCAGAATAGACCGCGGACCAGGGAATGGATTCATTTTCGGCAAAACGCATTCCTGAAGCCATTGTTTAAACATCTCTCCATCCACGGCTGCATTCACGATGAGGGGATCCTCTAGATAGCCATTTATGTCGTATACAGGAAGGAGGCTCCACCGTTCTGTCCTCCGGAGCCATTGAACATCAATTGCTGGTGTACCACGAGGACTGTATCCATATTTGCGAAGGAGAGTCCTCTCGCTGCATGCGGATTCATCTACGAAGACTAACCAGTCCACTGGATAGTCTTGCATTTCAAGATAGCATTCCCCTCGGAGTATTTCATTGCGCTGTGCGGCATGTCGTTGCATGACCTTGCGAGTCATGTTGAGCTCCGCAATACAACGACTGATGGTAGGCTGGCTGACCCAGATAGACCAGTTGTCCCAGAGGAAGTACTGAAGTTCGTCCTGATATATCCCTGGCCGCATTAGAAGCTGTGTCTCGAGATCGACATACATTGCGGGGGTAACAATAGGTCTAGGACCAGGGCGACGCGTCCTTATGGCGTAAATGGTCCCAGTCTCGCTCCATCGCTTCCTTAATCTCGTCATTGTATTCTTGTTTATACTCGTTGCGGCGATTATGTGCATATTGACTTGTCCAGCGTTGAGACGGTACTCTATGTCGCGTAAAGTCGCATCTGAGATCTGAGACCTGGTAGCTGGTAGCTGGAAAGGAGGCATGGCTACCATCTAAATAGATAAGTAGGTGTTTGCTGTCAATAGCTCCTCAAAAATACCTAAATTGATAAAGTAATGAACGTGGTGGTTGCTAGGGCACGCCGTCCTCATAAAGTCTTCATGAAATCTAACCCGATTTAGCCCTAGCGCTCATAAATGCCCTCATAAATACTAGCCGAATTGGGTATAGCATTACCCAAATTTAAGTGCCTGAGGCACCCACATCGGTATTTGTAGATTCTACCCATTCGTATAGCTCTCTCTAACTGTATATAGTCTTGTAATCAACATTTTCATCACTTAAATGACCAAACCATAGCAGGAATGGACGTGTATATACGTAGCTTCAATCCTGAATTCTTCATAAAGAAGGCAGGTTACATGACTTAGCATGATGACTCATCATGCTGAATCATCAACGCACGGGCCCATTACTGCCACCTTTTATGAGATCCCTCCGTAATTCATCATTTAATCCAGATGAGCTCATTTGGACTGCCCTAGTGGTTGCTGCGTTGATATAATTGATGAAATGCGCGTTCTGACGCGTGTTGGTGGAGTAAAAATTGCCAAGCCGCCAAGGATCCTACCTTAACCTGAATATGAGAATATGGCTCGTCCATCGTCACACCGATTGTATTCCGATCTCGTTGGCATTTTCTCAATGCCATTTCCTTCTCTGTACGGATACTTCCGACTTGCAGCAGGATACAATAGCAGAGGATTCTCTTATCCAGAGGACGCCGTCTTTGCGTTTGCTGGCATCACTACGGCGTTGACTCGCATCTTCCCTGGTGGCTTCATTTCTGGCCTTCCGCAAATGTTCTTTGACGTTGCTCTCCTATGGCAACCGGAGCGAGCTGCCACGAGGCGGATAAAACGAAATACCTCAACCAACGCTTATCTCCCAAGCTGATCATGGGTTGGTTGGGAGTCTGAGATCGATTACAGCAACTGCGTTGCCGGCTTCAACTACATAAAGAGATCTGACTACTCTGAAGCTGTGATGGGGACCTCCGAGTGTCACAGCTTCGTTCCGCTGGTGCAGTGGTACATGCATGAGGACTTGACTTCACCACCCCAAATGGTTAGTAGCCTATGGCAGAAATATATCTCAGCCTGTTCAGACATACATTGTATTTTACCAGACGGATGGTCTCGACATGAGTACGAATTTGACAGAGACTTTGAGAACAACAGTGAGGTCTACGAGGAGATATACTCTCCTCCACATGGATGGCTACAGCAACGCTCTTGTCACACGGAGGTCACCTGACTTCAGTGTGTGTTGGGTCACGTGGTTTGTGTTTGCTCGGAGATGTCTATCTCTATCTCTTCACGCTGTATTTTAGATACATCCAATACATCGCTCTTCTCACTGATACGTGATCTTTGCTCGATTGGAGTATTCTCCACAGCTCTTACTTCACTCACCCCTCAGCCCCGGATTCTGAATTTTGGTATCCGATTCCGCTCCGAGACGATGCAAGGTCTACGGAAACCCTGCCTAATGCGCGTTACATCTCTGGCCGTACCGAACGCACCTGGCTATCCAGCGGTAAATCATTTACGTCCACTGATGGACAACGCCACTGTTTGCCCCTGCATGGCACAAATGGTGCAGTCGCTGGCGTTCTCTTTCCGTGCATAAACGGGGCCCGAAAGATCGTTCCTGGTATGCGGATTGAGCTAATTGCGCTGTCAAGGGGCGCTCAGGATGTTAGTGACCAAGACGAAGATGATCTCGAGGAATGGCAGTGCGATCCTTCACTGAAATTTGACGAGATGTATGCCTACTATCATGTTATGTGGATTGAGTGGGACGGCGCTGTTGCATTTCGAAGCGGTACTGGACGTGTTATTGAGGACGTCTGGGGAAGACAACTAAAGGAGTGGATTGATGTTACTATTGGATAGAGAGTAACATAGTGAAAATGCCTGAGTGCTTGAGTGACAGGTCCTGACCTCCAGTCTACCTATCCTACAGCAAATAGCATACTGAGGTTCATTAGACGGTAAATCGAATCTAAGGACGTGCTAGACCCTATATGATTCAGAGCGGCGGATAGCCATGAAGCACTTCTCCAGGGCGTTCAACACTCGCCCTACGCATCCTATATCCGTCGATCGCAGTAGGACTACGCTATACTTTAGATATCTTGAAATTTATTTCGTATTCCCGGATTATTCAGTGACCAATTTAATCAATTTGTAACGATGATCATATCTGAATTCAAGACTTCTGCATACTACTTAGGCGCGGCGACTGTATGTTGAAATACGTAGTCTGGGCTGTTGAAAAACACGTGCAAATACGTCCATTCTTAGGAGTTGTTCTCATTCTTCCTTACCTCAAACACTTTCAATGCTTCCTCTGCAGCCTTCACACCAGAGAGGGCCATGGCTCCAAAGGTCGGACCCATACGGTTTGCGCCATCGATCTCGCTGAGCTCCATTCCGCCAACGATGAGACCAGGGACGACTTCGCGGGTGCCTTTGACGATGGCGTCTTCGGCTACGTTCATGTCAAGGCCGCGCTGTCAAGTGATGTTAGTGTTTGTAAGATCTAGCGCGTGAGGTGGGCAGTGGCCCTACCATTCCACCAAGCTTCTGGATCTGCTGCATGCTGACAAGACGCTTCACCGAAAAGGCTCCAAAAGGGCCATCATGTCCTGTGGTTGAGATGACAACTGGAGCATTGATGGTGTTCGGATCCATACAAGATTGGTCGTCATGATGCATGGTGACAAGTGTCCAATTGGCTGAATGTAGCGTCAACCTTGAAGTTCCCTGGAGTATCCAAACTATAACTTACTAACAACACCCGCAATGCGAATACCTCCTCCACTGGGACGAGTAATGAGATCCTCGACCGCAGTAGCATTGAACAACTTGATGTTCGGGAACTGGATGACCTTTGAGAGCAAAGTCGAAGTGAACAAAGCTGCGTGCTTCACAACGACAAAATCGCCCTCATCTTCATACTCTACACCCACCTCACGCAAGAATGCATCAGCAGGCTTTCGCATGACCATGGCGGAGAAGAGCTGCCCTCCAAGCCAGGCGCCGCCACCTATTGATATTAGCAAAATGACTCAGTTGCAATATTTAAAGACTAGAAAAGTTTCACATACCGGGAGAAACGGAAGCCTCAATTATAGCGACCTTGAGGTCAGGCCTCGTCTTTCCAATCATGTATGCTGCCGACAAGCCACAACTTCCAGCCCCTACAATGACAATATCAGACTCGGCATACGTGTCCAAGTCCTTGAAATAGCGGCGTGTCATCGCGCGCGAGACTTGACTCTCACGAATAGGCGAGAACTTGAAGTCGTCCCATCGTTCCGCTATCTCTTCGACTGTCCTAGTAGGGCCATTCAAGACCTGAACTGGTCCAGTCAGAACAGGTTTCTTATGTGCCAACTCCACGATCTCGGTCGAATGGTCGATCAAGGCGGATGGTGGAGACATTTTGCCGGAACTGTCATTTGGTTAGGGTCTTGTTTGGAAGGTGGAGGGAGCATGATCCTTTCGCTGGTATTATCCAGATCAAGTTTTAAGGCCGTATGTTCTCAGCCTGCATGGGTGGCTCGCCCTATCTGTACACCCTTTGCTCCTGACGAGGGAGAAGGGCGAGAGATAAAGCGAGCGAACCATGCGAGCACCGGCTCACGCTGGACACTTATCTGAACCTTTAAATCTTTGATCAGACGTTGCCTGCGCTGGACTCGCTCCCTTGGAACTTTGAGAATACATTGTGTACTTCTAACTTTGGTCGACTATTCTACCAATACAATTAGCGTCGGCAACTCGAAGATAAATGAGAGAGAGAGGGAGAGGGGATACTCTACTATGTAGGTTCTGTGAGTGTGACTGTCTACCCAAGAGCTTCAGTTGAAATGAGGACAATTGAACTATTAGAAATGGAATGGGTGAGTTTGTTACTTCTACTACTATATATATGCGTTCTATCCCTGATCTGCCCCGCTTTGGCCGACTATATTTAGGTTCCACAGTTTAATATACTAAGAAATCCCAAACTGCTGCATCCCTGTCCATATGAATCTTCCCAGAAAATTTCCGCGGCTGTTGCTGCCAACTCCAACGTCCCAGTCTTGAACCTTCCAGGAAGCCAGGAGACCGCAGCCGGAGAGCAAAGAAAAGGCAATATGGCCAATGGAGAAGGTTTCAAATCCCTGGCGGAACAGGTCGCAGAACTGGAAGGAAACCCTTTACCAGGTACGACATGGAGTCTCGTCTCACATTATTTTGCTCACTATCATGAATAGAATATGACCCCGAAAATATCGAGCAATACGACAGTGACGATTCGTCTCCCGGTGGGAAGGATGATTCGCTCGCCAGGGAGCATTACGAAGCAGTCGGGTACGAGAATGTCATTTCATGGGCAGCATTTCCAGCTCTCTGACCGTTCACAGCAAAAGTAAATTACGAAAGCGCGAGATCGCAACGCTCGGTCCACAGTATGCGGGATCACGCATAACGCGGGATACGATCGAGGAGGAGGACGACGATTCGGATGATCCGTTTGCCAAAGGACGGTTTGACAGCAACAGCGACAGCGACAGCGAGCCCGAGAATCTGGGGCCCGCCACCCGCCGAACCGCGACGAATAGCGTGAAGGATGCTGGATCGGATTCGCAGGAGGAGGACGATGAGGATATGGAGGAGAGATCGGACGGTAGTGAAGCGGGCGCGCAATCCGATTCCGAAGACCTCGAATCCGACGACGAGGATGATGATCAAAGCATGGACGATGCGACGATGGACGGCCCGGCCACCGATGGGGCAGATCGCGCCGAATTGCGGAGGATCATGGGCGAGGAGCAGAAGCAGGTCACGGCGGCCATCAATGAAGCCGCGAAGGGAGATGTTGCCAAAGGACTGGCCGTTCAATCGCAGCGACAAACGTTCGATACGCTGTTGAATACCCGCATGCGGTTGCAAAAGGCTTTGATCAGCACGAACTCTTTAGCGCCGTCAGGCCTTCCCGAGGACTCTAAAGAATCTCTCCTCGAGCAAGAGGACGCCGTCCGTTCAGCCGAGACGGCCGCGCTGAGCCTTTGGACCGCCCTGAACGAATTGCGGAACGCGCTATCTACAACCGACAACGCCACGAGGAACGGAGCCCCTGCAAAAGCCGTCGACCTAGACGATGCCGCGTCCATGTGGTCCACTATGAGCCATCACGAATCACTGGCCGTTGGCCAGCGCAAAGCAACCCTTCAGAAATGGTCCCATAAAACCCGCAGCATCGCCCCCGCCAACGCCTCGCGATCGAAGTTCTCCTCGAACCACCGGGAAACCACCCTGCTCGATACTCTCCAGTCGCACATCACCGATCCCTCACGCCTGGCGCGGACCCGCGTCCCGCGCTCCTGCGCCCCCGTTCAAGCATCCAAAGGCATCGAAGCCACCTCCGACGTCTACGACGACGCGGACTTCTACTCCACGCTCCTCCAAGAGCTGCTCTCGCGCCGTGGGGCCGCAATGGATTTTGACCCTGGGACGTTCTCGGCGATGAAGCGGTCGAGCAGCACGAAGGTGAATAAGCGGGACGTGGACCGGAAAGCGAGCCGAGGGCGGAAGCTGAAGTATACGGTGCATGAGAAGTTGGTGAGCTTCATGGCACCGGATGCGAGGGGGAGTTGGGGGGAGAGGAGGAGTCGGGAGTTGTTTGGGGGGTTGTTTGGGCAGAGGTTGGGGTTGGACGAGGCGGAGGAGGAGCAGGAGGAGGGAGAGGAGAGCGACGGGTTGGATGCATTGGAAGAAGGACTGCGGTTGTTCCGAAGTTGAACACTACTACTCCATTACCCTCGTATCATCAATACCATTTGCCTGGAAAAACACTACGTTGGTCTCCCCATTTCCTCACAGTTCCCAACCATGAAGCCTGGTAACGCCAAAACAATAACCCGAGCATCGATCCACTTATTCCCAATCCTCGTCGCTGTCCTCATCCTTCGCAGCAGGCTTGGCCAGTCCACCATCTTTCTCCTTCTCCGAGCTGGGGCTGGGTGGGCCAGCCGCCGAGGGAGCACGAGATACGAGGTCATAGCTCGCGTCGCTGTCAGCCTGAGAATGTTGGTCTGGAGAGCGACGCGTATTGGAACTGTGTGCTCGAGGTGGCTGCAGCGTTGTTGTTGAGCTGCTTGGGTCAGTGTGTGAATCCTTCTTGATCGCCTCGGGTTCATCGTCACTCTCGGAGTCCCAAGCCATGTCGTTGTCGGAGGATACTGCGCCTGTGACATTGTGAGCTCCTGTTATCCCAACGCGGGTTTTGCCAATCATACCTTTGAGGAGTTCCTTGCGACGATCTTCCTCCGTCTGCACCACGTTTCGGAGATAATAATACCGGCTCCAGAAGGTGGCATAATCCACTCGTTCGGGTACGCATGCCTCCATCGCCTTCCTGAGCTCGGGATAAGCGTCGAGATCATTCGCGATGTCCTCGGTCTTCTCATCGACCTTAAAACTTCCGATCCACTCATCGTACGCCTCCTCTGCCGGATTTTCCAAGAACGAGTCTAACTTAGTATGGATGGAATGCAACCGCGCCTCGAGTCTCGTAGCATGGAAAACCCGCCGGCTTTCCTCTTCCATGTTATCGAACAGGACATCCTTTGCCTTCTTCCGCTCTTGCCCGTCGGTCCCGTCCTCCTCGGGCGCCGCAATTGTAACTGCTTCCTTCAAGAAATCCCGAACGCTCGAACCAAAATTTAGGATCGCCTCGTCGGCTCGGTCTTCGGCGCGCTCGATGTCTTTCATGCGCTTGCTCGCTTCGACGCGAAACCGTGCGAGCATCGACTCCGCCTCGTGAAGAATGTCGGCGGGCAATGAATCGGGTCGTTCGGAGGTTTCTGTACCACCGGAGGCTTCTGTATCCCGAGTCACTGTAGTAGTATCTGCGGAGGAGGAAGCAGTGGTGGGAGGAACTGTTCCCGGGGCTTCTCCAGCGGGGCCGGCGGGTTCGCCAGGCGGCAATTCGGATTGTACTTGGGATAATGCTGTTGTTTTACTAATGAGCGCGTTGATCCCGTTGGTCGCTTGGGTGCTGGCAGCACCCAAATCTTTCCTTGCGTCTTCATAGTAGCTTTCTCCCTGGTGTCCGCTCGTCAGCCATTGTAGGGGACATACGTCATGGCCTAATATCGCAACTATTCCGGACCATCAATAGAAGCTAGAAATAGTCGGCTTACCTGCTTGCGGACATTACCGAGAAAGCCACCAATCCTTGAGCCCCATGGGCTGCTAGAAAACGCCTTGTATGCCTCTTGGAACTCGGTGTTCAATCCAGCTGGCTTGGATTCCTCGGCGGGAGCTTCTTCCCGTTCGTGGTCCGGCAGGTTTTCTTCCTGGATATGATCGTATGCGATATCCATTGTCACGGATCGGCTGAGACCAAGATGCTAATGATTCAAAAGGAGGACAGATGGGGATGTCGCATGTTGTCTATAAATGGTGGTTAAGATATATTGGCATTAATACGTGAGAGCTGCAGCTGACAGTATGAGGTGAGGTTGACGCACGGTGGACTATTCACACCAACAGCGTCATCCGTTACATTTAACTTTGTGACGACCATCGATCAAACAGTTCTCCAGCTTCCACACTTTTGAAGGTTGAGGTAACCTATGCTTAGCGTACACCATTGGATTGGCACTATCCATTTTCCCATCCATGTATGTGAGAATGGCTTTCGTCTAATGGTAAATCGTCCATAGAAACCAACGACTGAGCTTGGCACCTTAACGGCGGAGACGAGGTCTGTGTTGGAAGCACTGATGTGGACCATCTAAATAAGAGCATGGGATCCTGACCTCGGAACAAGGTACCGGTATTGACAATATCATGGAAAGCTGTACTATAGTGTATTTCCAACTATCAGCACGGAACGCTCAAAGGCGATTGGAAAAGAAGAAGCCCGGTTGGCCTGGAGAGCCCGCCCATCACAATAGTTCCAGGGGCACATCCTCCTGAAACGAAATCTATATACGATGGTATTATATATGTTGGTGCCGTCTATTACTATTTTGGACCCATACTGTTCCGCTCAAAATTTGACCTGGAACCTTGGACTCGTCCGTATCCGTTCTCCATATGCGAAGAAGAACCAGGTCAGAGGAACCATCGCCAAGGTAACAAACCCGAGGAGTGAGCTTCCCCACCCAAGGCCAAGAGCCTTAAACATTGGCGGTCCGGCGAGCGGCAAAAACGCGCCTCCGAGGGAACGGAAGACGGTATTCGCAGCAGTGGCGCTCGCCGCATGGGTGGTGAACGCGTCGACGAGATATGTGCTGACGGTCATCATCACCGCGATCATACCCACGCCAACGAAGCCGGTGCCTACGATAGGCATTATCCAATGGATTTCCTTCTCAATGGACCAACCGTACCAGAACAGTCCGACTGGAACAAAGGCAGCGCCTGGAATAAGAGGGGGGATGCGATATTCGGGTTTGAGCACACCCCCTTTTGCAAGCCGCTTCAGCAAGAGGTCCGAAGCGGCACCAAAAAAGAAAAGTCCAATCAGACTACCGACGCCAATCCCTAGGAATGCGAGGCCGACGGAACCCTGAGAGAAATGGTACACGTTCTCAAACGTGGTCGAAATTGTGGTGAATAGGAGGTAGAGGATCCCATAGATGACTGCGGTGTAGGCGGAGAAAATGAATACGATCGGGGAGAGGAAGAGCATCCGCAGAGGTCGGATGATGGACAACATGAACACTTCGCGTGGAGCACGGCCATCATCCAGGGCGGATCGCAACTGTTCGTTCCCGGTTTCCTTCCTCATTTTTTGGACTTTTTGGGCGAGAAGGACCGGCGGATATGATTCACGGAGGAAGATACCGCTAAGTACCATGGAAACGCCGCCCTTTGCATGTCGTCAGCATTTCCCCAACTCGACCGCAACCGTCAGAATGGTGTTATGCTTACTGCGATGGCCAGAACCCAAAACACCCATCTCCATCCAATGCTTTGGGTGAGATAACCTCCAGCGACGGGGCCAATCACTGGGCCTAACAATGGGCCCATCGCCCATATGGCCATGAACTTCCCTCTTTTCTCCTGCACGATCAAATCCGCCATCGTTCCCGCACCAATGGTCAGCGGGCAACTGCCGAAAACCCCCGCGAAGAATCGCAGGGCCAATAACGTCCCCATGTTTTTGGACAACGCACAACCAACATTGAATGCAACGAAGCCGAAATTGCAGCAGTGGTACAGTGGAGATCTTCCATATAGTTCGGAGAGGGGGGCGATGAGCAGGGGACCGCACGCGTAACCAAGAATGAAAATCGAAACGGTGAAGGACCCAAGGATTGACGACTGGCTGCCGAAGGCACGCATCACGTCGGGAATTCCGGGCGCGAACATACTCGACGCGAGGGGTCTGAGGCCATTAGTCAAGAAACTCAGCAGGGCGACAGGCGGACGTACGTGAGAAATGTGATGAATGCGACGAGAACAACAATCGGTCCCTTGCGCTTCCATGTCCAGTTCTGGGGATGTTCTGGATCCCCTTCTCCTAACCAGTCAATGACGTTTGGATCGCGGGATTCCGAAGTCTCGCAACCCTCCACCGGTATCTGCTTCTCAACATCTCCGGTTCCATTGCGGTCTTCGACAGAAGAGTTCTCCTCGGTGCGATTTTCTTGTAAATCTCTCAACTCGCCTGCTAGCTTGTCGACTGTGTGCTCTGACACAGCTTGCGAATCGTTTGTTTTGGTATCCGCCATCTTGTCAACTAGTGGGACTGATTCCCAGGTATGGAACAATCTAAGTCTCAAATGGATGAATCGTCGGAGGTATGGGGGTAGGTATTGACGGGATATCGATCCACCGGGGAGATAACAGAATGGAAATTGTGCTTCCCCGCATCCAATTCTCCTTCGCTCTCTAAAGAATATAATGTCACGATCAAGAGCCACCTAGAAAAGTTCCATGATTGTACTGAAGTTGTAGAATGAAAGGACAGAAGTCCGCTTTATGTCGGGGAGAGTCCAGCGCTCGTAGGGGGTGCACAGGTACAGAATCGATATAAACGCAATTGATAAATGAAGAACACGCCATCCCAGGTCTTAAGTTAAGATTCAAGCCACTTGCATAGTTCACCGAAGCGGCTCTTCGGCACCGATACGCGAGGGGGCGCCTATAAAGCTTGCACAATTAAGACTCCGATATCTCTTCACAATCCTCTACATCCGCTCTAGAGTTAATGCATCAAGAGTTCAAGACCCACCACCAGGCTGGAATCCAGGGATCAGGACCCGTTGGAGAAAAGCTTAGACAAAGAAAGACCCTGAAAGAGGGGAAATGCAGAATACTACAGGCTACAGCTTGCTGACTGCACAAGAGACCGGAACTATGTCGCCGACGCTTAACCTAGCGACTAGCGAGGTGCCGAAAGATGTGGCCTGTGGGGAAATAAAGCGAGACTACCAGAAATGAGGAAGCTCAGAAGCGAGCCCAAGTTCCAGCTTTAGTAATTCCAAAAAACCGGCACCCCCAGTTGCGGAAAAACTTCGACATGTCCAGATTCAAACTGGCGGAGAGTCGGACGGTCGGCATAATAATACATCCTGGAAGAGTTGGGATGTTCACTGACAGGATTCAGACGCTGCCTTGCATCCCCACTCCCCGACCTATGAAGACCGAAGATATACGCTATCCCATTTCACGACGTAATTTGCGAGGTGTGATTGGCAGCCCATAAATTGATCCAAACAGATGCTCTCCAGTCCGAAGGATCCTGTATAGGGCTGCATCTTATTCGATAAATCCTGCTTCCTTCTCCTCCCTCCTGACGACCGTTTGTTTCTCCAAACTACTAGCACGTCTCCTAGACCTCCGAATGATGCGCCGTCGTGTGTAGGCGTGCGGCAGAACATGGGCATGCGGAAACCACACACAAAATCCAGGACGGGATGTTTGCAATGTAAGAAACGCAGGATAAAGGTGAGACTTCCGTTCTTCTCTTTGTACCCTTGCGTTGATCATTGGTTGGTGGCACGTTCGTATCGAGGTCGTGGTACTGTGTCCGATATCCCGTACGGCGTACTCGTGTAACGCTACCTGCGAGCTGCCAACGCCATATATCAAGACGTGTCCTTTATGTTCTCTTCCAAATCGATCCAACACGATTTCACCTAAGGGATGGTAGTAGATTGATTTCAGTCGCGCGCGGCACGTCATGTGGATTCAGATAGACGGAGATCATTGGATGCATCGCTCAGCGGCTTACGGTTCACATAGTGCGACGAGAAGAAGCCGTCCTGCAGCAATTGCGACAGAAACCTCGAACGTTGTAGCCTCACCTTCATCTATTCCAGTCGTCAAGCTGCGGCGGCCCGCCCCACACCGATCTCCAGAACCAGCCATGGTGCCGCCATCAGCCCGCTCTCTTCATATGGGAGCGACGCGGCTGGGTCCTCCGATGTCGTTACGCAGGGTCACTTCCTCCCGCAGTTCTCCGTTCGCGACATGGAGCTTCTCTTCCACTTCACCAGCTCCACCTCCAAGACCCTCTCCCTGAGACGGCCGATGCAGAAGATCTACGGGACAGTGTTTCCGCGCCTGGCGTTCTCCAACCCGTTCCTCCTTCGTGCCATCCTCGCCGTGTCGGCGCTACATATGGCACGAAAAGCTCCGCCGGAGAAAGCGGAGGAGCTGCTCCGGATAGCAAGCGAGCACCAGAATATAGGACTGGCGAGCTACCGCGTCGCCATCGGTGACATCAATCAACACAGTTGCGACGCCCTGTTTGCATTCGCTCTACTGCTGTTCGTCCATGTCTGCGCGGCTTCAGACCTCCCCGACTCCGGCCAGGAGGACATTCCAGAATCCCACCCGAATAGCGCCGGCGGAAGCGTCGTCGGGACGCCTCCCACTTCTGCGTCCGGCACGACCGATCAACCTCTTGGCGTCGAGTGGATTCGGATGGCTCGTGGTGTACGAGTGCTGTTGGAGCCCGGAAAGCAGTGGCTAATGCGCGGCCAACTCTCCATGTTTTTCAACATGCACCAGTGGAAGGACGAGATGTCCGACATCGACGACGAGATGCGCGACGACGACGAACACTTGAAGTCCCTGGCCAAGCTCTGGGACTCGTTCGCGGAGGACCCGGATCGGGAGGAGGACGTAAGAGCATTGAATGATGCCATTTTCCAGCTCCGGTTGGCACACCAACGAATTTGGATCGCGTTGCGAGCCGTTCCGCCTGACGCCTCCATCTCTCGTATAAAGGGGGAAGATGCAGCGTCCGCGGAAGCAGCAGGCTTTACGTGGCTGTACATGCTTCCTGAGCGCTACGTGGCGCTCATAGAAGAGAAATGCCCTGAATCTCTCATCATATTAGCACATTTTGCCGTTCTACTAGGGAAGATCCCTCATCTGTGGTGGTCGGAGCGGAGGTCTACAGCTTTGGCTCTAAAAGTTAAGATTATTATGGAGCCCAGATGGTGGCCATGGTTGGAGTGGCCCATGTCGAGGCTGAGCTTATAACACTACTTAGATAATATGCTTTCAGGAGTCGAAGATGTATCGACCAGTCGAACCAGTTGCCGAGCATGTATCCATGCGAAAGGGGACGATCTCACGCAAGACATGCAACGGGTCGTTGGTGACGTTTTAGGTATTGCACGGGGCACGCTCGTTGACTATCAATAGCCATGCTCCCGCTGGCACATTCGAGTACTACTAGAATTGTTACGCGCAAAATGATCGGGGCGGTTCGGTTAGGCCTGATTAATGGATGGCCCTTCTCAATGGTGGCGATTCAACCAACCTATTACCTATTCGTGAATCGTGACGTCTCGATTCCTAAAGCCAGTCAAAATGGAGAGGTATTGCGATATATCTTTCAAACGTTATCCCCCAACAATGTCCGATCGGCCAATGACCTGTACGATCAAATTTAATAGATTTGATATAGATGTAGACGTAATATAGATATAGGTATCAATATCATGAGAGGTCTCATCAGGAGATCCGAATTTATCAAAGTCAATTTATCTTTATCCCAAGGATTGCCAAAATACTCGGGTCCAATTGCTCAGTCCTGCGGGCGACAGGAAGAAAACACAACCCTATGTTCCCCACGTCTCCTTTATCAAGTCTGCCGCCTTCTCAGCAATCGCATAAACCGAGCTCATGATGTTACCCTGCACATGTAGGGGCATGATACTGGCATCTACAACTCTCAACCCCTTGGTGCCATACACGCGCAGCGAAGTATCCACAACACCGCCTTCGCTCTCGGGTGCCATTTGGCACGTTCCAATCGGATGGTATACGGTTGAGTAGGCCTTCTTGACATATTCCCGAGCCTCCTCGACCGTCTTGGGCTTCGTTGGGAATACTCGGTTCCAGACCTTTTCGCTTCCCGGGGCACCCACATCGGCTAGGTTCGCCGCGATCGGATTGTTGGTTTCGACGGCTTGGATCATCCGAAGAACGGAATGGGCAAGCACTTCGGTATCCATATCGTTGGTGAAATAGCCTGGGTCAACGGTCGGTGCGTCGTGGGTTAACGCGGACCGGATATGGACACTGCCTCGACTGAAAGGATGAGTGTTGCAAACAAGCATGGAGAAGCCGGAGAAAGGCAGCTCGTTGATGTAAAGTCGGCTGCAATGGTTACGATCCCGGATATCTACGGCCGAGTCGATGTAAATGACCTGAAGAGCAGCCTCTGTAGGATCACCAAGCTGTCTTTCCATGATGCGGAGATGCTTCTGAGGGGGAACTGCGGAGCCGGGGGTTATGGTCCGGGAGAGTGTTTGAATACACTGCTCCGCATTCTCGGATCCGGAAGGTTGGAACGCGAAGTGCCATGGGGCGTATACCGTCGCGCTGACCGTCCCGGACAGTGGGCCTTGACGAGCGGTGAGGTATGCAGTCATGAGCTGCTGCGCTATGGCGGGATCCTTCACAACGTCTCCAGTTACCACGCCTGGTTTGGTTTCCTGGGAATACGTTAGTAATCTGATTGTCTCGCATCGATCAGACTGCTGGATATACCCAGGAAACAAAAACATTGCAATGATCCTGAAGATTCTCCCCCACGTTGGGGTTATCCACCAAGCACTCGATCTCATGCTTATGAAGGAGTTCACGCTTGCCAATTCCGCTGGCTTCGAGGATCTGGGGGCTCTGTACTGTGCCACCACACACGATGACCTCCTTCTTCACCTTGATGGTATAGGGTTTGCCGCCGGATGTGAACGAAACACCGGTTGCTCGGACCTCGCCGTCAATGTTCTTTTCGAGGAGAACTTTCTCTGCCAGCGCTTCCGTCACCACGGAAAAGTTGGGCCGATCTTTATTCGGAAGCCAGTAACCGGTGGCCGCATAGCTTCGCTCTTTCGTTTTCGGATCGATAGCCGTCAATTGATTGAACCCTCCAAGGGCACTGCCTTTCCTTGGATCATTTGGGGCCGGGAGCCCGAGTTTTTGGGCCATGGTCGGCAAGTCCCTCTTCAACCAATCGATCTCCATGTCTACGTGGCCAACCTGGATCGGCCCCGAGTCCCCTCGCAGCTTTGGATCCAAATATTCAACCTGGAGTTCCTTTGCAAGTTTTTCTGAAGGCGGATAGAACGTCTCGAATTTACGGAAGTACTTTTGCATGTCATCCCACCCCCAAGATGGGTTGCCAAGTTCAACCCAGTTGTCCAAATCTTGCTTAGAGGGATTCCCAACCATTTGCAAATTGATCATGCTACTGCCACCCAGGCCTTTGCCGCGAGGCCAACCAATGGCGGTGCCATCTGCTGCTTTCTGATAGGGTCAGTACGGAACGCATGCCGCATTTTTGAAGACATCTCTCCACGACGTACTTGAGGAACCGTTTGAAAATTCCAGTCAAAGGCTGGGTTGTCAAACATTTTCATGGCCAGCAGCGGCGTATAAACGAGAGGGTCTTTGGTATTGTCTTTTCCGGCTTCAATTACAGCGACACTCCATTCCGGATTCTCGGACAGACGAGCAGCAACTGTAAGCCCAGCAGTGCCTCCACCGACAATCACGAAGTCAAACTCCGTGGACGTAAGTTCGTCAGGGGACATGGTTAGGGACTGACAAAGATAAACTTGCTAAAGGATGGACTAGGATTGTAATTGTGAGGAGGACTGAGTAATTGAGAGGGGGACTGAGTAATTGAGAGGAGGACTGAGTAATTGAGAGGAGGACTGAGTAATTGAAAAAGAGACTGAGTAATTTAGAGGGAGGCTAGGTTATTGAGGGGAGGACTGAGTAATTCAGAGGAGGACTGAGTAATTAAGAGGACTGAGCAACTGAGAGGAGGACTGAGCGAACCAGGAGTAGAAAAGGTAGATTTGGGGAGGCGTACTTTATAATCGGGCAATGTGAGGATCCAGAAATATAAAACAGCCCATATGGCTTGGAGGGACCCTCGTCCAAAGTAGCGCTTATTTCGATCCTGATGGTAATGGCCAACATTAGCCTTGACTAGTTGTATAGCAATGTCTCTTCCTTGAACTACAAATGATCGATCACGATCCTTAGGGGATTCACTTACCAACTTACCTATCGTAGACCAGCTCGCGACGAAGGGTAGAGGCCAGTTCCATGTCTACCGCAAGGTCTAAAAGTATTTGAGAATCGATGGAGTAGAACGAAACAAACCAATTTCAAAAACAACTAAAATAGGACTCCCTATAACTATTAGATACTCGGTTAAACCAGACACCGCACTGTATACCGGAAGGAGAGTAATGCTATTAAGCGGATTTGTTAGAGTATCGTTGTCTGATGAACTAATCAAGTTTAGCTCTACTACCGTCTACGGTTCTCAAAATCCCGCCAGATCGGTACCATGCGCATCTTCCTCTTACCAGGGACCACTTCTCGATTTTGGCGAAATGCTTGCCATATGCCGGATCGGGAATGGTCAAACTCAAACACGTCCCTAGTCTATCATTCTGTAGCCTCAAGCCTGTATCGTAGTGGAGAGCAGCTTACGCCATACGGTAAGGCTTAGAAATAGGAGCAGAAAAAAGATATTCTTAAGTCATAGCCCGGTAAGCCCATAGCCCATAGGTGAGGTGACCATGAGATGGAAAGGTCAGAGTTCATTGCATGTGAGAGAGGCGCAAGAGATGGGAGAAGGTGACAAGGTGTGATACACAGAGTTCTAGAAACCGTATAGAACGCTGTATGAGGGAAAGTCGATGATGATTGTAACTATATACGGAGAAGGCTGTCTGTTTTAGGTCCAGGAGAGCATCCACGTGACCATGGAATACTTGTCCATTACCGCACAAAAATGACTTCAATTGGTCTAACCATATTGGTACTAGCTCTATATCCCGGTCATGTTCCAAGTTCAAAATCAACTCGCTGCAAAGCTTCAATTGATATTGCAAATGCTCGAATTACCCGAAACACGATCCATTATCCAAAGACCTCGAACTTATCTGCCTATTCCGTCTCTACACTAGCGATTTGTTGCACGCCATTTGCGGATTTGCCCACCAACAACCTGTCCGCCGGAAATGCCCCCCACTGATTCCAGCTCCTCCACCGCCCCCCCCACCCCCTCCCTCTCCTCCCTCCTCGACCTCGCCATCTCTCTCACCCTCCACTCATGGCCCGCCCTCACTCTTGCTGTCCAGCACTCCCTCGGCGGCCCCGACAGCGCCGAGAAGCGTGACTTCCTAGCCGCGACCCTCTCAGAGCTACTATTAGCGAATCCCAGCATGGACGAGGAAGACGTCGAGGACGTGCTGCTGCAGTACCTCACCGACGAGTTTGAGATCGAGCTGGAGGATAATAGCGAGGTGGACGTCGCGTATCGGGTGGTGGCGTGGCGAGGGAAGTTGGTCGCGGGGGAGGGGGGGGCGGTGGAAGAGCTGGAGGCGGGGTATCGGGCGTGGAAGGAGAGGGGCGGGCAGAAGATCGTGGTGCATAGGGGTGCCGATGATGAGGAGAGTGAGGGCAGTGAGGAGGATGATGCGATGGATGTGGATGATCAGGAGGCTCCGGAACTCGTTCGCACGAAGCCGGTGCCGGAGGTGGATGAGGAGGGGTTCACGAAAGTCGTAGGGAAGAAAAGACGATGAAACTACTTGATACGACGTGGCACGTTGCTCTCACGGATGGAGGGAAGGCATCAATTGCAATGTTTTCTCCATAGTGGAGTTGGAGCATGAAGCTGGATCCGTTAGTCCGTCTAGCTGGATCTCCATTTCGAGGCCGATCTTCAACGGGCGACAACCGGCATAAAAGGATCAATCCAGGCACGGCTCACGAAGCAGCATGGTTAAACTATCTGTGGAGGAGCTCGTTCCAATCCACGCTTGAAACACTATACATTTGTCATGTCGAAGTTACGGAGCCATCCTTTGGTCGGCAAGGAGTGCTGGACCGCATATATTTGTTATGCAGACTATCGTACAGCGGATCGGGATCTGGCCGACGTCCCGAGTCTTCCACCGCCGCTTGGATAGGCCATCCGCCATCATGTCTGCCGTTTAAATGCAATATCTGGCTGCCACAATGCAAGCCAACCGGCTAGTCGAGATGGACCTGGCGACGTCCATCATTTCATGTTCCATTCCGTCTTACTCATAGTCGTTTTAAAGCAACGTGCCTATCATGAGCCCTAGAGTTCCATTTCCAATCGGAGTGATGATCTATGGTCGATCAACAAACATCTCCCAGTCCACAAACTCCGGATACGGATACACGGGTGCATATACCCTCGCATCGAGATCCGAAGCCGCCGGAGCTGCGCCCCGTAATGGATGATTGGCGGACGTCCCGTCCTGCCCGTGAAAATCGCCCAAATTGTGTCCAAAATCGGAAAATCCTGCCGTCATGTTCCCGTGCAGTGGCGGTTCGGCCATGAGGGTGTCCAGTTGATTGGAAGGCATGTCCATGAATGACGATGACACCGCCGGCATGGATGATCGGCCGGCGGTTTGCTGGAACGCCATGTTGCTTCGTTCGTGGAGAAGATGGGAGAGGGATGTGGAGGGAGCCGGATGATGTTGGTGAAAGGTGTTGCTCGGAAAATTTGGATCGCTTGGCTCCGGATTCGGTCGAAAGGGGATGAAATTCAGTGGACGTGGCATCAGAATCGTCGAGGAGGCGCCGGGAGCAATGGACGGCGGCATGGTTTCGAACTCAAACGCGTTCGACGCGGACGAATCCCGAGGGACGAAGCCAGTTTCGGGAATCTTCGCGAAAATCGGCTGTCCGTTCGTCAGCAAGGCTACCAACAATCACAAATGCACTGCACATACCTCCAAGCATTCAACGCAGCGACTTGCCGTCAACCCACAACCGCCCTTCATCTTGACCAGGATATTCCGCCCGCGTTCGGCGAAATCAAAGGTATCCTTGGCGGACGGATCGTGGCCGTTGGTCAATACGAACATGAGCAGGCACGCGACGGCGAAGAATGTGATATAGACCGTGAACCAATAACATCCCACTAGCAACTTACGGTCTTCCAGGGCTTGGACGAGCCATATGGCCTGCATGGCGGCCTTGGTGCACGCCGAAGCGCATGCGAACGCGCGGAGGTCGAAGTTGGGGTCGTTTCGGGACTTGGAGATATGATGAAGGAAGGGTCGATACAGCACCATCTGTACATGCGCGTAGGCGAGTCGCAGGAGCAGCTGTTGCTTGACGTGCTCGATGGGGACGTCTTGGAGCGCTCCACAGGGATACGATGGGAGTTCGGAAAACCACGCATCCAGCTCGGCTTCGACGGCAACGATTTTGGCGTAGTCGACTTTATATGGCCCTGGGCCAGGGACGGCCTGCATAGCTGCTGCTTGAGGCCGATGTCCGGAATGTACCGTCTTCACCACACGACTCATAATCCTCAAGAGTCGGACATGTGCGTTCAACGCCGTCATGGAAGAAAAGCGAGGATGATCTTGCATGGGTTGTATGGCACCACTCTCTGTGAGAAACTCATCATCGACATTGCCCGGGAGCTCTTGGTCGATATCGTCGTCGTTCAATGTGCGCGGTAACCCTAAGATGGTCGTCACGTACGTATCCATCGTCCGAATGACCCAGAAAATGCGCTTCCGAACTTCGCGGTCGATCGAACCGAACCGTTGAGACGTGGCCGAGCGATGGAGTCCCATGCGCGTGGCGGAAGACAATGCGATGCAGATATGGGTGTAGCAGTGGGAGATCATGGCCGAAGACTGCAGGTAAATGACGAAGCAGACAAGAGCTTGAAGTGACATGATATCCCGGATATCAGTGACATCAATCAGCGATTGACCAGCCCGGTAGTACAACTCACTATATGACTGTCAGTGCGCGTCGGATAAGGGGATTTGTTACCATACGCTTGCGATGTCTGCACATGACCTTTTCCACTGCCGGGTTCAACTACATCTGCTGAGAAGAGTTCGCCGACCGCCAAAACCCCCAGCAACAGTGCTAGGAAGCGTGGTTCGTTGCCCTCGACATTTGAATTCTCGACCGGGTAATACTCCTCGAATTGGTTCTGGAAGGTTGGCCGATGAATGAATTGAAGGAGGGGGAAGGCGCATTCGAACGCTATATCGACGAGCTTCTCCGCCCGCTTCATCGGTGGAAGAACATGGGTTTTTGGCTCTGGTGGATTCGCTGGAGACGGCGAGGCAAAAGGCTGGAAGGGCTGGGGAATGGGAGACCCGTCGTCATCAATCAGTACATCACTGACTCCAGTCCCTTCACTGATCAAATCATTGCAGCGCTCGCGGATGCGTTGAAGGAGGATCAGGCCTGCGAAGTTCCCATTGTAGTCGCAATTTCCCGAGTCGTCGATGTTCAAATGGCCCGTTCCATCGACCATAGTTTCGAGGAAAGTGTTGGGAGGAACAGCATTGCTGCCGAAGCTCTGGGCACTCCTCTCGGGCCCCTCCGATTTGACCCGTTTCCCCGGCCTTACGAGCTCGAGGATGTCGCTGGATAGCTCGTCATCTGCAATGGCCTTCTCCAAGTCGACATGTGGGGACACCACGCGCACCAACGCTGTCAACCTCTCGACCGTTCTTTCAAGCTCTTGAATATACTTCAAGTCCCGTCTTTTTGACACTCGAGGGCTGTCAAAGCTGCATTCTGCGATCGAACATCATCAATACAACAGACTGGCCTAGGAAAAACAACGCTTGCCAGTAATGAGGAACATTACGTACCAAGTTGATGCAGGTTACATGCTGCGCAAGGCAGCTGACCGTCGCATTTTGCCTTTCTAATACGGCAGTTGTCGCAGGCTCGAAGCACACGTTTGAGACGCGGCCTCGTACTGGACGACTTCGCCTCAGGGGCAGAGGACATGGCAGTTGTCCCCCGCAACCTATTCCTAGGGAACTCCAAGAGAGGACACGAGGAAAGCCGGCTGTTGCACGGAACAGACTCGCGTCATGTCTATCGGATGGCGAACGCTGTTCCCTTAGTACATGAAAACGCTTGGGGCCGTTCTCGAGTATCGAATGTCGGTGGATCCTTGGAATGGCGTTTCATCTGAGGAAGATAAGTCCTCCACTGAAATGGTAGTCGGAGTGCTTCATCCACTCACCCAAGATGCCAACATGGGGTCAGATATAATCGATGTTCGGTGACTGACCCAGTCGCGGTTAGACTGGAATATGTAGACGACAAGAGACGTTGCTATTGATGACGGCAGACCAATCTATTGCAGACAATTTGACTTCCACAGTAAGACAGGTAGTATCAAGATGAAGACGTCTCCTCGCAGATACACTGACTGAAGTGTAGGAAACGGAGAATACCGTGGCGCCCTCGCGATATCGACAGAGGGAGTGGGATCGGTTTATAAGGCCTTCCAGCAAGGAGCGAGGCGTAAAGGAAGTTCTAGGGTAGGGGCTAGGAATCAAGCCTCACAGGAGGTTCCTTGAAGGGAGCGACAGGCTGACACCACCCTCGAGATGCAGGCTATGATTCGGCTGTGGCAAGTGCTCGCGCTACCGTATATGGCCGCAGTTAGTAGTCAGAAGTCCGAAGTCACGGTTGGAGGCTCTCGGAGAAGGGTTTAGGTTAATAATAAACCATCCGATGGGACCGTGGCTGGGTGGAGGGGAAATCGGCGAGTGGGGCGATCCCCTGGTACATCTGCATGGGATAGTTATTGGGAGTGGAATAGAGACGGAGGTGGAAATGGGCAAGATGATAGAAATTGGCGTAGGACAAGCATCTACTAAGCGAGTCGCATGGACGATGAAGTATAAGGCATGAAATGAACGTGGCACTCCAGTGGCACTCCAGTCAGTTTTAGTCTTTACGGAGGGTAACAAGAACAAGCCCAACCGTTCCAGCACAGCAGATTTCACGGTGGGATCAGTGTTCACTGCGGGTCACTGTTCAGCATCCAAGTGGAGAGAATGAGGTTAATGCCAAGTTTTCTTCCGGCTGTCCCGCAAAACTGGAAAGAACGTTTCTGCAGACTGTCGGCTTGGACTGGCTCCTTCCATGTGTCTGGTATGTAACTGCCGTATCAGAATGGTCGGCATGGTCGGTAATACAGAGTCCGTCCATATCCATATCCACCTCACCCAGTAGTCAGTCCAGTCTCCACGGTATCCATCAAATGGATTACATTGTGTACAGTAATCTTCCGGACGGGAATCTCAAATTCTGTACAGGTGTTAAGGGTAAAGGGATCGAGGTAGATCTATATATACCATCCCCATGTAATACGACATCATCGTCCCATATATTATATACCAATCACCAGCAAAATCGGTAGAAACGACATATCGTCCTTCAGCAGGCCTCCATCCGCACTCTCCGCACAACCACACCAGACTTTGGGGGTTGTTCGTTAGGCGTTGGCAGTTGGGGAGATTGGCCGTCCGACAAACAATAAATGCGCATGGACCGCTGCGGCTCTCCCAGAACACGAAAGGGCAGACACTTCATTTCTTCTACCGTGCCACAAATAGTAGTTCTTCGTTGCGCTAGTGAGAAGCCGAGGACATGGGGATCACAGGAATGACGACACCGCCCAGCCTGTTCCCAGTTCCCCCTCTCCACAGCTCCTCTAGCACCGCTGCACCGAGCCTCCGGGCACTGGATGATCACAGTCCACTATTCGTTCAAGCCTTCGCAGTGCGAAGTTTCAAGGGCCCAGCATCGCGATGAGATTCGCACCCTAACTTATCTGGCAATCCGCATTCTGGCGCCTCGAACCCGCTTCCCAGGGCTGAATGGTGGACGAGTGGGCCGCGATGAGCAATAGAAACGCGAGGATCCGATATTCTTAACGCCCCGAAGCCTTTCGAGCGCTTCTTTTCCAATCACCGGCCGCCCGTCCCCAGTAATCCGGAACGGTGGAGGACGGTCGTGCATGGGATAGTTTGTAGGACACAATAATAAGGTGATGTGAAGGGCCAGGGTCTCGCAGCGTGCTCCTCCCCCGTCTGTTTGGTGGCTGCAGTAGTCGGGGCGGCGTGCAGATGCTGGCCGTGTGCCATGCGGTGCCAAACCTCCGCGGAGCCAATGCTGTGAAGGAGGGAGAGTAATCCGCAACAGGAGCACGAGGGAAACGGGCTGCGTTGCTTTCGATACCGCACGGTCGGCCAATGGAGATTTGATGGTCATTTTAATCGACGGTCAAATGTCAATACTCAATGCGCTCGATAGTGCACTATGCGCCACGGCGCAGAAAGCCATTCATGCTCCACCGTCTGCAATCTTATATTACCCGTGCCCCACTGGCGATATCTGACGAGGTTGCGATCTGTGTCTGATACCAGGAAGCACGGGACGGCGCTGGACGCCGATCGCTCGCGTGCTAATCTAAGAATCAAAAGTCGTTGATCTTCGAAATTGATTGCTGGGCCATGTTGGTACTTCAGGTGTCTTTGGGTAAGCCACTGCCCGCTGGTCAGACTATAGAGCCCTGGAGATAAACACTTGAATCCTGAGAAATCCCCAGTCGCATCTCACTCCCAAGCACCCAAGGGATTCGGCTTGAAGGTTGAACATGTTGGAATTTATACCGGACGATCCATATCAAATTATCAATCCAAACGTATGTGCACTGTGCAGCGGGTGCTTGTCATTCCTAATTATTGCCCAGTTAAGTCTTTAAGTAGTTCTTGGCAATTCCCAAGTACGCGCGTCGCTCCAAAATTCCGTTAAAAACAAATTAGCCTCGCTTACTAGTGAGTAGTCAGTTACCTACCACTTCCCATCGACCATTTCCCACTAAACCCAAAAGCCACCCCAGCTACAAACCGAGTTAGTCCCCTCCTTCTCCCAGGTGCCCCCTCCCAAGTTCCACCCACCGCTGTCAAGCCGCCAACGCTCCTGTGGACGTCGACCGCCCACCGCCCGCCGCACAACGGCTGAATCCAGTCGGCGGAACGGCCACGAGGTGGGACGACAGCGCAGAGCGTAGCGACCCCGATACCAGGCAGAGGGAGAATCGGGGAAGGATCGGCGGATTGAGGGCGTGCCAGGATCCCGTTCGGGGAGCGTGCTGGGGAATCACTGGTGGCATCGATCTGGAAGCTTGAATCTGTGGGTGGAACGATGTTAATGATGAGTTTTCATAAGGGCTGGAGGGCGGGAGTGGCGTGATTTTTTTGGGAAGGGCAGTTATACCTTTGCGGTCGGCCTCCAGATCCAGTGGAACCGTGGCTGCTTGAGGAACTAGCATCTCCGGATCTGATATAAGTGATGGGATGGGATGGGATAACACGGCGCCTTGTTACACTTCTTACATAGTAAGCCCTGGATTGGAATTTATAGGTAACTCTTAGAGGGGGTGGTTTCGGAATGATAATCAATCACGCTGAGTCTATACTCCACTGAATCCATCATCGCATATCTAACCTGTCCCTGTCAAGTGTCATGGCTTTCTGGTGCTCATGAGTGAACCACCCGCCCCTTCAGTATATTGATTAACATACGTAACTTAGAGGGAGCGGCCGAATTTTCCGAAAGAGCATCAGCAGAACTGCCCCACCAAACAGATTTGACAACGGATAGACTACTAGCTCTTGACATCGAACGGGAAGGAGAATCAATTCGATATCTATCTGTATCCTAGCATACCATCTTCAAATCTGCAACACCCTGAAGTACTGAAGAGCCGCATTCGACCATCCACCGATCCCTTTGGAACCGAACCGGCACAGTTGTCCGCTGGCGTCATTCCACCGTTTCTTGTGCTTAACCTGGCTCAGGGTGCATGTATCATTTTCGCGAAACAGACCCGGCCAAGATCTGAGGAATTCGATATTCCAAGGCCCAGACCATACAATCCAAAAAAGGGCGGGTCTTGCTTGCCGAGAATAAATAGACTTCGGAAGCAACCGAAGCAACTAGGGATACACTTGGACTCTCCGTTCAGATTCCTCCATGGCTTCATCACGTTCGAGTTGATTTGTTGTGAAGGATACACCTGATGTACAGAACGATGGCAAAACGACTCGAATTTTTTTTAAAGACTGTACAAGGAACTCCATCGAGCTCCATCGAGGAGACTTAATAGAGACAGTGGCGCCGAACAATGGGAGAACGACATAGACGAATAAGGGAGGCGTGGACGCAAGAGGACGGAGTATATTTGAGAGCGCCAACATCAGCACCTCACGAAGCGTCCTTGCTGGTAGATTCTGAGTCACTTAGGGGCCTCTAAGGCATACCCCATCCAGGGAATCCAGCGCTGAATAATTGTATACCTACGTCATCAGATACCTATTCGTCAACTCGAGCGTGCAGTATTGGCGGAGAAACCAACTGTAGCTTGCCCAGGTAGGTGGTATGTGCCGAGAAAGAACAGCAAGGCGAGATTTGATGAGAATGATAACGAAACCGACGTCTAGCAAGCGAAGGTCGTACAGACAGCCAACATCAAGCGATCTATGGGTGTCGCGTTCCTCTCTCTCGAGGACGGAGGAGGGATTGCAGTTTGCAGAGAGAGCGGAGGTGTACCATGTACATCGTACGCAGGAAACCATTTCCCAGAACGGGAATGCGAGTCAACCTATCAGAGCCCTCGCGTTCGGATCACATAACCCATTCCGATCTGGGTGCCTGAAGTCAGCAAGATGGATGCCTGGACTCGGCATCATGCATGTGCAGTGCTTGTGCTGATACGCGTCCATGTGAAGGTTGAATTGCATACGATGGTCCTTGACGGAAGCCGATTGGGGGTTGACGATGGGAGTATCTGGTCTGATTTAGATAGAGGTGAATGGTGACTGGATTTACTACTAGGTAGATCAATAATAATTGAAAGACGTCTTGAGTAGACAAGAGATATGTAGACAATGATCGGTGAAGCTGCGTTCCCCCTGTTCTGACTCTCTCCCCTTACAGCCAAATCTGGTGAGCAAAAGGTGATCGGGAGGCTCTCGTCGGTTCATCCAAGGTCAATCTGCAGTTTCAGACACGGTGACATCTGATTCCGACCATTCATAATTCTGTTTCAGTTTCCCCTCTCCTCCTGAGCATTCTCACACTCTGCTGAATCAACTCCCGACTCGACGTGCCAATTCCGCGCACCGCTTTGTCCACGACCCACCTTTCCCCATCCTCCCTCTCCCTCACGCATCCAGAACCCGCCGTGTTTTTTTTACCGACCTCCACCCATTTCCATCCCCATACGTACCTCCAATCCTCGAATCATCCACCCCCCAACCCAACCAACCCACATCCTTTACGTCTACCAGCCCGATATACCCTCAAAATGGCGGAAGAGAAATCCTTCACCTACAGCGACGTCGCCGAACACGCCGCCAAGAAAGACCTGCACGTCGTTATCCACGACCTGGTCTATAACATTACCAGCTTCGTCGATGAGCATCCGTAAGCCCCCATTCCCCTCCACCCATCACTACGATCCCCATATCACAACTAGCCAGATCGCCGGATAGCTAACTCCATCTCCTCCCAGCGGCGGCGAAGAAGTCCTCCTCGATGTCGGTGGCATGGACGCCACCGAAGCCTTCGAAGACGTCGGCCACTCCGACGAAGCGCGGGAGATCCTCGATGGCCTGCTGGTCGGGAAGTTAAAACGCCAGGTAAGCCCTCCATACCCTCCTTCCTCTATCTACCCGTTCATCCCACTCCCCCATCGAGGTCGACGATCGCTAACCCGCACCCCAACAGCCCGGCGACCCCAAACCCAAAGTCGCCAACCCCGCCGGCGTCTCCACCCCTGGCGCCGCCGCGCAATCCGCCTCGAGCGGAACGAGCATGATCTTCTTCCTGCTGTTCTCCGGCCTAGTGGCCATGGGCGTGTATTTCTATTTGGGTCTGGAGAATCAGGGGTAGTAGCGGAGGTGCGATTTGGAAGGAAAGGGGAGAGTGAGGGTTGATTGTGAGGTTTGGGGGGTGGGTGGATTGCATAGTTATATTTGACGGGAGAGATTTTGGCGCAGGTGGAAGGTGGTTATAGGTATCTATGGATCACGCGGCTGGCAGCTGGCTCTTCTAATCCCAATGGTCAAGCGTGGATTAATTACTTGGAACGCGTGTCAAATTATCCGGTACATTTCGATGCGTCCCTTGCTCGCTATGATTCCACATCGACAGAAACCCAACCGCGTTCATCGAACCGATTCGTTTCATTCTCCAAGCACTAACGCGCCAATCCTCCCCTCCCTTCATAGACGCTCGCCTCATTCCACCACACCAAATCCAACCCCCATCTACCGATAAAACCCTTCTGCATCCCCACCAGCCGTTCCCGCCTGAGGAGTAGCTTGCTGCGGCCGATATGCCTGATATGTAGCGCCCGGCGCGGACGGCGCGGACGGCGCACCCGGCGGTCGCCCCCCGAGTGCGGGATATGCACCTTGCGCGGGAGGGGAGTCGGGGGGAGCTTGCCCCGGGGGATATTCTTGGGCGTAGGGGTCTTGGGCGGGCGGTTGGGATGGGCGGGTGGGGTAGGGGGTCGAGCCGTAGAGGTCGTCTTGAGACGGGGGGTTGAGCGGGTATGTGGGAGATTGGGGGTCGTAGGAGGGGGGGTGTTGGGCGAGGGGGTTGGGGGGTGCTTGGCTTTGTGGGGGTTGGCTGGGCGCGGGCCGATCGGGAGGGTAGCCGTACTGCGAGGGGGCGGAGGGTTGCGATGGTGGGGGTGCGGAGGGGGGGTATGCGTCGTATCCGGCGGCGTAGGGGTCGTGTGATGGCGGCTGGCCTTGGGAAGGGCCCGTCGGATGGAAATTCTGACGTCCGTCGCTGGGGCTGTCGAAGGGGCTGGACGCAAGCTCTTGCGGGATGCCGACGGGGTTGGCTGCAGGCTGCGCTTGGCCATACGGGGCGGATGGCTGGCTCGTGCTGGGTGGGAAGGCGCTTGGAGGACGAGCAGCGGCGTTGACGCGGCCTGGCGGAGGACCGTAGGGTTCTGCTGGGGTGGGTGTGGGACTCATCTGGTCAGGTCCCGATTGACTGGGCGGAACCCCGTAGAAAGGCGCACTATCGGTCTGTGGCGGTTGGTAGCCAGGCTGTGGCTCCGGAGCCCCTTGAGGCCCGGGAGAAAAGTATCGCTGCGGACCGGTTTCTGGTTGTTGCGGATGGCCGTGTGGAGGACCTTGTGGAGGACCCTGTGGGGGACCCTGTGGAGGAAAGCTTGCTCCAGGACGACCGTATCCAGGTTGTTGGGGTGGTGCGTAAGAGTACGGGGGTCGGCCGTATGTGGGCGGAGGGGGTTGTGACATGGAAGCTTCGAGGAGAGTTTCATAATCTCGTCGGGCTTTGATAAACTTCTCGTTCAGTTGAGTAAAATCATCTGATATACGGTTAGCATATAACTTGCAAGACCCTTCCATGGTACCGTACCCTTCTTCTGCGAGTATTTGCCAATAAGCTCGATCAATTTCGGTCGGATCGCCAACGTCGAATGGTATAATTTCTGCTCCGGTCAGCCCAATTCCGTCACTCAACAAGCTCCCAACTCACCGTAATCTCCTCGTTATCCCTCACATCCCCCTCGCTCGCCCGCGAACTCGTACTCAACAACGCCAACAACTTCTCCACGTTCCGGATCTCCGCGAACACCTCCGCCTCCATGTGCGCCTCCCGCTCCAGCTCCTCGCGCGTGGGGTCCTGCAGCTTCTCCACGTAGTTCAACGGGAAGATCCCCGTCTGCCCGCGTAGGCTACCCTTCCACCAGTCCTTGTACACCGACTCCAGCACTGCGATGACGTCGCCCTTGCGGAATTGGAGCTCGCCGGGTTCCGAGGGCTGGAAGTCGTAAAGGGCACGGACGCGGGAGACGGTGGCGGCCGTGGTGCCGGGGGGAAGCGCGGTGCCGGGTTGCTGCGTAGGTTGATCGGCCGGCTCCTGCTGTTGGGTGGGTTGCTGTTGGGCGGGCGCCTCGGGGCCTTTATCTTTGATCGAGAGTGCCAACGCCATTTGCAGTTCCTCGTCCTCTCTTCTGCGATCGGTGTCGGTGATCTGGGCCTTCTGCGGCTTCGACGGCGGATCAAGGTTCGGATCTGTCATTCATCAGCCACGGTTCGACCGAACCCAGACATGCGGGCGTACTCTGGCTCTTCAGCTTCATATATGCCTGCTCCATAATCCCCAAATCCCGATCCTTCGCAAACATCTCCGTCCACTCCGCCATCCGCTCCAAAATCCTCCCTTTCACCTGCTGATGCGTATTCCGATCCGCCGCCAGTCTCAACAACGCATCCGTGAAGCTCCGCGATGCCAGCTCCCGATACACCTTCGCACCACAGTTCTGCGCCAGCGCGTTGGCGAGCTCCAAGGTATAGAGCTGCACGTTGGCGTTGCGGTGCGCCAGGCGCTTGATCATGGCGCCGACGGCGTCCTTCGCCCCGCTGTCGTCCGCTTCCACCTTGTCGCAGACGTTGAGGATCAGTTCCCAGTTCTCGCTTGTGAGGTTCTCGTCGGTGGCCTTGACGACCACGTCGTCGAACGCGTTTGGCTGCGCCCGGAACATGGTGGCGATGGGGTGGCCGGGACGGTCGTGATACGGTCTTGATGGGGGAGCAAATTTGAGGGTGGGAACTCGTTGGGTGGTTCAAGTTAGGTAGCGGAGTCTGCCTTCCGCGATCCCAAGCCGGTGATAACGTCTGGTTGAGGTGGCGATGCCTGGAACGGGCTATAAAGACGCTCAGCAAGACGGGCACTGCTAGTGGTTAGAGGACAATGGCAGGCACCAACGTTTGCGGCGAGGTGAGTGACGGCAGGTAATAAACCGAAGTGCAGTGGAGTAGAGTAAGGTAAGGTAGGTATCGTGATTAAAGTGTAAAGCGCAGGCAAATCAGCATATTAAGAGTGATGCGTGCACATGATTCGAGGTTGGCATGGAGTTGGAAGGAGCATTGGGCTGGCGCTCCTGCTCTGGCTGCTCGTGCTGCAGTGCGTGGACTGTGGGGCGGGGCGGGGGGGTTGCTGTGGCGCAGGGAACACTCTAGGAAGGGGCTCCTGGCGACCTCACCGATCTTGTAGTTGGAATTTGGACATCACAGCATAGCGTAAGGCGAACCACTCGGTCTCCGCTTGACACGCGTTCTTCATTTCCTTACCACGTATACGGCGGTGTAGTGCACTCATTGTGTAATGCGTATACGCCATTGATCATCCATACAGTATCAACGCTAGCAACTGAAGTCTCATATGTGCACCTTCATAGCATGTCGATTCTGACGCGACAGAGTTGGTACATGTCTGGAACTGACACATCGCAAGCCTGAAGTGACGTGTGTCACAGCTTTATAAGACAGCCGAGTTTCATGGATTCTATACCGTTGCCGTCGACATTCCGTCGACATACATACATGCGTTTCCCCATCCCCATACCGATCCATTCCCCATTTCCATCACCCACCCGCCCTCCATCCACAGGCGGTGCCCCCCCCTTCATGAAAAGTCGTGTAAAGCCATGCCATGTCTGTCCAGTTTCGCATCGTAGTAATCTTCCGTTGACGAAAGGTGCTACACGTGCGTAGGGGCCGAGAACGGTTCCAAAAGAAATTTTCCATGTGCTGTGCATTCATCCATCCATTTCGATCCCACCTAGCCTCCTCTCTCCTCTGGGGCACATCGGGGGGAAACCAAATCTGCCGAGCTAGCCGCCTTTTGAAATCTCCCGTCGTGTATTTGTAATGCGTTTTTGTTTTTGGGTGGGAGTTTGCGGTCGTTGGGGATAGAACAGCCGGTGCACGGCGCGCGAAGGTGGCCGCCGTGAGAAGGAACATGAAGTGATCCGGACGAAGATGCCGGATCGCGCGCTCATTCGTAATTTTTTAAAACGTGAGGTCGAGAGACGCTTGGCTCCTGGTAGTGAACGCTTAACGAAGCGCTTAAACTCCTCCTTTCTTTCGACGCTCTTCTATTCGGGCGTTGCGCGCAGCATCGACTAATGGGGCGAGGTTGCTGAGCGGTTCAGCGGTTTGGATGAATGCGTGCTGGAGAACGGTCAGTTATGTGGCCAGGATCAGGGCGATGATGCACTTACGGTAAGCAGGTCATGTGCACTCGCCCGCTTCTCCGGATCGACCTTCAGCGCGAAGTTTAAGAAATCCTTGAACACGGGCGTCAAGGTCGCCTCGTCCTTGATCGACGGCGTGCCGTTGGTGGCGATGAGGAAGAGGGCGCGCAGAGGGCTCTCGTTCAGGTAGGGGGGCTCGCCGTCGATCATCTCGATCGCCATGATCCCCAGGGACCAGAGGTCGATCTTGCGGCCGTATTCCTTGCGCGTCACCACCTCGGGGGCCATCCAGTAGGGGGTGCCGACCATGGTGGTGCGCTTGGTGTGGGCTTGGTCGATTTGGGCGCAGAAACCGAAATCAGCTAGATTGCGTCAGTGGACCATCGACTTCGATGGGCGGTCAGACATACTCAGCTTGATATGACCTTCCAGTGACAAGAGAACATTGTCGGACTTGATGTCTCGATGTATGACCCCTTTTGAATGGAGATGTTGGAGACCATGTAGAGTCTGGTGGCGAAGTCAGCTTTTTGTTTATTGGCGGAATCGTCAACCTCACCTCTCGACAGACAGCCGCAATCTGACCCTCGGTCATCATGTTGAATGTAACGACATCCGTTAGACTGCCCCCCTCCATAAACTCCATCACCACCCACAGATCGCCCTGCACCAAATAACTGTCCATGAAGTTCACAATGTTCTTATGCTTGCTCTCCTTCATCACCAAGATCTCGTTGACGATCAGGTCCTTCTTCGGCTGCTGCTCCAGGTTCATCTGCTTGATGGCCACGCATTCGTTCGTCCCGCGCCGGTTGGCCGTGAACACCCCGCCGGACGCACCCTGCCCGATCTTCTGGAAGTTGCGATACATCTGGTGCGGGTCCACGTCGGTGCAGATTTCGCGAAGGCGAACGATGATGTCGGGCCCGGTCGATTGGCGCGGTCGTTGCCGCGGTCGTGGTCCGCCTTCCAGTCGGGGCTGCTGGCTAGGCATCGGAACGTTCGTGGGATCGGCGGGCCTCGCGAGCGGCTGCGGTTGGGTCGGTTGGGTCGGTTGGGTCGGTGCGCGGGGCTGGGATGGTGGTTGGCGTGCGCTTTGGCTCCGTTCAAGCTGCTGCTGTTGTTGGCGAGCGATGGATTGCTGGGCATTCAGCATGGCTTGCTCCTGTTGCTGCTGGTATTGCAAGACGGATCCCGGGGGTGGCCCGCCATATTGCATCGGGGACCCGGTGGTGTTGGATCGAGTGCGAGGTGCTATTGTCTCGTCAGTAACTACCGGGGGCGGAGGGTATGCAGGACCTCTAAGGGGAGAGACACTGCTAGGGGCTACTAACTGGAAACGTGGGTATTGATTGGGGCCGGAGCCGGAGGTGCTGCCCGCATGGGAACAGGAGAAGGACCAGCGCTAGCTCCAGGAGGGCGTGGTGCAGGTCGCTGGGGAACCAGCGTACCATTGGCAGGCTGAGTGAGCTGCGTCGGAGTACTCCTGGGAATCGGTGGAGGCGCCCTCGGATTCTCGAAGCTGTCTTCTCGGTTGCGGGGAAACCGCGGACTAGTCGGAGGGCTCATCATTTGCGTCATGGATCCAACCGTCGACGGATTGAGAGTGGTCGCTGGGGAGGGTTGCGGAAAGTAAGGGTTCGTCGCATCGTGAGCTCGTGCGTTTTCGAACTTGTGCCAGACATCGTCGTCGCTATTCCCTTCCCGGTTTTCTTTGTAGAACCCGACAATCTTCATAATGGCCTCCGGATTTTGCTTCTGTTCCGCTTCGGAAATTCCATTTTGCTGAAGGATGGTTTGCCATTCCTTGGGTAGTCCCTGAGGTACGTTAGTATCGAGTCTATGGAAGCGTTGAACCCCGTTTTATAAGGCTTGGAGTTGTGAAGTAATGATGCAAATACTCACCGTGAATTGGCCCGTCTCGTTGTCGATACTGACGTGGGTGACATGCATCGGATTGGTGGGTGTAGATATGGTCGGCCGTCGCGGAGTTCCCAATCCCATGCCACTCATCAGAGTTGACAGCACTCCCTTCTTCTTCCCACCCACCGGCCCACCCGTGGCCTCATCCGAATATCGCTGTCGCGGACTCTTGCTCCCTCCATCGGACCGTGGCGGTGTGACCCTCTCCATTTGATGACCCTGCAATGCCGCGAAACTCTGCGAGTGGCGAATCCTCGGCGCGGACAATGAAGCGGGCGAGGGGTTGGACGACTGGTGGTGGAGCGACGGCTGCGGGGTGGTGGTGACGGCGTCGATGTTTTTGTACAGGGAGGGAGCGTCAAACGGCGCGCCGACCAGTTCAGGCGTCGTCTTCTCCGTCACGGACTGCCGGAGGAGCGGCTTCGCATTTGCACGGGCGAGTGGTTGGTGCGATTGGCGAGCGTTGGGCGGGGTGGGGAATGCAGCGGTGATGCCGACATGCGTTTGCGGTTCGGCGATGGGAGCGTGGGAGGGGGTGTGGTGCGGGTTCGCGTCGATGCCGTCCGCGATCTTGGCGAAGGAATACGATTGATTGCTCGCGCCGGCGGCCAGGGCGGTTGGGCTGCGGCGATGACCCGACGGAGCAGCGGGAGAGATCGCAGAGGGAGACGGCGAGGCTGGTGAACGAGATGCGGAGGTTGGGGCGGAAGGGGTCCTCTTGAGCGAGCGAGCGACGGTGTCGATGGTATAGGACCCGGGAGGTTTTTTGGTGAGACGTTTAGAAGTGGATGGGGGATTTTGAAGTTGGTGGATGGGAGGAAGTTGTGACGACGACATTTGGTGGAGGTGGAGAGGGATGGTTAAGGGAGTCGAGAAGAGAGGGACAGTCGGGAGGGAGAGAGCGAGGGAGAGGGTCTATCTGGTCACTGGTGTGGCAGCAGAGCAAGGAGCGAGTGGAGGGAGTGGATGGAGTGAGTGGAGTGCAGGACAGGAGATTGATTGCAACTTGCAAGTGAAAGAACCGCAACAACAGGCTGGGAACTAACTAAACGTGAAAGAAGCAAGGCGACGGGCAACTTGAAACTTGACTGGATTGTTGGCGTATGGATTGGATTGGATTGGACGGGAAAGGATCAAGTCTCCAGGTCTCCAGGTGTCAAGGGCGGGTGTGCTGCTGTGCTGCTAATGAGGTGTTTGGTGGGCGGTAGGCGGTGGGTGGTGCGGGAGTCTTTCTCAGAGTGAGTCTCTTCTGCTGCAAACTGAACCGTGAACTCAGAACTGGGATATGAGGCAATGAGGCTGTAAGGCACACAGTCACACAGTCACACACCACTGGATTTGCATGTGCTGTGAATTGTGATAGACCAACCCAGACTTACCCAGTCCTGTCTTCTGACGCTTCAACAACAACACCACGCCGTCGTCGAAGATTCTTCAAAACAAGATTCTCCAAAATAATAGTAATTCCGGACTGCGGAGATCGAATTACCAAGGAACAACTAATATGACCATGCCCTTGAAGTATATGATCGACCAAGGATTAATGAATAAATACCCACAGTACTTGCAGAAACCTCCTTTTCTAACGGGGCCCAACCTAGGGCATCAATGACGGACGAATTGATCTATCACAGGCTGACACTGGTATCCCCATCCCCCAACAAAGCCACTTCCCCCCCCCCCTTCTCGGACACTCGGTGCCCATCATACGTCGGGCATTGGCATTGGCTGGATTCGAAAGTATCACATCTTGCTGGCACTGGGAAGCATGGCACGCCCTCATCCGACCCCGCTGATCCCACTCCAACCAGCAAGATACCAGATGTGTGACGACTGACGAGATACTACATATGGCACGTTTGGAAGTTGGCAGTGAACTGGCGACAACCACGTACTTCCATCTACTATGTAAGGTATCATTACTTATTATTAGTATTTAGTATGTATGTAGGTACAAATAAGTACCTACATACTCACCCCTACACTTCCCGGCGCCTCCTGTAACCCTCGCCCTTTCCTTCGTCGCTTCGTTCATCCTTGCCGTCTCTCCCTCCTGGAGGTTGGACGCCGTCTCCAAGTCGACCAAGGGACGTCTGACATAATTTCTTATTTCATGCCAGCCTTGCCAGGTAGTCGAAATTTGAAGTACGTTGAGGTGGAGTCACATGCCGGGCCTGGGTGCCAACGGCCAGCGGCTTCGGACCGCCAGCCTCTCCATGTCTGCTTTCCGTCAGGCGTCACTCCACCAAGTGGCCCTGGTCAGAGGGCGCTCCTTGCGATTCCGCGAAAACTCAAACGTCAAACATGTTTATTTCGTGGATGGGGGGAATGGGCGTCCGCTTAAGGCCTTGGGCAGATTGCACGTTGGCAGTTGGCAACCATCTCGCCGAACCACCGTTGTCAGCTTGAAACATGCAAACATATCCGATCTTGTCCTGATCATGACCACACCCCGACCACCTCAAACCGGTCGGACCCGTCAAAAAGTCAAAGAAAGTTAAGCAACAAAACGTCTAAGACTCTTTTCAACCCTGAACCTGAACAGACCCTCGACCCATCTCATCGTGTCCCTTGCAAATTACCTCTCATAAGGCCACCCCTCCTCGCCTCCCATTGGCGCCATCTGATATTCCCGCCCCGCCCCTTCCAGGGGCCATCCCGTCCGGCCCATCTCGCTTCTCGCGTGGGAAAACCTTCTGGAACAGCCGATCCACGTCCCTTTGAATCCCGATCGGAAGAAACCAGACGGTTGATTTGATTCAATATCGATCTGATATCGATCTTCCGTTGGAGTGCCGACGCGCGGTAGAGTAGAGTGTCAAATGCGCCAATGGCCGGACGCCGTCCCTACGGCTTTTCGCGATGCCGTTACGGAGTATTGCGGATCTAGTCATTTCGTGTCGTGCAACGATAGACACTCAAAGACCACGCGCCACCATCTGTCGCTTCGCATGTCGTGATCCCCCTTTCACACCTAGCTCCGCGCTTCCCACGGTGGGCGACCCACGCGTTTCATCCGCTCGCCGCCGTGCGACCGTCTGCGGACTCGGCGTGCAACGGTCGTGGAGAAGGGCGCCCAGGCACCGAGGCTGGGGTGTCACAAAGGCATTGAAATCTTGGAGATGGACACGGCAGGTGGATGGACTGTGGTGGCATCGGTGGGCGGCGTCGTCTGACGTGGGAGAGGTTTCAACTTCTGTTTGCGGGGACGGATCGGTTGCATTTTGTATAGCGACTGGAAACCACGGGATCGTAGTTCGAGGTCGGACGAAATCTTGTCCTTCGCGGGTGGTGGCTTGAGATCGCGTTAAAGGGCCCCGAAGTCCTCGATGAGATTGTTCGTTGGATCACTAAGGTGTTGCGTCCCTTGGTACGAATCGCGTCGTGTGGATGTGGTTCGGGACGGCTCCAGCAACCAGGCACGGCGAACTTGCTGGTTTCCAGTAGTGAGGAACCTGCATTTCTGGTCGTAGTATTAATGATTAATGACACCAAGGACGGTTAGTATTGCGAAATCGAAGTACGAGTCGAGGGAATCCACCGCGCGCGTGTTCGACTTGCAAACCGTCGTTTGTCCTTTCCTGTCTCCTCGATGTTGCGCGTTTCGAATGCGTGTTGGTACCCTATGACAGGTCATCGGGGGACCGACTTCGAATTCCTCAGCGAGCATTTGGCTTCAAATTGCAGTTCTTCAAGCATCGGTGTTTTGTCTGCCGCAAGGGACACAGCCGAAGTGGTTCGTTGCAGCTGGAACCGAACAACGGATACAGAATACGAAGGAACTGGGATGATTTGCTATCATTTTTATTGCTTTCTTATTCGTGTTGACTGGACCTGCGGCAACACGACCATCGGATAGATATATCTGCATGGTGTCGCTTCAAGACACGGTAAAATAGCGCATCGGTCGTCTTTCATCCAAATCGACAGTATACTTGATATTCCGACCGATTTAGAGAGCACTAGGATCCACAGTCCGCCGTTCATGGTATACAGCACCATCTCAATTCTTGTGTTTTTGAGCATGAGTTATGAGCCGGAAAGCACCAGCGTGTCTAAACATGAGGATACCTGTGCTTCTGCAAATCCCAAACCAGAAGCGCTCTTTAACTCTTGTACCGAATAGCGTGTACATGTACACGTAGATATGCTGCAATTGTCCTCGCGGTGCCGGTTGTGGCGTAACTATAGGATTGAGTGCAGTTTGACACTTCTCCCAGTCGATCGGTACAAGGTGTACTTGAAGTTGTACACACGGCTTGTGAGACTGTCCGAACAGGGCGACCAGATTCTCGAACGGAAAGGGAGGTCGAATTCGAGCGAAAGCCGACCCCCTGTTCTCCTCTCGAGGCTGGATGGCTAGTCCTTATGGTCATCAAGTTTTGCAAGACTTGTTGCAAAGCATCCGGATCATGAGACTGTTTGCCGGCGCTGTATGGGCATTACTCGTCGAAACTTCCATCAGGTCAATTGGTGTTCTGTGTCCCGTATCTCGTTGCTCCGTCATGATGGACGGCGTTCCATCCTCGCTAGACGAAGGATTGATATGTCTGGCGATGTCGTAGTTCAACCATTAGCGGAGGATGGTGGTCTCGCCGAAGCAAAGGGCATCGTTCGAGGAAGGCGGTGGTCGAATATGGTTCATCTACCTTGCATTCGAGCATGACCTGACACTGGATTTTACCTCTCTTTAAGCTCGAAATGCCCGGACAACTTTAGATGGGAAAGGATATAGATAGGGAGGAGAGTGCTCGGAATGAAATACATGGACCCACCTTGCATGTCACAGATTTAATCCCCTCTGGCAGTATCTTAGAATAGAGCTGCCGATTACAATATTAATATTAACAATGTCGGTTGTCTACGCGTTCTATCCCCCTCGCGTTGGCGTTGGCATGCAATCGTCCCAGCGAAGATCAGGGGTGATCTCGCAACAAAGGCTTCATTGAGGAACGCACGGCATGCCGTTCAAAGGGTTTACTTAAATCTCCAAAACAAAAAAACCCGAAACGATGCAGATCATGGCTGTGCTAAGAATAAGTTCACGCCTTCACGGATCAAAGTGCAGTGTGAAGCGTGAACTGGGGGCGAAGTTCGGAATCCACATGGATGTGACGCGTACCCAGCCTCGCAGGTCACAGCCTTCAAGGCAGTTTGACTGTTTGAGCGTCGAGACGATGTTCAACCTACCCGGTTAATGGCCGGCACCAACTGATATTAGAGCTGCGTCGACAGTTGACATCACTTGTGATTCGTGGTTTGATGGAGTAAATAATGTGGACAAGACGACTGACGTACATCAGCGGATCAGCCACTGCACATGCCGCGCTCCACAGACCCTTGTGCTCCTTTTATATTCCATAATACTGCATTCAGCATTGACGTCCTTTATCCTTAAGCATACTTAAACCATCCGTACAGCCTTGTACCATATTAAAGCGACTCTTTCTGTCTTCAAGCTACCTTGATTTCTTTCCAACCATCTCCACACACTTTCGCTTCAAGTCATGCAACTTCCTGTTAGCTAGCATGCCCGTTTGCCACCATGCTAGACGAGAATCTCCCCAGTGAGTAAAGTATCTAGCCGGTATCTTGACGCATAAGGCTGATCAACCTAAAGCATTTTACCTGAAGCCCTCTCCCGATGGTGTCCGACACCATGAGGCCTACTATCTCACATATCATGGATCCGAACCCGAAGCTACATACACCTACAAGCACCTCGACCCAGCATCCCCCACCTCGAAAGCCACCTACGCTTCCGCTCTCTTCGATGCGTTCAACCCCTCCATCCTCTACGGCGAAGTAAACGTCACCCCGGAATGGCTCCAGCCGACGTTATCCCAAGATGAGATACGCAAGAACGGTGGCCAGGTTCCCGCTCCCCAACCCATTATACCCCAGAGCTTTGCGATCCAACTCTACGATCCGGACCAGCAAGTCACCGTCACGCAAAAGCTGGCATCATGGGGCGGGAACCCCAGCTACACCTTCAGCATGCCGATACGGACGTTCCGACTGCCCACCAAATCGTCCCTGGATCGAGGCCTGGACGATCCGGCCGCCGACGCGACCACCCCTCGGATCAACTTCATCTGGAAGCGAGAAGGAAAGCTGTCAAAAGATTGGACGTGCTTCTTGACCGGCAAATCCACAGATCCGAAAAAGAAGAAGAGCAAGGAGCCTGACATCGCCGTGGCGCTATTCAGCCGCATGCAGGAGGTCACGATCTACCAAAGCAACTTCTCCCGCGTCGACATGGAGGATCCCAAAGGCCTCGAAATCGTTCTACTCCTTAGCATCGGCGTCATTCGCGATCTCTATCTCGGAGGTCTGAAAGATACATTCAACATCCACGGCGGAGGGGAATCCCGCAAGAACAGCGGTGGTCTTCTGACCATAGGGCGGGACCGCAAATCGTCGTCTCCAGCTCAGCCAACTTTCGGTGCCGTCGCCTCCACATCGATCCCACCCACCTCTGCTCCTCCAGGGCAATCCGCCGCGGTGGCTGGCCTCTACGCGCCCCCTCCCGCTCGCCCTGGGGCCTATCAGTCAGGACCAACAACGAACCACCCTCCCCCACCTGGTACCCAAAGTTGGCAACCCCCTACCCAGCCCCATTCCGCCCCCCAACCCGACGCAAGAATGACGGCCGAGCGGCGAAAACGCGACGAAGCGGAAGCGAAACGCATCCGCAAGATGCTCGAAGTCGAAGAACGCGAAGCCGAGAAGGAGCGGAAGCGGCGGGAGAAGGCCATCAAGGAGGAAACGGAGCGGTTGAAGAAGCAATTCGGGGACCAGAGCTCGATGCTCAGTCAGGCGGGCAAAGGGAGAGGCACGCAATATCACCGTCCACCGCCGAACATCACAGTAGGTCCGAACGGGCTCCCCTACCGACCCGCGCAACCACATCCGCATACCGCCCCGCTACCCCTCCGACCCAATCCATCCTCACAACTCCGACCATCACAACCACATTATCCCCCCCGACCAAACACCGGCTACCTCAACCCCGGGCCCCCCTCGCATGTCCGCCCGCACAGCGCCATGGGGCACAGTTCCTCGGGGCAGTTACGGCCCAGCCAGCCCGCGCCGCCGAAGAAGAAAAGTTTCTGGAATCTGAGGGGAGATGATAGCGCGGCGAAGCTCAATAAGAAGCGGAGTAGTATCTTCTGAGGGAATTGGGAGATATCATTCCTCTGGACGCGTCCCCGGGACGGGTCACCATACGTTTGTGTGGGAACATGGAATGTACGAGTTGCATGGACGGCGTTATATTGTTATGACCGGCGAATGTGGTACCATTGCCATGATGTATTGTGATCATTGGAAACCGTGGAAACGGAACATCTCGACGGCCGTATAACACATCGATTCGGTCGTATATACCCTGAAATGGTAAGGGGCTAGGTTAAACTTCTCGAAGGGATAGCATACAACACGATAGAATTGTGAAAACTGACAGAAATCCCACAATTTTTGATCCCCAAGCCAAATCCCCAAGCCAAATCCCCAACCAAGCGCCAGGCCATTGTCCATGTCCCTTGCCCCTAAATTATACAGTCAAGAAAAACAGGTACAATAATTCACCAACCTAAACGAGACGCCGAGCCCACAAGAATGGCCCTGAATCGGAAAACGACCGGCTGCTTTGGGATACCAAGCTCAAACCCGCACTCACCACTGAAATCATGTCCCAGAACAACCCGTAGTCTTACCAGATTACTGACTAGGGTTCGAATATCCATCCTCACAGCTCTCCCCCCCATTTGCCTCCAACCCCTCCATCCCAACCCCCCCTCCAAACTCCCCTCGCCCTACCCCCCCCTCCGCCTCTTCTTCGGAATATCCAACTTATGAAAATTCCGCAAATGCTCCGTCCGATGATCTAGTCGCGTAAACCCCTTCCGCCCGCGCCGTCCACACTTCGCCACCGTGCAATCGACCAGCGTCAGGTTGTGTCGTTCGTGCACGGCGGTGACGTGCCGACGGCAGTCGGCTTTGCGGTGGTAGGAGGTGGCGCAGGAGGGGTAGGGGCAGGGGAAGGGTTTTGAGATGGGGGTGGTGGGGGGAGGGGGTCTGTGTTGGTTAGCTGGGGGGGGGTTTCGGGGGGGTTTGTTGATGCGGGTGAGGAGGGGTTCGAGGGGGCGTCGGGAGGCGGGTGGGGCGCGGTAGGGTGTTATGCGAGTTGGGAATAGAGTAGCAACGTACCCTCCTGGTTCGGGGGCCATCGGTTCCTCTTCATTTTGATGTCCGGCCGCCCACACTGGTTGCGTGGACCCTGACTGGCGGGGGAGGGTGGATTCGTAGGGCGAATGCGCCTGACTTCGATGCAGGAGTGGCGTTAACGGGGATGGGGGAAGGTGGACTAAGGATGTGTGCGGCGGTGGATAAGTCAGACTCGCCGCATGCGGTCCTTCGGGTGGGTAGATTCCCGAGTAGGAATTGGAGGCATACGGAGGAGTACAGGCGCGAGCTCTGGTCTGTTGAGCACCGAACTGCGAGGGCAAGGGGTACGAGGGATATTGCGGATACGGAAATAGGCTTGAGACTCCATGATTGGATTCGGTTCGCTCATAACCCCCAGTCTCAGCGACCGAGGAGTAGCTCTCATCCTCAGGGGCTGTTAACAACCGGCGCTGTTGGACGCGGGGAACGATGCCTATCCCGTAGCCATCGTCTTGACCGGACGACAGCATCGGATCTCTCACGGTGAGCGTTGGCGCTAGGCGGCGATTTGGAAGTGATTCAAACGAGATCACAGATCGGATGGCTTCTGGATCAATTATAGTTAACGTAACTGCGGCTCTGAAACAGGTGTCGACCGCCTTACAACTTCCACTGGCTCATGGGCGACCTTTCTTGTCGGCGGCAGATGAGAGAAGCAGGAAGTAGTGCCAGAGCGGACATACATGATATGAAGCGCTGCGGTCCGAAAATATAAGACTTGCGACTCGCGGAGCCTCTGGAGCATGGCGGAGGGAAAGGAAATGCGCCCATAAGCACTGGAGCCAGATCTGGACGATTCAATCGCTCTTCAACGACGGAGCATGTCGCCAGCCATGGTTCCCAGTCGTCCACGTCGCCATTCACGAGCGCAACGTAAACATTACCGAAATTCCTCCCGCGATCGATTCGCTGCCCTGGAAAACCGCAACGGCAAGCGTCCCAGCCTCGCGGACAGGAATGCGCTGATTGACCGCCTCGTATGCATTCGACTGCAGCTCGTCCCAAAGTGCCGTTGTCGAGGGACCGAGAGCGCACGCGTGAGGGGATTAGTGAGACGAGGGGCCATTGAGGCCGCTTATAAGAACTGGCCGATGTCCGCCCATCCTAGGGCACTCGGTTTGAAAACGGAGAATCGCACGACATGATAAACAGAAAGACAGACTCGATTCGAAATTGGAAATTGGAAATTTTCAACAACGGTAAACACCGGACGATGGCTGGCAACCAGTTGTTCTGGCGTGTCAGGCTGGCTGGGTTCGCAGTAGGTGAACGAAACGAGGCGTCTGCTGTTCCCAAGTGGACCGCTTCCCTTACCGGACGAAACATCGCCTTAATCTGTCAGTCTTAAAACGGAGAGAATCACCGCATGATCCGCCCTAGATTCACGGTGCGTTATAGCCACTTGGTGCGTCCCGGATTTATTTTCGGAATCTGGACGTTGGAAAGGGGAATGGAGGCTTGATATACTCGTCGCCTTGTTTGCCTGCCCACGTGGCCGCGCTCCATTCGGCCTGCGGAGCCTCACTTTCGCTGCTGGTCTGAGGTTTGGATGTGGCTGATCACGGTATTTGGGGTGGTGACCGGATATAAAATCCATGTTAATAATTTGTTGAATACTGATGCGGGAATCAATATGCGGATCGATCTAGAAGATAGTGTGGTCGTGCCTCCTATTCAGGGGTCACCGCAAATGGTCTGTAGGATCAAGTTCATCTCGCACGTTGATCACCAGAAGCAATTCATAGATGCACGATGGGTGAATAGTGATCGTTCACGTAATGTTGACTACCCGTCAACCTTCGCCCCTGTCCGGTACCTCTCTCAGCGAAACATGCACCTTCCGTGATGCGATTCCAGAGGGGAATTAGCTAGAACCATCCTTGCTTGCGTAATCTACACCTGTCAGCCCTGTACAGCGCTCACACATCGTCTTCCAGGAACTTGTACTGAAACACAAAATCAGCTTTCCGGCGGTTCATCCTACGACGCGGTTAGCAAACGATCGTCAACGTCGATCAACATGTAAACGTACCATGTGCTCTCGTAGTCGAAGAAGCGGTACGTCCCCTGTTCGTAGTCTTGCGAGATCTGCTTCGGCTCGTCGTGTCGCTGAAACCACGTCTGGTATTGGGTGTGAAACCGCCAACTCTGATATTTCAGCGATTCGGCCGCCAAGTGCTGCTGCAGGGTGTTCTGCCGGTAGTAGAATGCGTAGAACAGCGCGTCGGTGTCGATTCGTTTGTAGAGGCGAGGGTCGTCGAAGATCGGATCAGGAAGATGGGGATAGGTGGCGGGAGTGTGAGGGTACGGGTTCTGGGGTTTGTAGCGACGTGCGTCGCTGTCGAGGGTGCCGGGATGGGTGAACATGGATGCGTCGAGGAGCTGGTCGTCGGGGATGGTCGATTCCGGTGCCCCGGGTTTCGAGTCGGCCATGTCGAGAAGTTCCTGCAGGTTCTTGGGGAGATGGAAGATCGGATCGGGCTCTTCGGGTTCGGAATGTGTGTCGCCATTCGTTAATGCCGGTGTGCCTGGATGTGCTTCCTCGGCTTCCGTGGTGGAAACCTTCCGTTCCGTTTGGATGTCTGCGGGTCTCTGCGGTGTTTTCTCTTTCTCCAATGCCGGAATTCGCGGTACAGCCATGCTTCGTGTCGCAATGGTATGGCTGAGAGCCGGAGATTTGGCCGGATGTTGCGGTGCCGGTGCGGTCCCGTCGATTGTAGATCCCGTGATTTGCTTCGCTGCCGCTGCGGCTTGAGCGTGGACAACTGAGGGTGACGTTGACGAAGGTTTCGATCCGGAAACAGGTGTAAGACTTGAAGCGTCGGATGCTTGAGTGCCAGGCGGGGCCGGTAATGGCGAGATGCCAACGTTGTGTTTGTCGCTTGCTGCGGCGGCGGCTGCAGCCGATGCGTACTTCAGGGGCCCGCCTGGAGTGGGTATTGGCGCTGGCTTCATACTTGTCGTCGGGCCACTTGATGCTGGGAGGGGCGGCTGATGTAGGGTTGCGAGGGAGGGTAATGGAGATTTCATCTGCGTCGACGGTCGTCGAACCACGGTGCCGGATGCATCGGACATCGATGTCGGTTTCGGTTTCAGCGGTTTCGATTCGAGGTCGATATCGCCCGGCATGGACTGATTGTCCTGCGAGGAGACGCGATCCCCTTCGTTGGCCATCCCGTACAAGCCTTCTTCTTCCTGCAGATTGAAATCCTCGTAGAAGCTGTCGTCTTCGACGAAATCGGGGTCTTGATTGCTTTCGACGTAGTAGCGGATCGATTCCTCCACGTCCCGGACCTGCTCCACTTCGACGCCACCGTTTTCTAATGCTCGTAATAACAGCTCCAGTTTGCCTTGATGCCATTTATGTCGTTCCACCATGTCCTCGAGTTCCGCGATTCGATCCGCTTTGGAAGTGTCCTTCTTGCCCTTCTTCATCGTGGCTTGTAGGTGTTCAACGTCGGCCTCCTGCATTTCGATCTGGCGTTCCAGTTCTTCTAGCATGGTCCCGAGGAATTCGCAGCACTCCAGCTTCTCCTTCTCCTTGGGATCTAATTTCGATGCGGCGGAGAGACCTTCCTTCGAGTAGGCCTTTGTCTTCATCTCCTTCTCGACCTGCTTGAATTTCTCCATTTGCTGATGACCGTTAGCGCAATCGCTCATTCAAAGGGCTTCAATAAGTCGTCATACCGACTCGATTAGTTTCCGATGTTCCATCAAAGGTTTCTTGTCTTTGATGTCGTTCATGGCCGCCCAGGCCTTGATCTGGTCGCGCGACCGCTGAAGCTTCTTAATCTCTTTCTTCAGGGCATCCTCCAACTTCTCCTTCTGTGAGGGATTTGTGCATGTCTGGATCTTGTCGTGGATGCTCTCGAAGGCCTCGACACCCTCCTTGACCTTCTTGAAGCACCGCTCGACTTCGTTCGCTAGCTTTCTAGCGGCCATGATGGTGAATGTTCTCCGGACGCGGAGGATGAGGTGATGGTTGCCAAGTGATGGGTGATGGGGAGAATGATCGTTCAAGGGAGAACCGCGCGAAGATGACCCGAGTCACCGTGGTATCGTGAGGGAGATATCTGTGGTTAAGTGTTGACGACTTCTGTTTCCGTTTGACACAGCGCAGGAGATGTCATGAACTCATGAAGAATGAGGCAGCAAGGCAGCAAGGTGCCAAGAGCGTAGTACCGTGCACGGGCCAAAGGGGCACGCGTGTTATGGCAGAAGCCAATGAGAGCGCAGAATCACATCCCTGTCGGCCTCAGCCTGACGCGTTGAAACTGCGACTCCCCAGACTCCCCGTCACCGATTTGACACCAATTTGACACCAATTCGTCCTAATTCATCGCTTTTGCGTGTCAACATGCTAATGCTGATTAACCAACTCAGTTAAGGTATTGAGTTGCCAACTAGTAATCATATCGGACCTGGCTATGTGCTAGGATTCGGATATTCAGATAGTAGTAATCTCGCTATTCTACACCAAAGTCGTACGCTGTACACACTTCTCCCTAACCTCATCTACACTCTCCACTACCATCTCCAGCTCTATTACTGTAAAATCGTCCCCCCGGTCATAAACAAGATCTATTCCTCCGACATAGCAATGCATCGGAGGACCGGCGTCCAGGGTTAACTGTGTCAATTGGTATCAAAATGAAAGGTTCTGCACCTTCCCGTCTTCGTACCTGCACAGTCCAAGACTAACCGTGACCAGCGGTACTGCAACGGGTCAAGTCCGCATCCGTGACGGTTGACGACAAATTGATCTCGTCGATTGGCAAGGGCCTCCTTGTTCTGGTCGGCGTCTCCAAAGATGACACGCTGAAAGATGTCGAGTCGATGGCTTCTAAGGTCTTGAAGTTCAAGATGTGGGAAGATGATAAGGGAGCGAAGGTTCGCGTGGTGTGCCTTCTCGTCGGCAAGGCTTCTAACTAATGGAATGTAGTGGAAAAAAAGTGTTCAAGATGTGGATGGAGAAGTCTTATGTGGTTTGTCGCCGTCTATATACATGTCCGAATATGAAAAGTCCATGGCTGATCGAATCCCAGTTTCGCAATTCACCCTTCTCGCCTCGACCAAGAAAGGCAATAAACCCGATTTCCACCGGTCTGCAGCCGGCGACGTCGCCAAAAACCTCTACACGACCTTTTTCCAAAAAGTCCAGAAGCTGTACTCCGAAGATAAAGTCAAAGACGGCGTGTTCCAAGCCATGATGGATGTCGCCTTAGTGAACGATGGCCCTGTAGGTGTAGATTATGCCTACGAGGACGGCGAGGTAGCCACATGGCCGAACCGCCTCCATTGCTCGCATATGGCTGACTGAGAGTAGGTCACGATCACGATCGATACCGCGCCGCCGAAACTTGATATGGCAGGGGAGGGGCCGGTCCATGCCGAACGGACGATCAGTGTGGACGAGCTCATTGAGAAGCTGGAGAAGATGAACCCGGGTTTCAAGTTTCCGCCTGAGCTGCTTGAGTAACTTTGGATATTTTGAACGGCATTTACTCATTACGACAAGCTAGCGCTACGTGGGCAAGGGGTTACGGTTGGGTATATCTTGGATAGAGGTCAGGGCAACCAATACAGGACTGAGTACGTCATATAATTCCATACAAATCAGTTCCTTCCATTTTCCATAGGCATCACCATCCTCTATGATCAAATTGGACAACACACTCGTATTGTTTGTTGTCATCGCTCGTGTTCAGTCAACCTTGCTGCAAGGTGCTGTTGACGATGTGGGGGTGCTGGTTAATGGTTATTGGTTTGGTGATGCTCACCGCACAGACCTCTCTCGAGCTTCGTCGTGGTTTCTGGAGGCTTCTATCAACCGAGACCCAAAATACAAACACAACCAGAAGAACTCCCACCACTTTCAATCCTTTCCCAGCCAGATCTCACTCTCAGTCAGCTTCAGTGTTCAAAATCCAGAACCAATCTTCCTCTACACGAACAGTCTACCACACTCGCAATGGCGGAATCCTCAGGTAAGTACCGTCTCAACGGGGCCGTTTGCAGCAGCCATGCTCACGCTGAATTTAGGTCGCAGCCGCGTCTACTTCGACGTCCAGGTCGGCAAAAAGCCGCTGGGAAGAATCTCCATGGAACTGGTATGTCTCCCCATGTAACTATCTGACAGCATCGTACTGACCTCTTCCTCACCAGTACAACGACATCGTCCCCAAAACCGCCGAGAGCTTCCGCGCCCTCTGCACCGGTGAAAAAGGCACCGGCACCACCGGAACCCCCCTCCACTTCAAAGGCTCCACCTTCCACCGCGTGATAAAAGGCTTCATGATCCAGGGGGGCGACTTCACGCAGCACAACGGCACAGGCGGCGAGTCGATCTACGGGGAAAAGTTCGCGGACGAGAACTTCGACTTGAAGCATGAGAAGCCGTTCCTGCTGAGCATGGCGAACGCGGGGCCCGGGACGAACGGGTCGCAGTTCTTCGTGACGACGGTGCCGACGCCACATTTAGATGGGAAACATGTGGTGTTTGGGGAGGTGTTGAATGGGAAGAGCGTGGTGCGGGAGATTGAGAATATCAATACGGGGCCAAATGATAAGCCGCCGATCGATGTTGTGATTACGGGTAGGCCGATATATCACTAGAGGGAAGTTCAAGTCCATGGTAGCGCTAACAAATTCCAGACTGCGGTGAACTGAAAGGCGACGCCTACGCCAAAGCGACCGAAAAGCTCCCCGACTCCACCGGGGACCCCTACGAAGACTACCCTGAAGACCAACCCGCCGCCGACCTCACCGCCGCCTCCATCCACCGCATCGCTGCCGACCTCAAAGACATGGGCAACCGCGCCTTCAAGGCCGCCGACCCCGCCGTCGGCCTCGCCAAGTACCAGAAGGCCCTCCGCTACCTCTATCAATACCCGGAGACCGCCGACGACGAAAAGGACCTCGAGCTTAAGCTCTCGTCCCTGAAATTCGCCCTCCACAGCAACTCCGCCCTCCTCCACCTCAAGCTCAACGATCCTGAAAGCGCCGCGAAGTCCGCCGACGCCGCCGTCGACACCGCCGACTCTGACGGGAAAGACTCGCTGATCACCTCCGCGGAGCGGGCGAAGGCGCTGTATCGCCGCGCGCTGGCGAAGACCGCGAAGAAGGACGATGAGGCGGCCATGGCGGACCTGAAGGCGGCGCTGGCACTGGTGCCGGGGGATGCGGCGATTACGAAGGAGCTGGGGGCGGCGAAGAAGAGGGAAGAGGAGCGGAAGAGGAAGGAGAAAGCGTTGTATAGTAAGTTTTTCCAATAAGGGAGGGAACTGATACATGGATGGAGTTAGGAGGGAAAAATGGGGTCGGTTGTGAGCTGGGGGGGATGGAATTGGTGGCGCCGGCATGTCATAGCGAGGGGATTTTTAGAACAAGAAAGCGATACGGGTTAGAGTTCATGATTCATGCGAACACGACTGAACTAGGTACGATCCGTGGCGAGAATCATATCATTCGGAGTGATCGCGAGACGATCTGACCTAAAGTGTGAACAATCGGCACCTCATGTTAGATGAGCCCTTCGGATAATTAGGCCAGAAATATATCCGGAATTTCGCCATCACGCCGCGGCTAGAAAGTATGTTCTTGATATCATGAATTCTGTACCGACGTTTGCATTATCGCACAGATGAGAGGCGAATCCACCACCCATAAGCTAATTCATAATCCTAGCTCTGCGAATCACGCTCCCCTCCCATTATGACTCCTCATTTCCCAAACGATCGTGCACGCCGATCCATATCGAGAGAAAACTTTAGAACGCGACGAAAGCAGCGACACCCACAGCAACAACACCCACCAACAACTGACCGAAACCTGGCCGAACGGCGGCTGCAGCGCCAGGGGTACTGGAGCCGCCAGCTGCGCCTCCGGGAGAGGGTGCACCGCCCTTGCAGGTCTCAGAGCCGACGCTGGCGAGCTCAACGCCGCCGACACCGGTGGAGTTCTGACAAGTGTCGCCGCCGGCGATGGTTGCGTCGGTGCGGAAGACGATGTCGGCGCACTGGTTAATCGGGTTAGCAACCCTTGCCATTATTCTGCCTCAATGCATTTGTGACCCCGTGACACACGTCGCCATCCATGGCTACGATTGGAAGGGGAGGGGATGCTCACATTGTACAAGCTGGCACCACTGTGGGAAATCTGGATGATTTGGACGGATGCAGGCTGGCCGTCGGTCAGGTTCAGGCCCGCAAGGGCTTCGCGGCCGGTTTCTGAGATGCAAAAGATCCCAGCGCCGGTTTGGTTGAACCCTTCGACGAGGCTGACGTTGAAAGAAGTGACCGCCTCACCGAGGCCCAGATTGATGTAAGTGAATGCCCACTCGTGGCTAACATTGGCACGAACGGTGCCGCCGGTCAATGGCCATGCGGTCCGGTTGGTGGTGCTGTTCTCCTGAGAGACACCGGCGCCTGCGATGGATGTTAAAAACTTGTTTCCGAAGGTATGCAGGATTCAATTGGTCAAATCATGGCTGGAAATCAAGTATCGAGAAGATCTAAAGAAAACGTACATGGCCAGGTCCATTGAGAACGATTGGAGGCAAAGGAATCCCCTCGCCAGTACGGCTCCTGTAGCCGGAAATGGGCAGAGGCGAGCGTGAGGAGCGTAGTGAAGGTAATGAGTTGGGGAAGCATCTTGATAGACTTGTGAACTCAATTGAAAGTGGATAATTGACTTGAATTGATGCTATTTTTCGCAAGAGTATTGTGTTGGCGGTTGGGAATGAGGAATGAGAAAAATCAACATGCAGAAGCTGCCCCATGGATACATGCCGCGGAACTTATACTCGGTAGCACCCCACTCGGCGATTGAGCAAGTTTGCTTTTCCGCGCCATTGGGACCCAATTCGAAGTCAGACTTCAAAGGCAGGGTAATTGACTAGCCATTCATCGCGCAGCTCGCCTGTTATCTTCTCGTGGCGGCCAGTTCAAGCCTCCAGTGCATTTTGAAGGGAATATGTGATGCAGCGAGCAGGAAACCCATGAACAAAGGGCTTGGAATATGCGGAAGCTGCTACACGGATGATCGAATGTACTCAGCGCTATACTGGGTGCGTTCAAGATGGATTGGCCAATTGCGAGAACAACGGGCTACCGCATGCGGTAAACCCAAGCTTGCCCTGCACGTCCACACGATCGGTCCCCTGGCACAGTGATCTTCTGTCCAGTAGAGGTCTAGAGCATAGCCAAGGGGACGGACATCGGGCTGCAAATCCGAGAGCCATGGCAAGCTCCCGAGTTGGTTCTCCGTTATTCTTTCGCTAGTGCCGGCTACAGATCCTACGGTATATCAACCAGTCCAGGATGGTTTTACAAGAACTCAAGATGTTCAGAACGATTGTGCTAGTTGATCCGCCTTGGAAGATTGCTCCTCTCGTGTTTCTTGTTCCACTAGGCATCTAGTATGGATCGAATGCCTAATGATCGATACCTAAATTTATTGCAGTTGTTTAAGCAGGTAGCGAAGTCGCATGACCGACCCTTGCTATGGCGCACGCCGGATGCCGTAATACAGCGTGGAGACCGAACAGGAAAGTGTTAGAGTTACTGGAGTGAGTTCGGTGTACGGTTTAGTGCCCGTTATTCGGATCATCAGGTAAACTGAAAGTCAATAATAGGACAGTATTACGAAAACACCAACGGGGAAGGAGGTGAGAGAATGGTGAAGCAAGAAGTGAGGTTGGAAATGTGCGCAAACTACCTCAACTGTTCGGTGCGCTAGCAGGGGGAGTTCTGCGTCCTCGGGAAGTCGCGATGGAGTTGGCCAATCAGATCTGCAGTTTGGCCCTGACCATGTCCGATTTGCGCAGTTGCGGGGATATCACCCCCAGGCCCTGCCACATGCCCGCAAGCTGCCAATGCGGTTCGCTTTGAATCCTCATTCACTGTGTGGATTTCATTGTGTTGGCAACTGACATCTTCTCCCGGTTGGCGGCTAGAGTCTCCGATCCGGAATTGGATTATGGATCCGACCATCCGGTTCTCGGTCGTGATGTGTGTGTTACCAGAATAAGGGAATCCTTCAGACTGGGGACGAAGCCGCCTTGTGGCCTTGTTGACTCGACAACATATCGGAGGATCCAATCCCATGATCCCATCATTCCATGTCATTGATGCTGCAGCTGAAACGATTCAAGATGAACGCTCAAGGCCGAAGTTCCATGATTGAAGCATTTTGATAAAGTTAACGATTGAAATGAACAAGCCCAACACCATCATTGACAATTGATGATGGATAATAATGGCACCAGAATTCGCAATTCGCAAGACTCTCGCCCGTTACGCCGACCTACCTTATATTCTCGCCTCAACCGGACCGTAATTCGGATGTTTGACATGTTACAAGGGGTGTGATATGAGAACAGGGTATTCGCACAAAGTTGCGCAGCGGACAGCACTTTGGCAAGGATTGAGCGCTACGGCCGGCTCAAGAAGATGGCCGGTGGTGCTCTTGTTGTGCGTTAGTATGGAAGCGTGTCGTGGATGGTATCGAAGCCGTCCCTCTCCGCTCAGGTGCCAGTAAGGGGTTGGCGCATGATATGACCAGCTCTCTGGCGAGGCGAAACGTGTTCGCGAGGACGATTGCAAAGGTTTTTAAGTAGCCCCCTCAACGCTTCGGTAAGCTGGATTACCCGTGGTGTAAATATATCGTGTGTCTTGATCGTGGAGCAACCTTTGCCTCGTTGGTGGGAGTCGCGAGAGGAACAAGGCGACGGATGCTGGTCTGACGGTGGTGATTTCCTTTTGGTGGGCAATGATGGAATTCAATGGTCTTGCTGAACTGCTGGAAGTAGAGGCAGATGCAGGGTGTGCATGGTAAAGTTATGCGTGGCTAGGAATTGGAAACGATATTGTGGTGTTGATGCTCATGTACGATCAAGAGTCTTGGATCAGGCCAACATGCCCGAGAACCGGTAGATCACCAATCAGTCAACCTCAACCCTCACTCAAGACCATCCCACCAGTTCGCTTTAATATGCCCATTGCATTAATTCTGGGAATAGAGTGGATTATGGATATCTAAGTAACGCCCCTCCCCGTCCATGCACCACCCGCTCGTGCGGCTCGATTGTAGAAAGAAGCCCTCGTGAGATCGTGACGAAAAAAGAAATTGACCTGTCGCAAGGATAGGGGTGCGGATAGATGTAGTAGGCGGCGATCCCCTCCCCTCGCCATTGAAACTTTTAATGATTAGCTGCCGCCGTGGATGGACTCCCAGGTCCTCGCCGCCGCCTTTTGATTCGTTGGTACGCCCCTTTCCGAACCGTCGTCGAACGAAGATGCCACCAAAATCCTCCCGGCAAGCAGTACTAGCATCAACTCCACCGGTAGAGAAGTGTGAGCGTCTCGTCACTAAGGAAAGCTCGCGTCGATGGGCATCTGGAAGCCTTTCACGGAGAACTCATTCCGAACATAGACTGCCACTGAGTCCAACTTCTTGCGCTGCACATGCAACGCCCCCAGCCGGATGTCCTTCTCGTAATCCGACAGCTCCTCCCACGTTTTCCCACCGTTGAGTGGCGCCGGCTTGACAGCACGCGCTTTTTGCGCCGTTGTGGATTCCTGGCTGGCGGAGGACGATGGACGCGAGCCGTCGGTGCCTTTCGGGGATGGGGCGCCGGAGGGGGTCCCTTGACGTTGCCGATCGGTGGGGACGGTGGGCGGGAAGCGCGGCGATCCAACCCACTCGGCGTGCGTCTTGAATTCCGTCAGGGTTCCGCGCGGGGCTGTCCCCATTAGGACGAGGATCAGATTCGCCTGGATCTCGCGCGCGAGGACGCTGCATTTCTTCTCGGGATATTGGATCGTGAGGGCGTTGAGTTTCCGGGGTCCCTTGGTCGATGTCTTGGAGGGTTTCCGGTATGGATCCGAAGCGGATGCATGGAAGTGGTGGGCACCAGCGGTCATGGCAATTGAAAATGAACTCGGGTCCTTGCGGTCGAAATCGTTCCAGGCAAGGGTTACCATAGCGGCGATCTCCTTGGCCTCATTGGTGTCAACAGGGGTGGAATATGCGATCAGAGTGCCATTGCGAGACATGAGGCTACACACAAAGTTAGTGAAAGACAATTGAGTTATAGGCGGGCATATTCAGAGTGAGTATCTTGTGGAGTCAATGGAGCGCCCGGGCCTTCTGGTCTACGTGAACCTGATAAACCCGTGCCAATCACTCTCAATAGAGATGTACGAAGAGGTTCCAATATGCAGGGTAGACTCTCGAATTGCATATTGACATCGTTCAATGAGAGAATGAGGGGGTGCACTTACAAAATGTGAGGATAGATGGCTTTGTCGACATTTTTGGTGAGAAGCTCACTGATACCCTTGATCTGGAGCATATCGGCTGAGCTTAAGAGTTCAGTCGATGTCAAGGCGTCTAAATCTCTAGGGAGATGTGATAGAGAGCGGGGGGATGGGGATTCGACTGCGGTCTCGTTGGATGTCGACTCAAGTGGCCGCTGGCGAAGCCGGGAGCGAGTGACAGATTGAGCGAGTCTGTTCAAAGAATTCGGTGGTGAGGGAGAGTTCGAGGAACCAGAGATACGCCGAAACGATCCCCAATGACTGAATGCAGTTAGTCTCTTTGCGTCCACATCGAATACCCGATCCAACGGCGCCCAGCTGAAGACGTGACCCATGACGGCGGTAAGAGAGAAGACCAAGATTATTATTAATAAAAAAAGGAAAGATTATGCAGGATAGAGTAGACTGAGAGGTATGAAAGAAGATGGAGAGAGAGGTAGAGAGGCGAATTGACAGGCGCGCTGAAAGTGAACAGTGTGATAACGAAAGGGACCCGCGCAGCAGGAAAGTGAAACATGATGGCACTCACTTTTTGAAAGTGAATTTATTATCAGGAACCACTGTCGAACTATAGTCGCCGAGATAACTGCACGAAATCCGACGAAGTCCTCCCTCTAAGCCTGGAAATATATCAGTTGAAGCTGGTAAAGGAGTCCTGTGAATGGGAAAGGATCGCGATAGGAGAATAACCTAGGAATTATGATAATAATGGACGCTTGAAGGCACATCTCACCTTTTAGTTCTAGATAATAGGCAAATCCGTATATCGGCCGGGTTTTCTTTTGTAAAGACTGTTAAGGACGAGGAATGGAATCACATTGAGTTGGAGGGAGTTGTGGAGGGATGGAGCTACGATGTTTAGGTAGTTGATGATCTATGGCGCTTGGGCGTTGCCGCCTGAGGCGTTAAGGAAGAAGAATAGGACAATGGGCCAATACAAATTGAAAGGCACGTGCCCAGCCATTCAATTCATCAAATCATCAGTTCATCACCCATCAGGGTATCACCACGTTCATGGAGTACTTTAGCACGAATTGGAGAGATAAGGGACTTAAATGGCAATGAAGGCTCTATTCATGGGAACCATCGATGCCAATTGAGAGGTCTACACGATGTGCCTTTACTTGAAGAAATGACCACTCGGCAAATAGCATATCCGTCAGTTCCTGCTTCCTCTGGATTCGTCCAAACCAACCCCCAGCCGGCTGGCGTCATCGCCGAGCTCGCAGCTAAGCTCTCTTCGTGTGGCTGTTATCGCGATACCCCTCCAAGCCACTGTGCTGATTGCTGCTTCTCTTTTATCGTGAACCACTTCAATTGTGCGTATCCGTAGATGTTTCGTGCTGCCACTAGATCCTTTGCAAGTCAAATTCCCAAGATGGCCTCCAATCCTTCCAAATATAAGTTTAACCATTCCATGTGAGTCCACCAAGTCTCCATGTCCGCGATCCCACGACGCTGACCCCGAGTCGAGGCTTCGGGTGAAAGACCCCCAAGTATCGGTCAAGTTCTACGAGTTTATCGGCATGAAACTCATCAACAAGATCCAGAATCCCGACGTGAAATTCGACGTCTACTTCCTAGCGTACGACACACCGTCCGCCGTCTCCGCGGGGAAGCACTGGACGGACCGCGAGGGCATCATCGAGCTGACGCACAACTATGGCACCGAAAACGACCCGGACTATAAGGTCCACACGGGCAACAGTGATCCGAAGGGGTTCGGGCACGTGTGCATCTCGGTGGATAATATCCAGGCGGCTTGTAAGCGGTTGGAGGATGCGGGTTATAGGTTCCAGAAGAAACTCACGGATGGACGCATGCGGCATATCGCTTTTGCTCTCGATCCGGATGGTTACTGGGTTGAGATAATCGGGCAGAAACCCCTGGAAGAGACCGAGGCGACCACGACGACTGATGTGACTACCTATCGCATGGTATGCCGGTTCACCAGCAGCCTCGGACATTCAATCACCGTTAACTTCCCCTCTAGAACCACACCATGATCCGCGTCAAGGATCCCGAGAAGTCCCTCGCCTTCTACCAAGACATCTGCGGCATGAACCTCGTCCGCACCCACGAAGTCGCAGCCGCCAGCTTCAACCTCTACTTCCTCAGCTACGGCGCGTCACCCGCGGACGGACCGAGCGGAGTCAGCCCGATGGCCGGTCAGGAGGGCCTCCTGGAATTGACGTGGAACTACGGGACTGAGAAAGACGCTGATTTCAAGTACCATGACGGCAATGCGGAGCCGCAGGGGTTCGGGCACATTTGTCTTGCCGTGGATGATTTGGAGGAGGCGTGTAAGCGGTTTGAAGAGAAAGGGGTCAATTGGAGGAAGAGGCTGACGGACGGCCGAATGAAGAATATTGCTTTCATTCTAGGTGAGACCTCTGGATGGGACAATTACTCGGTGTGTACTGACAGTTGCTTGCAGATCCGGATGGATACTGGATCGAGATCGTGCAGAATGAGAAACTCAAGCAACGATCAAACTGGTAGGTTGTCATAGACCGAATGAGGTGCTCAGTCCTTCCGGCTTGGATCTTCGGTTTAAGTGGCCATCCTCAAAAATCTGCCTCCAATGGCTGTGCAAAGACAGGTTCGAAGCTGTAGAATATCACTTCAAATAGATTGGAAATTCCTTGCGACCTACTCGCTAAAGGGTCCTCCGACATTGACCAAGACATGAAACGGAGAAAAGGTGGATAGTCCGGCTCTCATTGCGAAGTTGCTAACATCAGTATATATCCTGTTATTCATTCCACTCCACACTCGTTGCCATCTCACAAAGTAACCACGCTCGCCTCCAAAACCCCCTCCTCTCCAATCAGCCCCTTCACCACCGCATCCTCCACCGGCCGATCCACCTCCAAAATCATCAACGCCTCATTCTCCGATTCCACCCCCCCGTTCCCCTCAAACGTCTTCCCCCCCGTCCGCAGCGGCGCCACGCTCATGTACCGGATATTCACCCCGGCTTTCCCCAGCCGCGACCCCACGAACCCGATCTTCCCCACGCTGTCGAAGTTCCGGCAGATCAACAGCGTCCCCGCCGGCACGAAGTTCGTCGAGAACCGGTCCAGCGTGCGGATGTACGGCGTGTTCGCCGACACGAAGCCCTGGATCTCCTGCTCCTCCTCCGTGGCGTCCGCGCTCGCGCCGCTCGAGCGGGAGAGGCGCGCCTTCAGCGTCACCGAGGCGGCGTACCCCTTCTCGTCCACGTTCTCGCGCGATCGCGACTCGTTGATCGTGATCCCTCGCTCTTTCGCCACCAGTTCTGCGTTAACGATGTTCACGTTCGTACCATCCGGCCCCGCGATCGTCGCCAGCAGGCCCTTCACCAGCGCCGCGAACAACGGTTTCGTGGTGTTCAGGTTCGCTAACGCGCCTTCGTAGATCAGGTCGAACGTCGTGCGGAAATGCGCGTTCGTCCCGGGTAGGCCGTCGCGGCGATAGCGCGCGCAATGCTGCGTGTACAGCGTCCCCATCTTCTCCACGAGCCCGACGAAGGGTTTTAGCGTGCCGTATTCCTCGGGGAGAATGAAAGGGGCGTTGACAGCGGACCGCGGCAGCTGGCCCGCGAGGATGAGAATCACCTGCTCGCAGACGTCCAGGGATACGTTCTCCTGCGCCTCGACGGTGCTGGCCCCGAGATGCGGGGTGGCGACGACGGCGGGGTGGGCGATGAGGCGGGAGGTCACGGAGTCGGGCTGCGGAGGCTCGGAGGTGAAAACGTCGAGGCCGGCGCCGGCGATGGTTTGGGCGGAGAGGGCGGAGAGGAGGGCCGCTTCGTCGATCATGCCGCCTCGAGCGACGTTGAGGAGGCGCGCGGTGGGCTTCATGATGGCGAGCTCGGCGGCGCCGATCATCCCTTTTGTGCTGGCAATTAGGGGGGTGTGGATGGTGAAGAAGTCCGCGAGGGGGAGGAGGTCTTTGATAGATGGGTAGAGGGTGACGTTCGCCGCGGCGGCGATATTGGGATTGGCATAGGGGTCATAGGCGATCAAGTTCATGCCCAAGCCTCCGGCTTGACGAGCAACGGTGAGTCCCACTGGTAAAAGAGTTCGTTAGATGAGTCGAATCAGATTTAGCTACTCTCCATATTCACCCGGAGATCAAGATACAACTTACCCTTCCCGAGTCCTACAATCGCCAATGTCTTTCCCTTCACCTCAACACCCACAAGTCGGCTCCTCTCCCATTTCCCGGCTTTGAGACTCGCACAGGCATCGCCGACATTCCTTGCAACGGCCATCATCACTGTCCAGAACCATCAGTCGGACATCATCAAATTGGAATTGTCCCCTTGATACTCACATGCGATGGTATGTTCCGCCGCCGCATTGATATTCCCCACTGGACTATTCACAACAATCACTCCCAACGTCGTCGCCGTCGCTACATCGACATTATCCACGCCGACGCCGGCCCTCGCCACGACCTTCAACTTCTTGCCGGCCCTCAGCAGCTCGGCCGTCACCTTCGTCTCGCTACGGACGATGAGGGCATCGTAGTCCGGGATGATCCGGAGGAGCTCCTCGGGGCTGAGGCCATGCTTCTGATGGATCGTGGTCGACTTCTTGAGGATCTCGATGCCGTCTGGGGAGATTTTCTCGGGGATGAGGATCTTAGGGAGGGCGGGTTGGAAGCCGGGGGCGGGGATGGGCATGGCGGATGGTCAAAGGGGTGGGCTATCTTGACACAGGTCAATGAGAAGGGGCCACTGGCGGCACGAACAAGGTTCACTGAAAGACGAAAGGGAAGAAGGACTTGACGATGACTGTGACAGTAATCAAAGAATGAAACAGGTTGGCTTCGCGCTCACCCCGCGGGAGGACATGGCCTGAATGAAATAGAAAAAGCACCTCCGGCTAGACCTTTCCATCGTTTGCCAATCGCACTCCACTCGACTCAGCCACGGTCACCTAATTTTTCGCCGGCATGCCGCGCCGTATGTGTTACGTTGTGCTAATTCACACAGCAGATCCGTTGGGTGACTTGTGTTGCTGGATGAAGCAAAGCCTGGGCCGGTTGCGGAGACGCTAAGATTTGCGCCAGGACGTTTTTTATGGCGTTCCCCCACGTTAACCCCGCAGCGTGAGTCGTGGGCAATGCGGGATGGAGGGGGAGATGAGGTCCTCGTCACGTCGTGGCGCCGATGGCAATCCTTCCGACTGGTTTCCCTGGGTTTATATTACGGTCAATTGCATCAAAGACCATGATTTATCATTACTGTGATAGGGTCCATAGCCTACCTACTTCAGTGCCCAAGAATGTGACAGCATGGGATGAAACGTTATACGATGCCATCCTACTACCTCGTCTGTCCAAGCCGTAACTCGCGAAGACTCCTAAGAAGCGGAGACACCACATCGGAACCGCTCTAGGAAAAAGTAATCTCCGATTTTAGGATCTCTCGATGCTTCCGTGTGTTCGTCTCCGATTTCTAGCCGAGTCAAATGAGGCGACAGGCGTTCGTGACAGTCGCCTTTGAAGCACGCCGTCCGAATAATATCTCCTGTTACTCGACAAGCACACGGGAACGAGGCGCCTTTTCTGCTGTACAGTCATCAACCGAGTGGGGGTCATGTCACATAGAACAATAGCACTAGGATGGAACAGGAAAATACGATCATAATTCGATAATTCCACAATGATTCGCATACACGTTCGATCGAGGAAACTCATTCTAGCACTAGTTTCGCCACCCCCCATCAACACCCTCGGAGGGTTGGAACCCCCGAACCCGTCTCCACGCTCCCGGTATTGGCCCCCTTCCTGCGGTAGGATTGAAAGATAGTTGACGTGAGGGGGGAAAAGCGAAGGTCAGAACAATTAGTTGCGATGGAGGCTCGCTGGCACGGGCCGAGGACAATTGTCCGATGTCCCGAGAGTATCCCACCGTGATGAACGATTCGATCTCATGCCGTGAATGGAAGCGCTGCGAAACCTCGGATTTGGCCATGGAATCGCTCCGGATGATTAGTGTGGCTCTATGGTCTTCAAGGGATGAACAGTGCTCCTCCGCTGCGCTTCACTCTGCAGGTGAATCCACATCACTCCTTCGACAACGGGTCCACCTCCTCCATCCCCGCCTGGCCCCGTCTCGGATCGTTCCGCCGCATGATGCTCTCCACCGGCCCCAGTAATCTCTGGAATGCGTCCTTGCCCATGGTGGCAACCTTCACCTCGGACTTGCTAATGACGCTCGCCGCGCGCGGCTGATCGTCGAGCAGCGCCAGCTCGCCGAAGTAGCCGCCCTTCTCAATCCGGTTGATGGGCTTGTCGGCGCCGCGCTTGAACACCTCCGCTTCCCCCTGCTCGACGATGTAGAACGCGTCGCCCGGGTCCCCTTCGCGGATGATGGTAGTGCCGGGCGGGTATTTCTTGCTCTCCAGCGCGTCGGCGATCTTGCTGCGCTCGTACGGCGTCAGGGTCACGAACAGCGGGACCTCCTCGAGGAACTTCTCGTACATCCGGCGGCGCTGGAAGGCGCTGTCCATCAGGATGCGGCGGAACGTGACGCGGTCGAGCGCCCAGAGGGTGGAGGACTCGGCGGACACGACGGAGGCGGCGCGCGGGGCGTTGTACATGAGGGCCAGCTCGCCGAAGGAACCGCCGGCGCCGACGGTGCCGACGTTGTTGCCGAGGCCCTCGATGCCAGGTTGGATCTTGCCGGAGGGGTGGACAAAGACGTCGAAGGTGCCGGATTCGACGACGTAGAAGTTGTCGCCCTCGGCGCCTTGTTCGATGACTTTTACGCCTTTGGCGGGGATGCGCTTCTCCTGTAGGGCGCCGAGAACCTGGGAGGACTGCTCCTCGTCGAGGTGGGCGAAGAGGAAGTTCTGGGCCACGGCGTTGGTGAGGCGGGTTTGTTGTTCCTTGGTCTTAGGATAGAATGGAGGGACCCAATTGGAGCTGAAGGTCGAGGCCGGGTCGAGGGACTCGGCGGAGACGGAGATACGACGGTTGAGGTTGTAATTATTGGGGAAGTTGGACGCGTCGCCACCTCCGGATGGGGGGGCACCAACGGATGCACTGAAGCCGCCAAAATTGAATTGATGGCCGTCGGCGGTGGTTCCGTTGCCAGCATCGCGGGGGTTGGAGGCGTTCATGGTGGTGTCGAAAGGGTTGGAAGGGAAAGACGACGCGGTTGGGGAGGCGACGGCCTCATCTTCCTGCAACGCTTGCATTCCTCGGATGTTGGGGTCGACCATGCCGCTCTTGCGCGACTGCGGGTTGGCGACCAGGAATTCGTGCCGCTGCGAGGCGAGGCGGCGTTGGAAGTAGTCGGCGCAGAATTGAAGGATGTCGTCAGGGCTGGCTTCGATGAATTCGCGGTTGAGGGTATTGATTTCATGGAAGTATTCCGGTGGAAGCGACATGAGGATCGAGGTTACAACTTATGAGGTAGCGAGGGATCGGGGTAATGCTGTATTATGCAATAGTCCGACTGTAGTGCGGCGGGGGAGGAGGAGACGTGGAGAGGATTGGAGCTGGGGTGTAGCTGGGGAGGAGGATTTGGCGGGGATTGATGATGGTATGGAGTTGGGGGAGGTAACAGGTTCGATTTGATGACGGCTGGTCCGACGACACCGGATTTTGTTCGAATAAGATGAACTGGAATCTTTTCCTGGTGCGAGCGAGTCCTTACAAGTATACAGTAACGCGAGAAGTGTTGCATAGGTACTTGTAATACATAGAAGAAGTGCGAAGAAGTGGCTCTAATGGTCAGGTCAGAGCTTGAGTCAGCACCGCACTTAGAGTACCAGGGGACTACAGAGGAGCGTTCAGCCCTGAAGCCTTCAGCAGTGCGCAATAATGAATTGCAATAATGAAGTGTCTCAACTCTTAGACTCAGACCGTCGGTTGCATCTCACATCAAAGAAACAAAGATGCCAGTCCACAGTCAACAGAAGGTGCTTGACTGCTTGCAAAAGCCCAAGCTTGCATGGAACCTGATGCATGATGGTGAAATTGGGGGGAGCTGGTGAGCAACAGCTGGTTCGTAGTTCGTACCGGAGGAGGTGAGGGGCTTGCATGAATTGCATGAATTGCATGAATTAATCAATTCGACAGCTCCAAAGGCTCCAAGCGCCCTTCTTCGCCCCCTTCTAGAATCCATCCAGAAGCTCTTGCGAAGCTTCCCAACCAACCCAGCTGCCAGCTGGAGATGACGTTGACATGGAACATTGGTATTCCGCTACCGGTATTTCCGCTATAGGTGTTCTTTCAGTACGGGTGGTAACCTATACAATATGATTAATAAATACCACTGATACCTTGCTGCCTCTGTCTCAAAGCATGATCGGTGCCTATTTTTAGTATTATTCCGCCCAGTGCGGAGTAACTGAAATTTAAACTGACCTAAAATTGAACAACTGGAACTGTTCCGGGGTTGACCCCAACCCCTCCTGATGCCTTGATGCCTTGATGACTTGGTGCCTTAACTTCTCAGAATTTGCACGTGATGTCACGTGGTGTCATGTGCAAGGATTTCCCCAACCTCCTCTCCAATTCTCCCTGTAATCTGTATGCTGCCATCGCATCCTATGCTCTCCGTAGCTGATAGAGAAGGTCCTAAGAATCTTCCGCGGAACCGTGTGCTTGTACTAAGCGCATTGTAATTAGCTGGGGTCCTTTAGTGGTGGTTGATCTCACCTAGCGCCAGAGCAGCCGATTGATAGTCTGTGATCGATTTCCTCGGGCGAGCCGTGGTATATTTACGATCCCTCCTCAACAGTTGTCTCGGCGCCCTTTGCAAACGGATTCCGCCCAATTCCGTGATAGACCGCATGCTTGTGATCCAGGCAACGCCCAACAAAATCCCCCAGTGCTGTCATCGTTGGGGCTCCACGCTATTCGCTTTCACTCCGCATGCCCCACTCTCTTTCGCTCTGCACGTCCCACCACACTTCTCCCCATACGCAAACGTCAACTCCATCTTCTCGCTCTCCATTGCTTCAAGACCGTCTCGACAACCTCGAGTGACCGCAGGTCTCAAGCAATATGTCGTCCGCCTTGGACGATGAGGACTTGTCCTTGTCGATCTCGGCACCCAATCCTCGCCGTACACCGACCGGCCCGCCAGCCGACCCTCGTCATGGCCGGCAGGCGGTCCCCCAAGCGATCCAAACCACGCGAACCGATCCGGCGTCCAAGAAAGCCCAGCAGCGCATGGGGGCGTACAATATCGTCAAGACTCTCGGAGAGGGTTCATTTGGGAAGGTCAAGCTCGCCGTCCATGCGGTCAGCGGACAGAAGGTCGCGCTCAAGATCATCGCCCGTCGAAAGCTGGTGACGCGCGATATGGCCGGCCGGATCGAGAGAGAGATCCAATATTTGCAATTGCTCCGGCATCCGCATATCATCAAGCTCTACACTGTCGTGACTACGCCGTCGGACATTGTCATGGTGCTGGAATACGCCGGGGGTGAGCTGTTCGATTATATCGTGCAACATGGCCGCATGTCGGAAGAGAAGGCTCGGAGGTTTTTCCAACAGATCATATGTGCGGTCGAATACTGCCATCGCCACAAAATCGTCCATCGAGACTTGAAGCCGGAGAACTTGCTGCTGGACGAGGACTTGAACGTCAAGATCGCCGACTTCGGCCTCAGCAATATCATGACGGACGGCAATTTTTTGCGAACCAGCTGTGGCAGTCCCAATTACGCTGCACCGGAGGTCATCTCGGGAAAGCTGTATGCCGGACCAGAAGTCGATGTGTGGAGCTGCGGCGTCATTCTCTATGTCCTCTTGTGTGGTCGGCTCCCCTTCGACGATGACTATATTCCCTCGCTCTTCAAGAAAATTGCCCAAGGCACGTACTCGATTCCCCCGTATGTCACTCCCGGACCTCGACGCATCATCTCGAAAATGTTGGCGGTGAACCCGGTTCACCGCATCACCGTCCAGGAAATTCGAAAGGATCCGTGGTTCAATACGGATCTGTCCCCGTACTTGCAGATTCCCCCGGAGGAGTTCTACAATACCGGCGTGGACCCAAACAAGGCCATCGACCCTCGCGCGCTGGCTTCGTCGAAGCAGGACGAGGCGGTACAGAAACTGCATGACACGGTGGTTGGTAAGCTTGGGAAGACGATGGGCTATGGAAAAGACGACGTGCAAGAGGCGTTGGCAAAGGACGAACCTAGTGCGATCAAAGATGCCTATCTCATCGTGCGCGAGAACCAAATCATGAAGGAAAATCGTAAGTCACAGGCAAGGTCGCAACACAGGCTGCCACATGCTCCCACTTACATCGTATGCTAACATCACCGTCAACAGCACTCGTCACCCGGGAAGCTTCACTTCAAGGCTTCGTGGCTCAGTCTCCTCCTCCCGCAAATTCCCACCTTCCCCAAACCTCTTCATTCTCTCAAGACTCAACTCGTATGCCGCCCGTCATGTCACGCGCCAAAGGCCTGGTCCCCGATCGTGGACAACACAGATCGTCCCCCGGCGCTCAACCATCCCCCGAACCTCGTCTCCCACAGAGCAAAGTGTCCATCCTCCCGAGCAGCCTTCCTGAATTCCACCGAGCCTACATGGCTGGCCTTCCCAAGCCCTCCGCGCGACTCGGAAGCCAAACAGAGCTGGATGCGCCCCAGGACCAGCGCCTTCGCTCGTCGGAAGAACAGGCCGCCACCGCTGCGCGTCTCAAGCCGCATTCCCGTGGTTCGCAGATCAATCTCGAAAAAACCACCAAGCCCGATACGATGACGCCGCTTCCCCCTTCGGCGAGCAAGAAGCCAAGACCTACCAAATGGCAATTCGGCATCCGATCCCGCAACGCTCCCGCCGAGGCCATGTTGGCTATCTTCAAGGCTCTCAAGGCCCTGGGCGCCGAATGGGAGGTCCCCAAGTACCGCAAGCCAGGGCTGCATAACTACCCCAACTATCAAGGCCCCTCCGCAGCCGCGGACGACGCGGATGACCTTCCCCATTTCAGCGACGACGATCCCGATCCCGACGTCGAACCTCGCCACCGCCGTCCGTCCGTCTCTCACTCGCGGGGCCCGTCGACCACCGACAGCTCGCGGCTCCCCCGGTACGGTCCGCACAATGACTTCGGCTATCAAGTCCCCGAGGACATGTGGGTCATACATGCGCGCTTCCGCAAGGGCGGCATGTTCCCCCCGGGCGTCCTTCACCCCAGCTCCGCGCACTCTAGCCACGTCAACCTCACCGATCTCGACTCCCAACGCCGCAAGTCGGTCGCCACCGACGACGGCCCCGCCGACGCGACCGCCACCCCGCCCACCCGCGCCGGCAGCGTCGCCACCTCCGTCCAACCCGACGAGAGCGTATACGTCTTCATGACCATCCAGCTGTACAGCATCGAGAAGGAGTTCTTCCTCGTCGACTTCAAGTGCGCTGGCTACGAACGCATCGTTACCGAGGTCATCTCCGAAGTCACCCGCCAGAAGGCCCACGCCGCCGGCCGTCCGGTGCGCGAAGGCGATGCGGACTACGAGTTCGCGCGCGTCAACCCGGAGGGCGAGGAGGGCGATGTCGGGGACCATGAGCAGCTGTGGTATCGGGAGCGGAGGGAGTTTGGTGCGGGCCGCGCGGACGGGGAGAAGAAGGCAACGAGCGCATTTCCGTTCCTGGATGTCGCCGGGGAGCTGATCGCTCAGCTTGCGGAGGGTTAGATACATCATTACGCACCATGATTGAACGAAGGTTTATGCACCAGTCATTTAGGACCTTCGACTGCGACGGTCGGGAAGACCAGCATTATGACTGAGAGGCTCCGAGGAAACGAACTCCGACGGTCGAGCTTCTATTATGGGATACACACGGAAACATGGATATAATGGGATAAAATTCCGATTAGCATGAGTTATGTAAAGTATCAATTAGCGATAACGGAATGAAAAGGTTCAATTCAAATCATCACCGCACCTGACCATCTTTTAGGCATGAAAATCTAGGAAGGCATAGATAAACATTCAATTCCAGATCTAGACGCTACATACGACATGGTTCTATGCACTCATCACCGCGTCTCTAGCCTCCTTGTACAAAGGTTTAATCCCCGTCCAATATTCGAACTGATACACCCCCTGCCCGACCAACACCTCCAACCCATTGATCGTGTTCCACCCCTCCTTCTCCGCCAGCTTCATCAGATCCGTCACCGGTGGTTTATACGCCATCTCCAACAACGTCCTCCTCGCCTTCCCCACCTCCTCAACCTTCCCCATCGCAAACACCCGTTCCACCACACCTTGCACGCCACTATCAATCGGCTTATCCGCCGGCACCGTCCCGATCGCCACATGCGGCATCTCCTCCAGCTCCTCCAACGCATCAGCCCCGGTGATTACCCGCAGCCCATACGTCTCGTCGAACGCGCTCGCCAGCTCCTCCATCTTCCCTCTCGACCGCCCCACCAGGTAGATCGGCGAATACCCCAGCTGCTTCAGCGCGTAGATTGCCGCCCGCGCCGTCCCGCCCCCGCCGATGACCACTCCGCTTTGCGCGCCGGGCCGCTGCGTGCCGGCGCCGAAGTGGCGAAGCACGAGCCGCATGCCGAGCCAGTCAGTATTGTGGCCGACGAGGCGCGTGATGTGCGTGCCGGAGACGTCGGCGACGGTTTCGGGGACGATGGTGTTGATGGCGCCGATGGCGAGGGCGGAGGGGGCGAGGGAGTCGAGGTGCGGTCGGATGAGTTGTTTTAGGGGAATCGTGACGGAGGCGCCGCCGAAGGTCGGGGAGCGGATGAGCTCGAGGAGTTCCGGGGTCACCTCGGCGGTTTCGTGGCGGGTGTAATGGTGGGGAAGGCCGGTGCTGCGGAACAGGGAGTTATGGAGCGGTGGCGAGCGGGATTGCTGGACGGGGTCGCCGAGGATGTAGAAGGATTTAGGGGAGATTTCGCCGAGGGTGACCAAGGTGCGGCGGATGTCGCTGGCGCTGAGCTGGCCTGGGGCTGCGGCCGCCGGGAGGAGAGGGTGGGCGACAGGCGTGAGGAAGCCGTTGAGGACGCGGCTAAGTTTGCCGTGCTCGCCCATGTTGATGGCGATCATGGGCGTCGCGCGGGATTGCGCGGCCCATTGCTTGAATTCGGCGAGCTTGAAATTGTCTTCGATGCTCTTCGCAAGACCCACGAGCTTGATGATGTCGCCGTGCTGGAGTGCTTTGTTGTAGAACGGGATCCATGATCCATTGCTCCATGACAATGTCCCTTTGGGATCATGATGCGAGGCAATGATTTTTGAATAGCCTTTGATCGCCGACACCTCGGCAAGGAGCGTCTCACTAGACGTCATCTCCAAGTCTAGGTAATCAAAGCAGAGTCGAACGGCGGTCTTGTACAGAGCCAACGCCGCTTCTTCTGCATCCTCAGGGAACTGGCCGCCTTGGCTTTGGGTCCGAAGGGTGAAGATTAGGGGTAGATGTGGTACGACGGACCGCAAGATTGCCACTTGGTCAATGAGATAGTCGACGCTTGGGACACCGTTCACATTTGCCGGATCCTTAAGCAAATCGACGCGAAGCTCCACCGCGTCGGATCCAACAGCCACCGCCTTGAGAGTTTCCGCATGAGGTTCTAGGTTGGGGTACGTCAGGCAAACGAAGAACGAATGTTTTTTCGCCTTGGCGTTCTCCAGGGACTTGTTCCGTCCTGTCATCAGCGACAAGAAGCGGGAAAAGTCATCGTGCGAAACCCCGAGTCCCTCCTGGGAGACGGTCCGGCTGTGGAAATGAAAGTTGCTGCACTCGAGAAACCACGGCTTCCTCCGCAGCCAGACACCGACCATGTCTTCCACATATGCGGGCCGTGTCTTGTCGATGTTGAGGAAGGCCATCACTTTCTCGATCTCCCGGCTGATCAGCAAGACCACACCACCGGACTTTTTGTAATCGCACAGCAATTTTCGGGCGGCCGGCATTTCGACGACGCCGCCACCGCAGGCGAGGATATGTCGGGTGGGTTTCGCTTTTATGGATCCAGAGAGCATCTTCAGCTCTTCTTCGCGGAACCCTTCCCAGCCGTGCTGCTTGATGATATCGGGAATGGACATCCCCATATGGTCTTCCAGGGCAGTGTCGAGATCAGCCAAAGGCCAACCCAAGATTTCCGAAGCCCACCCCCCTGTCGTCGTCTTGCCTGCTCCTCTCATGCCAATGATGATAATTGACTTTCCAAAACCGACGTCGGCACCATTTACGGCGTGCTCCTCGAGATCATCGGCGCCTTCGAGCGGGACCCCAAACAGTTGCGCGAGGTTGTCCCACCATCCTGGCCAAGTCTTCCCAGTGCAAGCCTTCTCCTGAACGGTAGCAGGCGTTGGGCTGACCAAGCCTAAGACACTGAAGCTCATGGCAACACGATGGTCGTCATAGCAGTAAATGCTCTGCGAAGGCGAGTCAATATCCAACCCCCTTCCATCGATTTCGATCCCATCGTCAAGCTCTCTGCAAACGACCCCGAACTTGGCCAATTGCACCCTCATCGCGGCGATGCGGTTGCATTCTTTCACTCGTTGGTTGGCGATTCCCAGAATCCGCGTGGTAGAAGTGTGGCCGTTGTTGGTCGCGACGGCAGCGAGGACTGACGCGGTAAGGAAGGCATCCGTCATCGGCTCCATATCCACGTCGGTCAATGCCTTCAATTGGCCGGGAGGTGGCCCAGTGACCGTTGTTGAGGTAGAAGTCTGCTCCACGGTACAGCCCATGGGCCGCAAGACATCGACTGCGAAGCGAGCATCGCCTTGAAGAGAGGCTGACCCAATGTTCGGGACAGTGCAGGTCGTCCCCGTAATAGCAGCTACCGATAGAGGGTAAGTCGCGGAGCTAGCATCGCTTTCCACTTCGTATGCTGCAGGGTTTTTGTATGCTTGTCGCGGAATGTGGTAAGTGTAAGGCTCGGTCTTCGACACCTCGACGTTGACACCGAAAGACGCCATCATCGCGATGGTCATATCAATGTACAGCTGCGAGATGGGCTTTCCCCCGACCAGCCGCAGGGTCACGGGCTCCATCGCGTAAGGGGCACACATCAGCAGAGACGACACGTACTGCGAGGACACGGTCGCCGCAAGTGTGATATCACCCCCTTTGAGTCCAGCGGAAGCTTCAATCCGGAGAGGCAAGCTTCCTTCGCGCTCGACATAGTCGATTTTGGCGCCGTTGGCACGCAGGGAGTCGACGAGAGGGCCGATTGGTCGTTCTTTCATGCGGGCATTCCCAGTCACGACCGTGGAGGACACGGAAGACATTTTCGCCAGGGTTGCGACGGAGGTGAGGAAACGCGATGCGGTGCCTGCATTTCCAAGATACAGCTCTTCATGGTATGCGCTCAGTTTTCCTCCGTTTCCGTTCACGACGAGCACTTCGCCTTCTTCTTCCCAGGAATAAGTCGCACCGCCCAGCTTTGCAATGGCGGCGAGCATGACTTGTGTGTCGTCGGAGTGGAGCAGATTCGTGATCTTGCAGCTGCCACTTCCCAGCGCCGCCAGGACCAGGACGCGGTTCGAGATACTCTTGGAGCCTGGTGGTTTGCAGATCACGGCACCCATGGCCGGTACATGAGGCGTGATTCGGACACTAGGAGAGAGGACCATGCGGATGTCTCGATCTGCAACTGTGCTCGCCTTCGGCTCATGAGTCTTGCCGATGGCCGACAGAAGCACAATCTTCTTCTTCGCTCCATCGTTCTTCTTGTCCACCGCCATGATCTGAATCAGGTCGTCGACGAGACAGTGCTTATTAGCGGAGCGCTTTCGAATCACTTTGTCGTCCAGCGAGATGGGCAGGCCATAGCTTGCGATACACTTGGTCAGCCGAGCGACCGCGGAAGGCGACAGGACGCCTAGGTATCGGGCCAATTCCGCCTCCTTGACCATTCCGATGGCGACACACTCTCCATGGAGGATCTGAGGAGTCAAGATGGCTTCCATAGCGTGACCAATCGAGTGCCCGAAGTTGAGGAGGTTGCGCAATCCGCCTTCTCTCTCGTCGGCCGAGACGACGTGTGCCTTCACTCGGACCGAGCCAAGAATCACTCTTTTGAGGATATCCACGATCCGCAGGAGGCTGTGTTGGCTCTTTCCATCGCTTTCAAGGCTACTCATGATGAGTTCGGCATTCTCTTCCAGGTCGGTGAAATCATCCTTCGACCATATAGCCGCCGTCTACTCAAGGGTTAGCCAAATGTCTCAGTTTCAACCACCGTGAATGCCAACATACCTTAACAACTTCTGCCATCCCATTGATTACCTCTCGCTTTGGAAGGGTCTCCAGAAACTTCAGGTCAATGTAAATCCGTTCCGGTTGCCAAAACGCTCCGACCAAGTTCTTTCCAACCGGTGTATCTATCGCCGTCTTTCCGCCGATCGATGAGTCCACCATAGCCAGAAGCGTCGTCGGTACCTGAACAAAGCGAACCCCTCGCATGTAGGTCGCGGCAACGAATCCGATCATATCCCCGATGACACCGCCTCCCAGAGCGATTATGACCGTATCCCGCGTGCATCGTTGCGCCAACAGCCAATCTTCCACATCCCCCTTGGTCGATCGAGATTTAGAGGTTTCGCCTGGTGGGATCTGGTAGGACAGGAGTCGCGCCGCAGGTTGCTGGGCGGCGAACGCTTTCTCGAACACCGGAGCATAGCGTGGGCCGATGTTCGTGTCGGTGATGAGGACGTAGGTTGACGAGGGTATGTTCGACAGGAGATCCTGCGCTACAAAGTTCTCCCAGAGTCCATAGTCGACAACGATTGTGTCCTTCCCTAGGATCTGGACCCGAGTTGGGCCCTTGAGGGCCGGGGCTCCATTGGTGATAGCCATTTCGCGATATCGGTCGGTCAATGGCAGCGCATATTGCTCCCCCGAGCAGTTACAGTGATGGAAAGGGATTGGGTCCGCTAAGGTATATCAATGGCAGCGGGAGTGCTCTGGCGGAAGGTATGCAGTTGGATCGTTGGAATGCACTGCTCCAGAAATTTATGAATCACCTCCGAGTTGATGACTCGTCTGGAAAATTAGCTTGAACATCCCCGATGATCGGGAGCTAGCTATGCTTGGTCTAGGCGATGCTTCCCCAGCCCTGCCAGCTCCAGGTCTCCAACCAGAGCATCAAATACTCAAATCACATCTCTCGTGCTGGGGATTGAACATGATGATTTTGCATATTGACCAAAGTCATCAGTCATGTACCGGTAGGTATTGAATAAATCGATCTACTTTACTCTGCAATATTCGCCCAAAGAGCGGTTGACAGCGTTCCGCCCCTCCGCATCATGAGCAACACATATTCCAATCACTAGTAGATATACCACCACAGATAGAACAATACTACTCCTCCTCACTCTCATCACTCTCATCCTCCGGCACCACCGCCCGACTCCTCTCCAACATCTCCTCCTCCCTCTGATCCTGCAACCCCTGCATCAACTCCGCTTCCAGATCCGCCTCTAGATCCGCTTCCAGATCCGCCTCCAGATCCGCCTCTAGATCTGCCTCCAAACCCGCCTCCAAATCCGCCTCTATCTCATCCATCTCCTCCTCCGGTGACTTCCCCTGCCCCAGCGCCTTATGCGCCGGCGGCCCAATAGAAATCGGCACAATATCCCGATCCTCGCCTTCGGATGCCTCGTCATCCGAGTCCTCATCCCGCTCGCCGACGGTGCCGAAGTCGATGACCTCCCTGGACACGTTCCGGGAGTGCGACGGCGTGTGCAGCCGGCTCCCTGGGCTGGCGGAGTCGGCTGCGGAGCGAAGGGAGATGGGCCCGTCGTGGCCCGGGAGGCCGAAGTTGCGGCGCTTGCGCATGGAGTCGGGGGGGGAGGCGCCGCCGAAGTCGATCTCGAGGCCGCCGGACTTCTCCGGGGGGTCGGGTTCTTCGGTGTCGGATTCGGAGGAGTCATGGACGTAGTAGGCGGACTTGACGGTCGGTTTGGATGATTTGGTGGGGGCTTTCTTCTTGGGTGGCTCGGAGGGTCTAGTTGAGGCTCGGCGGTCGAGTCTGACGGTGGGAACTTTGGATGCGGTGGATTGTGCTGGACCAGGGAGTTTGCGCTTATTCACAGTGGACGTAGTTGCCGGCTTGCGTGTAGGCGGTGGTTTTGTTGCTATCTTCCTTGCTCCCTCTGCTTTCGATATGATGGGAGTCAGCGGCCTCCCGTGTTCATTTGGAGTGGCGTTGCCCACGCGGGAAGATGGTTCGGGAGACGGGGATTTTCGCGAATGTAGGAAATGACGGTAGTCGAACGGATTCCCTGGGTCGGGATCGGAATCGTTGTCGAGTTCGGTTTCGTCCGGCCCGTCTCCTACGTCGCCTTTGCTCGACCGCGTAGGTCGGACCTGCGGGTATTGTTCCGATAGCTTCTTCGACGATTTCTCCCATGGTGCCGATGTCAGGTTGAAGCTGTAGGAGGTAGATAAGGGTTCCAAAGCGCACGTCTGGCTTGCTTGGTCGAATACCAAGATGTAGGACTGCTTAGGCTCGATCCCTGAGCCCGCGTATTCGAACCGACCTTGGCCCTCGTCTTCCTGTTCGTGAATCGTAAGTCTCGCGGCGGAGCCTTCCTGTGTGAAGGTTGTCTCGTGGGTTCGACTGGACGATTTCGGTTTATGATTGACTAGGACCCAAGTCAGACATGGTTGCAAGCCGGTTTCTTTGTCTCCTACATTTGATACTGGCAAACTTGGGGGAAGGGCGGCGTGGACGACGGATGGAATCGGAAACCCGTAGAGTATATCGTCCATTCTTCGACGGGTCTGGGGCTCGCAATGAGGGGCTCGTCACCAAAGGCGACGCCATGCTGAATGCAGCTTTGAGGACAGAACTTCTCGATGCAAACCGGTCGTGAAGGGGAGGATATGAACAATACGGCGATTCCGATCAATACTAGGAATAAAGCGAGGCTAAGCGGCGTTTAAGGAAACAAAGGAATCTGCGAATAATACTCAAGCTCTGGCCGAAACGTGACTGAGGCCGGGTGACTGTGACACGCATGCATAAAGACTCCGAATCCCAACATAATTATGACCCTCAATCAGATGGGTTATGGATAAGTAATGACATTCTTGATGGCCTAACAAATGGGCCACACTAAACGACCCACTGAGCTTAGAGACCCCGAAGTGCCACGAGACCCCGCGATGTTAATATTAATAACTGACCCTGAAATCTGAATCCGCTGGTTAGCGGGGCGGCCCATAGCCCAAATCCCAAAGGCTCTAGCCCTGGAGTGTTTCCTCCACAGGGATCAGGGTAACCAGTCAGTATTTAGAACCCGTTTGCACGTACATAGTAAGTGGATTTGTAAAGGATGCGGATGATGGGGGCATTGATCACTGTGGAACGTGAAGTTATATCAGAGGTAGGAATATATTTTCGGCTTTGATATGAAAATGCGAAGTTTGGATAATCCGCCTGACACCCTCTCAGCGGAGCCTATCCGGAACATCTAATACATAACTGACTTGCTACCGCCTACGTCCATAAGGCAGTACTTAATTTGACATTGCTCACTATCGCTTTCAAAGACATGGCCCAAAAAGATGATAAGGTTCGAACTGTCGTTCGTTCTCCACCCCCCTAAGCGGTCTTCTTCCACACTGAGTACACCCCCAAAAGCGAGCTCACGGTCCCGGCCAGGCCGATGAATCCATCGTCAAATCCGGCGTATCCAAGCGCCGTCGATGGCACGGTCAAGTCGCACAGATCGGAGACGAGCTGCATCGTCGTCGCGGTGCGTTCCCTGTTGCGTGTTAGGATTCTCAGAATGACGACCTCTCTCATGGGAGACGACTTACCGCTCGAGTTTCTTGCTCTCCACCACACCCTCACCATCCTTCTTGTCCACCGCCGCGGCTCGCTGCTTCAACTGATAGAGAGTGTAAAGCCCAGCGGTGGTGTTGAACACCAGACCGGCGATCCAGAACTTGTATGCCTCCCTCTGGAGCCTCTTTGCGGCGGAATACGACCTGATCCCCGCGGCATCAACCTATATCATTCGTTATCCCGAGTTCGCCAATGCCCACCGCCATAACCTTGGACGACGAAATACATACCACCGTCAAATTATCCAACAGCATATACCCCCCATACCCCAACTGCCGTCCCACCGCGCAATACCGCAGCACGGGATCCATGTTCTTCGCGTCGGACGCCTGCGCCGCGGCGCGGAAGTGCTCGACGAACTTGCCGATGCGCAGGATCTTGCGCGTCAGACCGAACTGCTTCTTGATGGCATCGAAGGGCGCAATCGTCGAGGTCGGGTGGTTGGTGCGGAAGAGGTACCAGGAGAGGAAGCGGGAGAAGAATTGGAGGGTGCGGAGGAGCTTGTCGCGGCCAACTATGGGGGAGAAGTATTGTTAGCGGGACGCGATGGGAGGGACGCGATTGAGGGTAAGGAGATCTATCCAGTGCAGATGGGGGACAGGCAGTTCGTACCTGTTGTGCCGACATATTTAAGGTAGTGGGAGACCGCGGGGTGGTATACGACAGCGTCGGCGACCATTTTGACTCGATGCAGTTGGGACAAGCTACGTGGGATCGATCAGGGTGAGTTCACGGATGACGAAGATGGGTTGAAGATGGTCAAGATGGATGGTTTTGGTTCATTTACGATTCTTGGGCTTGGGAAATGGGACTGGGACGTGGTGGTCAGGGAACGCTTGTGATTCTACTAAAGAAGCAACCTCGGCATCCAAACTTTCCGCGCCGATGTGGCCGATGTGGCCGATGTGGAGAAGTCAACTCCACTGCAGCTACCAGTATTCGCTATGACCATAGTTATTAGACATAATACAGACATGTGTTAACCGGTAAATAAATATTCAAGCGATTGTTCTATGCTGGATATATTTCCATATCATCTACGAAGACTAACTGTTCCATCCTTAACGGATGATTATGACATTTATTGAGTATGACATCCACCTCATCGACCACCGAGTTGGTCCACGGTCTTTTGGCACTGTTCGGCAAACGCCCCTGACAACCCACCCGATCCAAGTGTTCGGATGACGGAACGTGAAAAGATGAGCATCGGCACCGATATCCAACTTCCAAGACTCCAAAAGTCCAAATCCAAAACCGCGATCTGCTCACGAGAATTCCGCCATGAATGCCCGGTGGAATTCGACAATCCGTCCCGTCCACTCGGTCCCCGCCGCCAAAAATGTCGTCCGGAAATGCAAGGTACCCTCCTTCTGGCCAAATCCGCTACCGGGGACGACGCACACTCCGGTGGCGTCCAGTAGCCGGGAACAATACATCTCGTCGGGTGACCTGCCTTCCTTCTTGGCCTGCTCGATTGCCTTCGGAGGAAGGTTGATTGTAGGGAAAAGGTACATGGCGCCCTGAGAGCTAGTCAGTATGCATGCAAAGTGGAAACGCCGGGGGAGAACTCACAGCCGGGTCCTGGCACTCGACGCCTTCCATGAGTTTGAACGCGTCGAACAGCGCATTGGCTCTCTGCTTCAACCCGAGGAAAATGTGGTCATACTCCTGCCGGTACAGTTCGTAGCTCGGGTCCCCTTCCACAGGCGGATTGACCATCATTTCTACAAAGCACTGCCCGAGCACGGGAGGGCACAGCTGGATCGAGATGAACTTGTAGATCTGCTCGACCACCAGCGGGTCGAACCCGACGAGCTCCAAATAGCCGCCACGGTGGCCGCATTCGCCAACCATCCCCTTGCTAATGCTATGTAATGAGACTAGTTCGAGGTGATCGTACGCGCCCGGCGCTTCTTTTTGGAGATCGCGAAGCCCTTGTTTGAACGAGACGAATGACCCGATGAACACGTTGGTCTGGTACACCTCGTCGGCGATGACGACCAGCTTCTCTGCCGCGGCGAATTTCAGGACGTTACGGATGTCATCGGGCGACAAGGTGGCGCCTGTTGGGTTGCCGGGATTGACAACGACAATGGCGCGGACGTCGGTCCCTGCAGCTCGGGCGTCGGTGAGAGATTTCTTGATGGAATTGAGATCGGTGCCCCACGCGTGGGATTCCTCCAGATAATATGGTACACAGTGGGCGTTGAGGATGGAGAGGGTGGCGGTATACAGGGGATACTGCGGGATGGGAATCAGAATCCCGCTTTCAGGAGAAGCGCAGAGGATGTGGAGCATGGTGTTGACGCCCGATGAGGCGCCCCCGGAAAGATAGATCAGAGACGGGTCTGCAGGATATCCATCTCGCTCTATACCAAAATCAACATGCCATTCGTTTCAAGACGTTTACACGTCACTCACTCTCAATGAACTTGGCGACGCTCTCCCGTATTCCTGGAGCTCCCGTACTTTGGCTATAAGCACCCACACTCTTAACGTCGCCCAGGAGCTTTCGCGCTCGGTCAATCACATCTTGCTTGTACCCCAAACCGCTCTTCAGCACCTCCTCCTTTTCCAAAAGCCCCGGATGCTCCAGCAGGCTTGCTACCTGGCGGAAGAAGGTAATCGGCTTCTGATCCAGCTGTTGTGGGTTGCCAATGTTGGCCGCAATGACGGTGTCGAACGGGAGGGAGCCTTTGTCTCCCCTCTCCAGCCGAGCACGGTATTCCTCCGAGCGGACGGCGAGCTCTCCACGAACGGCATACTGGGCCGCCTTGACATTGGGATTGATATTCTCCAGAATACAACTCCAGGATCCGGCGGTAGATGACATAGTTCGACTAGTTGGGAGGGACGGCAAAACACTGAACTCGTCTGCGGATCCAAAAAGTCAGACAAAGAATTGAAAATCAAATATATTCGCGCAGTCCCGCGTCCCCTTGGCTTCGGTATATATCAGATCAGGTGCGGCACGCGTGACTGGGTGCTTTTTTTCCACCGGTAAAATTTCTGTCGGTGAAAGGACGAGTCACAGCGGTCGAAAGGAAGAACGTTCGACGCGGATTCCTGCAGCCGGGGACTGCATATGCGGACCAAAAGGAAATGCAATAATGGGGAAGGATGAGGGGACATACGACTCCGTCGGGCTATTAAGGGACTGGACCTGACCGACGCATCTTCACTAAGTCGGATGGATCGAACCGGTAGTAGACTGCGTGACCGCCTGATCAGCGACATGGAATACATCGGTATCCCGCGAACTTTGGGGTGGTGACGTGGTGTGGCAATTGGCAGCAACAGCGATATCGCTTATCTAGTTACCACCACCACAGGATCTGTGGACGTTCCTGTAATGAATGGCAGGAATGAGTGGAATGCCTGTAATTCTGTTGCAACGGCGTCTGAAGGTACCGTGGGGAAGAACTAGAAATGGGCAAACGCGGGTTGATGATCCCGATGAATTAGCAACTCTCCCAATGAAAAGGAAAACTTTCCGTAGTCTAGCTGGGGGTCGGCATTTCGTCGCCAGGTGGGGCGATTGCGGAGCCGTATGGTTACTGCCTCGCCAGTCGCGATGGAGAAAAGGTGGTAAAGTTATTAGTGTATATCTTAGTTAGTGATCTTAGTGTATCTTCGTTTCTTTGCCAAAATGAATGATGATGGGATTCGGATTTCTCCTGAAACGATTTACGATCCACTGGGAGTGAACACAAGGCAGCCAATCATGGCGGCGTGTTCTATTCGGCCAATCGGATCGTGCGTCATTTGATTCTAGTGAAGCATGGTCAATTAGCACGTGGCAAGAAAATTCCTGCTTACTAAATGTCCCCTGAGGCCCTGGCGCCTGGCGGAGTCTCACAGTCACTGAACATGGAGGATCCTCCGATTGAAATTCAAGGCAACAAGGCTTCCGAATAATTCCGGCTGCAATGCAGCGCATATGCATAAAGATATTAGTAGGTATGCTATGAACAGAGGAACTGTGAGCAACGAGGACTGACAATCTCATAAACTTAGCAGTCAATAGGCTTCGCTATCCGACGAAGAGCGTCTATGCTAAGAGTGCCCTAAATCAAACCTTGTAAAAGCAGAACGCGTGATAAAAGTTCGCCGCATCCATCTCCTGCGCCGTCACCAGCAGCTCCCCCGTGCGCGCATCGCGGACTCGCATCCGCTCACTCAGCGGCCCCAGCGTCCGATCATCCTTCTCCTCCTCCCAGATCTCTTTGAACGTCTTCCGATACTCCAGCTCCAGGTTGAAATCCTCCGCCAGCGCCCGGAACGCCTCCCACGGCACCACGTACTCGGGCACCTCCTCAACCGCCTCCTCCAGGTTGTAGAAGTACTTCCAGCCGAACGGGGGGCGGAAGATTCCGTCGGCGGGGACCGCGCCGGGGAACTTCACCTGGTAGATGTCGTTGCCCCATTGCGGCTGTTTGACCACCTCGTCGGAGAGTACGTCGGAGTTCGGGATGACGCCGATGAACTTGCCGCCTTTCTTCAGGCTGCCCGCCACGTTGTTCAGCATGGTGCGCGCCTTGACTTCGCTTTCGAACGCGTAGTGCATGCAGAACATCATCGTCACCATCTCGAATCCGCCGCCGCCGCCGGGCCCGGTACGGTTCCGAGGGTCGAACCCCACTTCTTGCACGATCGGGATGCCGCCAACGCTGAGGCCGAAGCAGTCCTGCACGTAGAACCGAGAATCGAAGAGCGGCGGCCCTCGGCGATTGCCTCGGCGCATTTCTTTGTATCGTTCACTGGCCTGTCGGATCGAGACCTCCGCCGGGTCGATCCCCACGTACAGCGCGATGCCTGCCGAGCGCCACTTCTGTAGATCCCCTCCTTTGCCGCAACCGATGTCCAACACCTTGACGGGGTGTCGATCGGTATCCGTGGCGAACTTCTGAATGATGCAGCTCTTGATCCAGTTGTTGAAGCTGCGGAGTCCCTTGATCTTGCTGGCCGTCTGACGCCACTCGCGCCCTCGTTGCTCCACCGAATTGTAGTGTTGCGTCACATAGTCTTGAACCCCTACACGCCTTGCCGGCTCGTGGTGTGGGAGCCTCGGATCGGCTCGTTGAATGGCCTCGACTTCAGTTCTGGGAACCCGTGCTCCTGCGCCGGGGCGCTTCCGCTCGCGAGGAGGAGACCGAGGAGGAGGACTGGGTGTTCGTTGCCGATTCTCCCTTGCCCGGGTACTGCTCGAAACTCTGGCTTCGTAGTGGCTAGATTGCAGCCGTGAGAAAGCCCCAGGGCGCTTCCTCTCCCGTGGAGGGGATCGTGGTGGTGGGCTGGGTGACCTGGGACGCGTATCTGCCCTCGGGCTTCTGGGTCGTCGGGAGGCAGCGTTGTTTTGCGTAAAACGGGATGTGGCGCCAGGTCGTTTCCGTTCGCGTGGAGGCGAACGTGGTGGTGGGCTGGGGGATCTCAAAGCCTCTGGCTCAATCCTTTGCTTCTTGCCATTTCTTACATCCGATTTGGGAGACGGACGTGTTGGTGATCGTGCTGAGACGATTTCGACGCCGCCTACTGAATCAGATATCGTTGGTTCATCCTGAGGCCTGTCCAATTTGACAACCTTGATCTCCTTTCCCTCCTCTTCCAGAGATGGCTCACGCGACCGCTTCGGCATCTCTGTACAGGCCTTGGCGTAGAGGTTAAGTTGATATTGTATAGAAGGCTTGAAAGTCCTTGTTAGAGTACTGAGAAACCCGGTTCAATGTAGATTGCGTGGAATCTTAGGCGTTCCCACTGTCAGGTGATTCTCAAGGGGTGTAGTTGTGCATCAGGAATGCAAATATGACGCGATGAAAGAAGTAAATAAGGGTGAAGCGGATGGTGAACAAGGAGGAGGGTTCAAATATGACCGTCTGGGCCGTCGTGTCAATTGTATGGGACAGCAGCTTCAGGCTTGGCGCAGCCGGGGTGCTTGATGCTTCACCTCATTGTCACTCACAACTGAGAACAGGGCACTTCCACCTACAACGAGAGCTTCATCTGACAAATCCCTGGACAATCTATCCATTTGAACAAGAGAATACATTTGACCACTCCTCTCTTAACTTCATCCTTCTTCCAAATCGGATTCTGTACAACCTCTCCTCCATAAACACCCGACTCCCCAACCATGGGCGATCCTCAGTTCAACAAATATCCCGACCTCTCCCTCTCCCAGCACATCTTCCACATCACCAACCCAGCATCCTCAAAAGGCACGAAGCAAGCGTCCCTCACAGTTCTCCAAGATGCGATCAAGGAGAACAACATGGCGCCGCTGTACCGGCATCTGGCCCACCCGTCCGAGGGCATCATGAACCTGTCCGGAGAGGGGACGACGGCACATCCGATGGGTGGACTCCGGAGGACGTCATCGGCCGCCGCTACGCTCCTTGCCACGCGACGACCCTCGTTGGAATATCCGCTCGCCTGGGACGAGAGCCTGCATGATTCCCTAGACCAAGAGAATAAGAAGGAGCTGGAGGCCATCCAGAAGGAGGAGGACGAGGCGACGGAGAAGGCGGGCGAGACGGAAATTCTGGCCGCGCGTGGGAAGCGGGCGGAGTTCTGGACAAAAGTTGGGGACAAGGTGAATACAGGTCCGAGATGCATGGGGTTCGAACACGACTAACTCCGGTCTAGGATAAAGCGGTCGCGGCCTTTGAAGAGGTCTTCGAGAAGACCAGCATTCTCGGCACGAAAATCGACATCGTCCTCGCCATCATCCGCATCGGTCTCTTCTTCGGCGATAAGCTCCTGGTCAAGAAGAACATCGAGCGGGCCGGCACGCTGGTGGAGAGCGGTGGTGACTGGGACCGACGGAATCGACTGAAGGCGTACCAAGGCCTCCATCTGCTGACCATCCGCGCACATGCCGCGGCGGCCCCGCTCCTCCTCGACAGCCTGTCAACGTTCACTAGCTACGAGCTATGCAACTACTCGTCCCTGGTCATCTACGCCGTGCTGGCCGGCTCCGTGTCCTTGAAACGCGTGGATTTCAAAGCAAAGGTGTTCGACGCCCCCGAAATCAAAGCGATCTTGGGTGATACGGATGATAGGATGGCTGCCTTATCTGGAACCCTGTCGTCGGGCGCATCGACGGGAGACGAAGATATGACGGACGGAACCTCACAGTCCGCGACGCCAGCACCTGCCGCCGTGAACCTGACTACTCTTGGTCAGAGCCACGGCGGTCATCAAGACGACGAGGCGGAAATCGACTTCAAACCGCTCGCCGTCCTTGTGAACAGTCTTTACCGGGGACGCTATCAGTCGTATTTCAGTGCTCTGGCGTCCGTGGAAGGTCAATTCCTCAACCAAGACCGGTACCTGTACGAGCATCGGCACTGGTTTGTGCGAGAGATGCGACTTCGCGGCTACCAACAACTCCTTCAGAGCTACCGCGTGGTCAGCCTGACGAGCATGGCCAAGGATTTCGGCGTGTCGGTGGACTATCTTGATCGGTACGCATTACTCCCCTTTCTTCCGACGCCTTCCACTAACCTCACCCAGTGACCTCTCGCACTTCATCGCCGCCGACCGCGTCCCCTGCACCATCGACCGCGTCAACGAGGTCATCGAGACCAACCGACCCGACGACAAGAACAAGCAGTACAACGACGTGGTCAAGCAAGGCGATCAGCTGATCACGAAGCTGCAGAAGTACGGCCAGTCGGTGCGGTTACGCGGCAGTGAGCGTGGCTGAGGCGGGGAGCGCGTCGGTGCATTCGTAGGCGTTGAGCGGGGAACGCGTCTAGATACTTCTTTGGAGCGACGGAGCTTGTTTCGAGGATATAGAGAACGAAAATGAAAACGAGTATAATTTTCATGCCGTGGTCCACGCGTATCTGTAGCAGAATCGTTCCTGTCAACCGATTCCGCGTGGTTGTATGCAATGTCTAAGCTACGTGACGTAGACGGCAATTTGCTCCAAAACCGCCCGTCCAAAGGCGCAACACTGAAGCTGATTTCATCGCCCACTACTAAAGTAGGGATCAATTCTAAAGATCTATAAATCTGCTCGGAATATCTTAAATCCTATACTTGGCGGGATCTAGACTCTGATCCGGCCATTCCTTAGGTACCGACGAAATTGACCCCGTCCCGCCCATCAAAAGCCCCTATCGAAAGAGCATTCAATCCGCCATGATCCCCATCGCCGCCATCGGCGCATACTACATCGACACGATCCTCACGTATGTACACCAACCCTCACCCACCCACCAAACAACCCCCGCTAACCCTCCCAGCGTCCCCCACTACCCCTCCGAAGACGCCAAACAGCGCGCCTCCACCCTGACCAAACGCCCCGGCGGCAACTGTCCCAACACCCTCTCCGTCCTCTCTCAACTCCTCCCTAGAGCCCCTACCCACTCCTCCCCGCTGCCGCTCAAGTTCATCGGCGTCCTCCCTGCGCCGACGTCACCCGCATCGGACTTCATCCGCGCGTCGTTCGATGAGTTGGTGGATCTAAGTGGATGTATTTACCGCGAAGGGGAGATGGAGGCGGCGGCAAGTTATATTGTGAGGAGCGAGGAGAGCGGGAGTCGGACGATTATCAATTTTAATCCGTTGGGCGAGATGGGGGTGGGGGAGTTTAGGGAGGGGGTAGGGGGGATGGGGAATGTGGGGTGGTGGCATTTTGAGGTGAGGTTGTTCGTCTTTATATATTGAGCGGTGGAGAGGGGATGGTGTTGGATTTCTGGAAGTGTTGATCGATTTTATAGGGACGGATACCGGATGTTACGTTGCAGTGCGTGCGATATCTAAGGCAAAGCCCAGAGACCCGGCATGCGAAGATCAGTGTTGAGGTGGAGAAACAAGGCCGCGACGGGCTTCAGGAGTTGGCGAAGGAGGCGGACGTGGTATTCTACTCGCATGCTTGGGCAAAGGTATAGTGACCAGTGGAACCAGTTGTTTGCAGCCGATGGCTAAGGGAGTGGTCCAATATCAGAATCAGGGACACGATGACCCGGAAGCGTTCTTACGGTGGCAGGCGTCCGTCTGTTCCAGGCCAAAGTAAGTGATTCGCGACGCTATACGCTGCTTGTCATCCCACTGCGTGGGTTCTGTTCTGACAACCAACACTTCATAGACAGCTATTGTTCGTTACTCTAGGTGATCAGGGTGCCGCGGCGCTGGATGCCGACCACGCCGAGTATTTCCACAGGCCCGCGAAGTTGGGCGGAAGCAAAGTCGTTGAGTGCGAAATCCTATTGTCGTCTTCATGAGCCGCGAGTCTAACTGCGACAGCACTGTGGGCGCCGGCGACTCCTTCATTGCAGGGTTGATCTATAGCTTAAGCTATCATGATGAGTGGAACCTAGGGGCGACATTGGAGTACGCCAACCGACTTGCAGGGCTCAAAGTCTGTCAGGAGGGATTTGAGGGGTTGGGAATGAAGATGGGAGACGCGAACTTGGCATGGAGGTGAAGCAGTGTATAAGCTAGTCAATAAAGACAACGCTGAAGAAAGTATCCATTGGGTATCTATTGGAGTGGATGCCCAAAAAGCATCATCCGGCATGGAAGAAGTTCGATGGCCTTGAAGCGTACGTAACCCTAGGTCGAAAACTCGATCGTTCTGCTTTCGCCGTCCGTTACCTAAATATATTGAGTTCCTCTTATATGTTGCTTTAGATAGGTAAGCCGAAACGTGTCTCCATACGTAGGGTAGACAACGTCGGAGGCAAAGGACTACCAATATCTTCCATGCCGTGGTCGGAGTGCTATTCCAAATAGCATGCAAAAGCCATTGTGCCACCCAGCTCTTAAACCAGATTTTGAGAATGCTAATAGAACATTCAACGGCCGTCCAACACCTCCAACCAGTCAAAAGGACACAGCCGATATTTGCTTCGCGCAATTGTTGGCCATTTTCGTCCTGATGTGTATGAATCAAAGTGATGCATATCCTCCACTTGGTTGAGGTCGCCCGCTCTTTCCCCACGACAAGACTCACAGCTCCCAGCACAGCCATTTCCAGCCAGGCGACTCGTGGTTGTGGTAGAGTGATTCTTTCGTCCCTCCGGCTCTACTCCCAAGAAGCAAGTAGCGAACGCGGGAGCGAGTGGCCCGCATAATCGTTCAGAAGAAAGAAGATCTGTGCTCAGATTATCCCCATTTCTCGTCATTAGAATTCGTAAACCTCGTCCGGGAACGACTTCCAGAGCCGACCGTCTTATATCCTATAACCATACTGCCCCCCTCCTTGCTGGTCTTGGCTTCCAGGGTCATCCCAACCTTGTCGTGGAGGCGGTCGACTTGAGCCTTGCCCGGGTCCCGCAGTCGCCGACCTCGCCGGCCCGTTGCTCAATGTCGGCGGCTCAATCGGCATTGTTGCACTGCGCATTGGCGGTCGGAAACCTGGGGCGGTCCCAGACCTCGGAGGCGCCTGGGACGGAGCGGTGAAGTCTCGACGTGGGGGGTAGCCTTGCGATGGGCTGGCTGATGCGGGAGCGGGTGAGTACGCGCGGTAGCCGCCGGGGTTGGGGCCAGAAGTGTTGCTGGAAGAGGAATCGAAAGTTGGCATGGTGGGTGCGCGTTGGGGAGGTGGTCGGCGGGGGAGGGGACCGGTGGGAGGCGGGGCGGTGCCTGCTCGTTGGGGGTATGGGCGGGGAGTACGGGGATTGGAGGGATGGGAGTAGTTGGATGTGTTTGTATTGGACCGCTCAACGGGACTCATTTCGTACGATGGACCTTGACCGTGTGGTGCCATGCGGTCATCGAAATGCGAGTTGGGACTGAGGGGAGAAGGGCTTCCAGACGCATCACCTATTGATGTAAGTTTGAATTCAACACGTAAAGGGGTTGGGTGCTAACCTCGAAGGTTCGGCCTTGAAAAATTCGAAGGCCCTGGAGAATTTCGACCTTGCGCGGTAGGTGGTCGAACTGGTAGGGACAAGTCCGATCTCTGAGTTCCGCCAGTTACGGACCGATTTAGAGGAGCGACGCCATATCCGGGAAAATTGCCCATGGGCGAGCCAGATCTTGTAGGGTCGCTGTAACCCATGTCGCCTGCTTGACTCAGCAAGGGCGCGTGGGAACCGTAGCTGGCCTCGGAATAAGCAGACGACTGAGTCTCCGTGCGTTGTGGCATCCCAGGATGTTGAGAACTGGCCATGCCTAACTCTAGATCCGGAAGCGTTGGCTGTCTCGATATTCCAGGCGGCGGATTCCCAACTGCGGTGCCCGGCCTGGACGTGTACGGAGGAAGGGTAGTTTGTGAATCCATTCTGTTGAGGGATACTTCAGGCAACTTGCTGTCTTCATCCAGCTGGGGAATCGTTGGTTGCCGTGATGGATCGATGGGTCCTTGGACGAACCCCTTGCCGTGTTTTCGGTCCCTCATCACCTGTTTCCGTCTCTTTGCCTCCTCCTTCTCCATTGTCTTCCGAGCCTTCTTCGCTGTGATTAATTCCACTCGAGAGTCAATCTTTCGTCGACAATAGCTCGAAAGAGACCCATCCGCTGATGGAATGTAGTGCCAGAGGAAGATCAGGTACATCACGATCGATAGTATCAGACAAATGATGGAGATCACCCAGATGATCAAAGTGAACAACATGGCGAACAGGATGACGACTTGCTGTTTGTCGGATTCAGACGCCAAAATGCGAACATTGTCGAAAAACTGGAGAATGGCTGCGCGGTCATCATCTTCATTCTTTCCGGGAATGAGATCGGCCTGTAGGACCGACCATAGAGTCACGGAATTGACGACCACGCGAGGTCCCTCGGCCAAAATCAGGCGGATCGCGCCTTGAAGGAGTCAGCCATGTTCCGAATGATCTCGCAGCATGGGAGCAAGGCGTAATCTGGTGCCGTACCTTTGAATTGGAAATATGCAAACAAGGCGATATAATCCACGCCTTCTTTACTCTTGGTCAATTTGGTGAAGACGAGGAACCGCTTCCATCCTTTCCCGGACCCTGGACGAATACTCTGCAGTTTGACCGCCATGGGGTCAAGATAAGAATCGGCCACACCACCTTTTGAAATGACTCGGAGAGCGCGTAGCCACTCGAATATGATCAAAGCGACGGAGAGGATGATACAGACTGCAAATATCCATTTCGACACCGTGAACGGAATTGCAGGCTTTACCTGCCCAGCCCATCGATTGAACGCAAGGAGGTTAACGGCGGTGAAGATGTCCGCTGCGAAGACGGCGATGGAAATGATAATAAGCATCCACAACCAGATATACGAAAAGAAGGTAAAGCATGATGAGGTTCGGAAATCGTCGAGATTCTGCGCGCGAACTTAGCCATGGCCGTCTTAGAGTTTTAGAGATTCAGATGTACTGACCACATACTCCCACTTATTCGCCTCCCGCACCGGACCGCGCATTTTCGAGCCTCCCAAACCCATCTTGAATGGGAGGCGGATTCGGACGGTTTTGGAGTATGACTGAGATCTTCGAAACGGGAAGCGATCGAAGTCAGGAACAGGCCGGCTGCTCCTTTACGCGCAATCAGGCACGCCTCTCAGGTCAAAGGCAAGGTGGATGAAACGAGTGATCAATCGGAACCATGCCTCGTCGTCGCTGTGTCGTGTAGATTGAGCGGAGGATGCAAGTGGTCGCAGGATACTGCGCAGAAGAGTGTCGAGGGAGCGTCGAGCGAGAGTCAACCGAGTCGCATTCAAGAAAGTCCGACAATAAGATACGATCGGTTTCAATAAGGAGTGTAATTGTGCCGGTGGCCGTTTCGGTAGAAGTCCTATTCAATGAGTGACAATAGGGGACAGGAAACGCGGGGGGCTTGTCTGTGTCTCCCAAAAAATAACCAACACAATTCTGACGATTCGTATCTAGTGAAACATAGCAATGAAGGAACGATAGTAGCCAAATAATGGCATCCCCAAGAGTTAGTGATTGAAAGACCTGAGTGAGGTTGGACTTTGGAGAGCAAACGGTAAAGATGGTGGAGCTGGAGAGATATGCACTGTGCCGTGCGATGGGGCATCATTAGCTGGGGCCATTCCTTCTAGGGACGGGGAGTTTAGAGTTCAAGCGGAACTGCGGAAGATGAGGAATGAACCTACTGGGAAGGTGCAACCATCGAACAGGGACCCCCTTGCGCCAAGATTTCCCTTCGTTTGAAGTTTGGAGATTCGGACCCAAACTGGTCAAGACCGGCCAAGATTGGTTAAGCTTTAAATCTCAAGAAATTGATCATCCTGTCGTGATTCTGATGTTCCGGGTCCATTCCCCCTCCAGGACGCTGATGCGTCCATCGTCAGGAACGATCGACTCTTAGTTACCAACTCAGGCTGGAGGACTCAGGAGGAGGATGTGAATGGCGAAGATTATCCCGAGAGCTGAAGTCAGAAGTGTCACTTGTAATACTACTAATTACACATAACCGTTTCTGCCACCCATAGGCTCTCCAGCTTGCATTTTCCTGGGCAAGAGAGGGTTATCATCACGTGTTTCGATTTTCCACAAGCTGGGATCCTAATCCCCAGGATTTCTGGAGATTCCTTCGGTACTACGGAGTGCCTATGTGTGTCCTTCGCGTCATTGGACAACTTCACCGTAAGATATAAATAGTAGCAGAGTGTTGGTACTATCCCAGAGTATCACTACTACCTTATACGGGGAAGCGCCCGTACAACGGCACTGCATCCATCATTCTTCCTGCTCACAGTCCCATCATTGATCCATAGAGCTCTCCAGCCTCAATCTGCATCTGGAGCTGTATCACGTGTTCTCCACCCATTCCTCCCGGGCCCGAACCGATGATCTGTTCTCCTAGCAGACGGAGCTGCATCGGCATCTGCGGATTGCCATATCGCTCGATGATATCGCTCTTTTCCACTCCGGCGTTGAATCGAGCCCATTCCTCGTTCCGGGACAATCCCATGCTCAGGACGTCTTCATCGTCTTGCGCCGTCCACCACGGAGGGAGCACGCCGTTGCGACTCTTCGCTTTCGCTAGGAATCGTCGGAACGGGCGCCCACTGGCACCATCTTCGGTTTCCATAGAAAATTCGCCAGAGAACTTGTAATCGTCCTCTTGCCGAAGACGGAAGCAGTCGATCAGGAGTCGGTAAGTGTCTTCTTTGGGGCGGTTGTGCAGCCACGTCTTGCTATGGAGGGCATGGAATGGCTTGTCGATGGCGACCTGGAGGCCTTTAACTCTTCGGCCTGAAGAAGAAGACGAAGACGTGTTGGTCGGACCGTTGGGTCCACAGCTCCGTTTGTGCGTCTTCCAGTCGGCTTTCTGGCACGCTTTGGAACAGTATTTGGTCGAACGACAGCGCGAGCAAGTCAAGAGGCTCCCGGATGTGGTTTCGGGCCCGGTCTTTTCACATTTCGCACATTTCGGTGCCTCGTTGGATTCCGAACGTGGAGTGGTCTCGGTCGCTTGGCTAGAGTCAGTTACCAAACCACCAGTATCATTGGGACATCTTTCGACGCCCTTGGAACACGGTACCAGGGGTTGTTGTTGTTGTTGTATTGGCAGACATTGTCTCCGGCTTTGTTGACACTTCCGGTACTTAGTAGTGGGTGCTAGCGAGCGGCTCGGATTGAGTAATGAGTAAAGACAACTTTGTAGATGCCTTGGAGGTAGGAAGGTCCCTATTCTTCAACTGAGTTCTCCGTTCGCCGGTATAGCGGAAGAAATAAAAGAATACCGGTAATGGTACGAAGTCCATGCCAGGAGCCAGCAAACACCAAGGCTCGTCCGGGAAAAAGCACACATATCAGGAGCCCCTCTTCTTCGTCAGCCCCTATTTTGGTCAGCTTGCAACACCAAATATACACAACGTATAGATCACTTTGCTCTACAATAGATCAACCGATTGAAATTTATATCTATTCTAATTGAATTTGTAGGCAAAGCGACTCAAAATCATCCTTTTGTGCGTCTTTAGGAATGTCCCGCGTTGCGGCGATATTTTTTGACAGCATTTTGTTCCGCCTTCTATGCCGCCTCTTCCACAGCCACAATCTGATTAATTCTTACAAATCTTTCGTTCTGATCAACCTGTATCTACTCTCTTCTTCTTTTTGCCTGTAGATCCGCCTAGATCAAGAATGTTTTTCTGGGACTGTGCAAGTTGCGCTTTAAGTGCGGTGACTTTGGTATTCGTCACCGAAAATGCCTTGAACAATTTCCTCTGGAGCCCCCGGAAATCCCGCGCGGTCATGCCGTCGTATTGCTGTAAATATATATGTCTTTGGGCCTTTTGGCGTAGCGAATGTATAGTCATATTGAGGTGTAGGGGGCAGGGGTCACAGTGCGTTGTATAATATGGTTTCGTTCAATTAGTAGCTATTTAATACTTTGATTGGGTTGAAGGAGACCATTGCTGTTCCGCGGAACCCAGCACGAATATTATAAAGTGTCAAGGCTTCAAATCGCGACTTACTGTATATTTTTTAAATTATGCTTTTTGACAGGTGCAGAGTCATCATGAGAGGATAATAAGGACAATTGCTTACGGTACTTGGCCTTTAGGGGGGAGAAACAAGCGATATCAAGGGGCTGTAGAAGGTGGTATTTGTGATGACCTAGTTATATGACTATATCCCTTCTTAAAGGTAGGTTATATCATTAGAACCTCTGAGTTTTGACTGAGCAATACAAAGTACAACTGTCCGAGATGCTAGAGGGGCCAACAAGTTAGCGAAGACTACAGATCGTGAACAGACTGGACACGTATCAGGAAGGCTTTAATAAAGCTTCAATTGTATTTGGATATGGACTGCCTTAACCTCGTCACCAGCCTTTCCCTCCGCATTCATCAAATCCATCCTGTCGAGACGTAAAGGTAGCAATGGAATGTAAAAAGCAAATCCTTTTTATTCTACAATAAGAGAAGGTACAGAACAATGATGTGCAATCCCAGCCGTGCGAACGCCGGTCTAAAGCTTGCTATGTGAAATAGGTATCATGCGCTAGCCATGGCGAATGCGATCATAGCTCATCGTGCACGCTGGGCTCATCGTCCTCGCCATCGTCACCGGAACCAGCAGCGCCGTAGAGTTTGCTGGTGATGGGGTAGGCGACGTTGCTGAGCTTCTCCTTCTGCTCCTCCAGGTCCTCGGACGTTGCCGTGGCAGCGTTCTCTTCAAGCCAATCCTGGGTTTCCTTGACGGCCTCGAGGATCTAGATGGAGTTAGTGGGCGCTTCGGTAGGAAGGCGAGGGAAAACTTACCGTCTCCTTGTCGTCTTCGTCAATCTTGCCGCCAAGTCCCTCGTCGTCATTGACCTGGTTCTTCAGGCTGAAAGCGTAGTTCTCCAGGCCGTTGCGAGCTTCGATGCGCTCACGAGTAGCCTTATCTTCATCGGCGTACTTCTCCGCCTCGGCCACCATACGTTCGATTTCTTCGGCGCTCAAGCGACCTTTGTCGTTCGTGATGGTGATGGACTCTGACTTGCCGGTTCCCTTGTCACCAGCCGAGACCTTCAAGATGCCGTTGGCGTCGAGCTCGAAGGCAACCTCGATTTGAGGTACACCACGGGGCGCGGGAGGGATGCCGGTAAGTTCGAATTTCCCGAGGTTGTTATTGTCCTTGGTCATGGATCGCTCGCCCTCGTAAACCTGGATCAGAACGACGGGCTGGTTGTCTGCTGCGGTCGAGAAGATCTGGCTCTTACGGGTGGGGATCGTGGTACCACGTTTGATCAAAGTGGTCATGACACCGCCAGTGGTCTCAATACCAAGAGTCAACGGATTCACGTCCATCAGGATAATCTGGCTGGTGGCATCATCGCCACTCAGGATACCACCCTGAACAGCAGCACCATATGCGACAGCTTCATCAGGGTTCACATCCTTGCGGGCTTTCTTTCCGAAGAATTCCTCAAGCATAGCCTGGACCTTGGGGATACGAGTTGAACCGCCGACGAGGACAATGTCATCAATATCGCCCTTCTTGAGCTTGGCATCTTTCAGCACCTGCTCAACCGGCTTCAAAGTCTTCTTGAAAAGGTCGTTGTTGAGTTCCTCGAACTTGGCTCGGGTGAGTGTCTCGGAGAAGTCTTGGCCGTCATGGAAGGACTCGATTTCAATACGGGTGGACATTTGAGAAGAACTGGAGTCAATGTTAGCCATTGCGGGGATAATCTCACTAGGTGCACTTACAGGGTTCGCTTTGCTTTCTCGACTTCACGCTTCAGCTTGCCCATGGTCTTGGGGTTCTTGGTGATGTCGGTATTGTGTGCCTTATTATACTTCTTGGCGAAGAAGTTCACAATACGCTGATCGAAGTCCTCACCGCCGAGATGAGTATCACCAGCGGTTGATTGCACCTCGAAGACACCATCCTCAAGAGTCAGGATGGATACATCGAACGTGCCACCACCAAGGTCGTAGACAATGATCTGGCGTTCTCCTTCACCTTTGTCCAAGCCATATGCGAGAGCCGCGGCGGTCGGTTCGTTGACGACACGAAGAACGTTCAAGCCAGCGATAGTACCGGCATCCTTGGTTGCCGCTCGTTGGGCATCGTTGAAGTAGGCGGGGACGGTGACGACAGCGTTGACGATCTTCTCTCCAAGATAGGATTCGGCAACTTCTTTCATCTTGCCCAAAACCATGGCGCTGATCTCTTCCGGTGTGAACGTCGTGTCATCACTAAACTTTGGTCAGCCACTTATCTAGCAGATACTCAAATTTCTGACTTACCCATGGACATCAACCTGGACACGTGGCTGGCCACCCTTGTTGAGGACTTTGAAGGGGAAGTGTTTGATATCGGATTGGACCTCTTTCTCCTCAAACTTCCGGCCGATTAGGCGCTTCACGTCGTAACTAGAATAATCCCATGAGTCCATGTTTAACCTGCAGAGCTATTGACACTTACACTGTCCGCCGGGGATTGCTGGCAAATTGATTCTTTGCGGCGTCTCCTATCAACCGTTCCTCATCTGTGAATGCGACCCAAGACGGTGTGATTCGGTTTCCTTGGTCGTTGGCAAGGATTTCGACCTTTCCACCCTTCATTACACCGACACAAGAGTAGGTAGTACCCAAATCAATACCGATAACCGGACCTTGGACTTTGCCATTGTTCTCACTCAACGGTACCTGATCTTCAGCCTTCGCGGTTCCCACCAGAAGCATGGGGACCATGAGGACAAGACATAGATAGAGAAGAGTAGACCATTGGAAGCGGGATGACTTTGTTTGACGCTGCGATAACCGCGAGGGTGACCGCGAGCGCGATCGAGGAGGTGCCATAATGGTCACCTATGTGAAATGGAGTGTGGGAGAATGCAGAAGGGGGAATGGGGAGGGTGAGACACCTCAAGAAAAGAAAAGAAAAGAAAAGGCCAGTTGTTCTCACTGGGGGCAATGAGGCAGGTGGTGTAAAATTGGGAGGTCGTGGAGAAGGGGAAGAAAGATTTATATCAAGAAATTATTGACAAGTGTTAGGTACTGAACTTGAAGCTCCAACTGAATGACACCTGTCCAGTGCGGCGTCGGACACTGCGGTTAATGTTCGGCACTAGTTTACAATCGTACTTGCCACGCACGTGATATCTGGATACACCTTACATTTTCACGTGACATATACGGCTATCTCTGTCACGCCGGACTGACACTTGCCGTTTCTCTGGTGAATATAACTTTAGGACTCTGCAGACTCTGCAGTGTCCTAAAGTAGTGCAGACGATCTTGAAACGCCAAAGGACTGATGTATTCTTGTTGCATTCTAGCTCAGCAATTATTCATTATTGCCGCTGTTGTGTCACACATGTATATACCATGTCTATAGCTTCTGCTTGGACTCATTACCGGTCTTGATCTTTCCTCCTCCACGCCCAGCAAAGCCCCAGCGAATTTGGTTTGGCATCTGGACCTTGACATCCAGCTCATCAGCCCAAGAGAAGACCAGGCCCGGATTCTTTTGAAACATCCTTCCGACGAACACCGCATCGATCCCATTCTCAAGCAGCACATTGGCTTGTTTCCCAGAAGTTATGGCACCCACCGCGGCCACGACCATTCTATCGCCAATCGCCTCCTTGATTGCCAAGGAGAATGGAGCTTGATAACCAGGACCGCCTTTGATTTTCTGCTCTGGGTGGTTGCCCCCCGAAGACACGTCGAGCACATCCACACCCCTGTCGGCGAGGATTTTCGCCAGCTCTATGGTCTGGCCCAACGTCCAGCTGTCCGCGCCATATTCGGTCTCCTCGAGCCAGTCCGTTGCACTCACCCGGAGGAACAACGGCATGGCATCGGGGATCGTTTGGCGAACCAGGTCAACGATCTCCACAGTTAACCGAATCCGATTTTCGAAGGATCCGCCGTAGTTATCGGTCCGCTTGTTTGTGGCGGGGGAGAGGAACTCGTGCAATAAGTATCCATGAGCATTATGGATCTCAATGGCGTCGAATCCCGCTGCCACGGACCTCTTCGTTGCAGCTACGAATGCCGCCTTGAACTCTTCGATGTCATCTTTTGTCATGGCCTTCGGGACTGCATAGTGCTCATCAAACTTGAGCCCTCCGGTAGGTGCTTTGACATTATTTGGCCAACCGTCCATCTGTGTCGGGCTAGTCAGAGATATTGTTTGGCATGGAACAGGTTTCTTACGCTCTCATCAGCGGCATGCCCCATATGAATCCAGGGCGCCACACAACTAGCCTTCCTTCCAGCATGCGCGAGTTGGATCATGATCTTCTGGTTTTGGCTGTGTGCAAACTCCACAGTTTTGCGCAGTGGTTCGATCTGAGAGTCCTTCCAAATTCCCACGTCTTGCGGCGTGATCCGGCCTTCTGGAACGACTGCTGCGGCTTCGATGCACGAAATTCCTGGGCCTCTCTGAACAATTCCTCCCATGTGGGTGTGGCCCCACATTGTATAATGGCCTTAAAACTGTCATTCATTGGTCCTCCATGCCAAGAGTAGGCTTTCCAGCTCAATTGTAGGCCTGGTTGGAAGATTCTTGTATGCTTCCGAAAGAATGAAAGGTTCCAAACTAACCATCTTCTGCTGAATACTGGCAAAGAGGAGACAGCATTATCCGATTTTGGAGTGTCAATCCTCGCAATTTGATCGGCTGGAAAACCTTCGGGATCGGTTTATCATCTGGCTGCTCAACCGCCGTCCCCGCAGGGGGATTTTGCAACGGGGTGAAGTACGGGATCTGGTCGATATTAGCCATCTGAGGGGTACCTGATTTAGACTCTGATTTCCTTACCCCTGGAGCGGGCTCGTTCGTCAACTCCTCTCGAGTAAAGCCGGATGACGACATTATTGAAAATACAAAGAATCTCGGGACGCACTCAATTGGCGTAAGCTCAAATTAAAATAGAATCTGGCGATTTAGAGAATTCAATGAAGCAAGTTCCCGGGCCTTTCGGTATATATATTGCCGTAGATCGCATCCAAAGCCTTGAGTTTCTTGGCTGCACGTTAAACTTGCCTCACTGAGTTAGTAAATAATTCCGAGCTCGGCATAGGTTTCGGCGCTTAGAAATCAAACCTTAAACCGAGAAATTTTGATCTTCACCAAAGAATGGCTAGTTTTGCCTCAAACTACAATTTCAACGGTGGTGGAATCGCTGTGTGTATAATTTACGGGTACTTTAACGTCATCGATCCCGCATATCATTGGCTCCCCTCAACTTCTTTTTCAAACCAACTGGAGTGCGTGAGATATATCTGTACCTACCGGTAGGTATTATGTACGCGAATATGAACAAGGCGCGAGTCCATCTTAGAAATTGAGAGCCCTTTACTTTGATGCCCTCCTTAGCGTATATCTCTAGCTAGAGGCACCGCAAGCCGAAACAAGTAACGATCGAGCCGCAAATCTTCGACGGTGACGGGGTATATAACGATTGTTGAGCGTCTTCGACAGCCATGGGGAATCCTTCCGGGCCATCAATTCCTCTTTCGGAAACTCCAGCTTGTACAGCCAGGCTTACCAACCATCGAGCGGCTTCATGTTGAGCATGAGATTCTTTGGCTTCGATGTTGGCCCGCCACTCTGGGGTTCCATCCGATAGTCCGGATCCGCGAAGGATATGTCGAATCGCCCGACCCATGCGGCCAAGAGGCACGCAAACTCCGCCTTTGCAAAGTTTTGCCCGATGCAGCTCCTTGGACCGTGTAAGAAGGTGAGGAAAGAGAAGTTGCTTTCAGCCCCTCCACTGTTGCTCTTCCCCGGCGCCAGCCACCGCTCGGGCTTGAATTCCGCGGCATCTTGACCCCACAGCTCTTTGCTACGATTGACGGCCCATGGCGCCAGAATGACCGTGGTGCCTTTGGGAATTCGATTTCCAAGGATGGTCGTATCATGTGCGGCTATGCGCAGCGTAAGAGCCACAGGTGGCAGTAACCTGGACGCTTCGTTGCACACCGCATTCAGATATGGCAAGCGGTCGAGCTCAGCGGCGGAAATGGACGAGTTAGGGTTCGAGAGAGATGGAAGAGAGGTTCGAACTTCTTCGCGCAGTCTTTCTTGAACATCGCGGTGCTCGCAAAGAAGGTACGAAGCCCATGCCATGCTTGATGCTGTCGTTTCATGACCCGCGGCCAGGAAAGTCATCAGTTGGTTGACCAAATCCTCGTCGCAGAAACCGCCCGACTGTAACGCCACCGATATAATGTCGACATCTGTCGATTCGCCTTTCTCCAGCTTTTCCCGCTTTGCTCGGATGAGATCTCGCGACACATCCTTGATGGTTTCCGCCGCCTTAACGTTTCTCGAATTTCCAGAGAAAGGAAGCATCCTGAGAAACCAAGAGGGAAAGACAAACTGGGCTATAGCAAAGTACTTCGCTGCTCCTGATGGTGATCGAAAGACGGTACGATATGTCTTGTACAGTGTGCTCTCTTCGTCCTGAACGGCTCGAAAATCCTGGGCCATCCCCGCAACTCCAATTATGTCTAATGTCACCCGACTGGGCCAGCTTGCTGCATCGAACACTGCACTGTCTCTTTTCACACCGCCTTCTTCATCTGGCTGATGAACTTCGGCTGCCATGGCGTTGGTAACCTCGCGAGCTTTGGACCAGAACACGGGGTAGAGATCCTTGATGTGACGGAATGCGAAGGCAGGCATGAGATGTTTTCGTTGGCGCTGTTGATATAAGTTCAATTATCTCACACCCACATCTAGAAATGCTATTGCTTACCTTATGTTCATCACCTTCAGCTAGCAAAATCCCAAAGCCAAGTACCCTACGACATATATTAGCACTCATACACTACAAAATTTCACGGTTCAAATAGCTGGAGAGCATACTGTCCAAGTCCCCTCCTTAACTGGTCCGGTTTGATGAAGGTGTAGCTCTTCGCCACCAGAACCTCCGCTAGAGCCTTCGGAGATGTCACCAGAACTCTCTCGTTATTAAACATATGGTGGTATAGGATGAGTCCTTCATTCGGGATTTCATTGATCCACCGTTCCATGGGTACGCCATTGGGATCACGAAGAATAGTAGGAAATTGCCCGGCTATCAATGAGCCCCCCTATTTATGGGTTAGCGTGTTAAACATGCCACAAATTTCGCGCGGGATAGATATCCAGGTGCCATCACTTACTGGGACCTTGGGTAGATAACGCAGAGGACTAAAGATGTGGGGATAGAGGAACAATTTCCATATTGCGAAGGCGGAGAACTGGATGCTAAAGATTGCCAAAAACGTCCTAACAAGAGAGCTTTGAATGGAATAGGCTGGAGCAACCCGTAGAAGGCATAGGGATAATGCAAATGCACTTAGCAAGAGATAGGAAATTGTGCCCATTGCGAAATCAGTAGCGATGCCAGTCGAATATCCAAATCAAGACAGGAGACGCAGCTGGTTGGCCTGTTTAGAACTGTTGAAGAGCATTAATGTAGCTGATCTGACAGGTCGCTGGTATTCCCACCAAGTTAAATGGTATCCTTGAGGCTTGAGCAATGCTACATATAGGAAAAAACAGACGACATGCGATGACGAGTCCTTTAGAGGCCTGAGTTACGGGAGCCATCTACCCGGCGTGCAAAAGAATGTTCCTGCTCCGCACCAGACCCTGACAATGAGCGATGGGTAAGGCTGGGTGTGGACGACTCGAGAGTTTGGAGTGCATGGATCGAAGACAGATTGTGCAGTTTACTCCGCACGGCGCAATCATCACCCCGATGTTTAGGCGACTCGATTACGCCGCGCCGTTTTCCACGTACTAATTATGCAAAGCGAATGAATCTGATCCCCCTCTAGGGTGGGGATTAGGTTACTATAATAGTTAACTTAGTTACTGAGACCTGAGAAGGTAATTAGTTCGTCACCTTTGACGTCCTCCAGTCCACCACTCCGTGTAACCAGGGGTAATTTACGAGCGACTTCATTGAAAGAATGCAAGCCGGTAATACTATGCCTCTGGAGGCCACGTAGGTCAAAAACGAGGGAGTGATGTATACCTTTGAGGCCCTAGTGGGATGCTTCAAGACTGTCAATGTCTTCAATTGACAATTCCTAACGCAGACCCGACTTTCTAGTATCGGTCCAAATCATGGGAGAGTCCAGTTCCGTCGTTGGCAGACTCGGTTTGGTTTGATAACTGTCAAGTCTTAATTTGATGCATTCGAACATGTACTCTAGGAGGGTAGAGCACCCAGATAAAGATAAATACCTATTGTATTTTATCTCTATTTGTACATGTATCCAGCTAATTCTCGGAATAATGTTGCTGAAATTGGTTCTCGCCGGACCCCTCGCGATCCACATCCCTCACCATCTGCTCCAACGGGCATTTCCATGGTCGAGCCTCTTCCAGTGAGGCGGATCGGCGTCGCCCATCTCCCCTGATCGCTTGAGGTTCATCACCGGGGGTCCCTTCGCGATTGGCAGGCAGATTAGGGGAGAGGAAGGGCGGAGGTGGTGGGAAGAGAAGTTGGATTTGGGGGTTTCCTTGGTGCCATTATGGCTGTCGCTTGGGAATATATGCTGGTTACCGTCTTAACAATGGCTTAAGGAAAGAAGATTCAGTTTGATACTTGGAATTGCGGGAATTCCTCACTTATATTTCCTATATAAACCATGATCATGTGTACCAGGTACCCATTGCATGGTCCGTTTCCACCATCGGCTCTTTCCAGTCTTCAGTCATTCCAGTGAGTTTCTCGTTTCCAAGCTTGTCTTGCCAATGGCTCTCCCCATCATCGTTTCAAACCCAACTGGACGAATCCTACTTTGGACGTCTTCGCCAGCCTACGTAAACAGAGTCGTAAGTATCAACCTACTAGATTACAGGTACCTCTCCAGAGGGCGCAAGCCGAAAAGAAGACAACGATGAAGTTTTGATTCACTGGTGGCATGCTTCAGGGCCATGAATTTCTTCCACCACTGATGTAGTGTATCGATAAGCGTAGTGATTGCGTCTGGCCATGATAATTCTACCATAAATTTAGTGTGCTGTTGATATTATGGCCATCGAACAAAACTCAATATTGATTATCAACTCTACCACAAAGGAAAGGGCATCAGACAGGCAAGGACTGGAAAGTGTGGGGCGTATTGGCCTGTTCATCGGCTTGAAAAAGCATTAGGAACAACTATGGTAGGAAAAGCAGTGGTATGAAAAGCAGGACCAACATGATCCTGCGACTGATATAACAACAAAACAAGAAAGAAAAATCGAGACCCAGGGTATTTATCATGAACCCGTAACACCCGTGCTCCATGTCGTCGCCGGACAAGATGCAGGAGTGGCTCGAAGTGTGAACCTTCCACCAAGGCACCAATGATAATGAAAATGTCTGCAACTCCAAGGTTCTCCGCAGACCCAAACTCCTCGCTCCTCGCTATTCATTGTGTGGATGAGACACTGACATCAAGACAGGAGCATCTCTTGTGGAGTGCTCCCCTCACTCCTGGTCCTCCTGGTTCTCCTGATCCTCAGCAAGAGCTTCCAAGCGTTCTCGTTCGGTCACAAAGCCATCAGCAGACAGGCAGATCTCCCCCTCAATCGTGTGCACGACATCCCAATCAGCCACGCCATTCACCAACGGGGGCGCCACTCGTCTCAGCCAAGTCTCTTCATCTTCATCAGAGCGTTGTTCGTAGTCTTCCTCAGATTCGGCATTGGTAGTGGGTTGAGGGGAGTTATCACGATCAGCGAAGAGACGCGCGAGGTCGGAGGGGGGTCGGGGAACGTCGTCCAAGGGATGGGATTGTGCGACGTCAATCAGCTGGCTGAGAATGGTTGAGAATGTCAGTTCTTTGGGAAGATGGGAGGGCTGAATGGATCACACTTACTCCGAGGTCTGGGCACACAGCCGCTCTAAAGCATCACGTTGCCTGCCAATTTCCTCGGGGTCGGTCTGTTGGAGATTGCTAGAGGCGACGGCACCGTAGGCATGCTGATATCCTTCTCCAAGCAATTGAGAGGTATCGGACTGAACAAAGGGAGTGGATTAGCATTGGTAGTACGACATCCAGAGGGATGCGAGACCTGTCACAAGGGGAAAATTGAATGCGGGCACTCACAGTTGGAGTGGAAGATCGCTCCCTCCCAAGACAGGACATGCAGATTCCCATTTTGTACGGTAATGAACGAACGAATGAGACAATGAAAGCAAGAGAGCTAGGATGAGCTTGGAAGGAACGCTGGGAATGCTCTGTTAGGCAGAATGAAGGAATGGACCTGAACAATGTTTCGATATGCAATTCGATATGCAGTGTAGAAGTTGGTGAGTGTAAACATTGAACTCGACGAAGTGACATAATTAAGAGGAACCAAATGCAGTGAAGCAGATCAACAGATTGTCGTATGCAGGCCGCACGCCGCACGCCGGAGGAGGCAAGGCGACGAGGCAATAAGGCGACGAGGCACTGAGGCGTTATGGCGATGCAATGTGGCTGCCTGGATGCGGTTGTGGCGGTGAGGAGGTTATGCCGTATGCCGGTATGCGTGTGATTAGCTGATTATGTAATCAGAAGAGCAAAAGGGAGGGTGGTCTGTGGTCTGTGGAGTTTCACTCTGGCTGGGTGAAAAACCCCCTGTCCTGGCACAGAGCCACAGACCTCCATGTCGTTTTGAAAGGAAGCATGAACATCAGTTCAGTTGATGAACCGAAGCAAAACAAGACAAGCAACTGCAGTATTCTATCAAGTATTTCATCAGATGTCTACATGTGTTCTCAAACACCTGCTGGCCTTGTTGCCCCACCAATTTTTGGCATAGAACTGTCAGATACTACCAGACATGTAGGTAGAGTAAAGTATCTCTCAGTTGAGGACAGCCGTACGTAATAGAACCAGTCGATCACTGTAACTCTACATTGCTTTCGAGTGAGAGCACTGAGCACATATCCCGACCTTCTGATTATGTAGTGTTTCATAATATGATATATGTCAAGTTATGTACCGAGTGCCGCCCCCTGACATTCACACACGCGTTCATTCAGTCACTGAAATGCATTCCTTTCAAATTTGATAACCTCTCCGTCACCCCCCTCTCTTCTCAATGGGATAGTCTATCCATATCTCTGACATGCATCAATTCTTTTAGCCTGTCAAAGAAGAGTTCCAGTTTCTGACGTTGTAGAAATGGCCGGCGTTGGGGAATTCCGGAATGCCTGGGTGGAGGAGTCTGTTTCCGGCTTTCCGGCTTCCCCCACCCGAAGCAAGGGAATGTTTCAGACATCATGCCTCTATCCCACTCTCCTCTTCCTTGTGCAAGAGGATATTCTCCGATCCTGACTGAAGAAGTAAAAGTCAGTGGCTGTCGTGATGCAAGGCAACTTCTTCGGACTGACACGGTCGCGTGCTGGAGTTTCGTGTCTTTTGTGTTGAGCCGTTGAACCACACTACTCAATTTCTCGGTGGCTAACTTCAGGTACGGAAGTCCTAGATTGATCGGGCTTTGTATATCAAAATGTGTACGCACTTCTATCCTTTTCGGTTTCATCAGTCTCTCCGCGCTTGTTGGAGTCAGCTTCTGTCGTTTAGACTCTCTCATGAAAATGTTGTACATTTATTCTTGCAAGGTTATTGCCATCCTTATTTCCCTCTCGTTCGCTTCTGCTCGCTTAGCCATTCTTCCGAAGCACTTATTTCAAATAAAAGACGAAGGATCCCATCATGCCGATGTCGATAAGCGGCAGTTTGTCGGCTCATGCGATATGAACGAGACGTATTAGAACGTTATTGTGTCCTCAATCAGTGATGACCGTTGTTCTGCGCGACCTGACTTGACCAATCTCTGTCTACATCATATGACGTAGCAACTTCAGTCGCGTAAGCATCACTTTCGGTCCGAATTGACAATTTCATGGCCTGGGTACTGACGCAAAAGTTAGGCCTGTGGGCCGAACAACGTGCGCTTTATTCAGATACACCGGTGGTGGGGCCACAACGGTCACCGTAACCAGCACGCAGGTTGTGACCACCCCTCCTCCGGACAGAAACCGAGCCGTGATCTTGCCTGGCCAGAGTCTATGAGAACAGGGTGATGCTGGCCTCATCAGCGCTGCACAGCAAGTACTGGCAGGAGAGTCAAGGTCGTTAGATGAAGCCTCGGCAGCGGGGTTCTCAAGCGCCCGCAGTTGTGCGCAAGAACATAACCCTGTGGTTGTTTCTCCTCTGTTTACGTGGGCAACACGTCTGTGGCACCCACGGTGGTAACCTCTCTGGTAGCCCCTTTTATACCCTTCCTGACATCCAAATCTAGACTGAGTACAATGATGTCGTTGGGATCTACCTGCCATCGAGACAACGACCATGCATAGTGTGCCTAGCTCTACCTCTACGTTCCCCTCTAGCATTGAAACCACTCTACTCCCTCAAAATACTGGTCTGTCACCCTCGTTAGGCAGCGGGGCTGGGATGCCCCCTGACTGTGATGGAAATGAGACGCTGGACGATATCAGTTATATCTTCGACGGGTATTGCTATGGATTTACCGTCTCCTGTGGCGAGCCCTTGGTGCAGAACGATGTTTTCGCACAAGGCCGAGTCGCCGCCGCCGCCCGATTGTGCGGGGTCATGTGCCGCTTACGACACTTACCTGCATTCGCCCCTATGCATAGGTTTTACATTTTACGATGGAGAATTGGAAGAGTGCAGTTGTTTTCTTTTCGAAGAGACGGCCGAACGGTATTTCCAAAACGGAACCCTAAGTGGAGTTTTGGATATCATCGCCCAAATCGACAATACGACCCGAAACATGGAATGCTGCCACAGCCAGTCCCGGAAACGCATCTAGTACGGTATCGTTCGACCCTGCCACGATCAAACACCTGCCTAGTAATTCTGGAGGCACCGGTGGAGGGGGGTTGACATTCCTGACCCAGACCGTCAACAACAAATCGTCGGTTGAAACGGTAATTTCCACCGTGCTTAGCGGAGGATCGGCTGGTGGTACGGCTGGCGGTGAAGTGACTTTTCCGACGACCTAGGCCACCATTAACGGGACCACCGTTGAGACGGTCACTTCTACCATCCTTAGCGGAGGGTCGACTGATGGTACTGGCGGCAGTGGCGGCATTTTCCGCCCTGCAACAGTATCTTCTGATTTGACGGACGGAGGAACCTCAGAGGCACCGGTGGTAGCGGTTCTCTCGATCCAACCGCATCCTCTGGTGCCACAGGACAGCAAACCGAAAGCGGCACCAGTGACGTGGGCCCGATCCTCCCTACCCCGTCTCAGAGTATGTGGAGTTCGACATCGATATGGGCCTCGACTGGGACCATCATCCGGACCGGTATGAGCTCAGGTTTTTCTAGCGGAGGCACTGGCGGATCGGGCGTTACATTTCCCACGACCACGACACGGCTTTCAAGCCCTTCTCTGGCCACCATCACTACAATCAATGAGACACGAACTCTCACGGCGACCGTTGGCAGCACTGGGGGCAGTGGCGGCGGTGGTAGTGATGGAGGTGACTCGACCCTCCCTACTTCAACTGCTACGTCCGATTCGAGCATCGAGACAGGTCCGGTTGGTACAGGCTCATCTTGGCCGCCGTTCAGTATATCTAATACCGATCCCCAGACAGGACAACGGAGCACGAGCTCTCCATATACTGGCCTACCATCTTCGGATCTCCCGTATCCATATCGTAACACTACATCTGGCTCCCTTTCTTACCTCGCTCAAGGTGCCACTCGCCCTTCGTCCGGGACTCCTATCCCTTCTGTCAACGACACGTCGCGATCATATACCTTATCCAATACTGATGATGATCGCTCAAGGAATCGAACAACACCCACTCTTTCAGGTACACCCGTTCCTTCTGGGAATGAGACAACATCGTGGCAGTATACCTTCACCAATACGGACGAGGGCCGCACGAGGACTTTAAATAGGTCCACTGTCTCTTCAGGCATTCGCCTTCCTTCTGGCAACGAGAAAGCATCGTGACCGTATACCTTCACCAACACGGATGACAGTCACTCGAGGACTCGAACCACATTCCTCCCTTCTTTTGGTTTGCCGAGATCATACCTAAATTCAACAACCTCATATTCTGGGCTGGAGCCATCATCCGGGCGGCAGCCAGTCGAGACGTCCAATAGTACTTCAAGTCACAGCAGGTCTACCGCTGATGCTTCTCGAAGCGGAATCGCATACATAACGCCTCCTACGTCAAGCCTTTGCGAATGTTCCAATGCACCTAGCACGACCACGATAACCGAAACCTTTTCCACTACCATATATCAGACCTCGTCCGAAGTTCCAGAGTATCCATACGAGACGCCCACTGCCGGCAATGAGGACGAAGACAGAAAACACCGACGCAGAAGAGGTGATGAAGCCACGCCATCTCAAATTGCATGGCCCTGTGCTGGTAGTAATTCGCAGGGTCCTAGGAATATAGTCGTGAATGGGAATTTCTAGGCGTATGACACCAATGCAAACTTCGCAGTCGGTTGGATCCCGAAGACGGATCACCCTTCGGAATCTTTCTGGTCGTACGCGTTGACGACCAGCTCAACACTCAACGGCGACCGTATTGGGCACGTGGTCATCACGGATACGGCTGCAGTCATTTTGATAACGCAACCGCTTACCTTCTGTCCGGAGACTCAATACCGGCTTAGCCCGTTGCTTACTATCCTTTCGCTGTGCACAGGTTCATTTGAAGCGGGTAATAGGACGGTCTTTGCACTGCAACCGTTGAGTCTCTGGAGCAACTTTACCGGTATTTACATATCTGGGTCATCTGCTGTAGAAGTGAGTCAAGACTTGACGATTCGGGTTTGGTGCACGAGCGAGAATTCGAGTGGCAGATTGAGGTTAGATATCTATAATATTTCCCTACTTTCGGCGCAATAATCCATAGCAAGGCTCCTCTTAGAGACCACAGACGGTCATTGTTTGCAATCGTAAAATCGTTCTCTCTAGTTGATCTCCATGTTGCGTTGCATATGCTGTGAAACCGGCCTGCGCACTTTATTTCAACTGACAAGTGAGGCCTTTATGCCATTCGTGCGCCGAGCCGTGACTCGAGAATGTTGTAACTCCTTCATTGATTCGGCGCTTGATTGTTAACAAATCGCGATGCCTTTACACTGTTTTTCTCCATTCGTGGCGGGAATTGGCATGATTCAACTTGGATATCAAAACGCAATCGAGTGGTGGTAGGGATGACCACATGTCATTCCTCAGCGGCTAGAACGCCGAATGAAATGCGAGAACAGCATACCTGCAGCACAACTAACCTCTGTACAAAGGAGAATAAAAGCTGCCAGCCGGAACCTCAGATTGTATATTGATGAGCTCTCGGATCTCAGGAGAAAATGTATCCAAGGCAAGACTGAGCTTCATCGGCGACTCGATGTTCGCAAGGAACAAAGTGAGACGATATTCGCCAATTCAATAATTTGCACGACTAACCAGCCAGTTAATGACAGATGCTTCCGACGCGAAACGCGAGCTCCTGGTCTCCACGATATCGTGTTCCTACTCACCAAAAAGGAATCAGAGGTGTCCAGATATGCCCCGTTCTCTGCTCCTCGGATCACATTCACTGTGGCCAGGCCGATAGCTCTCCCTTGCCCTCGCGCTGTGGGAAGGCAAGAATGGTGTGGTTCGAAAATACAAAGCTCGAACTGTTCCAGTACCATAACTCTGTTTAAGAGAGACTGGATGCACAAGATGGAACACGCGGCATACCAGACAGGAACCCCTAGACTCCGAGCAATTCTCCGTGTCAGATGACAGGCTGTTGCGCCACAGCATTTTGTAATTGGCACGTGCTGAGATGGAGCCACATCTCATCACCCGGACGTGACCCTGATTGGACTGGAACTTGAAATGAGGGGACATCCTCATTATGTAAGCATTATGTCACGTGGCTCAGTTCTCCTCACTCTCACAGCTTTAACGTTCATCTTCCATTCCTCCTGTTTCTTCACACTGTGCCCTTATTAACAAGCGGCATCCCGACCATACTCCACTCCCCGACAGGCCATATTGGCCTCCGTCTTGTGTATCATACAATCACTGTAGATGGCGGCGAGATCGCCTCTCAGTGTCCGCATTCGAAGCGCCCGGATCGAGCCCTCACACGCTTCTGTGACTGAGATGGATTGGTCGGTTCACTTGCCGGCGTCAGATCCAGCGCCTACAAACAGATTGCGCGACCGTCGCCAATGAAGAGCACAGTTGTTTAACGATTTGAATTCAAACAAGCTACAGAAGAGAAGGATTGGTTATCATGGCCGTCACTCATCAATTCCCGCCGAAATTCGAACAATTTTCCCTTGTCCATGACCCTCCATTCGCCAACTCCCGTTTCAGTCCACTTCCCACTCGTCAAAATAATTGCCAAGGAAATAATCAAATCCTGGAGAAGGCCCGTTTGGCGTGAAACCCGAAATTAAGGCATCGAGCCTGATCATATCCCGTCATTTGTGTCCCTCCTCCAACCGCTCTACGCATACGCCACGGGAGCCATGCCTCCGCCACGCCGTTCACGCTCAGCGAGCAGCGTCTGAATCTCGCGATCCAATTGGTAGATCAACTCCATCGACTTCTCGATTGACGCCTGGCGACTTCCCTCGCGTTGCCACCGTTCGATTCGCTCGCACTCGGTCTGGCGGCGGCGGTATTTGGTGTTGAGTTTCTCGCACACCTTGCACAAATGGTTCTCCTGGGCGGATTGATAGACCAGTTTCATCCCGCAGACTTCTCCGATGCGATATTCACGGTTGCAGTGCTGGCGAAAGTGGCCCCACTTGAAGTCGCCGCACCCATAAACGATTTGTTCGTAGAAGCACATGGTTTCTTGGCAACGCTATTTCGGGTACCTGCGTCAACCCCCAGAACATCACTCGTGTCACGCACTGGGCTGACATACCTTGATATTTCAGATCTTGCTTGGAGACGTTGTTGATTGGCCAATGCTCTGCAAAGCTGTCAGCGTTTCGTCATTCCATTCACCAGTTGTCTCCGTTTCGAACCTTTTCAGAACGATTGGGCACGGCAAGGGTTGTGTGTGACGAGTATGTTACAAGAGCGAATTTTGATCCTTAGGTCTTGAAGGCCAAGGTGAATAGATTGGTGAGAAGAATCGGAAGGAGCTGGACTTTGACGGAATTGAGGACTTGTTGTTTCGAATGAGTTTGGTCCTGTTCACGACGAACCGCCTCAATTTATAGACGGCCAGAGGAGTCTCCATCACCGCTTCGACAACCCACTTAGAAAGTGCCGAAGACTGTTTACTCCAATCGTCATCCTCGGACGACGTGGTGATTGAACCCCGCTTCATTCTATCCAACGATATTGCGACGATCACACGGACCATCGTCACAGGCCGTCCTGAGACCCATGGATGCCAGCTCATCACGAAGTGATGATACCTTGGGCGCTGCCGAGCTGCAGAATCACTCGGTCTATGCCAGCGGACATCAGCCATTGTGGATCGTCCGCCGGTTATTCTAGCCGTTTGAGGAGTAAAATGCCTCAATTCCTTGTCTTATCATCGACACCAAGTGGTTCAGAGCTCTCCTGAAGGTGCGAGTTTTGTTGACAATTCTATTCTATCCCTGAACCTCTCCCGTCCGTGGAGTTTCAAAGTCACGTGCTCCATCCCGCATCTCTAGACCTCCTTCTGCAATGTCCGTGCTTTTTGCATGATTGGGCTTTGTTGACAGCTCGGGTTTGTTGTGTTTCCTCAGTCAGTCCATCGTGTTCAGTTTTAGTTCTCTGTTCCAAGTCCGACGGTCGCTTTTTGGAGGCTCTGCTCCAGCCAATTGGCAAATACCAGGTCTAACGTGAGACGCTTCCTAGCTTGTCTGTGGTTCTCATGCTTCTACACATCAGTCTCTCTGCTCTTCCCTTCTCACTAATGGATATTCCACTGGCTCGCTCATGGGGTGTCCACCGACAAGGGGCGTTACAAGGCCCTATGACAATAGGGCAGGATATCCCTCCAGTCTTTGCAGTTCAGCGCCATGCTACATACGGGCCACTTCGCATATTCTTTACCACAATCAACCTGCATTATGCAGCCGGTGCCATTCTGTCACTTTATCTCGCGTGGATATCCGACCCTTCCTTACACCATAGCTGGGCAACCATCACGATTCTGACTAGGGCGTGATGATCGACTAATGCATGGGGAGGGCCGCTGGTATCTTCACACTCAGCTGATTGAAGTCTCCGTTCATCCGGTGTCTATCCCCCGCAAGCCATTTGACGTGGGTCTGTCTAAGTCCTTGCAAGCGGGGCGAAGAAATGCCCTAGAAACACTGGTGACATACTTCACATGGCATTGAGCACATGGTGGCGCATTTGGGCAATCACTGCCGTTGCAATCTACGCTAGAGTCCACCGGATCATACCCATCGGTCATCCGGTGACGTGGCAAACGCGGTTTGGTCAATCTATGGAGAGCTCTAGATGCCGTTTTACTAGGGCTTCTGATGCCGAGTTTGACAACGTTGACCGCATATCAATCCAACGCCATCTTTTCACCTTAGGCAGCTTCCGGGGGGCAATTTTGCCCCAGCTCATATGCGGCATCCTCGAATGCTTGAAGAGAAAGTTAAAGCCGATTAAACATTCGACAGCTATTCGACCGGAGCATTTATAGCCGAGGGAGTTTCCTAGGAAAATCACCGACTTTGGCCACTTGATTGACGTTATTGATGCCCCCATCTGTACGGCAATCTGCGCGAGGTGACGCGCACCCTGGTCCGTTGCCTTCGCCAGATTTAAGGCAACGGAGTAGTTCAATGCATTGAATCACATTGCAAGGATGGAATGTCTGTTTAACTGGCCAATTCGACTGACAATAGACCCAAGCGTTGCAAATGAGGGGGTTGGGATAGCACAGTGGAATGTGGCAGACACCTTTCGTTCGCATTTCTATCCTCGCCTCACCCGAGCAGAGCCAAGCGTAAACAACACCATATGCAATCAAAATGACCAATAAACATCCATTGAAGTCAACTGGTGCCCGTAATTTCGATTTCGACGCGACAACATCTCATAACACGGCCCTCGCGTCCGTTCAGGGACCATCCGCCTCCCACCAGAAGATGGGACGACGTTGATTTTGTCTTCCTGCAACCTTGCTTTGAGTAGGTGCGCTTAAAATCATGTGAATGCTCTGAGATGCTGGCAGTGCATGGCCCGGCGGTCGCGTGAATTGCCCGTACTGTGCGCAACCTTCCTTCAGTCGCCGACTGCCGAGGCGAGCTCTGGTTGGGATCTGGTTTAGCAAATAGAAGCGCGAGCTGGGACGTGAAACACTTCTGGGCCGTCCCCGGTGGGTATCGAGGGTGGACTGGTCAAGAGGACGGCCAGGGTCGGTGTTAGTCAGTGCTTTTCTCTGCGTCTGCCGTACTGGCGGTCCAGTGAGACGATGCACCGGGCTGCTTGACATGCAGGTTACACTAGACCAATAGGACACCACACAGCCTCCTGTACGCAGCGAGGCGAGAGGCAGAGGCGCCAAGCGGTCGAGGAGGGCGGGCTCGATTGCTTTGTAAAGGTCACCTATCGCTCGTGGTTGCAGTTCTGCAAGGCGTAAAATCTGCCGGCGGATGCCGTTCTTCAAGGCTGCGAACCTGTAAGACTCGCTCTACGTTACACGACTGACAGTATGTTTGTCAACCGCTCGCTCCACATCCCACGAATATGGGAAGGCCGTCTGCCGTGGAACTTACGATGGGAGAGTCCGATGCCCTGGCTCTTGAGCTTCGTATCGGTGTAGGCGAGCGTTAGCCATTGGAGAAGAACAAAGGTATTAAGCTGTGGAGTCACACTTCCAGCTGCTCCGTTAGGCAGCCGAGAAGTTCTCGATTAGCAATTTATGGGTAGCTACGCTCGGAGAAATCGATATGACGCTTTTCCTGAGTCCTCGTGCCAGTGGACTAAAGCTAGATGGCCAAATACATGTCAAAATGACAGCATAAAGTGAATATCGCACATCATAGATATGATATTATTAAAAAGCTGGTGATATGTTTCATATCTCGAAAATTGATTTGGCAGTGCAGTCCCGCAGCGGACGGGATTTCATTAGGCTCCCCATGATAAACCCGGGCTTCCACCGTATCCACCTACCCGGGATGACATCGCTGGGAATGCCACTGGTCCCGTACCCATGGGCACCTTGACGATACTTTACCGTGGCTTAGTGGAAGAAGGAGGATTTGGGAAGCAGGAAGAACATGTAGATGCCTCTCAGTCTGTGGTCTTATTGTCTCCTTCCTATGCTGATGGACGCCTCTCCGTCGACAACCTATCCCTGGAGTAGGTGTGAACACTGGCATTCACAGAGTAGAGAATCTCAAAGTGCCGTATAGAATCAAGGGCTTTGCCGCGTCAGATAAATCCACCGGACGGCTCTTGGATGCCGTTCCGGGCTGGATGATTGCCCCGTATAATGAAATCAACATTAGTGTCCCTGTCATAGCATGGGTGATGCATTCATCTGCATACCAACTACATCACACCTTCCGATCTCGCGTGTCTGTGATTCCGGAATGTTGACAAACCTGTTTGCTGTGTCCACTAGAACGCCGTTGCTTCCGGTAATTGGTAATAAGGGGGAAAGCAATTGGAAGAAGTGGATTGATTGTTCTGGAAAAAGTTGCTATGCTTGGAAGGCGGGCGGGTAATGCAGGCTGCTGGTGAAAGGCAGCTAGATAACACAGGAAACCCTTGGTCGATAGGTTCCCGGGCCAGCTTTGGCACTGAACTGACTGGATTGTTATAGCCTTATAGCTCATGCACCCCCTTGCCCCTCCTTTGATATTCCCGCTGGTCCTTATCGATAAGGACCCGGATATATCATGGCACGAGACTTCGAGTCAGAAAGGAGCAGTAACAGATATAGTGGAACTACTGCTCGGATTTAGAATAGCGATCAGATGCGTTCGGAATTCCCAGTGGGTATCCGCCAGTAGCCCACCAGGCCACCACAAGGATGTTCTCAACGTTTTGAAGCTTGCTGGGACTGATAAAGAAAGGGCATCCATGCACCAGGGGCGAGAATTGATGGATGATACATGGCTGTACCTCTGAATGCAATGGTGTGCAATATTATTGACGTACAGTGAGAGATTTCAGCGAAAGGAGGAGAAGGGAGGTGGCCACACGTGACCTTGAGGATGGAAATATGGATGACTAAGCTACTGACCAGTTTGCCAGTTGTGGACTCGTGGTTGAGGCTTGAGCAAAACGCGGGGCTAGATGGTGATGAACAACTCTTCTGCAATCTGGTCAACAACATATTCCCATGGTCTCTTCTTATCCCTTATTAATATCTCTGTTTAATGTTGACAATGATATCTGGGCGGATTGAGTATCTCCTTGTCCACCAGTCTCTTGTTATTGTTCCCTACAACTGTCCAACTATTCCCGCGCGGACATCTTTACGGTAGACAGCCATGGAGGATTCTAGATGGGCGACACCGAAGGCCCCGAAGGAGGATGAAAAGACACCAGCTGCTATGGAGCCTGTTCCGGCAATTGTATGTGTCTTCCCAAAGCGTGGAAGACGTGGATATAGTGGTCATTGGTAACTGACCTGCATCAGGCCGCGGATTCATCAGTAACGCCCAGCGACTCCCAGTTCAACAACGGATTTGATCCAGAAGATGAATTCGCCCAGACGCGGGGACCCGATGACTTGTTCGACGACGATTTCACCCCCATGACCGAACCGGTTATTGAAGCCCAGCCACAACCTCCACCTGAACCCTTACTACCGGAACCCGCCGAGCCTAGAAAACCCAAGGGCGCCCGAAGAGGAGGTGCAACGGGAGTAAATGGCCAAGGCAAAGGGGAAAGCCCTGCGAGCGCGGGAACACCTGATGTGGCGAAGCAAATCGCGAATGCCACCAGAGCATCGGCAGTCAGGGGGGATCGTTCAGCGACAGGTGGCCCTAAGCGAGTATGGAACATATCCGCGCGTATTTACCAGTCCGGTGTACTAACCAGCCATTTAGGAAAAGCTTACCGAAGAAGAACTGTCGGCAAAATTGCAAGCCATGCAGCTAAAAAACGAATCGCTGCTCGCCGCCCACGCTCGCGCCGAGGCGGACCTGGCATCATTCGAGGCGCGAGAAGCCGAGGCGGCCCGAAAACAAGTTGTCGACCGACAGAACCGACAGCAGATGATGGGGGAGCGGGAGCGAAACCGACAACGGAAACTCAAAGCGGTCGGAGGACGAGAATGGGATGCCGAGAAGAAAGAGGAAGACTTCGCCGAATCCCGTCGCGTGGCCCGAAGGGGAGCACACGGTGGTGTGGTGGGTGGGCATCCGGCCTCGGCGGCGCCGGAGGATGGCGGTGCCGAAGATGGATCAAGGTCTTATGCCTCGAGAGGTCGTGGCCAAGGGCGAGGGAGGGGGAGAGAGGGACGGGGTGGGCGAGGAGGCCGAGATGTTAGCCGCGGGGGGGAGAAATCTGTGAAGGAGAAACAGCAGGCGCCTCCAACCGCATCGGATTTCCCCGATCTCCCTGCCACCTCGAAGGACACAGAACCTGAAGTGAACCCTCCGACGAAACTAGAGTTTCCCATAAAGCCAGCTAACGACGCGGAGAAGGTGGCAATCATCGACAAATCAAAGGCAAACGCAACCAACGATACCGACATTCTCACAACCCTGTCGCCTGCGGGGGAGAAGAAATCCTGGGCTGATCAGGTGGAGGGAACATTATCGCCGTAATGGGCCTCCGCTTTGCTGGACCGCAAAAGTTTTGGATTGCCGTCTTATGAGCAGTAGTAGCATTTGGAGTAGTCACGTTGGCATTTCGTTATAGTCCACGTTACCTAGTTAATGGCATTGATACCCCAACCAAACACTCGAAGATACGAAGCGCAAGCAGGTGGCTAACGTATCATGGTATTACGAAGCCTTTTAAACTAGATTCGAAACAACTTCATGGCTTAGTGACTAGGACGTGACTTTGGAGAAAGAAGACGGCTCGAGCAAAGCTAGCTTGCTGCGGTGCCAGGCTTGGGATTCAAGCCAACTATCTCCCATCTATGAGGGACTAAAGTTCCGCCTCCAGACAATGCCAGCCGCAAGAGCGGCGCACATTACCGCACCAGCTGCAAGATAGTAATTTGTATATTCCACCGGCTCATCGTCCTTCTTTGGATACGCAGTGCCAGGGTACATAGCCGACTCAGCAAGCTAGAACGGAAGAATGTCAGTGAATTTTGGTCAGCCAGAGCTGCAGGACAGAGACTCACATTCACAAACACCTCTGCAATGCTCCCCCATTGCACACTAACATGGACAGGCCCTTGCTGCCAGCCTTGGGCAGCAACCCACTCCTCCGGCTGCCCCCCTTCACCTCTCTGCATCGCCTTATCCCTGTCTGCCTTCAGCGCAACGAAGACGGCCGGGACCTCCTCCAGATGCTTATACTTCTCCAGCAACCCGGTGACATGTCCCCAGCTCTCGGGATCCGACCCATCGTAGCAGAAACAGAGCAGATCGCACGCCTCGAGCTTCGCCCGGTTCTCGAGGATCGCGGGCTCCAGCTCGCCTAGTTCGGAGAGGACCAGGTAGCACTGCTTGCCGCCGCGCAGCTCGACGCTGTTGACAGCGGAGCGCGGCTTGATGGTGGGATGGTAGAGCGGAGAAAACGAGCGGCCGAGGAACGCGTCGAGAAGGGAGGATTTGCCAGAGCTTGGCGCACCGATGACATAGCAGAGGAAGACGTTTCGTTCCACACGAGCCGGTGGACGAGCCCCAGCACGCCGGCGGCGAGACTTAGTCGTGCGGAGGGCGGAGAGGGTAGGGGTATTGGAAGTGGTGCTAGACGAGGAGGGTTCGAAGCCAAGGTAGGCAAGATATTCAAGAGTCGTGGTAGGCGACTCAAAGGTGGTCATGCTCCATTGCGCCAGCCACCCTTGCAAAGTAATGTACCCGTTCTCATTCCGCACCGTTTCCGACGGGAAGTCGGCTTCGGCCCATTGGCGTGGCAGGCCCGGTGTTGGCGCGAAGAGCGCGGAGAGCTCGGACGGGGACAGCCCGCCGTCGTTGTCTTTGTCGGCGCGGAGGAAGAGATCGACGAAGAAGCGGTAGCCTTCGGGGGAGAGCTCGGCGCTGGAGAACGGAGGGACGTCGAACTTGGGATGGATGAAGGAATCCCGGAGGGAGAGGCTATCGGTGTAGTTGAATTTCCGGAGAATGAGCCATATTGTTTCATGGCGACCCTTCTCAGCGAAGATCTTGTTGAGCAGGATAAATCCTGCCTCTGAGACGCCTGGCTCAGACTCGGAATCCGGGAAGTATCGTCCAATTGTTCTTCTAATGTCTGATACCTCCGAATCTGTGATATCTTTAGAGAATACTTTCTGTTGAAAAGCGTGGACTTCTGCATCGGACAAGTAGCCGTCTTGGTCCTTATCGCAAAGGAAAAAAACCCGCTTGAGCGCAGATACGGCAGTTGGCTTGAGGGCAGCCTCCTTTGTATCGTACAGCGGCGCAATAGGATGCGTTACAGCCTTCTGGCATAAGAAGAACACCTCGTTGATGTTATGATGCTCCTTGGCACTCGTCCGTATACAGGAATCGATCTCCTTGAATTCGTTCATCAGCGGCAACATCTCGTCCGACACCACCTGGGGTGTGCTGCCATTGCGTTGCAGGTCGGACTTGTTCGCGCACAGCACGACGGGGACATTGACGCCCAGCGACCGGAAGAAGGGCATCCAAAAGAGCGCCACCCGCTCATAGCTATAATGGTCAGAGTAGACGAGGAGGATGACATTGGCTTTTCGCAGCTCGCGCTTCAACGCGTTGCGCTCGTGTGGAAGCGCGGACGTGTCGACGATGGTTGTTGTGACATTCTCGGGAGTGCCAATCGTGGGAGGAAGAGTTACGGGTGGTAGAACAGGTTGGATCTTGTGCGTAACGAAAACATCCTTTACGAGGGAGGTGATGATGGAGCTTTTGCCTATGCCTTCATCGCCACAGACGCAGATACGAACTGAGGGAGTCGTTAGCTGGGTTGGTCTTGGTGCAGTGGAGTTGTTGGAATATACCTGTAGCCATCAGTAAGTTCCATAATCACCTAGAACACGTTCCTGTTCTAGTATGATTCGCTGATTCCCGCATTTTCGGTGATATGTTTCCTGTGATATCATTGAAGTTGCGGAGCTCTCAAACTCCGCATTATTTTACAGCTCCGAGATTTGCCCGTGATATAATTCAGCTGGGACGAAACATATCCAGGGCATTGATAGCTTGAAATGATATCGCTATTCATAAGCCAACTTATTCAATCGTTTTTATTAATACAGGATCTAATCGTTCTATATTGACTGGGTACTCCTACAAACACCACTCAATGTATGAATATCTAATAACGGATTCAAACTCCGACAAATGCCGCTCAACCCTAAATCCTCAAACTCCAACATACATGTACAATCCAAAGCAAATGAGAGCAGATCGACCTTCATAACTGCGCACCGGTCCGTGGACTTCTCACAGTCAAGCCCCCCGTGCCTTATTTCTCTCCCTACCGGTCACCACCACCGTCCCATCCTCCGCCCTGATCTTCCACCCCCCCGCAATTAACGCCCTGGCTACCGCCGGTCCCAGCACCCCCCTTTGACCTGCACTGTGATTTCCCTTGCCAACGACTATTGTAAATTCTGTCCTGGGCAGCTTTGATCGGTCGTGCCCCGTCACCGGCTCCGCATGCTTGACCGTCTCCCACCATGCCTCGACCCTGTTCACCGCGATGCGCGCCCCGTTCGTCCGATCGATTCCATGGAGGTCGAGATGTGTGGCGGACGATTGCAGGGCAGCTTGGGCATCTGCGGCGGAGCTTTGTGCGTCGCGGAGGTCGTCTCGAAGTCGTCGGGCCTCGGAGGAGTAGTGCGCGGTGACGCCGCCGTAGTGGGGGTTGGAGCGAGAGAGCTGATGGTAACGGTGGGCGGAGTCGACGACTTGGCGATGGAGGGTGGAGAGGTGGACAGTGGTGGGGCTCATCTGGGAGGGGGAGTTGAGAGGGAGGGGTTGAGCAGTCGAAGGACTCTTCGTGGGGGAAGGTAATTCAAGTGGGACGTATTTCGGAATGATTGCACCAGGGACATCGGCAGTGATTGGGCCCGGTGGCTTGAGTAGCGCCGTTGCAAGATCGTGAGCCGCGGACAAAATCGGTGAGCTGGACGTAAGTCGAACAAGCGCAGCGCACGTCGAGTCGTCAAGATGGGGAAATTCATCCTTGAGGGATAACGTGCTAGCAAGTGTCGCTTCTTCGTCCGGAAGGTCATCGCCGTTGTCCTTAATATCGGCGCGGATCATCTCGTGAAGGGTGGAGCGGACTGTCTGGTCGTATGTATGCCAGATGGACGACACTGCTTGCGTAGAGTAAGGCGTCCGCTCGGCAATGTACGCGATCTGATCCTGGCCCATTTTCCATCTATTCTCTGGCATCCCACTTTCAAAGGCATCGTATCGAGGCATCTCCTCCAGAGCAGACCTAGTCTGTCGATTCTTCTTTTTTGGCTTTTTGCTTCTTACGTTCCCGTTCTCTTCAGCAAACGCGTCTACGCCCCGGAATTTTGGCTGCTCTTCTCCCTCCTGCTCCCCGACCAGATACACGAGGTTTAAAAGGGCATCGGTGGTGCGGGAGAAGTTGCCGTTCGCTTTCTTCAACTGATACCGCAGGTCTCGTTCTTTGAGGTTGTGAAACATCTCACTCAACCGCCCCACTTTCGTATCCTCGTCCGCTCCCATCATCTCGTCAGACATCTCACAATCGCCCAATACCCCCGCATTCAGACCTGTCTCGGATGAGTTGCTACCGTCTCGGCCGCTATTGGAGGTGGAGCTAGTCGGCGCTGATAGCTCCCCCAAGCTTGGAGAGTCAATCTCGGCTGAAAGCGTCGTGTCTTCGGTACACGGGTCCGACGGCTGGTTGTTCGTAATCGAGCCACTCGTGCCGGACGGATCGAACTGCTGTGCGTCGTCGGCCATCGCATCGTTTCGGATGCACTCCAGCACGGCGCGCGCACTCTCGTATTCCGTAGGGTCGTTGAGGTCATTATAGTCGCTCAAAATGGCACGGATGAGCTCGGGACTGATAGGCGGAAAGAACTCGCGCTGCGAGATGACATGTTAGTGCTGCTGGGTCAAAATTATGGTTGGAATAACGCGATAGGGTCGTGTAAACGGTGTATATTACCTCGAAACGCGCAATGATTGTTTCTAGATCTTCACCCATTTTGTCTCGCAGTCGATCTAGGTAGTCGTGGCCTATTGGCGCAAGTATTGCTCGCTTCGTTCCCGATTAATAAGTGGGTGGTCATGATCTGTATTTGAATTTGAAGTGAATGTTAAAGGTATTTCTGAGTTCTGTGTGTTGGCTCGGCGCAGATGCCCTAATCGATTGTCGGCGTTGAGACCAGGTGTTGCAGATGGGTTATTTGATTATTAGACCATTAGCTTCTTATCACCAGGACTAACTAAATTGGAGATAAATGAACTGAACAAGATGAACACGATGAGATGAACGATGATGATGATGACGGTCAACATAGACCCTTAGTGCCTCAGGCCGCAATATTTGTTGATGATATATTAATGGAAGCAGTTGGGGCAGTGTTATGCGATTGCGATGGACCTCAATAGGAGCAAAGTGTTTTTTGGAGAATGATATCATGATATCACTTTAATGATCTGTCTATGTTGCCTCAAGTGGAGAGACCGCGTATAAAACCAAACCAACGCCGGGCCGATGCAATAGTGCTGTTCCCGCCGGTCATGCCGAAACTCCAAGTCCGGGTATCCGCATAAAAAAGGAAATATATACAAAGAAGGAATGCAGCTCTAAGCCATCGTAGACAGACAAGGATGCCAAACTTCGAACCGGCAAGAGACGTGACGCTGAAGATGGAAAGATTGGACGCTCCTGCGATTCCGTAACCCCTAATCAACCATACAGGTCATCATCAACGCTACTAACTCCTCGTCGTTCATCCCCTGGATCGGGCGGAGTCTGCAGTCTGTCAATGGCGTCATCGCTCTCTATCCCTCTCAACCTGCTCCGCAACCCTCTCCCGGCATCCGCACCTCCATCGGACCCATTGCTCCTGGCACTACCGCGACTGTTCCGACTGGAAGCGCTGCCAGTCCTTCTCAAAGCCGGTGTAGCGGGCTGGCTTGAGCTTTGTCCTTGACCGGATGACGGGAATGATCCCTCTCCCGCCATCCTCGTCCCTGCTGGCGGACTTGACGGTCGACTCATCGCGGTCTGGTATGAAGGGAGGGCGGGCCGATCAGGGCCCGAGGTCGCAGGAGGAGGGGCAGGTGTTCTCAGTGCCGTGTTGTAACTCGGAATCTTACTGAGCGCGTGCAAGTCGTAGGGGAGGTTCCTGGCCGATGATGAGGATTCTGCGGGTTCGTTTGGCCCCGAAGAAAAGATGGTTGAGAGATTGGTGGTACGGCCCGGGAGATCCGCAACATAGCTGTTTCGAGAAGAAGGCAGACCGGGACGATAGGAGGAATGATCGCTGCTCGGCCTAGGAGAGGGGTCTTGGAAAGAGGCTTGTCGGCTGGGATAGAGGGAGGGATAGTACGAAGTTGCTGGTGTTGTGACCGTTGGGGCACCGGATGTGGCATGACTCGGTGGGTCTGAGACCGGGCGACTAACCTCGCTGGTCCTTGGGGTCACTGCGCCGCCCGTATCACGACAAGCAGGAGAGTGGCCCGATTGTCTTGAACGGCTCGAAAACGGCAGCGCGTTGGCGGCGCGTTCCTGCAAGTTCGAAAGACGACACCGAAGCGCAGATGCCGATGCCGCTTGGTTGCTGGTATCTTGTGTAGGCAGCGCAGCTGCAGCGACACCTTGAATGAGATGTCTTGCACTATTGCCTGCCGCTCGGACTCTCTGGCGCAAGTCCTCCTCGCTGGCTCTCCGACTTTGCGTATAAAAAACCGGTGTGTTGGCGCCCGTGTTCCCGGCTGTCCTGGCACCGTGGTCGGAACCATCATCGTATAATTGGTCGAGATGGTGGAGGTTGTATATTGGCGGTGCTTCTTGCCGAACGGGCTCGTTGAGCGTCTGTCGTGACACTTCGGCTGTGGGCAGTTTGACAGCCAGGGTGTCTTCGTTGATTTGGAGCTGGGGGGAAAGAAAGAGGTTGATGATGGCACGAATCTTCAACTGGCTCACATGTTGGTCTCCATTCAATATGTTGACGTAAATCCTCAAGGTGTGGTAGATCTTGATGTTCGCGGTGTCGCACATTTGTCTGCAGTCCTTGAAGCTCCGGGGCAGGTCCATCTTGGTATCGAAGATGTATGCCTCGTCCTGGAGCTCGGTCGAGTCGGGCGCCTGTCTTTGTGCGGAAATTTCCGGCACTGGATATGTCTGATGCTTGATGATCGTAAACCAGTCTTTGTAATGTGTCCGTCCTGCTGGATTCCGCGCGGTGTCGTTGTAGGTGTTCACTGTGTTCTCCCGCAGCTCCATCTTGACATCCTTGATTACAACTCCTTTCTTGAGGGGCGTGAGTTCGAAATGGGCTGTGATCGAAGTGCCGAAAACATAGTTTACTCGTGGCACTGAGATTTTGTAACTCAGCTTATCGTTCCAGACCGACTGGTGGATTTGTTCGTGATCGAAGATGTCCGGATTCGGTCCCTCGATGCGCATGATGCGGATTTTTCTGGCCAGTGGCAAATCAATACTGCCAAATGGTCGCTCGATGGTCGCATAGATCATCCAGTTCACCATGATGCGATGTCTCCAACCGTCCCTCTTCAACCCATTGACTGTATCGTGAGTATCCGGCGGTAAATCGAACTGAAATGCAAACTCTTTTAATCCAGAGCCGATTGTGTGCGAGCTGTTCTCACCCACTTCGCCCCTTGGGAGCAGGATGATTTCTTTCTCATAGATTGTGTCATTCCTCCTGGTTATCACGCCAGGATCCCAACCCATCTCCCAATACAACTCAAGCGTCCCGACCAACTTGACCCTGATGCGCTTTATGTCCATGGATCTGCGTTGGTCCAGATATATGCACCCCTTAAGAGCAACCGGTTGCGCTCCCTCGAGGGGTGTACCTTCAAAGACCACATATGGCTGATCAAGTCGAATCTCGACATGCCTGTATGACCTGATATGGCTACCGGTCGCACTGGACTTGCGAAATAGGGAGGAGGACAGCAGCATTATGAATCGCTGTGTGCTACACGCACACCAGGGTTGACTTGGTGTTCGAGGCGTGAGGTTCACTCTCAATTGCGGAGAGCATGAGGAAGTTCGGTTTCAATGTGTTCCAGTTTCTAATATGAACGTGGAAGAGGGTATGTCCAGTCTTGCGCCTGGGTTCGCTCTTGGTCAAGGTAAATGCGACAGGAACGTTGCACAGGAAAGAGAGTGAGAAGTCGTATTTCGTGGGGTGGAGACGCTGAAGTGGGTGCGGTATGAACGACAGTATCTTAATACGATAGATGTAGAGCGAAATGGATTGTTGACCTCAACCTGGAGGAATCCTGGACTTCCTGACAATAAATCAATTTGGTGGAGTGACGCAACGGGAAAACGGCAACAGTGGACAGGCAAGGAACACCCAAGCAACAAGGAAGGAATGCTTAGGCGTCTTAGTCTCTGGTATTTATGGTTTCCTTGTTTCTTTGCCTTCAGCCGCTTCAGGGTTTTTTTCTTCTCCAACAATCAAGCTTCCGTAATCCGTAAGTGCTGTGTAGGGGTTGTAGTCTGGAACTCTAGGCGTTGAATTACCACCGTAGTATTCCGCGATCTGCGTTCTGTGCCGTCACAATGTTCAACGGAACTCTGGTCCACTTTCGCGGGTAGTTTGGAATCCACTGCACGGCCCGATTTTCGATTTCGATCCAAGGTCGGGGAGACGGAGCCTCGGATTCAGCCCTATGGTCGACTGGTCTGGTCCTTGAGTCCGTACCACATGTGAAAGACGGCGACTTGATCCGATCAGAATAGGGCGGCCAACGCTCCGTGTCGTCACTCGTCAAGAACAGGAGATTTTCGTTCCGCCTGGTCGTCCGGGGGTAGGTAATATTTCGGGATCGTTCCGGTTGGAAAATGGCACATGGAGGACAATTGGACAAGCCGATAAGCAACTTTCGCTTTCACCCGAAGGTGGGTACTGTTGAGTATCCCGGACGCTAACTTGGTAACGCTCCACTTGTCGGTGAAAAATATCCCGAGTTTCTAGAAGATCTGCCGCCTAGAACGTTGTATTTCTGGCCTCGGTCCAAGGGTAGATCATAGGACAAAGATATTAGCACTGCAGATCCGGTTGTTTACCTAGAAAAATAGGTGCTCGCAAGGGTCAAACAAGAGAGAAGAGAAAAGGGGGTGAAAGGAGGTCAACGCAGCAGGAGATCAGCGTCTTTTTAAATCAAACCACTTGAATGAAGGCAACCTGCAGGTGACGCGGCGAGCCGCGTGGGATAAATCACATTGGCGAGACCCTGACGGGAACCGCGGGATCTCGCGATAACTACTTAAGTCCTTGCTGATCGACAGGAATATCAGCTAAGTGCAATCCGCCATGATGTGATGGGCACACGTATGCCGTCTGATATGGTGAAGTGGTCTGTCGCTGGTAAGGATAAGTATTATTAGGATTTGGCTGACCCTGTGCTTATGATCCAGCTAAATGTGTCTCCTGATGTTGTCATTGGACCTGTTGGTCGACATCAAGCCAGCCTCATCGCGACAGCAGGGAATCCAACTCCAGAGGTGTGGCTGGCGGCGGATACACGGCTGTTTCGTCCAGCTGCATAAGTGGTTCCTCCGTCCCATCATCTTCAGTCCTCATGCAATATAGTCATGCACACACGAGGCTCGGGTATGGGGGAATTCAGAAATACCCGTACGGCCGTTGGCTTCTGGGAGTCGGAGTCGGGGAATTGTGGGTGCCGTGTCTTAACTGAAACCGAGACCGGGCGAGAATGGACAACCTGATTACTTATGTTGCTCCGTTTCGGCTCAGATTCATTACCTTTTCAAGATATAATCCCCTTTACTCATTTGAGTTAGTAAGCCGAGAGGCTCTCCTTTTCCGTAGCTTGAATTTTGGAGGTCGTTGAAGGAGACAGCACCCCCACTCAACATCTTCCAAAGCTAAGTAATTAATTAGCTGTTACGTATCAAGCGGTTGACTATCGCAACACTGCATCCCGCTATCCAGACTAAACGGAATACCCTCAGAGGCTAAGTGTTTCTGCCCTAACATAGAGAATTTATCGATTGGCCATGATTTCCTGGTCAGTTATCGCTGTTGCCCGCCATTTGATTCTTTTTCCCCAAAGCCATGGGTAGAAAGGTCTAATGAAACCCGAGGGGTGCATTATGGAATATTATGTGATATGGAAAGTGGGACATATAACATAGCTTAGAGGCTAGCAGTGAGATAACAGGTATGAAGACTATTTCTGTAGGCATGCTGACCAATACATACTATATGTACATATAAATATACTTTAGAAATCATCTCGGCAGCTAAACTAAACCTATGTCTTAACTCAGACATAGAGACGGATTGCATGGTACTTCACTCTAACAACTGCTCCCCGCCGTAGACGGAGCCCCGTCACTGGCTTCCGCGATCGTATCGACTCCTTCTTTGGGACGCCCCCAAGTACGAATGTGACCTATAATGGTCCGAGTTAGCAACGACAGCATCCCGGCTACCGCGGAGGCCGACTCACCGTTCATACAACTCGTCACCACCGCCTCCTCGACGAATCCCACCCAGCACAGCGGATGCTCGTCGACCTGCTTTGCCATCACCGGCGGTAGAAGCGCCGTCCGCGACCTCGGTTCGACGGGATGCACGATTTCCTGTTCGGCGAGCTCGTGGTCTGCTCCATCCTCGCCACTGGGCTGCCGTGATAGGTTGCTGTCGGATCGAAGATGTGTGGAGGACGATTCCGCCCGTGTCCGTGCGACGGCAAGGTGGCTGGAAATGGAGGGTCGGTGTCGGACGGAGGCCTACGTGAGCAAATTGCTTTAGCCCGAGGTCACGGTGCTCCTAGAGTCGATAAACAAGGGGAGGGAGGGATGATATGCACCGCAAATCAGACACTCGTCAGCAAGCATGACATCGCTTTTCTGCAACGGCTCAAAGGTATGGTCCGGTATACCGGCTGGTACCTGTTAATGGAATAGCCCGTGTGGGGATAATTCCGGGTCCGTCGGCTTCGGGGCAACAATCCTTACCCATGGAATTGACTGGTAAGATATGCGGCCCGTACCAGGGGTAAATGCCCGAGCCGAGGATAAGATTTTCAATGCATATCGAGCGAATTGAAAGAAAGTTCCACTTACTGCTCGAGGTCGGCCCAGCATGCCGACGCTAAAATCCCATAGTAGGAGTCGACAATCCTCTCCTACACTGCCGAATCGATAATTTCGTTCGTCGCATCGCCAGGGATCGAAGGCAACCGACGTCACCCACGAGGCATGCCCCTGGCATCGTGCAACGAGAGCGCTGTCTGCCACCGACCAGATGGAAACGAGGTCGTCCTGACCGCCGGTCAAGATATATCGGCCGTCTGGAGACCAGGTCACACAGAGTAGAGCGCCGTAGTACGAATAGAATACATCGAGAAGCCTTTGACGCAATTGAGCATGGTGACAAGTTTGAGAAATGGAATGACATACTTCTCGTTGCAATAATCAAGCACTCGTAAGCCTCCATCATCACTGACGATGGCCAGGTATTTTGCATCTGGACTAATCGCGAAAGCGTTCACCCTGGCATTACTAATCTTCCAGAAAGACACGGGATTGGATTTCTGGTTCGTGCTTTGGACGCTCTTGCACACCTGTAACGTGAACGACTTCGCGCGTCCCGTACCGTTCGTGTGTTCGTTAATCGTCGATGACGCGCTTCCACTTGACGACGTTGCGCCATTTGCAGCGGAAGCGACATTCTGTGCTAAATTGGCAGCTGAAGCAAAGGCATCGGTGGATGGGCGGGCCTGGGAATGAGGAGCAGCGGATGGGCGATCGGTGTTTTCGGGGGTGAATGGCGCGTCTTCCTTCTCTTTGTCATATACGACGATCGAACCGTCAAAATGCGCCGCCATGAATAAATTCTCGGAGCCCGGAAGCCAGCGAATATCAGCGACGGCGGACGAGTTAATAATACCCTGGCCAGGACGTTAAAAAATGTTCGGTCCGCTTCAGGCGGAGAACCTACGTTTTTATTCAAACGGGCATACTTCTGGGACATCGGCTCATACCATATAATGTCCCCGGTCGAGAAACCGATCACCATATCCAAGTGTTGTTGGGATTTCGTGAGTTGGTTGATGTCGTGACAGAGTGCATGTGCCTTGGTAAACAATATCTTCGTGAGGTTCTCGTCCTATTCCACACGATGGATGAGTTCCTGTAAATGTGAAAATGGAGCTTGAAGGTTTCTCTCACCTTCTTCACATCGCTCAGATCCAACCACTGCAACCCTCGATTGATGTTCGCAAATGCCAATATCCCCTGCGGATTGCGCTCTCCAAGTCTCTTCCCCAGCGATTCATGAGGAATCACCCGGGACACAAACGATGAATTGCTCTTCACTATGTTGTTCTTCGGTTTTCGCCGCTTCGAGCCATCCTTCGTTTCTTTTGAATTAGGCTGTGGATACAACGCCGTGTTCCCCGCTCCAAACTGGGGGACCTGTGGCGCGTTCTCAGGAACTGAGCGCACAGTGCCAGCATTATGGGCTCCTCCGCCTAGGCCGCTACTCCATGCTGTTCGTGATAAGAGTAAAGAGGAGGGGTTTCGCCCAGTATTGCTGGCAGCTGGGCTGTCTTGCACGATGTCGCTCTTGCTTCCGGCCGCGGGGCTGCGGCTACTCGACGACGGACCGGAGGTGGATGAGGATGGTGAAAGAATGATGAGAGACAGCTTCGTACCGGCTGCGGGAGGTGGTATCGTAGTTGCGAGGGGATTGGTGTTCTGTACAGGTGCTTCGGAAGGATGGGGAGGCGGGGTCGCGAGAAGAAGGTCGTCGGTAAGATTGTAAGTGCCTGCCTATGTGGTCAGTTTGGGATTTTCTATGAGCCGTCGCTCGAAAAACAGCGTCGAGCCGTAATTCGACATACCTTCACCGAGCACCAATTGATATTCCGGCCCGGTGGGATGCGATAGCGTATTATTCGTCTCGAAGGGCTGTCCAGGGCCGCCAACGGAACTGTAGAACCCATCCGGCCGGGGTGGCGGAGGCAGTACGCTATACGCCATAATCCATCAGCATTGTTATCCGTATACCATATCAGAGATGTTGCGCGACTTGAAGCAGGACGACCACGGAATGCTCAGGTGGCTTGAGACAAGCCTTTCTATCATTGGCGCTGCGGTTGGCCTCGTGTTCACCAACCAAGGAACACGCCATGCGAGACATGGTGTACAAGCAATAGAGACAAGGGCCAAGAACATCACAGGACAACATATACAGAATCGTATCATGCGGAGCAGAGTTTATACTTACAACATAGTGTTGGGAGCAGTTGAGACCCGAAGGATCCCAGGGCTTAGTTCTCAATGATAGGTTGAATAGACTGGCAATACTTTTCAGTTGCCCGGGTCGTTGGACCCATGCTTCATCACAGACTCGTGCCGCATGGTGACATTCAGTAACAGTGGAAAATGAACTCAAAGATCACGACACAGCGTCAGATGAAGGTGAAGTATGAACTCATCCGGTGGAGTACCTACAGTATCGGGGCATCGGGATGTTGACGGAGTGGTGGGGCATTCGTTATAAGCGGCAAGCCTACCCATCCAGTTACACCCCTCATCCTAGGGAACACGTTTGGGCCTGACTACAACATCTCTTTCCGTCATCCGGCATATGAAGACTCTCACGGCGTCTTAATCATTTCTCCTCGACTGGGCCGAGCGAAGTCGAGGGTTTGAAGAGGATCATCGCGCAGGAGCAATTGGAGAAGGCCAACGCGGGGTCCACTTACGGGCCGGAGCTGGGGAGACGGGCGAGGAAAGTTGACTCTGGATGTCAAAGACCGAAACTGACGACTCTCTCTTAGCGGCATATTTACTCTGGTCAACATGTTTTGGTATGTCTGGCGTCTGTGATTTATTTCTAGGAAAATAACTAACCTTTAGTAGTCTTATGAGTCCACCTGTGGAAAATTCCGTAGTCCAAATAGACCAGGATCGCTGGTTACTAGGCGACGCAATGGTCTGTGAAGTTGTCTCAGAGGTATCAGAAAGTGCTTTGAAAAGTTGGAAAGATGATGATGGCAAAGTGTATTGACTTCGAGCGTTATCTGAAAGGATGGCGCGTCTACGAGATTAAGAGAATGTGGGAGCTCGAAAAGCGGCCTTATTCATCACGGAGGTACTTCTGCGGCGGTTTGGAACATCGCAGGAACATTTATTAAGGCCAAAGCATGGCGAACTGAGATGCAACTGGAAAGCGACACAATTCAGTTTGTTAACCGAGTCTCGTCGCTCCCTACCCCAAAGATCGTCTACTCGTGGATAGATACTTATTGGAGTCGCTCGTTTCTCATTCTGGAATCAGTGAAAGGAAAGACCCTAGCTCAGGCGTGGGATACATTGTCTTCTGATCGCCGTACTCAACTCGCAAGTACAGTTGCACGTTTTTGCAAGGCTCTGGCGGCCATGACATCGGGAAGACTAGAGACGGCGGATGGCACAGGCATAGTCGAACCATTTCTGATAGCGCGGCCTCCGGACTCCGAGCCTTCGTGGAAGCCACAGTTTCTAGGTCCGTATTCTATCGAGCTGCTTCAGTCTTATCTCGCGGACCCTTCGGCCACCAAGTCCAGGGCTATAGCACCCTTTCTCTTCTACTACGTTGACCTTGGACCGGGAAATATAATCGTCGATGACGATGGAGATCTCGTTGCGATTCTCGATTGGGAATCTGCAGCGTTTCATCCTATGTTTTGGCTCGGAACGAAGCCATTGCTTTCTGCTGGCTTTCTTCTCCCTAACGGGGATCGAAAGGCATGGGCAATTCTACTTACAAAAGCACTGGAGCTAGAGGGATTTGCACCGGATATGGACCGATATTTGACATGGAAAAGAGCTATCGGTAAAAATTTGATTGTTAGTGCCTAAACTCCCCGGGTTGGCTGTTAGACTCGTCCAAATGAAGCTCGACATGCCTTGTAGTGCAGACCTTGCACTTCATCGTTCACGTTGCAGGCCAAGGTTGGAAGTACGAAAGGCCTTGAGGCGTGGGCTGACTACCAGAAGACACCGACCCTATCCAGGGCTTCAAACAATAGGACTTAAAACAATCTTATTCGGATTGATTCACACGAACCTGCTAATGTTCGCTCGTAATCCATGCTCCGTACGCCCATTGGCGACTGCGATACCAATTGCTGACACGGTCCTCCAATATCAATGCTGTCCGAGCCAAAGGCGCTGAGGAAAATGAACCAAGGAAACCCGCGCAGTGTCGTCCTCGACGAGGAAATCCGGCCGACTCCCTTCCGCCCACCGTTGTACATATGCAAAACCCACTGTCATCACCATGTTGGCCCCCCTCCCCGCCCATTCCAACCATTCCATGATGCGTTACCCGTCGTGAAGGAAATCGTTTCGTGATCATATCGAAGCGACGGCCGCGCGCGTCGACAACAGGGATGAGAACGCGCGATATTTACTGGTACGTGCCGTTGATTCCGTGGATCCCGTTGGTGCCGTTGATTCGGGATCGTCCGCTCGAGAAGTACGGATGGACTCGCGCTTGCTTGGCGGAGAGGCGCATGGAGGGATCGAAGGCGAGCATCAGATCGAGCAGGTCGAGGCCGTGGTCGTCGAGACCGGGGACGAGAGGATTTTCCCAATTTCGTTGCCACTGGGGAAATGTGGACTTGTAGTCCGGGAAGCTTGAGACGCTTGGCCAGTTCTCTTCACTCGGGGTGCCGAGAAGCCTGCAGGTACGGAGGTTAGTCATGTCTACTTTATGACCGAGGAAAAGGGCGAAGCACGTACTTGAAGATTTTGAAGATCTCGTCGATCTCCGAGTCGCCGGGGAACAGCGGTTTCCGGGTGCACATTTCAGCAAAGATGCATCCGACGGACCACATATCGACACCAGTAGAGTACTGCTTGCCTCCAAGGAGGATCTCGGGAGAACGATACCAGAGAGTGACAACCTGCGAACCGATGTCAATATAAGGGCATCGCGAAGCTATATCATCCACTAACCTCGTGAGTATATGTTCGCAATGGAACGCCGAACGCCCGTGCAAGTCCGAAATCTGCCAGCTTCAGAGTCCCATCCCGGTCGATCAATAAGTTTTGGGGCTTCAAGTCCCGATGCAGCACCCGGTGCGAATGGCAGTACTGTATGCCCTCCACCAGGTTCACCATGAACTTCTTGACAATATCCGGACCCAGTCCGAGCGTGCTGAGCGTGGTACCCACCGCGGAGTCTGGAAGGGGTTTTCCTCGTCCACCGTCCGAGACGGGCAGCGATTCCATGTACTTCTTGAGGTCGAGGTCGAGGTATTCGAAGACGAGGTAGAGTTTGTGACCGTCGGCGTGAACAATGTTCAGTAGGCGGACGATAGCGGGGTTGTTCAGTTCTTTGAGGAGGGAGATCTCTCGAATGGCGGTGGATGGGACACCTTCATCCTCTGCCTCGAGGCGGATCTTCTTGAGGGCGACGACTTTGTTCGAGGTGAGGTCTCGAGCTTTGTATACCACACCGTACGTCCCTAGGGATCGAGATGTCAGATGAGGAATTCTTGATGGAGGGGTCGTAGTTCAAATGACAACACTGAGGACATGTTATCAGTAACGGGTTACATACCTTCGCCTATCTTCTCCATCTTCTGGTAGTTCTCCATGATTAGCAGACAATCGATCGAGGAGAAACGTAATTGAATGTCTGTAGCCAACGCTGTTGATACCCAGAAACGAAAGGGATGGTGACGGTTCGGTACAGACAAAAGAGAAACCAAAGATGGAATTGAAATCTCTCTGATGGACAAAGTGCACGCAACGATGATCCAACCGGTTGCTGTTAGTTAGTAGAGAAGTTTCTGAACAAATTGACGAAGGTGATGGATATGATTATTATGTTTCTCAGCGGGTTGAGTGGGAGACTGCTATGGTGGGTGATGGCCATGGGTCAGACCTGTGTGGGTAAACATACGGACCCTGGTGAGTTGGGGGCTTGTCGCGGTTGCACCGCGATGCAGATGCGTTCTCATGTGTGATTCGCTGATGTCGCGTCCGAGTCCCTGGATGCCTGGATTGAATGCCTTGATGCCCGATACCCTCAATCAGGATCATAGATATAAAAAACAATTCAAAACATCCAGAGCAGTGTGCCCTGATGACTTGATCAAGTTAAGCTAAACTATTAAATCACCGAAGGCTTTATTTTCATCCATCTATCCCTGCATCATTTATTCCGTAAGCAGACCATATCTTCCCACATTTGCCTAGCAACGAGGTCATGATATGAGTCCACAAATGCTGGATGCGCATGCGAAGCCGCCAGACAATGTCCGCTCTCTGTACAAACGATATCAGCGTATGAGACCCGAGGAACTGAAAACTGACCCGTTGATCCTTGATTTCTCTAAGAACATCGATACATTCGACCAGCAGGAAGCTGCTGGTCTTAAAATTATTGGCGTCATTGGGAGAGAGACTCTCCAAGATGCCTTCACAAACTTCGACCCCAAATTCTCAGACGGCAGCCAAGACACGAAGGTCTTTGAGCACGCAGATATGCCTGGTGGGTCATCCACGCTCCGCGAAACTCTTTTCTGTAAAGAGGATGATTTCGCAGCGGATTGCATTGCCACGTTGAACCGTTTCGGAATATCCTGACATGCCCCAGGTTTGCATATCATCCCATCCCTTCTTCCTCCAAGCATCCAATCGTCTCTTTTAAACCGCATGCTTCATCGAGACCTTTCCAATCCTAGTCACCAAACCAACATTCATCTTCATTACAATGTCACGTACCCAGAGCCCCCGGCTTCCTCGTTCTTTTCTTCCAAAGTCGGCGAGGCCTCAACGAACTCCGAACCCACCTTCATACCCAAGAATCCCGAAGTGCACAAGCCATTGGCATTGACGAGCGTGCTTGCCAAAAAGCTTCGATGGGTTACTTTTGGAGGGCAGTACGATTGGACTGCTAAAGTCTATCCTGAAGACGCTAAAGCTCTACCGCCATTCCCGAGCGACATTGGAAACCTCATCTCGGATTTGTTCCCCGACACGCTAGCAGAGGCTGCGATCTTGAACTTTTATTCTCCAGGCGACACTCTGAGCGTGCATCGCGATGTGAGTGAAACCACAGACCGCGGCCTAGTCAGCTTGAGCTTCGGCTGTGACGGGATATTTATCATTGGACCCGAGCCGGAGACGAGCGAATTTGATCCAAGAGACGGAGAACGGCCTATCCCAAACCCGAGTGGGTGCATTGCGCTCCGCTTGAGATCGGGAGATGCCGTTTATATGGCTGGAAAGTCGAGGTTCGCCTGGCATGGCGTCCCGCAAATTATACGAGGCACATGTCCCGGCTGGCTCGAACAATGGCCGGCCACCGCGGATTCGGGGGATGATAATGTCCACAAGAGTGATGGAGATGTACTGCTACCTGACCAAATGGCGGATGACTTCGGCAGGTGGAGAGGATGGATGAAGAACAAACGTATCAATCTGAATGTCAGGCAAATGCAAGAGGAGTCGTCCAAGCAGAACAGGTATACCACTGCATAGAGAAACCCCCCAGAAGTGGAAATATATGAGATTGCTTCTAATACAGCGCATACTGCGGATGAAGGCATTATAGCATCATAACGGAGTTTTGTGTCTTAGATTAGTCCATTCAAGTCTTTCCAATGTAAAAAAGGACGATGGTGGCGTTGGAGCATGGAAATACTGTCTCGCTATTCAAGATGCACTTCGTACTCTCTCCAGGAAAGATGCTCATTTGTAGCCAAACAATTGTAATTTTTGAGATGCACATAGTTTCCGATGACTAGAAGCGACGAAAGAGCGAAATTTACGAAGATTTATAAGAGTTACAATGTGCGTAGAGCCTCTGAGCTAGTTCAATGTCAAAGTACCTCAAATTCATTCCAGCATGGAGGGTGTTCCATGACGCAGTGAGGGAGGTTAATGGCCGTTCCTTGAGTCAGAATTTGCTCAATAGTTTGTGTCCATATGATACCAGTTGGTTGTAAATGGCTAATCCATTCGTTTACATCCTCCTGCTGGATATAGGTACATCCTCAAATCCCTAAGGAGACGCATGTAAACCATCTGATCTAACATCCAAACAAACTGCTGTTCCAGGATTTGAGTACGGGCATCACCCATTCCATATGCCGGCCCCATGAGGGTAGATGGTGGGCGAGAAGTATGAGGCGTTGAAACGGATGGTTCGATGATAGAACCCTGGTGGTGAAGACAATCTTCGGAGACCGCTGCCAAACTGATAGTAGGCTGGCGATGCCAGGATAGCCTTGATGACTCAGGAGAATGAAACCTCTCTTGATAGATGGAAGTCATCGTTGAATACTACTGGCTTCGCCGATTTTTTATTCGTGCCCCATTCAGTGCCACCACCTCTTCCCGCCGCAAGCATCTGCGGTACCAGTTCGATAGTCACCCACTCCGGCCTGCAACGTTCTTGAACCGTGCAGATTAGCTATCGAACAAAAAGGAAGCAGCCAGATCCACATTCCCATCCGCCGCATCCATGGCCTGAATCGCCTCCGCCATATCCACTCCCAGCGCCATGAGCGTGTCCAAATCTTCCCCTTTCCACCGTGTTTGCAGCTGCCCTCCCCAGGCCTGAGCCGGGTTCCGCAATCTAGCATCAATGCTCGGCTGGACACCTGTCGAACGCGTCCGTATCACCGATCCTAGCTCTTGGGCCCACTCCCATGGCTCGTTCGTCCCCTCCCGCTCAAGCCCCGCGTTGAAATACTCCCAGCCCATCACGCCGCCGAAATTTGGGAACGCGGCCCGCACGGCGGCGAGAACGGTCTTCATTCGGGGTAAGTGGACGTGGCCTGCACCGTTCGCGGGGTTGGTGATTAAGCCAAGGACGATTCGGGAAGGGTCCCATCCTTGAGCGATCAAGGAGGCGTAAAGGAACGGATTCGAGGCGTCGCCCCAGTTGCAGTAGGTGATGGCGGAGTAGAACGATATGATGGGCGCAGTCGGTGGCGCCTCGGGTGTGGACGTGACGAGCGATTGGCACCATGTCTCGAGTTCAAAGTAGGAGAAGCCCGAAAGATGCGGTAACCCGGGTATCAGAGCTGTAGCGACGGGAGCGAGTGAAAGGATGAAGGACGGTCCGAAGTCCAAGCGGAGGCGGGTTAGGAGCCGTTGGACAGATGCGACGGGGATTTCTTCTTCGATCGAGAGGTCGAGTCCATCCAGGCGATGTCTCCGTACCACCTCTTCGAGAGGGCGGTAGTATGCCTCGAACTGGGACAAATGATCAGTCAGTGGCCTTCAATACTTGCCATTCGGAGCATACGGAAGAATCATCTCCGCTGAGCCGTAGAAAGCTGCCATGCGCCGCTCCTCCGAGCATGCCCATCACCTTGATTCCCGAGCCCTGGAGCCATGCCACTTCCTGCCAGAGAGTATTGAACTTGGCGGCGTCCGGCGGATCATCGTTAAGTGTGATATTCCCCGGTCCGTTATTAATATGTATCGCTGCGACTATGACGTGCGTAACTCCTGTGCTTTTGGTGATGAGAGGAAGGACCGAGATAACGTTGCCCAAGGAGTCATGATGTGTTTGATAGTACAAAATCAGGCGAGGTCCTTCATGTACAGGAAGAAGATCCTGCCTAACCGCTGGCGCCATGTGTGAGGTCAAAGAAGATTTCCCAAAATTATAGTAACTATCATCGCGGATGTTTCATTGAATGAGACATGCTACAGCAAGTCTGTGACACCAGCAGGAATGATATTGGATTCTCAACCTTACGGTCCCAATGAGAATCGTGATTCACTTAAATCAAAGAGTTGGACACCGCCCCCCACGATTGGATGTTTGGGATTTTCTCGAGGGTACTGGATTGCTTTCTGGAAGCAATGTTGGCTGGTCCTCTTGAACCCTAAACCCTATTTCACGCGGTACCCACGGTCCAGACAACGGGATGTCGATCTCAACTAGACGCAACGCAAGACGCTCATTAGAGCCATGCATATAGCACATACCTATTCCACCAGGGAAGGCGTAGCATTAGCGGCATCTAAATAGTACTACATAAGCCTATAGCTCGGGGCGATATCGATATTTCTCCAAGAACTTTGCGGCACCACGAACCGCCTCTACAAACTCCTTTTTGAATCCAAGCAAATGCCCAACGAGTGCAATATCGTGAGGAGCATGCTCCGTCACGAAAAGCTTTACCGTATTCCCGACCCCGATATCCTTCTTCCCGCCTTTAATGCCCACGCCCTCGGCCAGCTTGTTAATCTTGCCGATATTTTGGGCGGGGGCCGTCCCTTCGGGCGAACCGTCTCCGAACCTTTCCACCAGCTCGACGTGATCGTGGAAGAGGACTTCAGCACCCCCGCTCTGGACGAACAGAGGCACAGGCGTGCGGAACGGGTGGTGAAGAGGGCTGATATATGGATTCCTCGGATCCAGCTTCGTGTTGTGGTCGCTAATGTAGCTACGTCCGCCCCAGGCACCGAAGGCACCGCACAAGTAGTCGGTTGACTCGTGGGGTGAGTTTCTAATATTCGCTGGATCAATAGCGGCCTCCAAGTCGACCCAAGGAGACCAGAGGAATGCGCATGCCGGGTGGCTTAATCCAACCTGCTCGCCAAATTCAGCAAGGAATCGAAGGAGAGCGAGGACGAGGTTGCCTCCAGCAGAATCACCGGAGAATATGATTCTGGATGACGGGATACCAAGGGTCTTTGTCAGGTAGACATATGAGGTGATAGCATCCTGAACGGCTGCTGGGAATCGACTATCAGGGTTCGACGCAAGACGATATTGCGGGCAGAAGACGTATTTGGCAGGCGTGGTCTTCAATAAAGTTGCGGCAGTGAACCCAGCATCTTTAGTTCGGCCATCACCAATTACATATCCTCCGCCGTGAAAATTGAGAACGACGTCCACATTGGCAGTCCCATTCGCTGGAAAGGGTTCCGGATACCATGTTCCTCCGATCTTCTCAGGCTTTATATGCTCGTCCTTCACCGGACCCTCGTAAAACGACGCGTTGGCTGGCGACAGGACCACGAACTGCTTCTTCTCCCCACCGGGTCGAAGCGACAAGGGGGTGCGTACCTCGACATTCGCTGAATGGTAAAGGAAGGACCTGACGATCCGGGTCATGAGGGCTTGTCGGAAGGTCCATTTCGGATTCGGTCGCAGAGGTGGAATCAGGTACGTCAATATCCAGACGGGGAATCGGATGAGCTCGAAGGTCAAGGCGCAAAGCGCGTAGAGGGCCTTGAAAGGCTGGCGAGCTTGAATCTTCGACATCATGCCCATACTTCGTGATGGAGAATTGCTACTGAACGGGGCCTAATAAACGAAGCTTACCATCGATGGGATTTAAAAAGGCCGGCCGTGCTGCTTGCCTCCAGGTACGATCACATGTAGACTGTGGCCCACAGTGGATGCCCTGCCACGGCTGCCAGGGCCGTCGTAATGCTCTGCCGTTGGAGTTTATTGATTGCCTCTTCGAAGTCGTGAACACACATTACGAATCAAAAATGGAATAAGGTTTGGAGATAATTGATTACGATGCTAAGGTGCCGAGGCAAGGTTACAAAACTACTCCGTAGGGATACAGGGAGGCAGTTTCGGTGCATGTGTCAGAGCTAGCGCTGACCAAAGCATCAGACATCTGGTGCCCTACAGGCTACAGCCTATTAAGGTATAAACGAAATGGAATCGTAGATGACAACATTGTACACAGCAAGACTGCAACTTTGGATCGAAATTGACAAAGGTATTCTCATAACATTATTTAGTATATCATACGTAAGACGAAGTTGAGTCGAATCAGGACCCCCACGCCATCTGAAGTTCTACACCAGTTGATCACAGCCCTGGAGGGAGCTTCCACGATGACCTCAACATCTCCAACTTACCTAGGTCAGTGAGACGGCTACAGAAACGCCCAATCGTAAAGTGTTAGATATCGGTATTCGGTAGCTGCCTGGTATAGAATTTTCGTATCCCACCTCAAAGCTAAGCCAGATGTTGTGGGTTCCTGGCGCGCGCCTACGATGTGCTAGAAGGTGTATCCGTAGAAACTACAGTGATCGACCTATGAAAGGAGAGATGTCAGAAACAAGTCGCCATAGATAGGAGCAGAGGAGATAGGAAATGGCGGAGAGCCGTGATACAGTCAGATCGGCGAGTGAATTTGTGTTCCTCAAAGCATAAGAGCTCAGTAATACAACAGGAAAGAAAGATCCACAATCATCATAGAATTATTTGAGAGAATTGGCAAATGGAAGAGTTGGGAACATACCTTGTTTCATAGACACAAGCAACGCGTAGATCCTGCTAGGGATCTTGGGTACTAGCAATGCCCACTACCACAGTCAACAGTGGGGATGAGAATTGAGAGCTAGATAGCGGGCGTCGGATGGTTCACTACCCCATCATAACCGTCCAGATAATCATTGCTGCCATCGAGCAATGATAGGTCTAGGAGCCCGAAACATGCTTGATAATTCGCATTTTGTAACAGGAGGAGGTGTCTACAGGCAATAGACCTAAAGTCGGATGAGATTTAGAAAGAGAAACCTTCTCGCTAACTAGAAAAAATGAATAACTAGAAGTTTAATAGTTATGGGCACGTGACTCTTTACCTCTACAGCCTGGTTGCCTCGGGTAAAAGGTCAACTGACCTCACGTGATTTGCCTAACCCGATTAGGATGGTCAGCCGAGATTTTTTGGGGCCAGCCGAGCTGTCACCACGGCAAAAGGCCCCTCCGCCCCCCCCCACCCGTAATAATACATGCCAAACTCCCTTTCATAGAAGCCAAAGATAAACTCCTGAGTCGAAATTCAGCCAAACGATATCTTGATATTCTCTCGGGAAATCATAAAATTCTATATGCGTAGTCTGAACGGCGAGTGAGCTGAGCTGCATTCAATTCAACAATGGTGACAGGATCAGGTTTGGATATGATGTGTTCTGAATTCTGATGTACACCTCAAAAACTATCCAGGGTTTCTACTTGGTCGTTATGGAAAGGCTTCCGTGGTAGTTTAGGCCATGATGCTTCGTCTCCGCTGGCATATCAAAGTACTGCATCCAGGCAAGCATTGCTTTCTAATACTCCAGATCTAAACCCCTTGTCGATTGTGTGAGATGGCAGCGCATCTCACAGCTTGTTAAACTGCTCCTGAAACGCCGTCTCCGCCTCCTTCGTACAATCATGTCCATAAATCTCTTTCTGGACCTCAGGATCCGCCCATTTGTCTGGCACCGGTCCCTTCCCACCAGCAGCTTTGAGGGCCGCGAATTGCTTGTCCCTCTCTTCCTTTGCCGCCCCCGATCCCAAATGTAGGGCGCGACCAGAAGCCGCAGCGATTGCTACGAGCGTCTCCGCCCGCTCCTTACGGACGGATTCGTATATCTGCAATGCTTTGTTAATGGACTCTGGACGGACGTCGGGCAGCCGACCGAGCACGACTCCTAGAACGGCGGAATCTTCGATGGCTTGGGCAGCCCCTTGATTTAGGTGAGGAAGGGTGGCATGGCATGAATCGCCAACGAGAGCAACCGAACCGCATACCCAGGTTGGCAAGGGAGCGTACACACGCAGACGCCACTCGCACACCTCTCCTTCTGGGACCAGGTTCAGCATCTTCTGGACCTTGGGACAAAAGTCCTCGAACACCTTTAGCATGACTTCCTTCGACCCTTTCGTCGTGTATGTTATTGACGGCGCTTCCGCGAAATTGTTGTCCGGTTGCACGGTCGAGAGGTTGTAGATGGTCTTGCTTTGGATCGGATATGCGATGATATGCCGCTTCTCCCCGATCCACCGCGTCACCCCGTCGGAATTAATCAGTTCTAACAGCTCGGGGTCGTGCTCCATGTCTTTCCGGTCCAACACGATTCGATAGGCGGCCTGTCCCGTCTCGACAATCTCCGCGTCGACTTTGAGATGTGCGAGCATCGATGTGCGAGTGGCGCTCTTAATGCCGTCGGCACCAAGAAGAATATCCGCCTCGATCGTGTATGGCTCTCCGTCGCGTGGAGTCACCGTGAAGACCGGCTTCGGTGACCATGACTCCACGGAGCTGATGCCAGTCCGGAAAATGAACTTGATGGCATTATATTTCTTACAACCTTCATAGAGTCCTGTTGCAAGAGAGTATCGATGCCCAGTTCCATGCGGGAAGCCATAGATCTGCCTGATGTCGGGCATCATGACATGAGCCAATTCATTATCGGTCGCACCGTCTGTATTGGTCAGCACAGAACCAACGTTGATCTTGAATGGTATTACCCCGGATGCTCGTCTCCTTAATTCCCGTAGACTCCTGCTCGATGGGGTCCCAGACGCCGAATCTGTCTAGGATGCGGGCAAGATTGGGAGCAAGCTGGATGCCAGCTCCAACAAAGCCAAGGTCCGAAGCCAATTCGTAAACCTCAATGTTTTGGAACCCAGCTCTTGCAAGTGCCAGGGCGCTGGAGAGACCGCCCATTCCTAGACCGGCGGTTAGCAGGTTGGGACGGGACAGTTCGCTTTTTTTGAAGGACTCTCATACCAGCGCCAGCGATACATATCTTCAAATTTTTGACTTGATCATCCATGTTTGCTGCTGTACTTGGGTATCAGTGATCACTTCCTTGATTCCGTTTGCTTTAAGTAACTAATAGTTCAAGTTTGGTGGGCGTCAAGCCATATATATCTCGGCGCCATTGTTCCATAATTCCATCACCGAGCCACCGGCGTCTGTTGAGGGCTAGATGCTCCGTCCTGTTTTTTACTGTGCATCATCCACGGACCGATGGACGTAAGTCGTAACTACTCTAAGTTAAGGCCCGACTACCTTTTGGCGAACCGTGGATTATTACCGGTACACCAGAAGAATCCCGATGATGATCCCAACGTGCATGTGGCTGGCACAGGGTGAATGGCGGGGACAAAGATTCCAGCCTGGATTCGGGAGCTCCCATCGGCTCTTCAGCGCCCTCCAATGTCCACTTCTTCCTCCCACACACACTCTCCGCAAATCCCCTCCAGTTCTCGTTAACTACACGCCATCCATCGATTCATCGTCTTCTATCCTCACACTCACCCCACTTCTACTTCGAATCTCCAATACAAACAGAGGGCCTCGTTATTACTGTCGTTATCGGAGTCTAGGCCATGCAGGACTTTTGGCTCGCTTTACTCACTCTGATCTACCTGGTCAATCAGCAGGAGAAGACCATCCGCACCACCCACGTCCTCCCCGAATTCGACGAAGATGCCTTCGAGCTCGAAATGCTCGCATACCTGGAGGAATCCCAGACCCGGCGCCAGACCGCGACGCGTCAGGCCCGTCAAGCCGTCGGACTAACCTTTAAGTACGTCGATTTCTCCACACGAAGTCCTTCCGCTAGCGACACCGGCAGCCTGTTCCCCGCGACCGATACCCAATTCCCCGACCCTCCCATCAACCCCACTGGTGGATTCGAGACCCTGGGAGCCGCCGAGGAGTATATCCGTCGATATGCCCGAGATCGGTGGTTTGGCATCTCCCGCCAGAGGAGCAATGTAGACAAACGCAACGTGGTCCGGAAGGTGTTTGTGCAGTGCAACCGGGCGGGGACGTGTTTCTCAAAAGCGCAGAGGAGAAAATCCGCGTCACGAAAAAGCAACTGCCCGTGGAAAGTCATTATCAAGCGAGTAGATGGTACGAGACTTGCACCACGCTCCCGTTCGTCATGTAATCTGACCTGTGCACTGTAGGAAGCTGGTTCATCTCTAGTAACTGCTTGACCCATAACCACGAAATGAGCGAACCCATCGCCCATAATTGCCATCGAACTCGCGGAGTCGAAATCCAGACGAAAGTGTTCGACATGAGCCAAGCGGGCTTGTCACCCAAGGAGATTTGCGCAGCACTATCACAGGAGAAAACTTCCAATGGAGAACCTATTCTCATCCGTCCGCGGGATGTGTACAACATTCGAGCCAAGTTCCGGCGTCAAAGGGACGTCGAAACAGGTACAGCGTTTACTTCCATACCCACGTAAGAGGCCTCCAAGATCCTCGCTATCGCATGTCCGGCTCTTGAAGTCCAGCTCTCGACGAGGCTTCGAGGCGTAATCCATCCCTTCGCCGATACTAAAAAGAGCATCCTGTTCCGCCTCTGCTAGCTATGAGCTCTAATTTCCGTCTATCTGGTCCAGCAACGAAGGAACCTTCTCGAGGAGATATTCGACGATGGCATCCGGTCCTCTCTCGACTTGCAATCCATGAGGAATAGCATGTGTCTTGATTCCGGGTCTGAGCTCCTTTGCAATGGCCTGTATCTGCTCCGCCTCCTCGCTGGACCACATCGATGCGCAGAACTATTGACTGGTCAGTATATCATCTAGGTGCTGCGGTCTTGTTGCGCTACTTACCAAGAGATCAGGCTGAATTTCTCGGACCTTTCCTTCGACTTCGTCGATCTTTTCGCAATTGCCAGCATGCACCAGAGTGTATCGGTCTTCCAGCGCCTTTGCGACACGCCCGATAAGGCGATATGCTCGCTCTGGAGCTGTGTTGACCGTCACCAGCTTGAACGGTCCTTTGGGTGCTGTTGCAGTCATGGTGGAATTATTTGCGCACGCGGTGGTCAGGGATGTGCAGATAATGAACCTGGTGTAGGGCCTGGGGATGGCTGAAACGACTGTCTTTTACATGTTTGCGTTGGCTGTGGTACGATGGTACCGAATATTGATGGCGATGCCGACATCACATGCCGATATTCCCGCATTTGCGGCGGTCCATCAGGAGTATGTCATGGTACTGGGGGCTTTCGGCTTTGGCCGACCAATGCCGATTGCGGAGACCAGGTAATTAGAGTGTAGAGCCCAGAGTGTGGTTTGACGGTTTCCTGGGGTTCGACGATAATGTGTTAGCTCACGTATTCATGTTAGTGCGCGGGGTGAATGCAAGCATCAGATCATCTAGTGGGGGAGCGGAGACGGCAGAGGAACATTCCCCTGAAACCCTCCGCCACGGCAATAAAATCGGGCCTGGAAAGGTCGAGGAAGACCAAAAACTTGATATGAATTGCTCATGGACGAACGGATCATTCTGTTCGGGTGTTAGCTATCTAAATAATGCAATGGAAGTAACTGTTCTTATCCTCAGTCCTCCTTGAGTCAAACGTACCAATTATTGCACCGGTAGCATTTAATCTCCATCCACATCATCCAAAGTCGAGAAGTCGGGAACGTCCTACAATGGTCAAGGGATATAGCTTCGAAGAGGCTTCGGCCGGATTTCGCAATCATCTCCCAGATCTAAACACACCACGCTTCATCAATGCGAAAAGCCAAAGTCCGTATGAATACTCGAACACATTCCGCGATACCCAACATCCGCCATGGCTCTACAGCCTAACAAAAGCATGGGAGCAACTCCTAGAGGAACCTTACAAAGGAGTCACGGTAGACGGCAGTATACGGCATGGCCTCTTCAAACACCAAGACGAAGATGTTCCCATGGCGAACATCGTGTCGACAGTCAAATCATTACTCTCAACGCTTACACCCGACCAAGCGAGTCAGTTTCGCCATCCTCTTAATTCCAAGGCCTGGCGCAGTTGGTCGAACCCCGAGTTCCTCCTTCGTCCGCTGGGACTCCGATTGGAAGAAGTATCCGAGTCCGTGAACGGGGGGATTCACCGAGTGATGCAAGCAACGTTATCTCCGGAGGGATATCAAAAGGCAGTTGCCACTATGCGCATCAACCACTTCCTCGGCGAGCTGGTATCACTTCCAAAGATTATGAACGACCAGTCGTACAACTTCCTCCTCTTCGGCGAACCCTCCGAGTCGGGGCCGTGGGGATGGTCGTTATACGGGCACCATCTATGCCTGAACGTGTTTTTGCAGGGGACGCAAATCTTCATTTCGCCGACGTTCACCGGCGCGGAACCGAACGTTATTGATTCGGGGAAATGGAGGGGGACGGAAATTCTTCACACGGAGGGAGCCTTGGGACTGACACTGATGCAGAGTCTGCCGGTGGATACGCAACGGAAAGCCCAAGTGTTCGAGGAGCTGAGGGACCCTAGGATGTTACAGTCCGGCGATCTAACAAAAGATCGGTGGAATCGAGACGACCAGAGGCATATGTGTGGAGCGTAAGTGCATACGCGATCGACATGAATAGCAAATGGCTAACAATGAAACCAGCTTCCGAGACAATCGCATTGTCCCCTATGAAGGAGCCTGCGCCTCGAGCTTTACCACGGAACAAAAACAACTCATCCTTGAAATCGCTAACGAGATGCTGCTCTATATACCTGGTACGGCACGGAAAAGGAGACTAGAGCTGATTGCGTCGCATTTTAACGAGACGTACTTCTGCTGGATAGGGCAGTACGGGGATGCGGATCCTTTTTATTATCGAATCCAAAGTCCAGTGATCATTTTGGAATTTGACCACCATTCGGGCGTATTCTTGACGAATGAAGAGCCGGGAAAGTTCCATACGCACACGATTGTGAGGACGCCAAATCAAGGGGATTATGGGTGCGCCTTGCGGAAACAGGAAGATGTGGTCTTGTAGCTGTGTATGAGCGGGGGCACAACTGCCGTGCCGACAGAGTCGAAGATGTGGTTTGAAAGGAATACATATTCGATACATATCACGCTATTTCTCGTTCTGGAACCTGTTAACCAGTGTACCGATGTACGGTAGAATCTCAACGCCGAATTCGTCTCCATCCTTGATGGAGACTTTCGGCTTTCTTGCAAATCCCACGCCGGCCGGGGTTCCCGTCATGATTATCGTACCGGCGGGCAGAGTCGTGCCTTGCGACACGAAGCTGACTAGTTTTGGAACGCTGAATATAAGATCGCTATCACGCATATCAGTCGAGCATATTCCGGTGATTGCAGGCGGATTAACTCACTCGGTTCCGCAGTCTTGCATCACCTTCCCATTCAGAAGTCCCCGGACTTTCAATTTGGTGGCATCGGGGATCAAGGCTGTCGAGACGATCGTAGGACCTTGTTTGATCAGCTCAGTCATACGAATCAGACTACAGAACCTCCATACCAATTGGACAGGCGCCATCAAATCCCTTTGAGAAGGACCATTGGCTCTGATTCAGTTGACTGGTCCGACTGGAAATGTCGTTTCCAGCAGTGTACCCCAATACATAGTCCAGAGCATCGGCTTCAGACACATTCTTCGCTTCCTTGCCAATCACAATGACCAGCTCGGATTCGAAGTCGCCGCAGTCGTCGGCCTGAGTCAGCTTGGGAAGCACCGTCGGCTCTGGCCAGGGTGATGCCAAAGACGTTGAAGGTTTCCTGGTCTCGTTTTAGCTCAAATGGACCTGAAGGAAATATTCCCAACGGAGTCAAAGTCTTACAGAAACACTGTTGGCAGGGTAGGAAGAGCCATGCCAACCTCGGCGGCATGTTGCTTATACTACACCCCGATGGCATCAGCACCGCGCAAGTCACAACGTGAGGGGATACTTGCGTTCAATCCGATGCACCGTATCGTCCCTACTTCCGATGCGGCCAACGGAGATAAAATGCGGTCAATCACGGCCGTCGACTCCGTTATCTGGCCGGGCGAGAGCACGGAGGTGCCGCTGAAGAGTCGAACAGGCACATCGTCACCTTTGGCGACCGCCACGCCGATGTCGACGTTATCGTCCGCAGGCTGGCCGATCAGAGTTTTGGAAGCGTCTGAACGAGGCACAAAGCGGACAAGCCCTGATGAATTGTCAGTTAGGAAATGCGAAATACGATGAGGATCATGCTGCCAAACTCTTAAAGTTCTGTGAAATCGACATAGCTCTGCGAATCATTCCCAATGGTTATTATACGTATGTATAGCTACTATACTGGCCTCGAAGTCAGCGTTGGATAGCACCTTGTCTATCCAAGAGAGGATGCTTAGATATACAGATACGTGGAAGAATTTCCGTCGTTCCCGTGACTACGGAGTATTGTTTCTATACCTGATTCATTGCCGAACATGCTGGCCCAACTACCGCCGTCCATGTCATCTCAGCTCCGATGTCGTGCGTTACGTGCGTAGTGTGCCCGAACCTGACAAGGAACACCCCCTCGATCTGTGGGGGGGGTAGTGCCCGCCAGGGTGGCCCCATTTTATGGACGGCGCTTCGGTCCTCGGGGTATCAAATTCCCTTCAATGACGGGCAGGCATTTTGGGAAGGGTTCTTCTGACTTCTGGATCGAATCTCCCGAACGAGAACACATTGCAATGGATATTTGGAGCGGTTTTGAATTTATGCTATCGTGGAATTCTCTGATAAATGCTAATCTTACATGCGCTGGAACCATCATAGTCAAATCTTCGCCATGCAGAACTTTTGGAAGCCAAATGTGCCTGTCCGAAGCCACTTCCGATGCCTCGCAGTAAGGAGATGATGATTTTAAATATGAATCCGCTTGAGGATGCCCACCCAGACCGCAACTGCATCCTGCAGTACCATAGCTTCACCTTACGAGCTGGCGTTGAGCAGTTCAAGGATCAGGTCCTTCGCCTCTTCAACCCCCTCTCGACTGCCCTGAATCTCGACCGGCTCACCCTTGGCCTGGTCTCGAGGCACCGTAATCCTCGTGCCTGTCGCGTCACGGATCGAATTGATCTGCTTGCCACCCGGCCCGACGACTACACGGTACGAGCGCGGATCGGGTAGCAGGAGGTATCCGACTGAGCCACTCTTCTGTGCCGTTTCAAGCGCTCTCTCAACAATGGCGCGTGCCTGAGTTGTACTATCTGCCACTCCGCGAAGGACCCAGGGGATGTCACCGGATTCGCCCTCAGGCTCTGCGGCCGAATCCACTACTTCCCAGGTGTGCTGATTCGGCGTGGAATTTTCGTTGTTGATTCCATTGATCCGGGTCGGCCTAGGCTTCGATTTCGGCTTGGGTGGTACGCGGTGCCCCTCGTGGTCGACCGAAACATTGAAGTCTCGTCGAAGTTTGCGGAACAACTGTCCATTGTCCGCCACGGCGTGATGGTGGCATCGCGGGATTTGGATGGTCTCGCCTTCACGAGACTTGACGATCTCCTCAATATGAGATCGCGCCACTCCAACATCCGCTGGTGTGCCCGTGATCCGAATCTGCGAGCGAGCAGGACCGGTCACATCCTGCTTAGGAATGTCGACAATGACTTTGAAGCGCGATTCGATGTTGCGTCGAGTATCGCCACCCCGGCCGATCAGCATGCGATGCTTATCCGGAGCAACCTCCATGGTTTCCGTGGTTTCGTTTTGTCGGCGGCTAACTTCCGCATTGATAGCCTCGATGATCCGGTCGACCAATGTTTCGCCACCTTCGACGCGAACGGCATGCTGGTCCTCATTGGCTCGTGGGAAGCGAACAATTCTGGCGCATTCGCGGGGACCATCTGGCCCTCCGGCTGCTACGACAAGCTTTCGAATATTTTGACCTACTACGGTGTTAGTCTGAGCACCTCATGAAATATGGCATGTTTACCTTGAGGCCCGATCAACAGCTTGTGATATTTCCGGTCAACGTCAACTGTCTTTGTGACCGTTGAATCGTACGTTTGAGCGCGCTGCTCAATCAGTTCCTTCGCGGCATCAACCTGGGCCTTTGTTCCACGAATTTTGATATCCACACGACCTGAGGCGGCGCGAGCGTCCTTCGTTCCGGGTACATCGATTTTCGCACCAGTGGTCATACGAAGATTATCCAATTCGCGGCCGGCCTGTCCAATGAGTGAAGGAAGTTGATCCTGCGCAACGGAGACGGTCGCATTATGTGAATTATCCTTCACATATTGCAAGAGATTGAGAAGCTCGGAGCAGGCCTCATCGACACCCCTGCTCGGTCCCCGAATAACCACCTCATCCGGCGCAACAGAACGAGTTCTGGTGGAACCATTCTCAGTTCCAGCATCCACGTTATCACCCACAGATCCCGCGGATTTCGGGAAGTTGATGCGGACGTTGTAACGGCCCTGCAATTTGTTGACTTGAGCACCCTTGGCGCCAATCAGCTCAGGGTGGAATTGCGGGCTGATCTTCAAGACGTGCGTGGCCTCATCCTCAAGCTTCTTCCCAAAGCTCACAATGTGAGCCTTGGCTCGCTCAGCTTTGGCTTGGGGGCCCTTGATTTCCACTTTGCCGTCATTGCTCAGTTGGAGGTCCACATCAAATTCCTTGCGTAGCTTGCTGATGTTTTCTCCTTGCTTTCCGATAAGAATATTCGTGTATTTTGTCGGAAACGCGCAGGAGGTGGTGTATGACCGTTCTTGTTCGTCCTTCTCTGCTTCTTCAATGAACTGGAGAATTGCGCTGTGCAAATCCTGAACCGTGTTTCCAGGACCGCGAATAGCGAAGGTGTTTTGTGACGGTTGACATCCCGAGGGCAGATCCTGCGGGGACAACATCCGCGCTGGGATTGCAGTAGACGACAAAGGCTTCTGGTGGGCATTGACAAAATCTCGAATCTTGCGGTGGAACCTGTGGTTAAATGATGAGACGGATACTTTCAAAAGGGGCGATACGAAGCTTACCTTGGATGAGCCTCCATCTCCTTGGTCTCAACCTGTTCCTGAGCACTGATAAGCGCAGTGATTTGCCGATGGGTTGCTTCCAGTCCTTTTTGGAATTGCTTGAGGTCGGCTACACTTGGCTGCTCGCGAGGAATTTGATAACCTTGGGCCTCGCCAGGTGCCTCGTACACGAGTAGAACTTGGGGAGATTGCCGTTGCTCGGGGAATATCATATGCACACCATGTTCACCCCTCAACTGTGGTGCTGCTGTACGGCGAAGATGCTCATGGAAGAACGGATCGACGTTAATATTCGCCAACCGCTGGGGCGGATGCCCAGTGACGATGTTCGCGACATCTTTCCGCGCCCGCATAGCCACTTTGCCGTCCTTGGAGCACACATTGAACGTGGTGGGCCCATCCAGGGACGTGGGCAAGATAATGCTCGCCTGGTGCTGTTGTTCTAATTGTTCAACAGCCCGTCGCTCTCGGAGGTATCTCGCCAAGTTGTATGCATGATCTGGAGCTCCTCCATGCATACGGGAGACGTCGACAGGATTCATAAACACTCCCGAAGCAAGATCCTCGACCTTGTTCAAGCCACTGGCAATCCGGTCCGCCGGCCCAACGACAGTAATGAGCTCGCTGGCTTCCTCAGAGGGCGGAAGTACAACAGCGCATCCGGTCTCTTCCAGAAAGTCGTGGAGCGAGATTCCCTTGTCGCCGATCACGAAGGAATGAAGCGCCTGGTCCAAGGGTACCCGGTCAGTGGTGAGATGTTGGCGCAATTGTTCCACGTGCCGTTCGATTTCGGCCCGAGCTTCCAGTGCAGCCTTGCGCTCTCCAGAAATTTGGATGGGCTGGGCTGGCTGCTGCGGGAGGGCGGGGCCTTGTCCTACTGCGAACTTTGGCGGCGCTCCTTCCCACGTCTGATAATGAGGAATCTGGATGTTGACGCCGTTGCCTCCCTGCAAGGCGTTGACTCGAGAATTATGTGCACCGGCGAGGAATGGGTACAATTCAGGAGCGATGTTGCGAAGTTTCCAGTTGACAGTGGATATTCGTTCGTCCACAATGTTCCTGATCTCGCGCTCCGCCATCTTCGTCGCGACCGGATCTCCTTCGACGACGACATCTATCTCCTCATCGTCATCGAGCTGTCCATTCGACTCGTGGGTTCTAGGGACTTGAATCCTAGCCCCGGTACGCTTACTCAAAGCCTGAATAGTAGCCCCTTGTTTGCCGATGATTTGGGCTCGAAGAGATGCGGGGATCTTGACATTCAAAGATTGCTGGAAAGCTGTTAGTCCATTTCAGGGGGAAGTTTTTGCATATAACAAACCTTCATCCCGACCTGGCTGGCGACTTCTCGGAGAGCTTGTTGAACGGCCTCAATAGGGCCTTGTCCTTCAAAAACATACGACCCATTCACTTGTCCCGGCTTCATTTGAACCGTAGCCTTCGAGCGTCGGTTGATATCTCGGATAATCTCTGGGATCGGTCTCTTTAGCTGGCTACGGGGAAGCATTTGGCTCGGAAGGAGCGTGATGTTGTCGCTTGACTTCCCCGGAAGGGAGAGGGTATGCAGCACAGAGCCACCCGCAGCGGAGGGGAGCGGTGTCGCCATGCCCGAGGCAGGGGTCGACAGTCTGGATGCCAGACTGGCAGCAACCCCATTGGCGGAGCCGTTCAATCCATTGGTTGAACTTATGGCGGGCCTCTTCCCCCAGGCTGTCGCGCTCGGAGTCTCTCGGGATTTCGGGACCCCCAGTGATGGGAATGCCTCTTCGGAGGCGACATCGAGCTTTGGTGCCACGGGTTTCTTCGGCTTGGAATCGGTCTCCTCGTTGTCGACCGGTTCAGCAGATGCCGATGAAGATGCTCCAGCAGTGGTATGGTCTCCTAAGTGAGCGGATGGAGGAGGATGGATGAGGTCTTCCTCATCTTCGACCTCTTCGAGGGTTGGATTGTGAGGTTTCGGGGTCACGGTATCGGACATATTGATGATATATTCCACACGCTTATGCACAAGCGAAATTGTTGCTCAATTGAAAGCTGGTCGAAAAGACGTCTGCAGTAAATGTGGAGGACGCTGCAACAAATGCTCGAAGGTGATCGGCAGGATCCAAATGTAGGACAATAAGACCGTGCTATATAAGGCAGTTCGGGGAAATCGAAGGTGGCAGTATTCGCTGAGGGATGGCTATTCCATTCTTTCGCAACGACTCGGTACGTCGAGGCAAGTCACAGTGGAAATCAGGTTCTGATGGGGAAATAAAGCGAGCTCGGCAAGTGACAGAAAGTTGGCAGAGATATGATCCGAGAGTAGAAGAAATCCAAGTACGAGTAGCGGGCAAGGAGGGCTGCAGGCTAGATTCGAGGACGGGAATGGTATGAACAGGAATTGGGGGTAGAGGAGGACAAGGAGGAGGCGTGACGGCCGAAGGGGAAGATAGCAGACGAGCAGTAAAGTCCACGGTTGACGTTTCCAGAGACGGAGATCAGAGGGAGGTGAGACGACGAGAAAGATGCCAGAGAGTCGAATCTCGAAAGTTCCGCGCACGTGCCCCACTATCCTGATACAGTATGGTAATATCGCAGGCCAAGGCATGAGCTCTAGGAGTCCAAGGCTACAAACTGCATTAATAATCTTACCGTGACTCTCGTATATCTGTAGGGCCGGGGGACCAGGCATTCAGCTAGAACACACAACTTACACAACTTACACAATACAACAACTTCGCTGCTGGAACAACAGCACCTCACTCCCAACCATTTTAGCACATCACGTGCGACAGGTAATTATGTACCTTACCTCAGCAAGCTCAGGCCATTGTGGTCGTGCCTGAGGCAACAAACCACACTATACCTAATCGGTAAATGCAGTTCTCGAACAAATAGCCTGAGGATTCTGTCAATGACGCTCACTGATAGATCGATAATTTTCATGTGTTTTTCACGATTTTGGAAACCTCACTTTTGCATATTCTTCAATAACAACGCGGGGACTTATTATAATTGCCCTTAAATTCACTGGGCTGTGCAGCAAGGTATACTCTATCTAGAATTTGAATTTTTTCCACTCCCGATGCTTGTGTCTTGCAAAAAACTCTGATATGTAAGCAACCAGACTGCGTCAGAATCGTCAACCAACCACCGCAGATCGAGTACCAGTTCGTAGCTATTCTCTGCTCTCTAGAGACGTTGGGTTCAGTTGTACGCTGCGCCGAGAGGAGATTCGATCTGACATCGTCCAAATTTCACTGGGTTATCAAGAAACGATAGAGGATTCGATTGAACGTGTCAATTTTACTGTATGATAGCTCGTTGTGGAGGAAAACGAGGTTGAAGTGATTAAATTGCTCTCATACAAACGATCTCGATTCAGGCCAAAAATCAATGACAGAATCCTCAGGCTATTTGGTCGAGGACCATACCAATTAGGTATAGCGCGGTTCGTTGCCTCAGGCATGACCATAATGGCCTGAGCTTGCTGAGGTAACTCAGGCTATTTGGTAGAGGACCATACCAATTAGGTATAGCGCGGTTCGTTGCCTCAGGCATGACCATAATGGCCTGAGCTTGCTGAGGTAATATGTACCGGATGGTACCATACTTGCCGTATTAGGATTAGCTGACACATATTTTTCCCGTCTGTCGAGGTCGTGGTCACGTAAAGACCCTCTCCTCCAGTCAGCTACAGCGTCCAGATGTGCAGAACTGCCATATTCTATTGTGACTTTTACGACGCTTGATTTCCTTGAAGTTCATTCCAGTATCATTACCAATTCGATTAAGCAATGATCACTCGATTGTTAGCTCAGTACCTCCCTTCTGTGTGAACGCATTCTATTAGGTGGTTGAGTCGCCCCTGTGCTGGGTCCGAATACTTGATGGTCCTTGACAATATCACGAACAATAGGCTATGCCAACTCCTCCATACCTACTACCTACCGTCCAGTCGTTACAATAGGGGTTAACACTGTTCGTCATGATATTGCTCTCTTTGCGTGTCTATTTCTGTTGCAGTATTTTTGTTCGCTCATCCACTACTCCTTTGTCCTAGTAATTTTTCTTTGAAGTCAAAAGTACCTACAGAACAAAGGAACCCCGGCATATGGATAATGCATTGTCTGCCTCTACTCGGGTTCCAGGGCTTCAAATGCTCCTGGATCGTTTCGATGAACTATACCAACATCCAATTTTGCGCAATGATATTGTATACTATACAATGGAGCCAGGCGACCACATATAATCCGCCGTAAATGACCCCAGAGCAGGAGAAACCCTCCTCACCAAGATTCCAAACAAGCTTTCCAACAGACCACTTGTTCAAAATAAACTAGACGCAACCTCTGCTCACGAAGTGTCCATACCAAGCATAAAGGCAAGGGAATTGTCGTTAGCCTGCCCTAGGAGGGCTCCAATCTCGGACGATGGAACCACGTCTTCGGACAAAGGTTCTTGAGGCTCTCGAGGCTCTCGGCCAGTTATGGTGGGATCCTACCCCGGATCCTCACGTGTCACTATCGTCTTTGCACGGTCGTATTCCGGCCTGGAATTGTTGCCTGTGTGGCCGCTGGAATCATGGCGATGTAGGGAGGTGCCTTTGTGGTCACCGCCAGTGCTGTGACTGCGCGTATCCATCCAGAGAAGCATAAGTTGAGAGGCATATCGCCACAATGCTTACCTTGATATAATCGCCAGCAGTACTTGACAATATCGAACGTGTCTTGAGAGCAATAGAAGAACAATAGAAGGGCAAGAGAAGAGCAAGAAAAGAGTAAGAAAAACATAAAGAAAAAAATACGATGATGAAGGGCCATCCTCATCCACGTTGTAAAAGAAAGATCATTCCAAGACCAAGTTATGAAAGTGATTTCACGTGTGATACTTTAAATCCGAAGGCAGCCTACTTGTTATACTAGCCGTAAAGGTCCATTGAGAATATGATGTCTCAAGGGCATCAGCGCACCACTGATGGTTTCTGGGTATCGTCAATCTTAGCATGGAAGGATATATTCGGTATCCCACAACGTCGGGGTTCAGGATAAGCAATGTTAGTCATTAGCGATCTGCGACATTTTTCTCTCTGAACTCTTGCTTTCGGCGAAATGATGTTATCAAAGTGGTCGGATGCGTCTTCCCAAGGCTTTCCGACAATAAATCCGCGAACAAGTGTAAATGTACTCGGTAGAGAGAGAAAGAATATGTCTGAACCTCTACGGATGGACTCTAGCAAAGACACTAGCGTGATTGAGGGTGGTGAATACCAGACCCAACTCCCTTTAAACCACGACAGGTCCCAAGTCAAATCACCCTATGATATGCCTCCTAGGTGACCTGTTCCGCTTAAGTCTTCTCTGGACCCATACGCTGGTGGTAAATCATCTGGATCATCACCTCCAGCGGAACCCGGAGCGTCATCCCCTCCTCCGTGGAACAGACCCGTCATCGCTGCACCGTCGGTAGGTCCTCCACCATCTCCAACCTCCTCATTCAGTGCTCCCAGTGCACCCATCGCGCCACCTCGGCGTGCTTGACTTCGACCTCGACCTCTTCTGCCCCTGCGGCTTCGTTGTATGCCTCTCATGCCCATGGGATCTATCATAGGGCCGAATCCTCCCATCATACCCATATTCCCCTGCATATCACCCATACCAAATCCTCCCATGCCCATGCCACCCACACCCATATCCCCCTCTATATCATTCATACCCATGCCTCCCATACCCATCCCACGCCTGCCTCTACCCATCATCCCTCTGCCTCGAATCCCTCTCCCGTGCATACCCCTTCCCCTCATCATCTCTATCTCCATAGCTTCCATATCTCCGAATGCCAGATCACCCATACCCATTGTCCCTCCTCTCCTCCACCTTCCCCGTCCTCGCATCGGTCCTAGCATCGGACCCATACCGCTTATCCACATGCCACCCATGTCCATCCTATGCCGACCACCACCTGCCATCGGGTCCAATTCCGTATCATCCCAGAATTCGATATGGCGGCGGTGTCGCGAGCGGTGATGTCCTGAGGGTGGAGAAGGATATCGTCGTACTGTAGCACCAGGACGCCTGCTGTTGTCATCGAATGAGTCTGCGGAACTGCATCCACAAGTGAGGAGGCACGCGATACAATCGAGGAGGCCCATATCGGTGATTCAATGAGCCTCTGATCGGGGGAGTTGATCAGGTTTGCCGAAGACAATGGTATTGTTGAGTTGCGAGGAACGAAGTTGGCACCAAACTCAAACCTGGGAGGAATAGCGGAGTTTAAAGGCATCGGGGTTTGATACCGGCGGAATTAAAGAGACTAATAACTTAAGACGCATTAGTACTATATGTCGTGGCTATATAAACGGGAATGAGTCAGTCAAGTGACTGCAGGACAGTTAAACAAGGTATCACACACGAATGTATTCACCAGAATAATGTCTAAGGAGTACATACGCGACCCCGGATGCCCATTGTGGGAGACCATCTAGGCATATTACTGTGCCGGCATTTGTTCAGCTGCTAAGGTCAATTAGAAGGTAAAATCAAAGGGAGACGTTCCCCCTCCCACTGAGCGTTCTGTCGAGTACTCGACTTAGTTGCTTTTCTTTGCGGTTGTCTAAAAGCGTAAGACATCCACACATATCAGGGAGCACTATCAGTTTTCGGCCAGCAATCGAAAATAGGACGGCGGAGGACGAGAAAAAAAAAGACGTCGACATCGACACACTTCGAACACACAAGAAGGACAGCATTGACTGCCGGCCACAAGTCACGGAATGAAAAGGGGTGTTGATTGCGTATTATAATGTACGGGAATCTTAAGGTGTGGCCGAATCATAGTATTTTTTGAAATAGAGCGGTTGAAAACGTCTCTACGCTGGCATCTGGATATGGCTCACCTTTCATCAGGTGCCCAACAATAAATGCAGGTACCATCTGATAGCTTACCACAGGAATACGATGTATCCTAGATTATTGCGCTGCTTTTAAACAACGATGAAACCCCCCAGTTTGAGCCTTGAAACCATTGATACTCGGAACTAGCTCTCCCTCAGGATGAACTGAGGAAAGCTAGGATCTAGTGGATGTGGAATAATGAATCCACGGCCGGAATAAAGGTTAACTGGTCCCCGATTATCGCGTAGTGCAAGAGAAGGTGGCCCAAAGAGAGACATAGCAAGTATTGGCGCGCTAGATCCGGGAGGTTGCCGAAAACCTGGTATGAAACTAAACGGAAAAAAGGTTCCCGCGGAAAGTTCCAATCTAGGTAACCCATGGTCCATCTCATGACCTCCGCTCGTGAGTGGTGGCACTAGTTGTAGAGATTCTCCTCGGACTTGTGCTGGACTTCTATTGGGACGGCGATAGTACATCTGGTCCCCTAGACTTAGCTGCCTAGAACGGGATGGTGGATCCCAGCGCCCTTGCGTGTATTCTCCTTGGCCTCGTCCTGGACTTCGCTTAGGGCAGCGATAGTAAAGGGGTTCCCCTAAATCTTGATACCCAATGGCCGGAATTTGACCTAATGGGGGATTAGGGGAAGAGGAGCGCGGGGAAACGGATAGCTGCCCCGGGGAAGCGTACTCTACAATCGTTGTTGGGATGTGTTCAACGGAATGGGATCCCCTCGGTGGCAATAATATAAAACCTTCATCCTTACTAGAGCCACCGCCTCCATAGGGTTCTTGCTTTGAAAAAGCGGACGATTCATTGACAGGTACGGGGAAGGCAAGGTCAAACTGGCCTTCCACGAACTCGAAACCTTCTTCTCTTTGGTCGAATGGTTCAAGAATTTGGTAGTCCTCCAGGGATTCTAAAACTGGCTCGGATTCGCTCCGTTTGCTATTAATATTAAGTTCGTGCATATCGAATGGTATGTGGATGAGAGGCACAGTATCCTATTCCAGATGCAGAGCGGACTGCTTCTTAGATCATCCAGGACGGCCGGAAGGAAAATACGAACTCGGTGGATGATACTCCTGTCTGAGATGGGTTGAAAGAGACTGAAATCGAAACACATTGGCCCGATGATGACTAGAACTCCATTTCTTATATATAGGTGCATTCAGAAGGAAGAGTCAGAATGTGAACACGGTCATGCTCGATGTCAACTTTAAAAAAAGGATAAATGAATAAAAAAGTCATCAAATAGAGGACTCATCAAAGTAACAACAGATAAGCATGAAACAACATGATAGCTGATATTGGAAGTAGGAAGATCAAGGTTATTGGGAACTTTGTTGGCGGCTTGTGTGAAGGGACAGTCTCGTCAAAAGGTCCCGTCAATCTGTGTGCGCGGTGACTGCGACCACTATGGGCAGTTCTTATTCTAAAGGAACAACTTGTGATACGTTTTGCCAACCAGTACCATCTTTGTACATGGTGACAGCAGTTTCCGATTGTCCTGAGAGAACCCCTTGCCTTTTGCACGCGTGTAGTAGAGTACTGGAACTAGCCCCTGAAGTATTGGAAATTCATTTTCAATGAAAATGATACTGAAGTGAGGGGAGATCAAAATGACTGAGATTCCAAGATGGTGGATAATCCAGATATCGTATCTCGAAATTGAAGGGAAAAAATGCAAAAAGGAAGCTCCCGATCGGGGAATTGAACCCCGGGCTCGAGCGACTTGTCACATGACAAGCTCAGATGTTACCACTACACCAATCGGGAATTATTGAAGGAAAAGAGGCTTTTATAAATTTATGATAATTTCTTGTTACTAATATTTTGCTCATTCCAACGCCCATGTCACTGTCCATGTTCCAATTTCTGGGGTAGAGATGAACCCAACAGCATTTAAAGGATTGTAATAGTGGAATTTCAGATGGTTGGTCAATTGCCGGACAATAGTTAGACGACAATATAATTGCATTATTCCGTACAGTGCTCTCAAAATCATATTGCCACCTAATTACCGACCGCTCTGCTGCAGTCACACGAAGCTACATCCCTGTCTCCTGACGCCCATTGATTGGCTTAATACCACATCCTCTGATCTCCACCATGACATCGCCATATGATCGTCCAGTGTTCCATGTTCCGTTTTCTGTACATACACAACACCACTCCATTAACCCAATCGACTGTACAAGTATCACGACCTTTACCATCCCTTTCGCTCCTGTGCTCCATTGGTATATATATTCTCCTTCCCCATTTCCTCATCCTCCCTGTGTTTCCTTTCTATGTGATGAACACAGCCTTTTTTTGTTACATGGTCTCTGCAATAGAATAGACACCAGCCGCACACACATCCCCAACCTGTCATTTGTTGGCCTCTTGTCCACGTCCGATCTCTTGCCTCTACCATCCGAAACGCCATCGGTCAGACACAGCAGGAACGAATCTATCGTTTTCTTCGGCTGGACCGATTAGCTTTGGCGTGATATGACCTCGCAAAACCAGCTTCGGAACCCCTCCACCACAGACCCGCACAGGACCCCCAATTCTCCCCCAGATCATGACCCTCTGTCGTCAGCCGAGGTATATTATGGCCAGTCTCACTCGAAGGGCAAGGGCGGTAGGATTCGGACCCTATCAGCGGTGAGTAGGACGCTTCCAATTACTGCTGCTCCAGCTAATACAAGAACTGTCTAGGTCACCGATCGAAGTGACCGGAACCCCTTGCAGTTTTCCCAGTACCGCTCTAAGAATAGGAGATTGAGTCATGGTAAGTGGGAAACTCCATCAAGTTCGAGGTTTTGACAGCTAAGTAGTATTGTACCAGATGAGCATCCAATCAATCCCCGCAAGTTCCTCATTCCAGTAGAAGCGACCCTCAAAGCCCTCCTCGATAGGGAGGATACAGACAGGAATATGCAGATCACAATTGAGGATACTGGACCTAAGGTTGGTGGTGGTTTGGTCTGTCACACTGCGGTCATCCTAACAAGTATCAGGTACTACCGGTGGGCACAGCCGGATCCCAGGGTTTGAAGACGTTTGATATTCGCGGAACCTATATGCTGGCGAATTTGCTACAAGAGCTCACCCTTGCCCAAGATCATGGTCGAAAGACGATCATCCTGGACGAAGCAAGACTGAATGAGAATCCGGTCCATCGGCTCAACCGATTGATCAGGTACTCATTCTGGCAAGGGCTGACCCGGAGCATTGATGCCTCCAATATCCATATCACAGGTGCTGATCCTAAGGATTGGACAGAGGATCCTAGGCCACGCATCTACATTCCTGTTGGCGCGCCCGAGCAGTATGAGTATTACTTAAACGTAGCGAAGGAGAAACCGGAGATGCGATTGGATGTTCAGTGGCTTCCCGAAAAGTGCGATGACCCCGAGTACGTCCGCGACCTCAATGCAGCGCCGGGGCTGCTTGCCCTCGCCATGGAGGAATTTGCTAGCCCCATCACCGGCGAGGTCGAACTGCGAGGACTCCCATTTGTCGTCCCTGGAGGCCGGTTCAACGAGCTTTACGGCTGGGATAGCTACATGGAGTCACTTGGGCTGCTTGTCCATGACCGGGTCGACCTGGTCAAGTCGATGGTCCTCAACTTCGGCTTCTGCATCCGTCATTATGGCAAAATCCTCAATGCCAACCGCTCCTACTACCTCTGCCGTACGCAGCCACCATTCCTCACCGACATGGCTCTCCGTGTCTACGAGCGCATCAAACAGGAGCCGGGCGCTCTCGACTTTCTCCGTCAAGCCATCCTCGCGGCCATCAAGGAGTACCATTCCGTCTGGATGGCGGCACCGCGCTACGATCTGGAATCCGGGCTCTCACGATACCGCCCCGCTGGCATTGGCGTGCCCCCCGAGACCGAGGCCTCCCACTTCTTGCACCTTCTTGAGCCGTACGCCAAGAAACATCAACTGTCGTTCGCCGATTTTGTGAGCGCCTACAATGAGGGCCGCGTCCACGAACCGCTGCTCGACGATTACTTTCTGCACGATCGTGCTGTCCGTGAGTCCGGACACGATACGTCTTATCGCCTGGAGCGTGTCTGCGCCAACCTTGCCACCGTGGACCTCAACTCCCTTCTGTACAAGTACGAAACGGACATCTCCCGCACCATTCGCGGCCATTTTGGCGATTCGCTGGTCGTCCCCGCCGAGTTCTGCGCGCCCGGAAAGATCGCCGGCTACGTCGAATCATCCGCGATCTGGGACCGCCGCGCGAAGAAACGCCGTGCGCTAATGGAGAAGCTCATGTGGGACGAGGAGGCCGGCATGTATTTCGACTACGACACCGTTAACCGACAGCGTAACACGTACGAATCGGCCACGACGTTCTGGCCCATGTGGTCGGGCGTCGCCACACCCCGGCAAGCCGCTGTGCTGACCAGTCGTGCGCTGCCCAAGTTTGAGATGTTCGGTGGGCTGGTGTCGGGGACGGAGGAGTCGCGTGGGCCGGTGGGACTGGACCGACCGAATCGACAATGGGACTACCCGTTCGGTTGGGCGCCGCAGCAGATGTTGGCCTGGGTGGGGTTTGAGCGGTACGGGTACTACGAGGAAGCGCAGCGATTGGCGTATCGGTGGTGCTACATGGTGACCAAGTCGTTTGTCGATTTCAACGGGGTGGTGGTGGAGAAGTACGACGTGACGCGGGAGATTGACCCTCACCGTGTGGAGGCCGAGTATGGCAACCAGGGGATTGATTTCAAAGGGGTTCCACGAGAAGGGTGAGTTTGCCATTTTCTTTCACACCTTGATGAGCCATGACACTAACTACGGTTGCAGATTCGGCTGGGTCAACGCTAGCTACGCATACGGCATTAACCTTCTCACGGCACACATGAGACGCGCGCTGGGCGCGATGACTACCTACGACCAATTCGTCAAGGCGACCGAAGCCATATAATTTTGAGTCTCGCCGATCACTCGAGTCAGGGGCGAACGCCTGGCTGTGGTGTATTGCATGGGATAGAGAGGGGATGGACGGGCCAAAGCATCACTGGGAAGTGCGCGAAACGTGTCTACATGATAGAGTTGCATGCTAGAGCTTTACTCCACTTGGGGAGGATCAGTTGTATTCCTGTTGGATACCGCATAGTAGCGCAGTACTTCGACCATGTGGTCAGGATGTTGTGTTTGGGGATTGTCTGAGGCTCTTCATGTTTCTACCTTAGGGAGGTTCAGTTACTACTGTATCCCATCCCATACCCGTAACCCACCTCGAGCAAAAGCTCTCCTCGATGACTCGACAGATGACTCGATGTGTGGAACAGTAGATGTCTCTGCTTGAGGCGCTGGACGATTGGTCGATTGGTCAGCGTCGCTACCAGACGAATGATGTGATGATGTCAGATGTGAGATGTCAATCATGTCAATATGTCATTGAGTGCATACACACGGACCACATGCAGCCGAAATATTAGCGTTGAATGCAGGCGACGAGGACTCTGAATTCTCGGAATATTATCGCTCACCAAGCACCCGACAAAAGGACCGGATGGTGGAATTCCGTTGGAATTGTAACTTGCAACCCAGTACCCAGTGAATGCATATAGGCATGAAGGCATGAAGCAAGGAAAGCCACGTCACATCTGATATGCGAGGCTGCTAGTAGTGAAAGTTGTTGTCAAGGGTCAGGTCATGTGATGCTACCTGAGTCCCTAAGTACCACATGACCTCATATCACATGACCCACCAAAATAGCTTAGATTTCCCCGGATTCTATTGGACGCTTGAGTGGATTAGGGACTTGGCGGATCCCTCTTGCCAAGAATACAACGACCTGCGGCCTTGCCTTGCCACCTCACACAGTCTACCCACGTCAACACCACAATTGATCATAAATTCATAAATTCAAACTCCAATATTGTCCGGTTTGACTCTGCTCTATTGTCGGTATAAGTACCGTGAATACCCCTCGATTCTTACTGATTCTTCTTCTCATGCACCTCATGGAATCCTCAGCGCAACCGCTTCTTCGTTCGACTTCATACTATCACCAGTCGTACTTACAAATACACCACCACTGTCAAGACCTCGCATATTCGGCACTGACCTGACACACCGCCGTGAATTCCAGCTCTTGGACTCGAGTCACCTTTCCGACCCTGACTCAACCTTTTCTATTCACCTGCGCACCTTTCTCGTCATCCGCCGACCCACTACGAACGACCCTGTGACGGTCTAAACCACACCGCAACTCCGACACCCCGCGAACCTATCTCTCTCCACCCGCTACTCACTCAGAAAACTAAACCTCAAGAACATCCAACATGCACGATCTCCGCCGCCGTGCTCTCGAACGTGGAGAGGCGGGAAAGACCCTCTCGCGCAAGCAGCGCACCCGCGTCACCTCCGGCCTTGCGCCCGCAAGCGCCCCATCGTCTCTCAACGCCTCCCTCAATAACTCCCGCGCCGCGTCGCGCACCAACTCGCGCCCTCCTTCACGGCATGACAGCGACGACGAAGACGACACGGGGCTCAGCGACAGCACCTTCTCGCTCGGGTCGCTGGACGCGGCGCTCGAGGAAGATATTGCGACGACCACAGGCGGGGTGGGTTTGATGGAGAGGGTCGAGGCAGTGATTGGGAAAGATAAGAAGGCGAAGGAGGCGAGAGAGAGGGATTTGGCGGCGCTGGCGTATGTACTTACGCACTCCGTGGGAACGGCGGAACTAGAAGGGCGGGAGCTCACCGTCGTCCGCGGGTTGTTGAAGGTCGTTGGGAGGGGCACCGAGGATGACGAAGGAGAGCGAGAGGCAGTTCTGGGATTGAGAGGTGAGTACATATTTGCAAGAAATAGTTGAAAACCGGGGACAATGCTAACAACGGATACAGCACTCGCGGCCGTGTTCTTGACATCACCTACGGAATCTCTCTTCGCCGCCACCGTCTCGCCGCTCAAGCGAACCATCGTCGACGCCTTGTCCAACACGATCAAGACCGCTGGCCTTCATGCGCTTGGGCTCGCGGCTTACTACGGCGGCGCAGGCGAGCCTGAGATTGTCTCGACGATGCGATTCCTGCTCGATATCATCCAAAGCGACGGCGGCTCCGTGGAAGCGACCGACGAGGGCGAAGTGGTCGTGGCCGCGCTGGAAGAGTGGGGATTCCTCGCCACGCGCGTCCGTTTCTCGGAAGATGAAGACGTCGAAGAGGCGATGGATGCGTTCATCGATCAGCTCGAGAGCTCGGATGCGTCTGTGCAAGTGGCCACGGGGGAAAACATCGCGCTCGTGTTCGAGAAATCGCGGATCGCCACGGACGAGCTGGATTCGGACGACGAGTCGGACTACGAGCCGGACGACGCGGCAGATGAGGACGCGGACGACATTGACAGCGAAGAGGAAGACGAGGAGGAGAAAGGGTACCGCAAGATTTACACCCCCATCGCTCCCCACACCATGCCGTCTCTCGAATCCACGCTCTCCGACCTGGCCACCACCTCTGCTCGCTCCCTCAATGCCGCCACCCGCCGCCGACTCCATTCCTCCTTCACCGACATCCTCCACTCCGTCTCCTATCCCACCCACGGCCCCCGCTACTCCACCGCGCTTGACCACAACACTGGCCGCGAACTCGGATCCCGCCTCGTCGTCCGCCTCGGCGGCCCCGGAAAATCCGGCGGCGAGGTGCGCGTGAATAAGTGGTGGAAGCTGCACCGGTTGCAGGCCTTGCGGCGCGTGCTGCAGGGCGGGCTGAGCACGCATCTGCTGGAGAACGAGAGCGTGTTCCAGACCATCCCGGTACTGATCACACGGAAGGCCGCGGCGGGGGCGGGGAAGTGGGGGATCGGGAGCCAGCCGATGAGTCGGGAGCCGAGCGATCGGGGGTATGGGAGTGGGACGGAGAGTCCTGGACGGAGGGGACGATGGAAGGGGCAGCCGGAGTTTGAGTAGTCGGTGGTTCCTGTTTGGCGGCGTTCCGGTGGAAACGTTCTGAGACATTTAGGTTTTGTGATGAATCGGGATGCGAGTCACGAGGATGAGTTGAACTGCATGTTTCGGGCATCATGTTGGCATGGTCTTCATTTGTTTGCTAGATAGTGAGCGTCTTTTGCATCATATGAGTGGTTTACTGAAGTCTTTTTTTAATGTCAAGGGAGGGAAGATAGGCGTGGTCTATCAAACGGGGGCATATGGGATGGGATAGAAGTTTCCTTTCCCGCACATATATGATATATACCCAAAATTCGAGCGATTCCCATGCTTTGTATGGCCCGTACAGTGCACTACAGTCACGAGTGATCAAACCATCCACGCAAGGCAAAAATTTGGGGCGTGAGATGTTCCATATATCATCTATTGATCCTCCATCGCTAATCCTTCAAATCCGTCGTCACCCTTCGTCACGAACAGCTTCTTCAGCTCATCATGCATCGCTAAAGTTGACGGCTCCACTTCCTTCTATCCAACGACCTCCGCCGCCCATCCTCGTGACCTCTCCCCGATCACCGCCACGTTCCACCCTTCACCTATGCCTTCTTCTTCGCCCCGGGCCCCAACTTCGGTTGCCCAATATTCTCCCCCCGCAGATGCACGCCCAGCACGCGCTCCATGTTCCCGATGATCTTCTGGTCGGGCGGCGCCGTGCCCCGCTCGTACTCCGCCACCACGGTGGGCGTCTGGTTGATCTTGGTGGCGAAGTCCTTCTGTGTCATCGGGTCGCCCTTCTGGTTCTTGAGCTTGCTGCGCGCGTCGCGGATCGCCTGCCCCACCGTGCTACCCACCGTCTTCGGCTTCACGATGTCGTCGGAGCGGTCGACTTTGGTGAGGTGCTGGCCTTCGCTGGCGGCGCGCTGTGATACACATGTTCCGTTAGTTCATCGCGTCGGGTGCGGAGGGATGCCGATGCGGTGGCAAATGGGACTCACCGAGTTCGTTCCGCCATATTTCTTCTGGGTGTCGATGGCGGCGCCCTGGCGACGAGCGGCGTTCAGGGCGCTCTCACCGCGGAGGACGCGCTCCCGGTCGGTTCCTCCAGAAGCACCGCCGCGGGTCTTGCTGCCGATCTTGGTGACGGTGTCCCAGTCGTCGGACATGGTGGATTCGATATGGATGAAAGTGGTTGGTGGAAAGGGAGGTCCGATAAGGATGACAGGTGCTCGTAGAGATTCTGAGTAGCGAATCTACAAGCGGATGTCTGTGGGAAGTAGGGGAAGCGTAGAGATGACCGATGTATGGGATTGTTCTGTCAGAATTTCGAACTGATGGTTGGTTATTCTGGAATATTAATATGAACAAGGAGCTGAGTCGGTGGGAGAAAGACGTGGAATGGAGAGGACGTGGCGGGGAGAAGGCGGGTAGATATTCGGGTAAACTGATCGGTGACTGGATTCGACACCTTGCTGAGTCACCATCCCCTAACCAGGAAGGAGCGGAGATGAGAGAGAACGAGGAAGGAGCGCATCATGAAATGTGATGAACACATCCCTTTGAAGATATGATAATAATAATTAGGGCACAGAGACTAGAAGACAAGTCCAATAATAATGTACAGCACCAGACTTCCACATTTCCATATTGCGACCAGCAATTCTCAATTAATTCTCAATCGTGCATTGAATCAGCTAATCGCCACCCACTGTGGAGTGGGCATTTCTACAGCAGTCTTTTGGAAGGATATTGAGTTGAGGTTACTCTGACACCAGGGGCAATGGTTTGATCGAGTCCTCGGTCAAAGCACCCGAAACATTGCGCTGCCTATACCCTTGACACTGTCCAACTCCATCTGAGAGAAGAAAATAAGATATGCCGAAAGTACCGTCCATCGAAACATCCTCCAGATTCCTAGGTGCCCTCACGATCCCTCGTCCTCACTCGCACCCCCATCATCCACCTTCTCGCTGCCATTGGTCTGCGTCGCATCGTTCCCTTCGTTGGCCCCGTTATGGCGGAACACCCTAAGAAATGGTGAGCATGACTCAAGTTCGATGAAAGGGGGATACTTACAGATGTTGCTCGAAGTATTCTATCAGCTGCGACCAACTACGTCAGTAAGCTCCAGCCAAGGCTGCGGTATGGCCCATGACCAACAAGAATCCACTCACCTTTTGCGGGCACTTCCCCTTCAGGGTCTCAAGCAGATACTTGGACTTCTGACCATTGTTCCAGACCACGAAACCATACACCTGGTTTTCGCCATTCTTTGTATTCCGCTGTTCTTCTAGTGTGTCGATGGAAACGATTTCCTTCTCCCAGCTTCCCTTCGGCGGCTCCCACGCCTTTTTCCCCCGGATGACATGTTTAACCTCCGGCGTTGCCGAGTCCGACTCGCCGCCCACTCGACTTCGCTTCCGTCCACGGCCCCGCCCACTCGACTCTGCGGCGGCTGGCGTGCCGGTTGGCTGTCGCTTTCTCTTCCCTTTCGTCGCTGGCTCAGGTTTCCCACCGATCAGGTCCCAGTACGCCTGCAGTACAGCCTCAGCGCCTTGGCTATCTCCTGCGTCAGAAGTGATCCAAGCGGAAGTCTGGAGTGCCTACCGAATATGACGTTCTGGTTCCAGGGTATTCTCGCTCTCATCGTAACCCTTCCATTTCACGTTGTAGACAATTTCTCCCTACCGACGTGTCAGCGCGGCATCGGGACGATTGTTTGTACAGTACCACCCACCTTTCTTTGTTCATGCCCATGAATTGCTTCAACTTCGTAGCTGTTATGCGACAGCATTAGAATGCGCTTTCCCAGTACTGGGTGGATAGTAGGAGGGTACGCACGCATCCTCGTCATCGTCCTCTTCTTCATCCTCCTCATCCTCGGTGCCTTCGTTGATATCGGCGGGCTTTTTCACGGAGGCTGGGATCTCATCGGATCCATCCGAGACGTTGGACCTTTCGTCGGACGGTGCTGTGAGGCGCGTTAGCTGCCGCGGAGTTGGAATACTTTGACGCGAGCTCGTTCACTTGCAGGGAGGCATGGTAGATGCTGATCTCGAAGTAAAACACCCAAAGGACCAAACGGGCAACAAGTGAGTGTATGTTATAGACAGCAATGGTCAGTTCATTATGGGCGGTGTAAAATGCGCAAGTGCTGGACGAAACTGGGATGCTCATCGCGACTTGGAGAGGTTGGACCTTGGGACTTAGAGGGCGGTGCGATTGATCTGATTGGATCATTGGGACTCTTGGCAGGGTTTTGATTGACGTATTAGCGTCGTCGCGCCTTAACGTGTGAAATCACGTGCAAACTATGAAGTTTCTATGTGGCTCGTGCTCCAGACGCGACTTCCAGAGTTCCAGTAATCCAGTTCCAAGAATATGTGGCTTGTGATGTGGCACACCGCGATTTTCTGAACTACAGTGGCTGTGCATCAGAGGCTCCAATGTCCAAACTTTCGTGAAATCACCTCCATGAGCTCTCCAACATCCATTTCCCCTTTCCACCGATTTGATACCCTTTGGATGACCTAGACCCCTTCCAAAGCTTCTGCAGTTATAGTTAATCGGCTTTTCTATATCATACAAGAACGCTGCGGCGTCCAAGTTCCAAAATGGCGATGCGTAAGTTGCTCCCAGGCCCTGTGCGAGTTAAGATAGCTTAGAGACTAATATCGGCTCGCAGAACTTGATATGTCAGATGGTATGACCCTATATCGACTCGATCCTCGCTATCGAAAGACTAATTCTGGATTGCACAGCACGGATGATGCAGGATGAGTCGGGACGGCAATTTATAATCGTTCGAGAGTACGCACACCCAGACTTTATGCACAGCATGCAGGAAACTGACGTATCCAAGCCAAGGGAAAAAGAAGCGACAACACGGCATTGAAGCCGTCAAATCACATATCATGGCTGCGCGGACAGTTGCAAACATCGTCAAGAGCTCTTTGGTATGAAGCTACCTGATCGTGGCATTCTATGGGCAAATGCTAATACACCGGCTCAGGGTCCTCGAGGGCTTGACAAGATCCTTATTTCTCCTGATGGCGATATCACGGTTACGAATGACGGAGCGACGATTCTCTCACAAGTTCGTTCGATTATTTCATACCTCCGGATATTGGCGTTGACAAACCCTAGATGGAAATCTCCAACCACGTAGCTAAGCTATTAGTCGAACTCTCCAAATCCCAAGACGAAGAGATTGGCGACGGTACCACTGGTGTCGTGGTCCTAGCTGGTGCTTTACTGGAACAAGCGGCGGATCTCATCGACAAGGGCATCCATCCCATCAGAATCGCCGACGGATTTGACGAGGCATGTGAGGTTGCCGTTGCCGAGCTAGACAAGATCAGCGACACCGTGGAGTTTTCGAAAGATGAAACCGCAAATTTGATGAAGGTGGCCAAGACAAGCCTGGGCAGCAAAATCGTCTCAAAAGCCCACGATCAGTTCGCGAGGATCGCTGTGGATGCCGTTCTGTCCGTAGCGGATCTGGAGAGAAAGGATGTTGATTTTGAGCTCATCAAGGTCGATGGCAAGGTTGGTGGGGCGCTTGAAGATTCGCTACTGGTTAAAGGCGTCATCATAGACAAGGACTTCTCGCATCCTCAGATGCCCTCGGAAGTCCGAGATGCAAAGCTCGCCATCCTCACATGTGCCTTCGAGCCACCGAAACCCAAGACGAAACACAAGCTCGACATCACCTCGGTGGAAGAGTTCAAACGCCTACAGCAGTACGAACGCACCAAATTCGACGAGATGATCCAACAGATCAAGGATACCGGGGCGAATGTCGTTATCTGCCAGTGGGGATTCGACGATGAAGCCAACCATCTCCTCCTCACGAACAAGCTTCCGGCTGTGCGATGGGTTGGTGGCCCGGAAATCGAACTCATCGCCATCGCTACGAATGGCCGAATCGTGCCAAGATTCGAGGATCTCAGTGCCGCAAAGCTAGGAACCGCGGGCGTGGTCCGAGAAATGTCGTTTGGAACCACAAGAGATAAGATGCTTGTGATTGAAGAATGCGCCAACACCCGAGCGGTCACCGTGTTTGTTCGAGGGAGCAACAAGATGGTACATCCACTATCCATCCTTTGTTCACAAACCACAAGCTGACAGACGACTCCGTAGATCATCGACGAAGCCAAGCGATCCTTACATGATGCTCTTTGCGTCGTGAGGAACTTGGTGAAGGACAGCCGCATCGTCTATGGCGGTGGTGCTGCAGAAATTGCTTGCTCTTTGGCGATTGAAGAAGCCGCGCTGAAGGTACCTATCTCCGAGCGATTGCGAGTTCCCCAGTCGTTAACAAATGCGTGCAGACTCCTGGAATTTCTCAATACGCCATGCGCGCCTTCGCCGACGCCCTCGACGCGGTGCCGATGGCGCTTGCTGAGAATTCCGGCCTCAGCCCCATCGAGACTCTGGCGTCGATCAAGTCGCGCCAGGTGAAGGAGAAAAATACCAGACTCGGAGTAGACTGCATGCAGACAGGCAGCAACGGTAAGCTATCCTATTCCATTTTGATTATGATTTTTCCCTTCGCGCTTCCGGCTCGCTTGCGATTGCAAAACCAGAATATAGTGCAGGACAAACGATATCGATCATGCTGGATCTATGGTAGATTGCATATCGAGTCGGTTGTCAGCGTCATATTTGGTGCAGTCACGCTACGGCGGGACTTTGTCAGAAGTATTCTTCCGATGCGCCTGAACCAATAGCGACCTGCACACGGTATGGTATTCCTCAATTGGCAGTACAGCTGTTGATATATCACACTGTGGCACTGGAATCCCCACGTCCCTAAACTTCACCTCACCGTTTTGGCGAGTGGATCTGGGGTGATTGCAGACAGTCCACTGGATTGCAACAGTTGGATGTGATGGCTGCAAATCTGTAGCCGCGAAGTGAAAGCGAGTTGAGGTGCGATCGGTGATTCGGCGACCTCGCCTTTCATCAACACGAAGTTGACGAATCGGGAAACTTGGCTTGCGTTTTATGCGATCACATTGGCTAACCCTTGAGCAATTAGATATGCGCGAGCATTTCGTTATCGATCCCCTCATCTCGAAGCGCCAGCAATTGCTTTTGGCCACGCAGCTTTGTCGAATGGTCCTGAAGGTATGTCTATCGTCTCTATTAAGGCTTTTTTGCCGTGTGCCCTTCGTTCTATATTCCTTCTATGATCTCTCCCCTCTATTTTTGTACAAATCTTGATCTTCGTCTCCTTGCGTCGTCACACAACAACCCTCAAGGATTGCTTCCCGGAAACACTCATCACACCCTTACTCTCGATTCCAATCTCCTGTTTTCCTACAATGCAAACTTCCCCCCTTGCTTCTTCAATGAAGGCCCTGGCGGGTGTGGTGGTGTCGCGTCGCCCACGCGTCGTAAAAGCTGCCGTGCGGCCTGGGCGGTGGGAGGCAAGGGATGCGGGGATGCCGGCTTAGCGTCCCCGCCCCCTGTTGGGGGGACACTGCACCGCCAGTACAACCACACACTCCTTGCATTATCCGAGCGATTGTTCCTTCTGCGTGGGATATTCGGTGTCACGGACTTCGCTAACGAGTATCAAGGTGAACAACGTGATCATTGCAGGAAATGACGAGGACGAGTACTGAACGGTTCGGGTCATAGACTGGTGTTCTTTGGGATCATCGTCCTGGCGATAAAATCCATATTGGCGTGCAACGCGCCGTCAGGGAGGCGAGGCAAATGTTCAGTATCAAAAGACAGCTTAGATGTACACTTGACCGATCCACGCAAAAAGATTCTGAATACACGTGTCTTCCTGACCATGCAATCCCATGCTCCATAGAGACATTGCGCGAACGATCCCTAACAATCCGAGAATATGCAGTCCTTCTGTGAAGCTCTCACGTCGTTTTTGTTTTTGTGCTCCCTTTCTTGTATTTTCTGGGGTCTATTCCAGTTGTTAGCATGCTTCCCTGGCGTTGATTCATCGAACGAACCTTTTCGCGACATGCGAACCCGATCCCTTGTTCCTCTATTTGAAATCATGAAATGTTAGCTTGAATATCACAATTATAGAAACGCATTAGAACTATAAAGCAAGGAACCATAACAAGTCGCAAGTATCCGCGCCAAGGTCTGGAACTAGGAATATTCAATAATCCCAGTTTTGGATACCGAGGGTGCTCCACGCATTTTTTGAATCGTCTTGGTCTTAGTGAATCCCCCCCGTATGCCCTTCCAGATGTTGGATACAAACAGTTACACGGAGCACTCCCCCGGCAATGCAAGGTACTCTGCCCGCGGTCGTGCTCAACTAACCAAAGCGAAGAATTTGGCGCGCAGCGCAAGGGAGTGTCCTTGTCGAACGTTGCAGTTTTCATTTGAATTTAGCTCGAAGCACGCTTTGGCTGTACTGTGGTGTTTCGCGCGCCGAAATAAGTTGCTTGCTGAGGCTCTTTGACCTGGTGGGTGGCAGTCTGGCAGTAACAGAGTCTGACTGCCAGTCGATCGGTAAGGAGGTTTTGGAACGGTATCGGCGAATATGCTCGGCATGCGACCGCAGCCATATTATAAGCCTGATTCGTGAAGAAGAATCTCCTCTGGGAGCTCACGACTCAATTGTCCACCCATCAAGGTTCCATTCTGTCTGAGCTACCCCTTCAAACCGCGAGATTTTAGGAGATGGGCTAGACTGAGGGACTGATGATGGTACTTCCGTATAGTATTCCGCGGTGCAGTTTCAAATCGCACCACTGCAAGTAATACCCCAGATCGACGACGGACCGGATGCCACGTGCGATGCGGGGATGATGGCCCAGGCCCAACCTCGGGCTTCAAATCCTAGCAGGATGCTGTGTCGATTCGATCATCCCTTGGAGAAACCATCCTTGGTGTCGCCCGGGATCTTTAACATCGGTATGCCATCTGTAATGGGCGGGAGAAGGCAGATCCGTATCCGCCGCCCAAGGATGGGAGGATTGAAAGAGCACGCGACATAAATTGAGTTGAGTCTTCGGAAGCGAGCCGCGAGGATTGCATCGAACCCCAGTTGTCTAGGCGCTCAACTGCGCATGGACAGCTCCCCTCTTCCGAAATACGTTCCATTCGTTCGTTGTATTAAGACTGCTCGAGCTCAACCAGGTAGTCCCTTTGTGTTTCGGCTTTCGAGGTAAGGCTGGGCCTGCCTGGCCAAGGCGGGATGGCGCTCCTCGCAAGTCTTAGGAGTTTACCCGGTCCAGGATTCAACAAGTGTCGAAGAACCTCGGCTGCATGGAAGGTTTCTAGAAGAAAGGATCAAATGACCATTTAATTGTTGGGCGTCCCCAAAGCTCAATCGGATCCGTGCGTTCGTAAGATGTCTGCAAATCACATGAAGATGGTCCGTTTCGGGATTCGATCCCTGGGTCGATAGGTATAACGATTTGACATAGGTACGCTACGATCGTTGACGGACAGGGACCGTATTCTAGCCCTGTAAGCCGAGGTACCCAGCGGATCTGGACATCGGAGGAAGAGCGAAAACGGTCGGTCCGCGAGTATGTCTCAGTTGAATGATGCCTTAGGTACGGAGGGTGTGAAGGAGTGGGAGGGGGTTGTTCCTGATCAATATTGATACGCATCCACTACGGCCAACGCCAAGAATGATACGGCCTGTGTTCTTTATACGCTCCGTTGAACCCGAGCATCCTTGTGGTATCGCCAATACGTCCCTCGTCAGTAGACGCCCATGGCCTGTGGATCAGGGGACCAGAGAGTCAAAATAACGCCACGGCGGGGATCATTACGACAGAGATAGTTCCGTTTTGAAGGAGTACATCATGGCGGGATCCATGATTCAAGATTGAAGGATAAAGAAAACGGGAGCACTTGCCTTCCACCTTCCCAAAAGCCAGTCCCCCGCTTACTGCCGACCAAATTCCCGTGACAGACGACACAGTCTTCCGTACGATAATTCTGTTCACGAGAGCCTGTTGGTCACGGTCAGTGGTATTGCAATCTATTTCCACCAGAGGAGTGGACCATGCGCATGATGCTACAAAGGGAATTTTAAGGCAGTAGTGTAAGCCACTTACAGAATCCACCTAGGAACCGCACTGTTAGCATGAAGTTATGACCTCCTCTTGAAAGGGAGGAAGAAGAGTCCAATATACGTACAAATCATTCGGTTCGCATGTTCATTCGGGTGGTCAGACACCTCATCGTGACATTTGTCACACGGAAATACCTTTGAGCAGCACGAGAATCTACTAGTGTAAGCGTGTTGCAGCCCTCATAGGATGCGTTGTATCCGTACCTGAACCATCGATATGACTTCCCGTAATGTTTGCAACGTCCTCGTCGCGGTAGTTCTTCGCCAGTGACAATTCCTAACTTCTCCTTGGCCCTCCTCGCCACTGGACCTCTCGACACTCGCACTGCCAGGCCGCTTGTCCTCAACATCTTCACCTCCGGGATTCGAAACGACATATGTTGATGGCAATTCCTACAGTTTGCCATCGAACTCTGGCCTCGAACGCTGATCAGTCCTGGTGCTAGAAATGCAGTCGAGCACTCGGAGCAGGTTGGCACAAAATTACTTGGCAGCAGCTCGACGGGACTTCCTCCCTCAATATCAAGGTAGCCTGCTCGGACAGAGTTCGAATGCAGAAAGTCTTTCCGCCAACTCAAGTCGATGCTGCTTCCGCACTTCTTACATCGCTCCGATTTAGCGGCACTCGTGTCCATTGAGCTGTCGCGAAGTTTGATAACATCAATGGAATCTTTGCAACGTTCGCAGCGGATGACGAGGCTTAATGATGTCAGCTCAAGCAGTTCGATTCCATGAAGTTCGAGGCCGGGGAAGGAGATCATGATGCCACGCTCGCGAAGCGTACTAGAGGTCCCTTGATCGTTATTGTCGGGGTCAGGGGTATCGGATTCGGAGTCGTAGCTGTCAGAGTAGTCGCTGTCGGACTGTTCGTCCCGGAGAACGGACCATTCAGGAGGTCGTGGAATTGTAATGATATGCTCGCGGTCTTGAATGGGGATGGCTTGCTCAGTGTTTCCTTCAGGCGGCTCGACACTGATAGGTATCCAATCGCCTTCGCTAATCGGTTGAGGCTTTCGCGACTCGTCTGGCTGTTGTTCCTCAACGGTAGGTATTGCCATCGAATGGATGTTTTGGGCCAGGTAATTCAAGTGATTCATAATAGAGAGGTCGGGGTTCTGCGTCACCCTCTCGATGAAAGAATTTGCCAAAGAAGCCGCATTTGGATCCGCAAGATCAGAAAGTTCCAGGCGGCAGGGCTGCAAAGGATACAGATGGGGGACAATTAGAGTGATTTTCTTGACACTTTTGAGAGACTCTGGAAGGGCATTGCGACGGCTTGGTTCGATTGGAACAATAAAAGTGACCCCGTCAGAAAATTTAGAGAATAGGGGAAGACGTCCCATGCGTGCTTCCAGTTGCCGGAGCTCCTGCGTTCGTCTCCTCGACGCATGCTTCAACTGTTCAGGGGAAAAGGTTGGTTCGGGTGCCAATACTACAACCTCACCAACGTCGGAAATACCAGCAGCTTGCTCAGAAATTGGCAGCTCAGGACTATAAATACCTGGGGCGGAATAGGATGGGCCGTCGTTCCTTACTCGATTGACGACGAGTTTGAATGTTTCCGCTTTCTTAGCTCCCAGCAGCGACTCCAAGCTTCTGTCGAACGTGTTCATCAATTGGAGCAACGTTAGTTTCGGACTACCAGCTACCAGTGCATCGAATCCCTTTTCGAGATTGATCTGGAAGCCTCTACCCAATTCCTTGTTCAGAACGCGAAGATTTGGATGAGAGGTCGTGACAGCAGCGTTCTTTGACCTGTATGTCCCTGGTACATTGAGGCTACACTCCAATGCTTCCAGGTCATAAGGAAAGTCGGGATCGCTAGGCTGTATGCTAAACATCAGCGTCGTCCCATCTGCTGCTTCCTGCACGGCATCGTCCTGGATCTTAAATCGGCGCTGCAGCTGGGCAATCTCAAACTCGCGAGGTTCTGTAACCTGCAAGTTCGGGACGGGACGTGTTACTACATTTCTAGGCTGCACTGCACTTGTCTTTTTTCTAGCAGGGAAAGAAGATGCAGTGTCTTCCGAAGACGTCTGCCCTGCGGCTGAGGTTGCTGCTGTGGAAGATGGACCCCCTTTGACGTTCCCGCCTGTTGATGGCTGGGGCAGGGTTTCGTGGAGATATGGGCATGATGGTCCCTTTCGGCAACCTATTTGAGAGGGAGCCTGGTCAGTACATAAGCAGTTTAGAGACCATTTCGCGAAGAAAGTAGTGCTTGCAGAGCAATAGCTCCACTTGTACAGCAGTCAGACAGAGATAGATCTGTCACGGTACACAATGGTTCGCGTGATACTGTTGGAGTCGGGCTAGGATCCTCGCATATCAACAAGAATACAAACGCGATGTTGGCCCTACACGTGTGTGTTTACCCATCTGTAAGATGATAGAGCAACTGCACACTGACGCCTTTCTCAGTCGCCATCCACTCGCTCATTTTCTGTCAGACAGTGAAGTCCCAATGCTCTACAGCCGCAATATCAATGGCCATGACAAAATAGACGCGATTGAGTAATGACAGACGATTCATAAAATGACATGCAGGAATCGCAGGGCAACAGGGTCAGAGGATGATCCAGCTTGAGATGATTGGAGGCGCTCTGCATGTCGACTATTGGAATTGGCACCTCCAAATCGTGACAACAATGAACAAATGAATTTGAAAGACTTACCTCCAGGAGTCCTGTAAAAACGACAGCGGCGCACACGACCGGGCGACGCGATTGCCTTGTCGGTTCCGGGGCCTCGATGCGGTGATCTCGTCTGTTCCGGAGGCATCGAGCTATTCTTGCCGCCTTGTCTGGGGGGTGGTGGTGCAGCAGTCGCCTTCGACAGACCCGGACTCGGGCCGCCACCATCCAGGACCAGATTGGATGTGGCGTCTCGAGATGATCTCGTCGAGCGGGGCGGGTGAGGCTGGGGCCGCTGGGGGCGCGGGGGTATGACTGACAACTCATCAATCGCTGGGACATAATCCTGGATGTTGCTGCTTGTTGAGCACGGTGTGCTGAGCAGATGACCTTCGACTGCATGAACGAAAGAATGGGAATAGCATCGGGGGAAGGAGTAGGGCACGAGTAACACTGAGATTGTGTTGGCTTCTCCCTTCGTCTCTCCAGGAAAAACAAAGGCGAAACGGAAACCCCCAAATGGCATAGGAATATTTCCTTAGTATTGGTGCCTCCAGTACACGGCAAAACTCCGGGGTCGTGGGGGAGAGTGAAGAAGATGAGCTCGTGATCTTACCTGACGACGACGATGACGATCCTGCTGGTGTAGCTGGTCTTCTGGCTTCCGGGCTTCTGGCTTCCAACTCGTCCTGACGAGCAGGTCTGCTGGCTGGATTGATGCCTACGGGCTGAGCATCACGAGTCTTATCCATCGCGGCTAGGGCAGTTGGTTTTACGCTTGGAGAATGGCAATTGGACGCCCCAGGTCACCGGCGATATTTCCGCTGGTGCTCGATTCGACGATTACTCCGTGTCGTGCTGAGAAGATAGGCGTCTCGAAGCAGTGGAGAAAACGGGGACAGATAATAGCCGGAGAAACAAATAGGAAGAATATACGGTAGCAGCCGCTCACAACAGATGTGGTGATGAAGGCGTCAAGTGCATCTGTTGGTGATATTGCCAGGAGCGGCTAATCATTTCAGTTGCTGAGAATTGGCTTTAACCGGTCGAACACGTCGAAATGAGTCATTTTGATCCATACTACATTGCTTTTGAATCCGATAATATTCATGAGCCATATACTTGCTAGTAGTGGTTTGCTGAAAAGATATACTATTAGCGACGCCGTTTTGTATAATCAGCGCCCTGTCGACCTCTTCTTCTAAACGGCCCTTGAAATGGCCCATGTCCATCGATATACACCACCGGATCCGGTGTACTTCTCCTGCATACCCCATATCCGGTGGTCTCCAATGTCAACCAAAACATCCCCAATGCGTTGTTGCCACGCAAACAGTCATCCGCGTTCGCCCCTCCTCCGACCGGAAGGGAATGAAAGGTGACAGGCCGCGTGAACTGAGTCATTTTCTCATTTCTCCCAGGGAGAAGGGATCGACTTGGCCTGGGCCTTCTTGATACTGGGATATATCTGGATACGGGGAGCTTCGACGGCGCAGTCCAACGCTGGTGAGGGGTGACGCAAGGGGCTCGCCGATTTCGAGCGCCGATGGAGTCCACACGACCGATCCCGCGTAAGATTCCGGATATTTCACTACTTCCGGTATGTGAAACCGAATCCTGCTGAAGGTATGAAATCACGACTTGAATCGGCGGGCGGAGAAAGGTCCCCGATGACATATTTCGCTGCATATCAGCCATCTCCCGTGACTTTCCTCACTGGTGACAACCATTCCCTCCATCGGGTCAAACGAGTTCCCTTTTGCATACACGCGGGAACCTTTCTCACCATCCGGTCCAGACAACGACCGCACTTGTATTCGCGGGCGCGGGGAATTCTAGGTACTGATGTACTCAACCGAATGTCACCCCACACCGTGACACCAACCGCCCACGTTGTAGAAACGCCCCGCTTACTGATGAAGAGGCGGTAAAGAGGAGCCCATCCCCGATCCAGCTGTTAACCGATGTCTCCCCAACCCTCTACCTCCATTGTCGTCGCCATTGGCTCGATCTCGCCAGCATCACCACGTCAAACCCGCCGGGATATGGGATGGATATTTTGGTCGGCCAGGGTGCCAGTCAGACCGGATTGGTACGAACTACGAAACCATGAAAGCGGGCGTGGGAAAACCGGTCGTCGAACCGACGAAACATCAGATGGGGCTGCAAAGATTTTCTGTTGAGGTTGCGCGTTGGGAAGAAACTCTCCCGTCCATTTGTGGTTCGAAGCTTTTCGCGAACGCTGCCGGTCTCGTCGCACTGAAGAAATGCTGGGTAGATGCTGGCGGGTGAGTGATAGCGTCGTGCAAGTACCTAGCTCAGTCACTCACCCATATCATTCCGGACGCCATTTGAACCTGGGAATCGTAGAAAGGCGCCGATTCGATGTTAGTAATAGCACCGGTGCGGTAGGGTGTTGCTTCGTCAGATGTACTTTTCAGGGAGCTAGGTTCCGAGTTTTGGACGGCTGTACATAAGTGAGGGTTGAAGGGCTGCATACTGATCCCAATATAGCCTCACGAAGGGGTACGAGGAGATGACGAGAATGCAGGATGACAATATGTTGTGAATATCCACTGCAGCATGTGTTGCTTCAAATTGAATGAAACCCACATCGGATCGGTGACACAGAGTAGGTTCAATAGAGAGCTGCGAGATGTCAGACGCCACGATTCGAATGGAGGCGTAGGGTCAAGCCAATGGAAGGAATAAGTAGGGCAATTTCAATCTTCGATACAAGTCTCAATGCAATTTTGGTTTAGTTTCGATTTTGTTTGGTATTGGTTTTAATCCGTAATGAAGGTAGCCATGCCAGTACTCAAGGACTGTGACCGAGAACATCTCAGAAGCTGGATGACCCGATGGAATAATCAGCCCTTGCTGGACTGCACCATTGCTCCTCCGCGTTGATGTCGCTATGGTTCTCCTCTGGCGCGTCCATCAAACCGCCCGCCAAACCATCTGTACATGCTGACTATCTCCGCGCCGCCATGAAGGCTAGAAGTACAAGTGTCGTCAAAGGATAATGTACAAGGTCACGCGCCGACCCGGCGCGAAACTGCCATTAGACCTGTGCAAAACATAGCTGCGAAAAGAAAAGGTTTCTGCGGTGGGTTGCCCCAGATGCTTCCCTCTGGGGTATCATGTAAACCCGCCTCTTGCGAAACCCCAGGACTAGAAGTGAACAGGTAGAAAAAGAATCGTCGTGAACATGCAATGGTATCGGGTTTTGAACAAGGGTCGCGATAGCGAGCCGCCCGGAAATGAAAACGCCAGGTCATGGAACCAGTGAAAAATAGCATCCGACGCCTTGTACGCTGTGAAAATCGAATGCGGGTCATTAATCGCCTGCGGTGGTTGGCAGGATCGAGCGGTATGTATTACGGCCGTCAGGTTTCGCGTGTCTAATTACCATCCCCTCTCGTGGAGATCATCAGGACCTGCAGTGAAGAAATCGGTTTGGTTGTTCGTCCAGGAGCTCGTGTATTTGTTGGTAGTCTCTTTTATTACCCCGAGCCCTGATGGCGCGACTGGCGCAGGCTCACCCGGGTACTGTCGCAAGTTGCGCATATCGTTGGATGTGTGTCGTCGTTTAAGTGCTGCGTTGGTGGTCGAGTTCTTCTGTTGTCGCTCCCAGAGGAGGTTCTTCCGAAGCGACTCCGTCAGCTCGGAGCTGAGCATGTTTCGGCGGGTGGTGCGGGGAGAGAGAGCAGGTTGGTGGGTGTTGGACGTGGTCATAATGATTGGTTTGGATCGAGAGATTTGAATTGGGTTGGAGTCGGATGCGGAGGCATCGGGTAGTGGAGAGGTAGGGAACGAGGGACCGTTCGGAGAGCTGGTGCGGGAGCGACGGATGGCGGGGGTGGAACGTGAGGCGGCATTTTGAAGCGCGGTGGCTCGGTCATTCTCGTGCATCATCGCCGTCAGAAGCGAAGGCCGCGACCTCAAGTTGGCCCGAGAATCCACTCTCTGGAACATATGTTCGTCTTTGAAGCTGGGTTGGCCGCTGTGGTCGTCTTCTGCATCTTCCCATTCACCATCTTCCATCTCATCGTCCTCGATGGCACTCGACGATTGATCCTCGTCCTCTGTGTCGCTTTCGAAAACATCCTCTTGCTCGTAGGTCCGGACTTTCACATCTTCTCTAAAGCTCGCTTGCTTAACGCCCGACTTCCTCAGCCCGTCGGAAAGCGAGCTGTGGCCGGTGAAATGCTTGAAGCTGTTCTCCTCGTCGGACCCGGATGAGCCGCCGAGCTGAAATGTAGCCCCTTTTGCTTTCGACTTCTGTTGGGATTGTGCGGTGGCTGCCGGTGTTCGAAGGCTGCTGGTCGGTCCGGATGGAGATGGGTTCACCGCTAAATGGGTCTTCGACCGCAGCGAGGAGGATATCCTTCCTGGCTCGAAACCGCGGACGATGTTGGTGGCGCTGAATTCCGTGGAGGCCGTGCTGGCTTCCGAGGGCGCGTGCGGACTCATGCCGGATGTAACGCTGTTCAGCGTCGTGGCAACCGTTGAGGTGGAAGATTCGGGGATGATGTGAGAATGGGGTGGCTCTGGAGGCTCGTGGGGAGGTGATGACGGAGTTGGGGTGGTGTTTTCGACGCAGTGGGGCAGTGATGGTAGTGTGGGAGCGGCGCACACCTGCGAGTTCGACAGACTGGGCGGAAGCGGAGGCAATTGGGGCTTTTCTTTCTCGCTATCCTTCTTGATCGATGTGACAATGTTCTGTAGGTCGATTGGAGAAATGTGCTTCAAGCTCGTGCGCGAGATGGCCGAGTCTTGTCGGAGGAGATGCGGTCGTGATGAGGTTTGCGATGAATATGGAGTGACCAGGGCGTCGGATGCGGTGGATGAAGCCGAAGAGGAGAGCTCGGGAAGATCGTGATTTGATGTGGTTGTTGGTTGCGGCTGACGACTGGGGAGCAGATGCGGCCAGCGGGCGGAAAGCGATGGTGAGGCGTGGTCAGGTGCGCAGCAAAACGTTTCCCGATTCCACAACCGCCAACTCAAGTTCTCCAGTCGCTTTCCGTCCTCCATTGAGTCTGCGCATTTCGAGAAGACTGGAACGTGGTGGTTAGCGAGCCGCACTTTGAGGTAGCTGGGTATACTATTGCAGTATTGCAGCGCTGTGGACTGGTACAGATAACCAACGCTGCGGAAGGGTTGAAGGAAGCGGGTGAACACGTACCTGACCATAGGCCAAAGAGATTTTCCGCATTTCCTGTGTCGATGGTCTTCATAGAGTCGAGCTCTACACTCACGATCGGTGTCGATGATTTAAAAGGCATGGTGGGCTTGCAGAGGGGACTAGGTAGGGCGTTAAGGGCCAGGTTGAAAGCGCTCGGGTTGAAAGCGCTTGAAAGGGAGGAATGGACGTGGTATTCCTGGGTTCGACCGCTTTGCGTCACGAATCGAGAAGACGGCTACGTCAAGATCGACAGGTCTAGGTGGAGGCAGAGTGCTCAACGGTTCGCTCGGCTGTTGTCGAGTTCGCAAATCGCTCTTCCTAATCCCGAGGACTAGAGAACGTTACAGCGCGAATATCTCTGGGGGTAGGTAGCAGCAGCGCAGTGCGTGGTCGGAAGAAGATACGGCGACATGCCCTAGGAATTGAATCCTGCTGCGGTTGTCGTCGTGGTGTGTTGGCGTTTAAGTCGGAGTGGCGGTGGGGTGGCAGCAAGCGACAAAACCGAAGTAGACCAGAGGAATCACCAGCACGAGTGTGGGAATGGCTTCGTTTTCCAGGGAAGAATATCGGGCGGGGATGTAGCAGTGATCCAAAAAGTCAAATGTATCTCGCTGAGGACGAAGGTAGTATGGTGATGGTAGATGGAGAGGGAAGGGAAGGGGATGAGTGTGGACGTTTGCTTGTGACGGAAGGCAAGTGGTTATGACGAGCGGAAGGGCGACATAATAAGTGAAATCTTCCGAAGCGAAAGAGACTAGAGAGGAAAAGAGAGCGGGATGGAGAATAGAGAGGGCTTGCCGGACTTGTGGGCGAGGGACTGGGGGGGAAGAAGTAATAACTGAGCAATGAGAGGGCGCAGTGGGGGTGAAATGAGAGTGTGGGACGGTGGCCGGTGGGATAGATGAGCGGTCGTTTGCAGCGTTCAGACTCTTCAGACTTCAGTGAGCGATGAAAGATTGAAGGGGAAGAGAAAGCGGCGAGAGCCCAGAAGCACCCAGAACCAGAGCATCTTGCATGTCGGGCTTGCTGTGCCACCGGGCACTCCATTAAGGGGGATGGGTACGGCAGAGCCGATTTAGTGGTTTTTCATCCCCGGTATCGTGCACTCCGTATTGTCCTCTTATTTTCCATCTCTCCGGCGTCCTCCCAATCATCCCTAATTCTTCCGCTCTGGAAGAGTGGGAGGCAGATGACCGCTCTAGCCTCCAGGGCCTGCTCGCCACGCTACCGAACAAGGTACAACCGTCTGTCAGAGAGAGCGAAAAGCCAATGACTCTTGGCCAATTAATGATTATCCGGATCCTGATCTCTTCCCCAGGTTGACGGGTTCATCTCCTCAATTCTTCCTCCTTAGTCCTTACTGCTCAGGGATCGCTCCGAGAGTCAGAGAGTCGGTCTCTCATGTCTCCACTGTCGCACTCTCGCACAGACGGCCGACTTACTCATGTGCCCAATACACCACTATCGGTGATCTGGGTACGTCCATACCAGTCGGGGGGAACACAAACAATCAGATCGACCAAGCCGAATGGCACAACTCACAAAGTGAGCAGCAGCGCACATGGTCGCCCGGCCACCCGGCGCTTGCAGCCTCTGTCCCAGGCCACCGCTCCAGCGCACCCCCTCAGTCGATCCCTACAGAAGTACAGATACTGGGTAATTCGATGGCTTATGGGCTATGGCTCATGGGCTCAGGGCTGGATCAAAGGTTCAAGGATGACGGAGTCGGGAGTTCTCACCCGCCTTGTCGGCTGCCACTCCTTACTCCCCCGTCCTCGCATTACGGCATATCCTCTCCGTTCGATTTTTCTGGCCAGTGACCTCAATTTCCCAACTGCCTTTTTTGGCTTGCGGGAACATGATAGGTCGCCGAACCACCGAATCAATCGTGCCATCACGCTCCTGGTGGATGTATCCCATCCCTTTTGTCGTATTTACAACTTTCCCGCTCGTCATGTCTCTTGTGAGTTGCGAGCTGTGCATTCTTTTTGCTCGTTGCTGAAAACGACCTCTCGTTCCTCGTCAGTCCTTCCGGCGATGTTACACCATCCCCATTGAAGCGAACAGACGTATTTTCCGTGACAAACGGAACCAGTCGAAGGCCCGACGATGAAGTATTATTGAACCCAATGTGATTGTAGCGACTCTACAGTCTCGCCGCGTGCGACTGAATTCATCTGGTCTCAAGAGCGACTATGCCACCGCTCAGTACTCTAGCCTCTCTCTCCAGTCTCCACGTTCAAGGCCCAAGGGCAAACGACCGCACTGAGATTCAACGGTGCTGCAGCAGGGGATATGATCACAGGATCGACACAACCATTCCTTTACCGTATTCCTTTCACATTCCTACCTACTTAGTACTAGTCCTTACCGGTTAATTGTCTCCTGTCCCCGGCCTTCACAACCGAAAACGAGACAATCGCGGAAATCCGGGGATGATCTGGAGTCTTGAGTCTAGAGTCTGGGCGAGGAAGAGAACGAATTCCTCCGGAAACAAAATTCATGGCTTGATTGCAACCTGTAAGAGTGACTCGAAATTTCCCACTCTGCTTCCCGAGCGCCGGGAATATGGGCAATCCGGCATGTCGGTATAATTCCATTCGTCCCCACCGCGCTATCTCGAAGAACTTATGAAATAAAATACAACTTACAAGGCGGACCTCCAGCGTATTTCCAGAATCAGTTCGAGGTCTATTCGGATGGACCTGGACTTTCGAAAGCCCTTGAACTGTGCAACTACAAATGTTTGGTCTAATGTCAAACCTCGGGCTCGACGAACCTCCTAGCAGATCTCCAATATTCCTATTCAACCATTCACAGGTTCACGGTTTTCATTCCTAATCTAGTAGTGATAGGAGCCGGAACATCGATTCTGACTACGGAACGACGGCGGCTTTACCCGAACAGCGTCAATGGCAAAATCCGGACCAATTCTCGGTTTTTTTCTCCCCTACTGACCAGCCCAGAATCAGGCCTGGATCAATACAGCGGTACCTGTGGCTGTGTCCCCTCACGTGGGTGGCGGTGATCCCTGCCACGACAGGGGTCTGCAGTGGTCAGGTGCTGCCAACAGAACTAAGTCCCCAGTGAGGCCTCTGAAGTATCGAATGAAAAACTGAAGTCTTGCCGAGACCAGACACGCCTACTTGCAACAAAGTGGCGAATTCTTGTTCTAGTAATATTATCGGTACGAAAGCACGGAGTATTATGCTACACTTTCCAGGAGTTACAAGGCACGTGGCAATCAGCGAAGAGACCCAATTTACGTACGTGGTACATACTCTGTTGAGTGTTGACTGTTGCTCCAGCGTACTATGTATTTGTTGGCACTTGGGTTCAATTACGTTGATTCTTAGTTAGAGCCATGAAATATCTAGGTCCGTATTAGGTATGGAATTCTTAAAGTATTAGCCGTTAGTTCCAATTCATTAATGGCTCCTTCTCTCTTCAGTTTGAGGTGTTCCCATGATCCCGTGTAATCCTGGTTGTTATATCCATCCTTATTTCCGTTCGCAGCACAATGGAAATATGGAACGCCTTGAATTCGTGGGGGGTTGGGACCGTTAGGTGTTATTGGACCTAGGTGGGCTTCTTTTCAAGCTCCCACACTCAAGTCACAAGTGTCAATACACAATCAACCCTTTGTCACTTTGTCACTTGTCTCCAATTCCGACAGAAATGCAGATCGCAGAGTGGGTGTTGTCGACGGTACAAAAACGAATATGAGTTGCCCCTCCACATGAACTTCCACTCACCAGATGCAGTCCAACTGACTGCCTATCTGTATGCCATCACGGTGGCAGATGGAACGCCAGAATACGGGTTTAACCTTACCGGTCGTATTACTAGTACCGCGAGCAGATTATATCCGCTTATCATGCTTGAAAACAGTTCCTTGTTTGTCGCCTACCAACTCGGAAGACCCGAGTCATCAGAACCACGCCTACCGAGCGCTTGACGAGCAAGAGAGAAGCAACGAAAGCATCCTCGGCCATTGTCCGCCAACCCGGAAAGTGGAGAAGGAAGTCGGGGTTATTCGAACCATGGGGAATCCCTCCGACCAGGACCCCGGAATACATTGGAGTCCGTCGTGTCTGACTCGGGCAAGTACAAGTAATTACAGCGAAGGCACAATCAAGCTCCTGATAATTAGCAAGGAGGATTAGCAACCACAACCAAGTCCCACGATGCTGACCTTGAGATCTGAACTTTTCGAACACCCCGGACGATGCAAAAAGGTCCCACCGCGAGAATGCGGGCAAAATCGCCCTGCGCATCTACGCATGTGAGAGCGGACCCCCAAATTGGAGGCAGATGACCTCTCAGAGACTAATATGTCGTCGAATCACGACCAAAAGAACTCTTCATGTGGGAGGACAAGTTGACAACTCATACGGAAACGGCAACCTCATGTTTCATGCGTTGTACAAAATCTTAAAGTTCCTTCCCGGTGCCGGTGAGATCTTCCTCGGTTCGATATTCGCAGGATTTCGACGATGCCGGCTCGCCTTGTGGTTCGCAAACCTATTATGGAACATGTAGCCATCCGCCCATCGGATCGCCAGGTCCTGTCGCCGCGATGATCGTGCAGCTTGTGATGCGTTGCTTTCGCCCCACAACTCCATTACGGTATATTGTATTAACACAATCATCATGATAGGTGCAAATTGCAGCATGCAGCAGATGACCTGCGCCATGGGGATCATCCTCGCACGATTTACTTTAACCTCAGTTCCAGAGTACCTCTCACGGTTGGATTGTTCCACTGCTTTGTTTTGTTCGAGCACGCAATACACGAGTCTCCTGCCAGGACTAACTAGGCGCGTATTTTTATCAGTTATTCTGACACATGAGTGGGAATGCACGACATGGATAACCGTCCTCACCACTGTCTGTTATGACTCAGTAACTTTCTGGCGATGCCCAATTCCCAAATCACCAGCCAAATAATGATTCTCAAAAGGAATCACACGTTGCTTGTCTCCGTCTCTTCCCGATTCCGGGGTGGCACCAGTTCGCGGGGGAGGTTCTCCAGAATCCAAAGCACACGCCCTCCAAAAGACGACTGCCTTACATCAATGTGATGTCTTACTGTGAGGA